GAAGCATAAGCTGATTTAGGGGTGCTTGAAGAGAACCCCATTTCTGGACCTTTGGACTGCACCGCCGTAAGGCTAGTGCTCGCGAGGTCTTGAGTGATGCTGGACACATCCTGGCTTTGGGCATCATATCGAAAATTGGTGGGCACGTAACTCGCTGGACTCGATTCCTGGATGGTATTCAAGGGTGGAGGGTCTGCTTCTGTCGACCTCGGAGTGTATCCTGTGGCAGTTACATTTCGGTAGCCATATTCCCAGGCATCTAGGCAAAATGTCAGAAACTCTCAAATACAAAACTTACAACTAGTACCAGCTGTATTTCCTGGGGCAATTTGCCGATACCGAACGTCACAGTTGTGCTTATCGTTAAAGCTCCAATGGCTCCAGTCGGTAGGATACCGAGAGGATTTGGGTTTGGATCGTTCGCGCTTGGTAGACATAGCCGCTGATTGCGGGCGAAAGCTGGTAAAAAGAGCATCTTCGGGCGTATGGCCCACTATTTTATGGATAAACAAAAGTGAGGCTCAATAGTCGCGGTAGTAGTGGTACAATCCCTAAAGAATGGTCACGCACAAAGCCACCCCGAAGTGAGGTGGGGGTTGATAGTTGGAACTCTGAATTGTAAAGGTTGATTGGGAGGAGGACGTGGGATATCCGAACATATCTTTGCGGGTGTATGCAAATATGCGCCAAGGCAATGTCTTATTGGCATCATGGAGGCAAGGGTTGTCACACTCAAAGTGCCGCTTTTAGGTCTCTCCACAGCGAGATCTGAGCGGCCCAAGCCAGCATGGTACTGAGGAATCCCGGGAAATGAGGCTCTACTCGTACCAATCCTCCATTTCCCCGTCGACGTCTGCTCTCGTCAATCTTTCTTTTCTTCACAGGCTGATATCAAGCCCCGTATACTATGACTACCCAGACTATCACTACAAAACGGAAAACTTCAAATATGATTCACGGTCTGTACCAACACTCATGTCAACCATTTATTACTATGGCGTGTCGGACTCTGCATGCCCCGACGAGAACGCATATCAACATAAGGCCAGCACGTGTCCTAGTCCTAGGAGCATCAGTCGTGGAGACTTCTCATGGGCTCCTCAGAGACGCGCTTCTGATCCAATAGATTCGTTTCAAGATCCTCCGAAGTTCAGGACCTCAAAGCGAACAACATCACACAAGCCTTCGCGTGCAAGAGGCCTTTCCGCCCAGAGTAACAATATGTCCGTAAATAGTTTCGCAAACGCATCTTCCTCCATCAATATTAAAGATGTCGGTATTATTCCTGCCCGTGAACCAAGTTTGAATAACTCGGGCGAGCATTTGAAGGCACCATCAAAACCACGTACGACTTTCCCTCTGGAAACTGGGGACTTGGGAACTTCAGGGAACCATTCCCACGAAGTCTTTCCTACAGAGAGCCTGTTCCAAATAAGACAAGGCTCGGCTGCTGAGTCCTCCAATATGAGTGTGACTTATTCGGATAGGCTGTCACTACCTGGCACTCCCCCAGGGCCCGGACCCGGACCCTCATTTGGGGCATTCGGCCAATATCTCCCTCCAGAAGATTGCTTTTCGACTGTATCGTATCATAGTGATCTTTTGTTGAATGAGGAATGTGCTAGACATCAAAAGTTCCAACTTGGAGTATGGAGCTTGCGATCTAGGATTCAAAACTTGCGAGTCAATCTCCGAGAAAAGCAACGGGTCATGTCAACAGCTAACGACAAATATTTTAAGTATATCAGTGGCATGGAACACGGAACGCTGGCTGAGGCCGAAAAGAAATCGAAAGCAATGGCTGTTCTCCAGGAGCTACTTCATGACTGTCAAATTGCCAGGGATGAGTATGGCCCACTTGAGGACGATTGCAATATGCTCGAAGACCAGCTTGGCAACGAAGAATTTCACCTCCAGAGTTTGGAGAAACACCTACACTCACGACGAATTGTTGATCGAGAGGCTCGTCCATTTTCATCAACCTCTTCTAGATCAGCAATCTCCGACATAGACCAACGGTTTCATCCACTAGTATCAGACTATCTATCAAGTGTCGGAGCATTCAACATTTTGAGAGAACGCTTGGAAGATCAGGCCGAAGAAAAGTATTACCTGGAGCAAGAAATTGTCAGAAAAGCGCGAGTTGATTTGAGATCATCGGAGGACAGCCAGAAGTGGCTGGAGGACAGCAAGAAGTGGCTGGATGAGTTTCCAAGTAACCAGGCTTTGCTGCGCAATGAAGTAGAAACTGCACAGCGAGAGTGCGATGAAATGAAGCAACGATGTCTCTCGATGGGACTCGTAGATAATAATGGGGACCCCACAGGATTGGAGGTCCAGGAGCGCGAGACCCTTGAGGATAACATGAATTCTGGCCGTGAGATCTCCGTATTCGTGAAATTTCCGCGGCTGATTTCTCACCAGAGAGCAACACAAAATCGGTCTCTTAAGTCTGCTTCTGAGTTTAAAGAACCACGTCACGAGGGTGACAACATCAATCAGTGGCTTCTCGATCAATTACAGTCATCCCCTCTATATGTCAACTTACTTGCAAGGATTTATGAGGCAAGATTCGGTCACATTGATAGTGAAGCCTGGGAGCTGGCTGTCCTCGCTTTCTGGGATGAAGATGGCACTACAAAATTGTCCTCTGACTACCAAGCCTACTCTTCTGCTATAACAACGCAGGCTCCACAAAAGTCACAATACTCTGCGAAAACCTTGTCCGATGCCAATAGTAGGAGTTCGTGGGGTATATTCATAAAATACCCGTCATTGCGTGCCGCTCACACTGAAGATGGGCCTGAGAAGACAAAGATAACTCAGGCTTCATTGCTGCCTATTATTTATGATGCAAATTATTGCAAGAGTGTGTGATACCATATTTGTGTTTTGTTTATTGGTTTTATCTCTAACATAAGCCATTGCGCCGTCATACATTGTTTAAACTTTTCTTTTTAGGATGGTCTTGAGAGAGAGAGAGCAGAACCAGAGTTTGGTGGAAGAAGTACTTTTTGGAATATGCTATGCTATAATTGACCTGATACCCCTTTCCGTTTCCTTACTTGATGTTGCCGTTCTGTTATTTGCGGGTACTTTCTGGGTTATTAGCGTAGACTTAGTGTTAACGTGAGAATAGCCCTGGTGGCTGAGAACAGAGCCTGCTAGATGCCAATCTTTCTATGTGTTAAGTGACCTGATAACTGCCAAAACGACACCTGATTTAGTCCTTTGCAGATATTCTGCTCTGAAGTATGTTCTAATCACAATTTCATGACTATTTTCACATGACTTACACACTATGGCCCGGCATTAAGTTCTGACTACTGATTAGACTTACAACAAAGTGTTCAATGATGAAGAGTCAGGTCTACATTCCCCTTAGACGGAATAATAGACTCCGGCTACTTCAAAGTACTCCGTACCAGCCAACCAAATCGCTATCTCTTGACAACAAGTCATAGCTCTCTCTATGCGAAATCTCGACGCCATTGTGTAAGGCATTTCATATCTGTGCCGCCTTACAAGAGCGGCATGTCAGACCGACAGCCAACAGTGGAAGCGGCTTCATGCGCTACTCGGACGCAGCCAAACACAGCCAAAACAAACTGTTCAGCCTGATTAGCGATAAAGCACGTGTGTAACTTCAAATGCAGGCAGACAATCAAGACGCATTCCGTCCATGGATGTAGATTGGGTCTCGTGCGATCCAACATGCATGCCAGTGGCATACAATCACAGAGGAGACTGGAGACGTGAATGGAGACCTATGAAGTGAGGACTTAGGGCGGCCATTGGCACGAGCAGGAGGACCCGGGAAAACATTTCCTGTAGCGGGATGCATGAGCGAGGGGGTGTGGAACGGGCCGCTTTACTGGAGTCAAAAGTGCGGCGCAAAGAGGGGAATCCTGCAGGTAGGTGCATGCATGTGCTTGCAATTAGCAAAGAACAGCAGGTGGTTTTACCTGCATAGTGTGCTGCAAAGTCATTAATTGTCATGTGAAGGCAAGACTTGTTGGTATTGGGCGTGGACGACACCTCCCTAAAAAATCAGGTCTTCATCTGATAATTAGTTGGCATTACTTTCTAATAACGAGTGACAATTCGGCAGCTTCGAATTCCTTGAAAATAGTGCCATCCGTTCTAATGGTGTTATTGCTTTTAGTGCGTGCGATTCAAAACCGCTTACCATCAAGTAACACTTCGCAACAAACTCGTCAAAATTAAGTATGAAAGCTTACTACAACCCATAATAGTCTTCAAATGATATGAATATATAGACAGTGTGAAATAACCATAAAGGGCATTGTAGACAACGGCAATGTATTTAAGGGGGGGTGGGGGTTGGATATCTGCCCTGATGCTGAAGCACCCTCCTGAAGCTCCAATTTGCCACTAATGTATTCCTGTTTGTTAGTTCTATATATGCATGAAATGAATTAGAGAGTTTTAAGATCATAGATGTAGGGTTGAGGAAGAAAGGGGGCCAAGTCCAAATAAACGCGGCGTAAAAGAGTTCGGTTAAAATGGACTGTTTTTACCTCTTGTCACTTGCTTTGCAAGTCCTCACTAAGTGTACCTTAAACCCACAACAAAGTTTTCAATTGCTAAATCGTAGATGGCATAAAAGTGCCAGCTCATTCAAAACAATGAAGTCAAATTTGGTTAGCCATCGCAACCTTCCTGCCATCCATCCATTTGTCATCCTAGCATAACCTCCGCGCAACGTAAAACAATACCCAAATCAAAACATAACAGGCAGGAAAGGCATAGGGTATATCCTGAAAGTTGTTGAAAAATGCCTGCCAACTAAAATTTATTGCGAAAAGTTCACTGATCTGTAACACGTGTGACCACAAGACACTAACGATATGTTGAAGGAACTAAGAATGAAAAGTTTCCAGAAAAGCGGTTTTGTGAACTTGAACGTATTCTGTCCAGCCTAACGATAGTTATAACGAGACTTGTTAAGCGCTTAGAAGGACACCTGAATTGGGCGTTTAGTGTCGCGACCGTTTTCCATCTTTATCCTTACCCCTCGATCTTTTGTCTCTGTCGCGGGTACCGCTTGTAGTATTCGAAGGTAGTTTTGTAGGTTTTTCGACTGGTGTGGTGGATGAAGTGACGTAGGAGTTTGCGGTCAGAGATGGGATCCAGTTACTTTCAACCATTCCAATGTTAAGAACTCTGATGTAGTGCTCCACAGTGTATATCTTGCTGTAATTGAGTCTAGAACATGCTCCCAAGTCACCCTCTATATCTTTCTGTTCACTTCGGACTCTAATGGGATCTTTCGAGAGATTTTCTTTCACAATTGTTCCGTCAGTCAACTCGTTAAATCTTTCAGGAGGACAATCTCTGCTGGTATATATTATGGCGTGTTGTTGACGCTCGGGAAGGTTTGGCTTTAGCGTCGCTTGGCCATTGTATGTATGAATAGGACTGTCACAGGTCATTAGTTTTCTTCGCTTATAAGTCATGGAGATCGACGTACGAGCAGATGCTGTTTCCGTAGCCTTCTTTGAGGACAACAAAGCGACGTATCTCACTGTAAACGCCTTGGTCTAGCCATACTTTACTGTAGTGTGTGCCATTTCTCGTGCTTCCTTCAGCAGCAGGCTCAGTCCAGAGCATCATAAATACTCTGCCCACCTTCCAGAACTTCCTTTGCTCTTTCTCGCCAATGCAGTGATACCCTTTATGTGGTCAAAATGGGCTCTGGCGGGAAGAGAATAGATAAATCATCTTACGAGGATCAAGCCTCTCCTTGTCTGGACTATTTGGGTCTCTCGCAATATAGTTTGACGGGCTTTGAGGTTGGTACGGAGTTTGGACGCTAGATGAGACGGTATAGCCTAGAGTGGATCAATAAACCTTCCTGTGGATGATAGACAAATAGCAGGCGTTATAATTACCTTGCTCGTGAACAGTAGAAGAGGGACTATTCAGGGACATGCCGCGGAAGGCCGAATTAACGGCATCATAGGTCTTGCTAGAAGTTGCGTATTCCAACTTGGCTGTTGTGACTGACGGCTCGTAGGGATTCAAGGAGCCATGATTGGATGAGTAGCTAGTGTTTGATGCCGTAGAGCCCGATGGTTGGGTAACACTAGTTGAGGTCGTTGTGTAGTATGAGTCTAAGCCGTATTTAGATGTTGGCGGATTTTGATAGCTGGAGGCCCCAGAGGTCTCAGTGCTCGAATTTGTTCTTGCGGCTCCTGAATATGAAGCTTCTCTAGAAGCATAACTATCACCACTAGGACCACTAGATGATAGCGGTGTTGCAGAGCCAGTGCTCAGAACGAAATTCTCCCCCGGAGTTCGAGGTGTCTGTTGTTGTTGTTGTTGTGTTGTTGTCAATTCGGGATATCTATACGAATATTCTCGTACTCCCGTAGGACCGTGACGACTTGAATAGTAATATCCACGGGTGTCCCAGCACCATTCGGACCATGGGGTTGACTTATCGACCGCTTTGCCTTTGTTGCTGGGCATTATGCTTGACTGGTAGCTGGTATGCGGGTACTTTTGCAGACGGATACGTGTATAGATATGCTTTGGCGCTTGATCTGGCATCTATAGAACTGTGCCCAAATTTCCTAGTCCAGAGACTTTCGCCTTACTTGAAAATGTCCATGCTCGCGCTCATTAGCCAGAATAGCTGTAGATCTGAGCAAGACCATCAGTCGGCTGTGCAGGTTGTGCAGTCACAACCCATCGATGAACACCCCGACTTACCCTCTAAAAAGGTACCAACAGTAGCGAATCCAAGCGAGGGCCTTGAAACACTTCATCAACCAAAGTTGATTGGCTGATTTTGAAGCAAGACCACCTTCGGGAGAATTTATACCATGCGCTTGCTGACTCGCTGAGTCCCTTGCTGCTTTAGGAGAACCTCAGCCTGCCACAAGTATATTTAATCGCAGCAGCACCCACCCACATTTGTCCTGGGTTGCTGACCAAACATAACCCCTTGAACCTGTTTCGGTTAAGTTGGATGATTTGAGTTTTCAGAAACCCCTGGACTCACCGTTACTGTTGCTGGAGCCCTTTTCAATTAGCATAACACAGAGCATTGTCGCATTCAGATAAAGTCATGAGAGGAGTCCAATTCCTACCAAACTCTGAACTTAAGGCCAGCTTCTTGAGGTGATATCTTGATCTGATACTATCAGAATCGTGTTGGTCAAGGTCAGCAGTTTTTCGAAAGTGGGTAAAACAATACATTTAGATCGAATTTAGCTAAACGGGAAGACAGCACTGGGTGGAAGTTCCAAAAACCGTTACGACAAAATCTGGTAGGCAAGTACTGGATATGGACTGCGATGTTGAAGAAGAGACGAAGCAAAACTCAACAAGTGTTGGACGAAATCGCTTCATTTCTTTGATGCAGGGCTTGCAGCGGGTCGCAAAGCTACAAGAGGAAATAACAGCTACGCAAATCGAATTTCGGCAGAAGAGGCGTGAAGCTGCATTCAAAAGAGAAATTGTGTGCGACCTCGACGCCAAATTCATGAGAGAGCTTCAAAAATTGAATGCCCAGGGAACCAAAGATTTACAGGCACATTCCAAGAAACTCGGACAGTTGGCTGATGAATGCCAGGCCGCGCGGGATATCTTAGGGCCAATAGAGCAAGAAAATATTGAGTCTGAACAGAGATGGGAGGGTCAAATTTGGAGCCTACGACAGGCTGAGAATCAAGTTTACCAGCACTTCGAAGCTGAGTTCCGCATTGCGAAGGCCTACCCGCCAGCGCCCTCCAGCGTGGATAGTCAGTATGAGTCACTGTCAGAACCTGAAAGCGACACATTTGAGGATGATCTTGTAGCAGATCAAAGCAGCTTTTTGGCCCCGAGCGTTGGCATGACGGCGCCCAAAGGTTTTATGACTATTCAACCTCCACATATCGAACCGGACACTGCTGTCCAAGGATCCATGATTTCGGACCCATCGCTTTTAGGCTTGGAGGATTACGAAACTGAAAAGGTCGCATTAGCGATCAACAGCGAAAGGTGGGACTCCTATTCTGGCATAGGAGATATTGATCGCGCCCCTCAAATTAGGGCAGACCAAGACCTGATCGAGCCTCCCCAATCGTTGCCAGCTAAGCTATATACCAGTAGTTTATATCGGTATTTGGAGACGGACTTCGGGACGAAGAGGGACAGAATCAACAAGTGGTTAGAAACCAGTGCTCTAACATCTCGAATTGAAGCCACTTCGATATTCACAATTCTCAGGGATCATCTAAATGCAGAAAATGAGGAAGTTCCATCGAACTGGGCGCAATTAGTAGTTGCTTATTGGGAACTGGATGGCGCAGCAAGACCAGAAATGTACAAGCCGCGTCCACCAGAAGAAAATACATTGTAATGCAAGTTTATATAGCCGCTGTCTGGAAGGACAAGTCTTAACCCCAAAACGCCCCACACGCGGCTTTCCGCTCCAATGACCACTTGTCTGGTGCTGGGGCCAAGACTTAATGTCTTCAAAAACACCAGAACTTTGACTAGAAGTTTAATCTGGTATTTGGAAAGCTTGATGAAATGCAAACAGGCGAACTAACTTTGGTGAAATTGACTTATAATGAACTAACTGGACCAGAGTCCCTTACTTGCAACATTTACTAGGCTTCAGCCTTGTCTTTTGCCTATGTTGGAGTTGAATGTCTAAAAGCAGCGGACATTTCCCCCTTCCCGCGTGAATCCGATGGCAACCGCTTCTTCAAGTACCTTGCAACCATTTCAGCATGTCCACCCTAGTCCATTGATGCAGTTTGTGCCATTGTGGCAATTTACACCACGACTTATAAACACTCCACATACATTGTAGAGAGCTAGTCTCTCTAGGTGGGTTGCAACCGAGGATCTCTCGAATTGTAACTGCAATATCCCATCGATGAAAGGGTGATACAAGCGCCTAATTAGATCGTATCTAAACTAGTGGACCAGCTCGAAACGGTCCGTTCCGGTTGATCTGCCACCGTGCCAAGGCAAACGCATGTGCTTTGAGAAATTTGCTCAAGAACCAAGCTCACCCACACTTGGGAGAGCATACTCATGGTGTTGCACTGCCTGAAGATAATGGCCTGATACTCTCCTCCGCTTGCTTCCAGTAGTTGCACGCTGTACAATTACGGGCAGTAGCTGACGCTCACATCCCATATACCGAGGTACAACGGTCTAACTTCCCGAATTTCCCGATATTATTGGGTGTCATTTGTGCCACGTGTATAAAGCAAGATCAAGCTCAATTTTCTGCGTGTACACTGTACGATGCATCTTGGAGATCATGAGTTCGCAGCTTGGAGCAGATACAGCATGCAACTCAAAACGCCACATGCCAAAGCAGTGGAAATTTTACGCAAGTGTCCATAAGCTAGCTTCCTTGAGCCTGTATCAGTGCCCAATCCTTGCGGGGTATCCATACTAGGTACAGGTACAGGTACACAAATACACAATGTCGTCACTGTTCCACGTATATTCTCGCATTCATTTAGAGATAGAGCAAAAGAAGCCGAGACTCTAGGGAATGTGTATTTGTCACAAATGGGAAACGCATGCTCAACGCAGTATCTTGTGCCGTACTGTTTACTGTTAGCAGTCAAAGAGCTACACTTGTTTGAATTGGACCTAGCTTTGTGACTGCAGATTGTAACTCAACGTGTGCCTTCATAGCGCACGTTGGCAGAGTTGTCGACCATGGCGTTGAATCCTCCGGCGCTTTGTGATCCTCTTTTATACCTCAATTCTACGGTCGCGGGTTTCTTGGCGCATTGCATCTATTGAGCTAGAGAAATCTTTTCTGCTCCCTGGTGTGTCGGCTCAACTTAAACCCAAATTCTTCTCAGGCCTTGAAGTGCCGCACCATCAGTACTGTACCAGAGGAGACTTACTTGGATACTTCGTCCCATGCCAAACGACCTCTCACAGGAGGGCAATGCCAGGGGTTCTTCTCATAGGAGCTGCTATAGAAGCCCGGTGGGGTTGTTTGGCCTGGGACGAAGTATAAAAAAAACATCCCCCCTCGGGCATTCTCTGGCCCAATGAAAGAAAAATAGGGAGGCACTGCCCCTCTGCTCATGCAAAACAGCACCCCACCCCACCTTCCTAAGCCCGCACATGCTCCAAGCTCCGGCCTCTGACACGGTGTCAGTGACACGCTGCACAATCGCCAGACGATTATTGCCCACCAACACAACGCCTCTGCTCTGCATCCCATTACGAAGTATATTCGACCTTAGCGCCACCCCGCCTCAAACTAGTGACGCAACTAATACCGCCGGAGGAAAGGGCCCGACTTCCATGTAATTACCATACTTCACGAAATCACTTCAGTGCGAGCTATGAAGAGGGCCAACAAGACCAGAAAGTGGAGACCGGAACTCGAGATGGCGAGGGCTGTAAGTGATTCGAGGGCTGTAGACGTGAAGTGTTGGTTGGTTCTTGGCTATCGCAGCATTGCCGGATTGGAGAAGGAAAGCCGTAATTGTTGGGCGAAGGCCTGACCTTTTGGAAAGGTGTGATGGGCTTGAAATCGAGTCCAGCTTGTTGCTACCTAAGACTGGCTCGGAATGTATGGAAATAAAGCACGTGATCATAAGAACTGTGCAGCAACGACGAGCAGCAGCTGTTCTGATGGAGCATAATACTAGAACATGTATGACGATTCAGTCTTGAGGGGGTTTTGATTGTTAGAGATAGCAATCCTTAGAAAGGTGTAACAAAACAAGGAAAGGGAAACCAAAAGCAGGGTAGTTTTCTGATCAGAGCCCCATCTTGAGACCGTAATGGAACCTGAAGGTATCTATGAGTATATTTTTACATCTGATGTACATAACTACGTACAATGGTATTCTGTCTATTCATTTCCTCTCCCCACGAATTCGCGTCCCAGAAGGCTTGAAATAGATGTGTTGATTACCCATGGTCGGCATCACCAACAGGCCTTCCTCTGTGCCTCTAGATCCCCAATCGAGGTTAAGTGGGCTATATGGTATGAATTTGGGGTAATCCACCAACAATAGCTTTTCCAAAGTCTCCAGTGCATCGGTTGGGTCAGTTGGAATCCCTTGGTCAACCATCTCGTAAAGTTTTTTCGTGTGTTTTAAGTGATGGAACTCATAGTGACTGATGATCTGGGCCCGTATTTGGGTTACCGCTTGCGAAGCAGATTCATCCGCTGGAATTGTTTTCAGAACTTCCAATGCTCGCGCAGGATCCTTCGCGAGCACAAATGCCATGGCGAAGAGTTGGCCTTTGAATCTCTGTTCTACCAGCATGGAGTTCGCTCGAGACTGCCACTCCTCCCAGAGAGCATTGCTGAAGCCCATTTCGCCCACGCCAACGATGTACGTTGAATAGGGACCGAGACCTCCGAATCTCTTTTCGGTCGTAGATAGGAAGTCAGAGCAAGACACGTCCTTGGTATTCCAGCCCGTAATAAGCTGCAGAAGTTCCTCTCGCCTGGTCGCTTCCCCTTTCCAGGCTGCCCATCTTGTCGGGGCGTGGTTTTCCTTCACGTAGTCAAATTGCAATTTCTGCACAGCGCGTTCAAATATGCCGTCAAAAGTATAGCCATTCCGGTAAGCTATTTCAAGGTACATCCTGACGGCTGGGAAAATTGCAGCTTCCGAAGCATAATATAGCCCAGCACCGCATAGAGCCTCTTCGATTTGCACGCCTTTGGATAACATGTTCCGCATCAAATTATTCAACATTTCCACAATCATGTATATGTTTATTTTTCGGTATTGCGGCTCATCATCGAGGGCCTGTTCCCAACATTTCTCGATCGCCCTCACGACAACCTTGCCCCTCGAAGCAATAAAGTTGCATCCTTTCGTGGTAGTCGAGAGCATCGTCAAGATACGTTCGAGTCTCCGAACCTGTATACATTCGCGTAAATCCTCCGTCATCTTCTCGTTGCGAATAGAGTTCGACGTGTAGCCTGCTGCTTTCAGGCTTTTCGTAGCATTGGTTATAAAATCATGCGTCAGGTGCTGGATTTTCGTCGAGGCGTCATCTTTTGACGACACGTTCCGCCGTCTAAATATCATTCGGAGATAATGGGCACCGGTGGAATTGGTAGAGGGGTCTCCTAGAAGAGCGTATTGCAGCAAGTCTGGAGGCGTTACGGATTCGGTCTTCAGAGCAATAGTCCTCGGTTGGGGAAATCGTCCATGTTCTGATTTCCGCCGACTCGTGCGTTCAGCTGCTTGTCTGCGTATTACTGATCGATCGAGCACTACCTTCCGGATGTAGGAGGGCAAACACTGTGCGGGTTCATCTTTTGTTGAGCTTTCAACAACGCGGACGAACTTGCTATCGGCAGCATCGAGGTCAACAACCTGTGAGAGCACATATGGTTCGGAATATTTTGGGGAATACCATCTTTTCGCGGGCCCAGCTAATCGTAAAGGCTTCAGCCGACAGAACAAACATATGTCTCTCTGACCGCGCATTATGTGCTAGTTAGCATGATCACTCGGTCTATCCAAACTGCCGGTAGAGCTGCAGCTGGAGCTGTCAAATGATATTTTAGGTTTGCTTAGGTAATCAGCTTAGCGTCACTTTTACATATCGGAGCAGGATCCCCAGCTTTTTTAACCCTCGATTTAGACCCATACCATACAACAACTCCACAACACCACACAATATGCCTCCTGCAAAGAAACGCAAGACGAGAGCGACTGTTGAGCCAGTAGATACATTGGAAGCTACAGACCCTCCTAAAACAGCACCAGTCCAAGAGGAAGCGCCCGCACAGGAAGAGTCTTCCGCCCCTCCAGCCCCCGACGAAGCAGCAACCAGAGCCAAAGAACGCGCGGAGCGATTCCGAGCCCTCCAAGAACGCGCAAAAACAGGGGCAAAAAAAAAATCTCAAAGAAGCAACCCTTGAATCACAGCGTCTAGCCACCGACCCGAACCTCCTCACGTCCCTAAACCGCAAATCCGCCATCGCGCAACATAATCTCATGAAAGCAGATGCCGAGGCATCAGGCGAGGATTTCGAGCGGAAGAGAGCATGGGACTGGACGATCGATGAAAGTGAGCGCTGGGATAAGAGGATTAAGAAGAAAGGGGCGCATAGAGATGATCAGGCATTCCAGGACTACAGACAGGATAGTAGGAAGGTGTATAAGCGGCAGATTCGCGACTTGAAGCCGGATATGGAGCATTATGAAAAGGAGAAGATGGCGGCCGTGGAGAAGGCTGCTGCTTCTGGCGGACTAGAGATCGTAGAAACGGACGATGGGGAACTGGTTGCTGTGGATAAGGATGGGACGTTTTATTCTACCGCTGATTCGACTGGCTTTGTGGACAATAGACCACCAAAAGATGCAGTTGATAGACTGGTGAAGGATCTACAGCAGGCTGAGGATGCGAGGTTGAAGAAGAGGAGGGAGAGGATGGGTGCTGCGGAGGATGGGGATGTTACGTATATCAACGAGAAGAACAAGCAGTTCAACTCGAAATTGAACAGGTTCTACAATAAGGTATGTATACTCGGATCTAGCATCAGGGCCTTGAAGCTAACAAACTACAGTACACGGCAGAAATTCGGGATAGTTTTGAAAGAGGAACTATGATCTGAACGTGCTAAGGGCTGCTTTGGAATGGGTGTATGATTATGAAATTCGAAGTTAGATTGCGAAAACTTTCAAGAAAAGCCGAAGAGATCACTCTCTCATTTGCTCAAAACATGATTCGCCCAAGTCTCCACCTCTAACATGACAGCCTCGAAGAATACTCATGTGGGAGCCTCTAAGATCTCCCGTCCAGATGAGTGGCACTTTTCGATTATTTTGTCTAAGCTGTGAGGTATCGTAACATAATATACAATATACTACAAGCGTTACTCCATCCGCCACATCACAACATTCCATTTCTCCATGCCTTCTGTGCCAGACTTTCAATCTCTGCCGTCTCAACAGGACCCTTAATCCCCTCCTCACTCAATGCTTCCACCACAGCATCAGCAACAACATCAGCCTTCAACGGCTTAATTCCCGCCGCACCCATGAAACCCCCAAATATCCCTCCCGTCGCTTTATTGAATAGTGCCCCTCCCGCCGTCATAGCAGCCATAGGAACAGTAAACGCCCTCGAGCTATCATACAAGAACCCCGGCCTCACAAAAATACTCCTCATCCTCGGAAACTCCGACGCAATCGTAGACTCCGCCTCCCTCTTCGTCTTAATATACCTAGCAGGCAAAACCGGTGCTCCGCCAGCAGCGCTTATGAATGCAAACGCCCCAACATTCTCCCTATTACTCTCCTGCGCTAGCGTAATCGCCGTATCCCGGTTCATGATCTCATACGTTAATTGGCCATCTTTCTCCTGTGGCTTCAAATCCTCGTCTTGCTTCCGCTTCAATGGGTTCTGGGAACCATGCTTGGTTGCTGAGAATGCACGCGAGAGGCCGGAGATGGGAGATTCGCGCCCGCTGATAACACCTTTGTAGTCTGCTTCGAGCAGGATGCCCATGCTGTGGACGACGAAATCGGCGTTCTTAAGCAGAGGGGAGTAGGTTCGCGGGGAGAGGATGTCGGCGCGTTCCCATGTTACTTTGTGGGCCCAGGAGGGTGGTGAGGGTGAGGATGTTACAGAGGACCAGGTTGGTGCACCAGAACGACTGTTTTTTATGAGTAAATATTCTTTAATTGCAAGGACAGCTGGAGGGGTATAATGGGAGGAAAGTACCTAATGGAAGTCACATCCCAACCCCTTGCTACAGCAGCTTTACATATTCTGCTCCCAAGGAACCCATTTCCACCGCAGACGACTATCTTCTTCACTGTTGCCATGTTGAGTTGAAATGTGGAAGCATCTGAGAAATGTTTGTATCTGGTGGATGATGAGTTGAAGTTGAAGCAGATGAGGTCACTATACGCTAAAACTGAAATGGGCTGTTTCTGAGCATTGTTGACATAGGATGATGAACTAGTAATGCCTTTAATCGGGTATATATATAAAACCCTGAAATTGTCAAATACTTACCTATAAAGCAACAAGAAGTCGCTATTGTCTTGTACTTAGCTTATAATGGTATATCCTACTACGGGGGTATATATAATAAAGTCGGCATTTAAAACTGCCGATGATGACAGGGGATAAAGCGGCCGCAAACCTTATTTTCCCCCTCCATGAAGTGAAGCTTCATGCAATTCTTCTTCCAAGTGAACAAACCCACCACCCAACACAGAACATGGCACCACCAAACAACCAAAAACGCATGAAAGGCATCCAAGTCTTCCGCCCATTCGTCTTCGGCAGCACCGCCAAACTCTTCGACCCGATAACAAACCCCAAACCCCCAGGAACGCCCGAAGACCACACACACAGCTGGACAGTATTCGTGAAAGGTGTAGATGATACAGACATCACGTACTGGTGCCGTAAAGTGCAGTTCAAGCTGCACGAATCGATTCCCAATCCTTTGCGCAGTAAGCTAGATTTCCTTGCCACCTCTTTATTAGCAGCGCTAAGTTGGGAATGAATACAGCTATCGAAAACATTAACCCTGGCACACCATTCCAAGTCCACGAAACAGGATGGGGAGAATTCGAGATTAATATTAAGCTGTATTATACTCCAGAATCCCTTGAGAAACCGCAGACCTTCTACCACCACCTACGTCTGCATCCCTACGGCCTCACAGAAGCGGAGAAAGACGCTATGAAGCTCCTCCCTGCTATCGTTTCGCACTGCTATGAAGAACAGCTTTTCAACGAACCATACGAGCAATTCTATAATATGTTGACAAGTCCGGTAGAGAGAGGAAAAGGCAAAGGAACGAAGATGATGAAGGGAGGCATGGTTGGTAGTAGCGGGGAGAGAACCGCTTTGATACCGCTGACTAGTAGGCCAGATCAGCCGTTTAGTCGGGAGACTGAGAAGTTGGAGATCAAGCGGTTGATGGAGGCGAAGGCGAAGATCCAGGTTATGAATGCGAGTGCGCAAGAGGAGTTGAAGGCTAAGGAGGATGAGTTAAAAAGGTTGAAGGCAGAGTTGAAAGGGATAGTTGCTTGATGGGGATGTTACAATTAGGACAAAGGCGTTGAGGTATACCCAGGACAATACAATTAGCCCAAAAGGAAAATTCATATCAGCATCAGTTTCAGACGCAAACCTTCGGCAAGATGTTGAACGAATCCGCCACACTACGAAATGCTCCTTGCAGCATGGAATAATAATCAAAGCTAAGTTGCTAGCTGCGGAGGAGAGAAGCCCAAGTTGTAAATTAGGGAAACAAGCATGCCACTCAGGAAAATCCGCACGGGCAAATGAGCAAATAAGTGAAAGCCAAACAATCAAGTCTGCAGCATGTGCTTTTAGGATAGTATTTATGAACACCCCCTAGCTAATCCGTTCACCATATCCCTAGAGTGACAAAATGGCGATATTGCCATCTTGGATATGATATTCCATGCTCTGTTTTAGTGCTAGTTGGGTCGCATTTATACCTTTTTACAAAGACGTGGGTCAAGAAACTCTCATCATAACTATCGGTCTCATCATTAATATCGATCGAGAAATCTGTCTCTGCTCTGGTGGAAAAAGATTCCGAATATCTGTTTATGAAACCTCTTTTCCGCATATGGTGGAGTGTGGAATAGCTAGGCTCCAAAGTAGATCTGTGCCAGGTGTATATATATAGTATTCACAGAGGAAAATGAAAATGCGCGTATTCGAACATCATTGCGGAAACTGACGCTCGTCCCCGGTGGTGATGGGATGGGGCAGGCCGGGTATGGGGTAGTAATGAGCTCAGCTTTGTGAGCTGAGTTCAAGTGTTTGATATCCTGCGGCGCGGCTTCCATCTATTTCCTTCCGAACGTATTCACTCTATTGCTGTCAAGAGCAAAGTTGCTATCAATACTTTTTCCTTCCACTTGGCCACATTCTGAATTTAGAATGAGAATTCTTTTTGAAGGCGCGTCCCTGCTGCTCCGGCGCTCTGACTCCGAAATCTAGAATCTCGACATGCAGGACGCAAACAAAGACGCGACAGATGACTTCCCACTCGGCTTCGTCGGCTCCGTCTAAGTCGAGACACTACAAGGTAGATAGATGATGGTTGTAAGAGGCTGGTATCTATTGAGGTATAGTAACAGTTATACATATGCTAGTGGCTCGACAGCTCGAAAGAGAATACTGGAAAGAGGCGCGAGATACTATATATGATTCAAAAATTTGAATTTATGTGTACATGAGTACACTATTCTATACTCCAACACCTCTAGCTCTATTCGCTATGCGCATCTCATCTCTGCACAAAAGGCATGGCTCGTCTATATCACCATCCATCCACCAGATCCCAACTTCTTACACGGGTCTCGAATCTCCATTAGAGTATGATCCACCCTCCTTTTTTCCTTAACCCGACCTCTTTTCCAGCCAGCCATCCCAACCCAACCCATATCCATTCTTTCTTTCTTTCTTACAGCCCACCAACCAAGCCCAGCCAGGCCTCGCCAGACCAGCTAGCTTGATATCCCAGCAAGGAGTGCGGGATACAATTTGAATAAAAAGAACACGCTAAATCGCTGCAAAAATTACAAACAGTCTATGAGGGGTGTGTCCCAGATAGCCATGCATCCCAAACCCATACAGGCAACAAAAGAAACTTCCAAATGAGTGTTTTACAGGTCCTTGGCCTGATAAGCTGGCGGCGGCGTGTCTTCACGCCCATCGGTAGAAGAACCAGACCAGAAGCCCTCTCTCGAAGCCTTCTCATCATGCGCGCGTCTTGCGATTTCGCCTGCCATTTTCAGGACCCAAGCTTGTTCGACTATGCCTCCTGATCCTGATAATGGTTCGGAGGATAGGATGGGGGCGGGAATAAGGTGAATGGCTGGGGCCTTTTCAGGTGGTGATTGAGCTTTCTTAAGAGATGGCCGACGGGCGCGGGAGTAGATGATGGGTTCGTCTTTCTCCATGGTAGGGGTGGAGGTGGAGTCGAGGATGACTTGCTCCGGGACGGCTTTTGAGGATAGAGCTGAGCGAGAAGGAGTGGAGAGACGGTATTTATTCGGTGAGTCGCCGAGGTCGATGCTGCTGGTGCGGAAGCGGACTCTGCCTGAGGGCGAACGGGGTGGGGTAATGATGTTGTCTTCTGGTTCCTCAGGGACCCGGGTTGAGATTATAGGTTCTGAGCCTGCTACCGAGGCGTCTTCGCTGCCACTCTCACTTGTAATGTCATCGGTGGTCTTGGATCTCCTGAGATTGACGACACGGTTCTTCTTTTTGCGCATATGGGATCGTGAATGGCGCCCTGCTCCTAAGCTAAGTCCTGTGGTTGCTGATTGCAGGCTCACGAGGGACGCCCGTGATGGCATATGGCCATGCCCATCGTCAGAACCCCTACTGAAAGTATATGTCGTGCTTGAGTTGGCAGGGGACGACATTGACCTTAGTAGGCTCGGGGTAGCTGGAGTCGAGGTTCCCGCTGTCTCGTTCCTCTCAGATGGACTCGCCCAGGCTCGAAAAACCGCATCTCGAATCGAGGGCGTGAATAACGAAAGCGTCCGGTGTGAATCAGTCAAAGCTGCTAATCGAACCAAGTTCTTTTGCGAAAATAACGAGTGGATCTCCGAACCGCCGCCGTCCAAAGATAATGTCGATATCTCATTCGCATTCAAAACGTTCCCTCTCGCGTCGACTGCATCTTGTGGAGGACTGGCAAGTGGATCCACTGCCACTTCCTCCTTTTCTAACCTCTCCGCTTGAGCCAGTTCAGCGTCCTCCTTTGCTCTATACTCCGGGCACCATAATCTTAATGACAATCTATGTATAATAGCGGGTAATTCGTCCATCATCAGCGTTCGAAGTTGCTTCTCGATTTCGTTTTGTAGATAATCACGAACGAAAGGTATCGAGTCGAAAGTCGAAGAGACTTTGAGTGATTCAAGAGGATCATTCCGAAAGACTAGAGTTAATCCCTTTTGTCTCGAGAAGACCAATATGATAAATGCGGACATTTTGATCTCCGATAACGTAATTTGTAGCGGTATTGTCAAACCGGAGGACGCTGCTAGCGGCTGGGGGGACGTAAAAGACGGTTTCGAAAACAAATAAGTGTTCAAGGGGTTGGCCTGCAATGTTGATATATTAGCTTTCTGTTATACACGTCCAGGGATAGTGTGGGGAAGTATTCGAACGCGCATCCTTGTGGAAAAAAGCTTTTGCTATGCAAGCGCATCTGGAAAAGGGGTATGCAGCTCTGCTGAATGAAGCTGAAGATGATTGTGCGACGTACTTGTACTCGAGTCTTAAGAGTCAGGAATGCGTCTCCGGAATAACACATCTTGAAGATGCCCCGGAACCTATCCTCAGCCAAATCTCCTATCTCCAGTATCTCCAGCTCGGGAGGAACGCTCCCTAGATTCAGCTCATTGACTAGAATGTCGTCGACAATAATCGGAGGCTTGGGCGATTTATTGAGAGCAGTCGTGAGCATCTGCTGGGCCATCTTGTAGAACTCGGCATCTGCCGTCAAAGGCGACCAGTTGAAATTGAAAGCCATATTGAGATGGCATTAGATATTGCGAGAAGCCGGTGTCTTCGCGGTGTCTTTGTATGGGGTTTCAAATATGGTGGGGATGGTAAAGGTGATGGTGGTGTGAGATGTCGCGTGAGGTAACCTTGGCTTGTGATAAGGATTCTTGTTGCGAATGACTGGCGGGTAATAGGACAGGAGTGCAACTCTCGCGTGTGGCACAGATCAGAGAACCTGGGCCAATCCAATGAAGAGGCAGGTTGCAGAGCGAGTCTCTGGGATTTTGTTCGTGGTGTTGTAGAGTTGTGAATGTGATGTGTGAAGGTCGAGAATGACGGAAGAATTCGATTTCTTAGGATTTGTTAGGAGACGGACTTTTGCGGAGGAAGGGATGGAGAAGCTTTTCCCGATGTGGGTGTTGACATGGTTCGGTTCGGGTAATGCAAATGTGCACAATGTTATCCCGAATTATTCACGTCTACTCCTTACCTAGGTAGATTCTCCGGCTAGCTATGGCAACCATACGATGAACTCTTCCTTGTCCCTTCGCTTTCCCCTTTTCATCGTCTGCAATTAATACATATGCAGAATTAGACAACCAATCATCACTTCAACAGACCCACGCAAAGAGAGCTCACTTTTAAACCTCAACCTGTTTTATAGTTTCATTAACACGGAACCCTTATTTGGTTAACATCCTCTACGTAAAATAGTAAAATAGCCCTTGTGACTGGCCCATTCCTACTTGCCACTTGGTACTATACCGTACTGTCTTACAACCGACTTTCAAAAGATAAATGGCCATTGGATAATTGCATTGCATTGCAGCTGTTTGTTGATGTCGTGGTGCACTCAAAGTTCAACTCGTAATTATTTTCGCAATAGTCACAATATGATCCGCACCGACGGTTGTTATTGTTATTAGCTGTGAGGCTCAAATCCTCTTCCGCTCAACGCCACTCCCGTTACTTTCTTTTATTTAGCCTTGTACAAATAAATACCTAGGTACATACCATCTTGAGGATAGATACATTATTTTCTGACAACCCACCCCGCAACGTTCCACGAAACCTACAGCCATGGCACAGGTTCCGCCTCCGATTCTCCCACACAGCACAGAACTTACATACCTAGCGGAAGGTGCTGCCAACATTGTGTATCGCATCAGTATTCAGCCTCTTACCCCTGAGTCTAGTTTACTCGAGCAATACGGACCGGGAACGCCACCACCCACCGATATTGAACCTGGGGATGAGGATGAGGATGAGGTAGAGTACTTGAATGTATTTGATTGTAAGTCCGCGTCACGTTACACCCAGCGTACACTTCACATGCAGCCTTACAGTTGTGCAGATGTACCCCTCACCCCGCCCACAGCGATCACTACCTACATGTCTTGAAATCTGCTCACAGTATTTACAGCCAAACTTCTCCGTCTTCGCAAAAACCTCTCAACTACCTTCCCAGTTGCCATTGCCCAAGCAAAGTGGGAGCATCTCGTAGCCCCTTTATTCTCTCCTGACCAGATCGTCGAGCAATCTCTCGTGGATCTCCGGCCAGGAAAATTTATCACTCGTCTGAACCAAAAGCTTCGGGATACTGAATCTGGAGCGGATAGTTCCTCTCGTCCAACCAATCGTTTGGGTATCTACCTCGCTGACGATGACTATGGTCTTCTCGTCACGGACATGACGAACTTCGATAGTAAGCTTTCTGTGCTCACTCAATTCATAAAAGCTGATAAAGAAATATAGGCGTTGGCGGCGAAGAAGTTCATGAGTTCAAACCAAAGTGGCTGCTTCAATCCCCCTCAGCCCCTAAAGATGCCGTCCGCTGCCGTCAATGCGCTCGCAGTGCACAGCAGAACGTGGAGCGTAAAGTTAACGGCAAGCTCTGTAAACAGTACCTGTGTCCCCTCGACGCCGTATCAGATGACCCTCGAGGCATCGCACTGGCCGCTTCGCTCATGGGGACCTCGGAGGGTAATCGTCGACGTATCAAGCGCTGGCTCGAGCAGAGTACACTTCTGAAACGGCTGCTTCATCTGCAAGCTGAATTGTAAGTTTTTCCTTTCCAGCTACACACCACCATCGCTATTTATCTCCCCCACTAACCGCCCCCAAGAGATCCCATTGGAGTCCTTACCCACGACCCCGCAGACGAGAAGTCCTGCGTCGCCATGACCCTCCGCGACTGCACCCTCTTCCTCCGGCTCCCACCAAACGAGGCTGCCGATGCCCTCATCGAAGCCCGACTCGGCGATCTCGATGTCAAGAGCCCAGACAAAGCGCCGTATTGGAAGCAGACTGAACTGGAGCTGATTAATGGCGGATTTTACCAGGGAAGAGATGGACTACCGCTTGATTGTGCGCTGAGTCCGGATCAGGATGGTAGGTTTCGGCGATTCAACATTTAGATCTAGATTGGGGATGGATTGATAGATGAATGGATGTACGGATAGGCGCGTTGGGGGATGGCTTGGGGAGCTGAGGAAGTAACTAGGCGCGGGATTAGATAGTGCGGTCCCTTGATGGAGTCCAGGGATCTTCTACTTTGGTCGAGCATTAGAGGCAAAGTCATGCACCAGTGCTGTTTGTCTCGCCAGACAGACGATGTGCATATAGGACGCCGTGAGTTATCCTCGGCTTCGATTTCAACAACCTGTATTTTATACCTGTTCTAATATAGGGACATTATTATACCGTTATACCTGTCCTAACATCCGAACATTATTACAAGCAAATACATAATAATTACAAACTCGAATGTAATCGGTGCCTAGCTTCCCCCTACTTTCTTCACCCTCAACGAGAAAAGCTCAAGGGGGGATGGACTATTTCATCACCCGTTTCTAATACTCCGTTACTACACTACCACTTCAACAATTTTCACTTAACCTCACCCATTCACCCATTCACCAGCAAGTAACCCAACCCTTCCTCTCTACTCCCCTAAATAACAAACCACATCCCCCCTCCCAGCGCCTCCACTTCAAAACCAGAAGCAGAACTACGACAGCGCTAGCGTTGGTAGACATCCACGTACTGCTGCTGCCGTCTCTGAACCTCAACCTCCTCTTGCATATAAATACCAGCCAGCCAGCTCACTATGTCTAGCATATATATAGCATATCATCCACCTCAAGCCCGCCATACAACAACATGGTATCTCATCGCAAATTCCGTAAACGGTAAGACTCGCTTGCTGTCAGTCATTCAGTCCTTCATTCATCACAATCCCTCGCTGCAATTCTCCCACTCACTCGCGAGCTAACCCTTCTTTCTTCCTTTCACTTGCTAAAGCGCCGCTCTGATCTTTGCCGAAACATACGTATGCTAGCACGGATGCGAAGGGTTGCTTGGCAGCAGGAGCTCCGGATCCACGATAGGTCGAGCGATCTAATATTTTCTACTGATTGTGTGCTTCGGTTGAATTTATCATGAAAGCGTTTTATAGCGCATCGGAGGCTCTGCCATTCGGTGACTGTTTTGGGGAGGGGGGTTTTGCTATTTGGCTTCGGTGTTGTGGTGTGTTGCAATTGCATTCAGCGGTTTGCTGGTGGGGCTTCGGATGAGGCGTGGGAGAGCGAATGGGTTCACAGGTTTGAGGGGAAGAGTTGTATGCGGGTATTGATTGATAGAACTTGTTGCTTTCGTTATTACTTTACTAACAAGGCTATCTTGCAGATTGGATCACTGGCGGGAAGATCATAGGATGATAGCGGAGTTGTGAATATTCCGGTGGAGTAAATCTTTGTACTTATTTTGAGTCTTATGACTATTTATTAAACGTCTAGTAGTTTCAATTTTTGTGGGGTGGGAAGTAGTATTTTCTGTCAATGCAGAGGTTTTTGACATTTGTCAAGAAAAAACTGTTCGTTCGTTCGTTTATGAATTCGTCTTCGTCTTCATTCGTTGAGAAAGAGCGTGCCATGGAAGGGATGGAGGTAAAGCCGAGTAAAGGTTTCTGTACGAGTATAGCACGTCGCCGTGTGCATTGTGGTAAAATGCGATGCTTGTCGAGGATAGAGAGAAAGGAACTGAATCCAGACAATTGAAAAACAGTATTTTAGGATACTCAAAATTCTCATGGGCTATCCAAGTACGAGGTGAATTCAATAGATCGGACGATAAAGATATCGGAAGACGAAGATATTCAAATGAGCTATTTGCAGTGGTCGTCTTATAATAACATAAAGTGTTTCTTTTATGAGTCTATCCATTTCATATGCAACTCCGCACCTGTTAACATTAGCCAAGTCCTTAATTCACGACTCTAGCATCAGTTTGGGTCAGGAGAGGAGGATAAGGGGAGAATTGAGTTCTCGTTTGATCTATCAGGAAGGCGCTTCTAGATCTGTCGAGAGCCTGTTGCTTTATATCCACGGAGAAGCCAGAAGGTAATGAGTTTCCAGTCATGAGATGCCAACGCCCCTTCTAATGTTATGGTTGCAGCATCCACCGCCCTATAATATACACTCATAGCTTAAGTGATGACTGGAATTCGTAGCGATTCCCAGCCTAGTATAATTAAGCGAGGGGAAAGGGGGAGGGACTAGCGGGATAACAAGGGAAATTCGGATGAATGATTAATGAAATGCTAATAAATTGGTGTTGTTAAGTTATTAGTTATAGATGCCTGAAAAACTGGATGAAGAAGTGTGAAAGAAGACATCCCCAGTCCCCAGCCCAGGCGTTTATAAATGGCATACGGACCACCACCCTCAAAACCAACATCAACACCAGCAACCTAAAAACCAAAGCCATCCTCCTCCTTACCCCCCTCATCCTCACTACTATCATCATCCAACAACACCGACTCATCATCACCATCCATCCAACCATCCTCCTCCTTAACTTCCTCCACCATCTCCTCATCTGCATCATCCACCCGATCATGCCCCCTCTTAACATGCCCCAATCTCCTCTTCGGAGCCACCCCTCCCTTCCAAGTATATTTCCGCTTGACCCGGGACGGACCCTTGCAAGTTATACGTTTGTATCCCAGCTTCACTCCCGATCCCACAGCCAGTCCGGATCCACCGACACCTAGATCGGCCATGTTGAAGAACTGGGCATCATCTGGGGCAGGAGGACCAGGCCTCGCAAGACTAGTGGGATCCATACGCGCTCGCTCGATCTTGCTAATAGGCGGCGTATGGGGATTACAGAAGAACTGCATAAGAACAGCAAGAGGAGCCGGGTATCCGCCATACATCTCTTTTGCTTTCAAACCAGCACCAGCACCTCCATTCTCGTCCCCATTTCCCCCAGGCGCCGCAGCGCATTTCTTCTTGGGTGTTTTGGGAGGTGTGGGGTAATTCATCACGGCGCGGTCGTCGATGTATTGTCCGGGCTTGGGATGACCGTAGCGGGGAACGTTAGCGGCGAGTGGGTTGTCTTCGATGTTCGACATGTCGCTGTCGGATTCATCGGGGTTGGACTTTTGGTTGCGCAGTTTGCGAGAGGCGTCTGCGGCGGATTGGATGCGGTGCATCATCTTGCGGAGGACGGGGGGTTCGGGGGAGATGCCCATATGCTGGGGAGATGTTAGAGAGATGCATTTTGAATAATGAATTTTGTTTTCCTGAATTGTGGATAAGTGAAAGAGATGATAGTGCAACGCGGAGAGAGATGAAAAGGGTTATATTAGAAAAGAAGACGATATTTAAAACTTCTTCTAAAACAGAGCGGAAGAATGAAACATAGTATAGAGAAACTATAAAACTTACCACCCGGCTCTTCTCCTCTTCCTCCATCTCTTCTGCCTTAACACTCCCAGGCAATGGTGCCCGGTAGCTGGGCTTTAGAGCACGTGAATCCTCCCCGTTTTCAGTATTGAAGATGGCAGATTGAGCAATCGATATTGCGCCAGTTCCTCTCTTCCGTGCCGAAGATGAGGAGGCATTAGGTCCAAGACCGACAGTTACATTTGCCGGGCTCGCAAAGGGATTTGGGTTGTCATTCATTGTTTTAGCCATAGCTAAAGTGGTGATATCGAAATTATAATTCATGGGCTGTGGAGAAGAAGCGGTGAGATGTGAATTGTGAGGTGGATGTTTGGCTGAGATAGGCAGATTCAGTTGACAAGGTAGGGTTGGAGAGCTGAATGAATGCGTGGCTTTAAGAGAACCGAATATTTTCGAGGTGATGTAGGTGTTGTGAATTGGAGAGACGAGCTTTTGTCTCACTAATGGTAAGTTCTGAATTTGTTTCGTAATATTTGGTTACATGTCATCTTATAAAACCCGCAAACAGCTGTTGATTGAGAGTAGCGTTTGATATCAAGGCTGTCAGCAGCGTCCGGAGCTGAATGTTGTCTTTATGAAAAAGTGAATAAGAACTGTTTAAATTTGCTCGATGCCAAATTTAGGCTACCGTTTCGTTCAAGTGCTAGAAACTACCGCGTTCTGAAAATAGTATCCCGAATCCCTATGTTCAGTTTCTCCTTGTCGAGAAGCATATGTTCACTGAAACTGAATATGTTTAAGTGCTTGCTTTATCAATGGAGAATGCTAAAAGAATTACATATGTAGGGTGGTTGAAAAGATAAGTGTATCCCAATTGTAAAGCATCAGCTAAAGATTTCCTCCATTTTACACTCCCTTGTGTCTATTCTTCAAAGCCTTCAACCCAAACTAGGCAAAAGAGAAGCAATTCCGAAAAAGAAAAACGGTTAAGATGCCATACAACATTCACAAACATGTATTCCCAGGCCAAATACCAGTGGTAAACCAAGATAATAGAAGAAACTTATATAATGTATGATGTATTACGAAACATAGACTCCATTTGGACTACAAGTATGTATCTCATCAACAGGAGGAAGACATAAGAGTAATATTACCTTCTCTACCCCACCACTATCCCGAAAGCTCAAATTTGCGTAGTAGTCATGTCATAATCACCCGCCTTGAATACGCATAAACCAATCTATCCTTCGCCTGCTAATGCGGTGCCCGTCCTTCCTCCCGCGCCTTACCACCATCCAGATACTGATATTCCCGGTTGCGATTCCGACCACGTCCAGACCTCTCACTCCGCACCATATACTCAAAACCCCCCATCTCAGCACCTGCATCCCTATTTTCCTCATGCCCAGTTGCAGCCACGTCATGACCAAGCTTCAGCTCTGGCACATTTCGAGTTCGTTCACACTTCTTAAGATATGATAGACAGCATAATATATACATCAACTTCATCATAATCGCCGACCCTCAGCCTGACTCTGGCTTTGAACAGCGCTCACGATATCATCTTTCCCATACCGCCGCAACTCCCGACCGAATATCTTGTTTGACGAATATATCAGCAGGAAAACAATTTAAAGAAGCAGTGTCAAATCAAAAGTCTTTTCAACATGCCCCGGCGGCCGGTGGTTTGAAGGTTTTGCGAAAGGAGACTGCTGTACGAACCAAAGTACTGGCTTTCGACATCGCAGGAATCTTGATCATGTCTGGTGCTTCCTTCAAGAGGTTATAGCTAGAGTAGAAGCCGTTTGTCAGATGAACATATTTGGTTAGGTAGCTAGCGGTCCATACCACCCGATATGAATATTTACTTGTCGGGGAAGCAGTACGGTGGAGGGAAACTCGAGGAATATGTGTGTGACCTATTGAACGAGATTCTTGACAAGGGCTCAAAGCCAGCTGGAGCTAACCCCGTGCTAGAATGCTCGTGAGAAGGAAACGGTTCTCTGGAGTTTCAATAGAGTAGTGCCGTCATGACTTTGGAGTTGACAGTTCGGCGGGTAGGTCATAGTTCAAGATTAAGGACAGGTGAACGTGGCCGAATGCATTCAGTCTTCAGCTTAGACGAAAGCATCGCTAGTTCGTAACCAGCACCGCATACGTACAGGTACCTAGAGAGATGCGTCGCGTCTTCGCTAGCCTTAAGTGACCGGAGAGTTGACCGGATGGTAATTTTTACTAGCTCCTTCCAGGAACAGGGATCCGAAAACTAGGTGTGTACCTACACTACGTCCGGAGTATGCTATGCGAACTTTCCAATCAATCAAGGGGGCCTAGACTATTAATCCCTAGTAAAGGCAGTTATCGTGAATGATAACTGCCAAGTACACTTCTTGACCTATTACCGTCTCGCCGCATTATTCTGGACTGCAGCAGGAACCGGAACCGGAACCAGAACCTGAGCATAGAGCTCTCAACAATATGTAGGTAGGTAGGTAGGTATGGTCTAGTATGATTTCCCTCGACAGTGTTGATTATTTGGCGTGATTAATAAATAGCTTGATCAAAAAGTCTCAAGTATAAAAGAAAGAAAATCCAGATTTAGATAGCATCATCTACAAGCAGCACGGAACTTTTATTGATTCTTTATTTTTATTTCTGTTTCATCCAATAGTCCAACGCGTGCAAGATCAATAATCAAGAGATGCAGAACTACCGAGCCATCGCAGCGTCGAAAAAAGCCCAGCAATGGGCCAAGATCCCAAAAGCCTGGCGACTTCCCACAGAAAGACTCCAGGATGCGAATAACGTCATGGACATACCGCTTACATGTGGATTATTGAACGAGACGGAAGCCAGCATTACTTCTGACTACGACGCAACCGCTCTTCTCGGACAGCTGAAAGCTGGGGTATGGTCGGTGGAGGAAGTGACGATAGCTTTTTGTAAACGGGCTGCTATTGCGCAGCAACTGGTTAGTTTTGATGATTATTTAAACACCTGCTGAATGAATGAAAAGATTAACATGTGGTAGACGAATTGTCTAACGGAGACATTCTTCGACGATGCTATTGAACGAGCGAAGAAACTCGACCTGGAATACCACGCAAAGTCCAGCGGGAAAGCCCTCCCGCCACTGTTTGGGCTGCCCATCTCGCTCAAGGATAGCTTTCAGGTTCGTGGATACGATACTTCCACAGGGCTGGGTTGCTATGTGGGCGAGTTAGCAGAGGATAACAGCGCGCTTGCTGCTATGCTGCTTGATTTGGGAGCGGTTCTTTACTGCAAAACCAATCTACCACAGTCGATTATGACGGGCGATAGTGACAATAATGTTTTTGGAAGGACTTTGAACCCTCGCAATAAGCTTCTTACTGCAGGTGGAAGTACAGGAGGCGAAGGTGCCCTCCTTGCGCTTCGAGGCAGCGTTCTCGGTGTCGGGACGGATATTGGTGGCAGCATTCGGGTCCCATCAGTCTGCAATGGAGTCTATGGATTCAGGCCTAGCGTAGGTCTGATTCCTCATGGTGGGGTGCGAGACCTCACCCCGCCAGGGACAGATGGTGTACGTTCGACAGCTGGGCCCCTATCAACCTCACTGCGGGATTGCTCGCTCTTTCTGAAGTCGATACTCCAAGCAGACACTTGGAAGTACGACAGCACTTCGATCTCGGTTCCATGGATAGATCTTGAACCTAGGCACAAGCTTCGGATCGGTGTTGCTCTAAATGACGGCGTCTATACTCCATCACCGCCGGTCAGACGGGGCTTGAAGCAGGCGGTCGATCTTCTCCATGGACATAACGACATTCAACTCATTCCTATCAACCTGCCCGACGTCAAATCGCACTGCCAAGGCCATATCAGCTATATGACACTACTAGGAAGTGATGTACGTCCACCAGATCCCTGGCTTACTACCTTGAGACTGACAGAAAAAGCACTATTACGAGCAATTCGCGCGAACAGATGAGCCAGTGGTCCCATCTCTCAAAGCCATCGGCCTTCTATCAGTACCAGGAAAGACATTGCAGGGATTTTTTGATTTGAACGTCCGCCGAGCCGAAGCCGCAAAAACGTACCTCAAACTATTTCGCGACAACGATTTAGATGCGATTCTAATGCCTCCTGCACCGCATACGGCAGTTCCTTTGGATTGCTGGAAAACAGCGACATATACTGGCTTGTGGAACTATCTCGATTATCCTGCTATTGTGATTCCAGTAAACCAAGTGCGTGACATAGACTCCGCTGATGATTTGAGCAATGCCAAATTCGGTGCGGATGACGAGCAGCTCTACAGTCTTTGTAGGCATCAGTTCTTCCCAAATGAATTAGACCCAAGCTGACACATGCTTCCATAGATACCGGCCCGGAGCAGTACAAGGACGCACCGGTTTGTGTTCAGGTCGTTGGATATAGGCACAAGGATGAGGCCTTGATAAGGGCGGCAGCTGCACTGGACTCGATTATTAATAAAATCTAGAGTAGCAATAATTCCCAAAATGGTTCCTCATACACAGTTGCTCATACGCAATTGCTCTATATCTATGAGCTACTAAAGCATGTTGCATCAATGGAAGCGATTACAGGACATGGTTTATGTATTGAATCAAACCAACGACTAGTAAGATTCAGATCTCGCTCATGCCAAACTCTTGACAAGAATGTCTTGGTTGCCTTTTGCAAGATTGGAGAATAATGATCGACATAATCGTCCACATGCTGAAGCGTCTTGAAGCGTAGGCTCTCATCTCGAACTTCGACCGCTGCGACGATGAATGGTAACGTCACAAATCGTAGCGGTCGCTTCGTGACACTTTTCGCCATTTCAAATTCCATCATAGCTTCCTTGGACCATATTTCGGCTTGAACATCTTCGCAATTAAATGGAAATTGCAACCGGTGGCCCACTAGGAGCGCTGCTAAGCGATACACTTTGGCTTGCGCAAGAAGATTGACGATATCTGCGGAATCAAACTGCCCGACAAGTTGATCCAAGTGAGATGGCTGCCATAACTCCAGAACCGCATGTATGCTATCTAGCTGCTTTTGAAGGAGGGCCAGCATGGCCACATCGGTTGTATTGAGAAGTGAATTGCTGATTACACAGAGATCATGGTAGTAAGGCAAGAGAGGTAAACAGAGACCAAGTCGGCGGTCAATAGCAAAGCCTGGTATCTGAATCGATTGAATCGGTTTTCGCCGATAGACAAGACAGTCCATAGTCTCCAGTAGGACCAGGAAGCTCTGCCACGGATCTTTGTGTGCATCGAACATTGTTGTTCCCACAACTGGGTTTGTGGTGCCGAGACAGTAACGGCAGATGTCTGGAACTCCTACACCGATGGCTGAGTATATCGAAAAAGCCAGTATACTTCCTAGAGTGTGGCATAATACTGTATGCTGTGAATGCAAAACAGGTAGTGACTGTAGCGCGCGCATGGCCTTTGATATATAGCCGACACAGGTACTCGTGTCAATGTCCGTCACAGAGCCAGATTGAAGCTGCCTGAGGGTAATAGCATATGCAAGATAAGCATCCTTGAGTAATGGCAGGGCATCTGGCATCTGGAGCTGGGTAGCGAGCGAATGTTGTTGTTCGACTTGAAAGCTCGAGGATACAACAAATTGATCTAGGCTTTCAGGCTGGCCTAAGAGAAACAGCAACAGCTCCTTTTCTTCTGGTTGGAGGTCGGGAAGGGCGTCCAAACATGCGTCCATACTTGTACTAATTTGCCCCAGCTTCCTGCGTTTGCCCGACGTATTGCCAGGTGACATTCTAGAGACAAAGTCCTTCTCAGCATTTGTCCTTCTACCCATGGGTCGCAGCGGCCGTACTTTCAAACAAGCTAAGCCTAGCCTTTCGCACCGTTCACAGTGGGCGGAGGTCGTTGCACGCTCACATCGTTCTTTGAGCTCGTAACATCTGTCGCATGCAGTTCTCAGTTTTGGGTTTCTGTTCCTGGTGACAGACGCCTCCATTGTGTAGAATATGGAGATCCAGAGATCCAGATGACGCTGGACTTCAAAGTAGATGAAAGAGCGCCGAACTAGAAATTGGATTGGATTGGATTGGCCGATCCCAATCAGAGGGGAGGAACATAAACTTGAAGGTACACTCGGTACACTGACCCTGGTGCTGACTCAGCACCCCTGATTCCAAGCGGCCGCATTATTGGCGGGCGTACAATAAAGCTTGACATGACATGATACCCCTTCGACTCATCCAACAGCTACACGATGAGTTTTATACATCATGGTGTCTGTATCATGGCCTCTTAGTCTCCCTTAATATTTATATCTAGGATTGGATATCCGGACCAGCTTTCTGTCGGGTGCGGCGAGAGATGAATTATGTAGTGAATGATACAGATACTAAACGAACGTGAAAAAGAAATCGTTGACAGCAGTAATATTTTTGACAGGAAAGCACGCTGCACGCGTTTATAAACGCAGAGGGACTGGTTGATCTATATACATGTACTTGAAGAGTTCAAGCAGATGAACAGGGATAGAAGATAGTCGGTCGGTTGGTTGTCTGAGCAGTAAAGTATACCTCTCCACGTCATACTGTGTGTTTTGTGTGTTTTGTGTGTTTATTTATTGTTGTTTGCTGGATAGTGGGATAGTGCGGTTATATACCTAGGGAGCTGTGAAGAGGAGTGGTTGAGTCTGAGAAGTTTTGTTTGGGTGATATGGGGCATGGAGTCTTGTGATGGGGGTAGACGTGCAGGAGAAGAAGATCGTGGAGTGCGTGGGAATGAGTTACTATGAATTGTAGGATTAATGGAGAAGATGTAATAGTATCAATGGATTAAAAAATTGATTCATCTTCCACGTATAATGCTACAACACCTCAACGCCACCGCAAAGCAAAACAAAGCCCGCAAACGCCGACCAGCATATGCATCCCAGCACTTTATCCCACCCCATGTATACCATTCCTCTCAACCTTGAGATCAAACAGCATCTTGTATTCCTAATCCGCGTGCTGCCGTTTCATACGCTTCCGCCTCCCGCCTCCTGGATACCTAATCCTTTTCCTCCTTCTTCCTCCTCCCCTTCCCCTTCTTCTTCTTCTGCACCCCCTCGTCACTCTCACTCTCACTCCCCGCACTAGCTCCAGCAGCAGCGCCCCGTTTCTTCCCCCTGGTCTCCCCACCCGCGCCCTCCTGGCCCTCAGCAACCTTGCCAACAATCTCAGCCAGAAAATCAAACTCCTCGTTCCGCTCCAGCACCACAGCTTTCAAATGCTGCGCCGTGACCCTCTTCCCGCCCTTCTCCTTGGCCTTTTCCGCCGCTCCAGAGACCAGGGCTATCATGAATAACTCGAGGGCTTTGGATACGGCAACCGGTGTGACTTGGGCTACTTTCCCTACTTCTTCGTCGGCTTGCATTATGCGTTTTATGCGCGCGACGGGGAACTTGGTGCGGATTTCGATGCCGGTGGGGTTGGGGTTTTTCCAGGGCGTTGAGGGAGGGGGTTGCTTGTTGCGGCCCGCCATTGTGGGGGTATATTGATCGGAGGGGGAGAATTCGGGTTTGATGTGTGATGAGAGTTGTGGGTGGGATGGATGTGGAGGTGGAGGTGGAGGTTGATGTGTATATGAAGGTGGAGGGGCGCCGTAGAAAGGAAGTATGCCCTGGGTGGGAATTGGGTCGAAGGAAGGTGCAGGCGGCAATGCCGGGATCGGGGGCATGTAATGTGCAGCACCGCCTGTGTCGTAGTCCACAAAGTCGTTGTTGGTGCCACCAAATGTGGGGATCTGATGATGGCTCGAATAAGAGCTCAGGTCGTGCTGTGGCAGCTGTTGTTGCTGCTGGTATTGCGGCGCGCTGCTGAATGAAGGGAGGACAGGCGAGCGTGGCGCGTACGAGGCTGATAGGGAGCTGGGTAGGTATTGCTGCTGCTGTTGTTTATTGGGAGAGGCAAGGAATCCTGAGAGGTCGGGGGACTGCGGCGCATAAGTACCGTCCATGTTTTTTTATATCAGATTGGCGGTGGGCGGACAGGCGGGCGTTATGCGAGGCTAATGCACTCGCTCGTGATGGTCGGTGGAACAATAATATGGATCCGATGGAATTGCCGTATGATTGATTGACTGATAATTGGTGGTGGGGGGGAAAGTATTGGTACAAAACTCCAGTCGTGCTATTCCCAGTCCCCAGAGCCAAGGGAGAGCAGAGGGAGGGCAGAAGGTAGAAAGTATATCTTCAAAGCACTCGTAGCTTCAAATACACACTCACTCACTCTCTCTTTCTCTCTTCACGTAAACAACCCCTCGATGCAGGCGGCGCGACTGGAGTGGGGGCGACGATGATACAATTGGCTGGTCGGGTATACAGATATTCCGGATCCCGATATGGCAGCGCGAGTAACGTGATATGGCTGAGTAATAGATTCCTTGTGCTGTGATTTGTCGAATGATAAGCGGGGTCAAGTCTCACACTTTGACGATTTCATGCAGATTTTTCGGGGCGCGGAGGGACTTATTTGTACCGAATGGCCCCATGCTGGGATTCTGTGCTACGTCACATGCGGTATAGCGCCAAAAGAATATTTCCTTCCCCCTTGGCCGCTTCAGCACTGGTTCTTTTGACGACCTCTCACCCATTGTCAAGCCTGACACATCGTCTGTGAATGGAGACAGAAGCAGGTGGAGTGAGGTATAGACAGCATGTTGTTGTCGTTGCGTTGGTTGATACCTAGGTATGGATTCATCAAGTTGATGTTCATTGCGCGTCATGACAGCCTCGGCCGTTTGCAGAGTCCAGTCAGCGTTGCCGCATCCAAAGGCGCCAGCCGCTCGATAGTCCGAATCTTGCATTTTCAACCACAGCCTTATACTGTGGGTGCCTTGGCTATTATTATTATCATTATCTCTTCTTTTCTGCACCATATCCTCATTAATGTACATTCTATCAGCTTGGTGCAATTTCTTCACCTTTGTCAAATCAGCCCATTTCTTCAACGCGTCAAGACGCGCGCTTTCTCGACATGTCCAGCAACCCCCCCTCAGCCTTTTCTTCTCCTTCTCTATGTACAAAACAAATCCTCTAGATTCTCGATCTTGAATGATGATAAACAAAGAGCTTATCCGAGACCCCTTGTGCATTTGCAGCTGTCCGAGTCCGAAGCCTCCGCTGCAAGGCGAGATGGTTCCTGCTTAGGCAGTGTGGTTGCTGAAGATTTGACTTGATCTAATCTGACAACGTCATACGGGAATTTGGGCTTGTTTTTGCGGGCGGTGCATGTCTTGAAGTTGTTTATGGTTTTGAAAGCTGGTTGAATTCGTGTTTTACGGCGCGTGTTGGATTTACGCGCTCTGGAGTGGAGAGTCAGGCCTTGGTCTGCTAGTCCCATCAATGGATCTAAAGTATAGTGAGTAAATGCACTGTGCAGTGTCATGTATATATGCACACTAGACAACTGGTTTGCAAAGCATAACATTTCAAGTCTAGTGGTGGAACAATTTCATGTGCAACTGACTCTTTGCCTGTCTATGGAATGTAATGCAACCCAGCGCAGTGCAACTCAATCCACCAGCGAACCTCGCGAGTCATACCCCTGTACCCCCGGCCTCTAGGATTTATTCCTGTGGAACAAAACACAACGACAGCAACTTATTCCATGACTGAAAATTTCTCAAGACGAATCCTGCATGATTCACAATCTCCATGACCAGATATTGTCTTCCTTCAGAATACCATTTGCTCTTCATCTTTAAACGGTCCAAAGGTCTAGCCACAAGCTAGATTCCTCAAGCACCCGCGATGGACTCCAGAACGTCGATTTTGTAAGAAATTAGTTTTTTAGGAGAATTATAGTATTATGTTCTTGGAGATCATTTGTTTTCTGTTTTTAAAACGAGATCTCAGTGAATAGGATGGAATCCACTGCCATGTAACTGATTCGATCCCAATTATGAAAAGAGATGGTGAGCTCCGTGGAGGTACCTGAGATCTGTTTCCATTACTGCACTTTTGCACTTGAGGATCTTGGTACAAAAGCAGTTTGTAGTATTCGACATCAGCCACTTTACATTCTCGTATAACTCATGATTGGACCTTCCTCTGCCTTAATCGTCCAAGGAATATGGTTTCAATTAGAGCACTTTTCCCTAGTTGCTTGGTAGGACTTCTGAGAGTGTCTGGTAACCACATCTTGTAAAACTCGCGACCAGTCCTTTTGATTTTAGCCTTGGAACTTCCTTCTGGGGCTAGTAAATGAAGCGAGAACCTCTCTGTCTTTAAGGCTCTGAATGCGGTGGCCCAGTGATGCAATCCCTCACACTTGGGCAGGTCAGTTGCAGTCTCCAAGTCCGTAGAGAGGTGGACAGAGGCGCCAGAAACTGAGATGTTGAGATGCAAATTCGGATATCTAAGGGAGGAGACTGCTGGGCGTGTTTCCAAATCCGAGGTCGATCTGTGAAAAATTGGAAGAAGAGCTCTATATCGCTGAAATGTATGATTGCATTCTTCCATAAGCACTCGCTTAGTCATGCTTAGTCAAGATGTCATATGACTACAAAGTCCCCGACACTTTGTAATCGGCCTATTCACTTGTTATATGGTATGTAGATATGGCTTTCTACTAATATGAATTTAACTCGTAATCAATTTTTACTTACAAGGGACCCTCTAATTGCACTTAGAATCTCTTCGTCAACTGGTCCATAAGTAGGACTGAGCTTTCTGTTGTTGAAGGCATCACCTTAAGCGTTTCCTCTTCCCAATCCTCCATCTCCTTCAAATACTCACCAACTTCATACCTCATAAGGGGTAGCGCATCAGCACCAAGATTGAGCCTTGTTGGCAGCGGCTTGTCCTTCTGGCCTAAGACTACATCGAACAAGACAGCGGCACACTTGTCAGCATCGGCCCAAGTAGCAGCCGTAGAGGGGTCTTTCATAAGTTTGGTGAGACTCGTGAGTGGCGCTTCATCATTGTCGTAGGCTGGATGGCGCGGTAAGATTTTGACGCTAGAGGCGAATCTTGTCTTGACTCCGCCTGGGGAGAGGATCATGAGATTGATGTTCCACTTGGGATTGAGCTCTCTGTTGACGGACTTCGTGAAACCCTCCAAAGCAAATTTGCTACAGAGTCATTTTGTTAGAAACGGTTCTTGCTGCTATAAACAACAAAACTTTGCGGTCACCTTACCTCGCATGGTAGAATGCATTTCCTTGGAATGCTGAATAACCACCAATGGAGGAAACTTGAACAATTGTCCCTCCTTGACCGGAAGCATTGACTTCTCGGAAAACACGAATGCTCTCCTTTGTCAAGTGGACGGGGCCCCAGAACATGGTTTCGAGCTGTTCGCGAGCTTCGTTTTCAGGAAATCCCTCTGCCAACAATTAGTAATTGTATCTCAGTAAAAAGCAGGAGGTAAATAGTGATACATTATACTGGAGCCAAAACACAGCAAAATTGAGAGGTAATAACAAAGGAAGGAGTTGATTACCGAGCTCACCCATAACGCCGTAGCCGGCGTTGTTAATCACGACATCAAGACGGCCAAAACACTTTACCGTGCTGTTGACGGCGGCAGTGATGCTTTCCTGAGATGTAACGTCTAGGCTGAGTTTGAGAACTTTGGGTCCATTGGGGAGGTAGTCGAGGGAATCCACGTTGCGGGCCGTTGCCACGATGGTGTGGCCCGCTGCGTAGACATACCTCGCGATGGATTGGCCCAACCCGGCTGAACAGCCGGTAACTAGCCACACTCCATTGGTGTCAAAGGCAGAAGACATAATGTATCAAGGCGAAGGATGAGTAGAACAAGGTTGAAGAGCCGGTCTGCTATGATGTCTGCAAGTACAGGTAAAAGCCGAAGACATATTCTTCAATTTATACATATTGAAGGCTCGCTTTCCGTAACGAGAACTCGGACTTAGCAAATCAAACTTCTTGCACTCCGAATCCTGCATTATGGTTTTAGATGTGATGATGATGGACGTTAACAATTTTCTGCTTTAATCCCGTCTTCCCTATCATGCTAATCCTAAACAGGCATTTGCACTAAAGTCTAACTACAGCGTAATGGGCTTAGGCTCCGGCTGAATAAGCCACAACCCTAAAAGGTTCGCTTGCAGCCCCTGAAGCCCATGCCCTCGCTCACCCTATAACGCTCAAGACGACCATCAAGCTTTTTCGCCGACATGTGGCTTCCTCAACATATCATCAAAATATCTATCACCAAACTTCATTACATCTGTATTCGCGTCCATGGCAGAACCCACAACAAACAATCCCTTCATCATCATATCTGGCCATGACCCGAAGGCGGGCAAAAGAGAACGTATCAGCAGAGTGAGGGCCTATATCACGAAACGCTATTTCCATAAAATGCACAAGGGTGTGGAAGCAAAGCCCCGTCGTCACCATACATCGCTCAACCAGATAGGCCAGTGTGAGGATATCGGTGAAATTGCAATAATCAAAGAGCTGCGTAATTCCATGCCTGCTACCAGTCATCCGCTGCTAGACCCCGCTTGTTTCACGGCAGAAACTACTCGGCGGATGCACAAGTGTGAGCCACCACTTTTTCTTATCGAGCAGTCAACTCCTTCTCAATAGGGCAATTGTGTAATATTATTCTTATTGTTTCTAGTGCAAGAGATGGGTGTTTGTGTCTCGAGCCTTTTCACGTTGTCCGATATCTCCAGTGAGACCCCCACCCCCGAAATCCAGAGGCCGTTAGTACTTTGTTTGGAAGCTTCGAGCTCACCTTAAGACCACTCACGTGAAAAATTGTGATACTCCTAATGGGGTCAGATCATATGGATGATGAACATCTTGAACGCATGGAGTGGAAGCTTGATGAAAGAGATACATCTACCTATATATACACTACTTTTCAATGGCGGCTGACACCCTCTCCCAGTCTTCGATGTTCACCTTCGTGGAAGTGTCGATGACCTCCCATTTCTGGACAATATAGTCCGCTGGTCTATCTCTAATCCGTACTTTATGAGTGCAAAGCTTTTGAACGCGTCGGGCTGGGATGATATCCTTGAACGGGGCGAGCTAAGCCCTTGGACGACTCGACAACGATTTATCACTCTGAAATTGCTCAACGATACATTTACCAATGATGTCGGGACACAGAATAATCATATCACTATTGCTGCTCTTCAATCCCTTCTGGCGTTTGAGGTGTGTATACCTTTTTATTCCTAATATATGTTTTCCGAATAAGGTTCTAATAACAATCCTGTTGCCCAGCTCCTAATGAACAACGATGGAAACATTAGTCGCCTTCAGCACTTTTACCGGGGCTTCATGAGCCACTTAGGCCAACCATATGATGATGATTGGACTTTGGTCATCCGATCAAATCATCTACTCTCGTGCGTCGACTGTCTCCGCCGGGCCGGTAATAACGGTCATCTCGCACATGCATCCACGGCAGATCCGCATCTTTACAAGCAGGACGCCCGTATGCATTCGTATTTCAAATATCAATTCGCCCTTCCCCTTCAATCTTCGCTGTTCACATTCGGCCAACCTTGCCATGCCGGAGATCATCATCTCATTTATACCTTGCTCGGCGATCTATATGACACCCTATCTATTGCTACCCTCTGTCAATCGTCATCTATAAGCCGCTCAATTTACGACCGTCTTATCTCTAGACAAGAAGAATTGCTCCCTCATATCTCATGTCAAGACTACACCAAGAAAAGCCACCCGATCTCCAACTATCGTACTACCATACTTGACATCATCGCACCTTTACGTTTCAGCATTTTCATTCTTATATCATGCCTACTGTTCGGAAACGATCTATACCAGACGCAGAGTCCCGTCAAATTGGCTTCCCAACTCCGCATTCTGCTTAGCTCACCCAACCATACCAGCTGGGAACCATTCCAGGGCGCGCTTGTATGGTGCCTAGCAATTGGATTGAGATTTGCAGATGCACGGCTTGATCGGACGTGGTTCATGATGCAATTCTTGCGAGTAGCGCACCGGTGCGTGTTAAACGCCTGGGACGAAACGTCGAAAAGTCTGGAGGTCATTGTTTACGGTCTGGAGCAGATTGGAAGATTGAGTTTGCAGAGCTCGAATGATGTGTCGGTGTTTTAGCACAAAGAGTTGAGCGTCCTATGAGAAGATTTTCAGCCAAGCATCTACTTCCGGATTCGCTCCTGTGATTTTATAGTTCCAATACAATATTTTCTCACTAAGTCGCACGAGAGCCGTGATAAGATGGCTGCGATTTCGTGAAAATGAGAAGTCGCTTCGAGAACAATTTTTACGGCAAGGACCAGCTCATACTCTGCCAGAAATATTCGATCAGCGCTTGAGCAAAGGTCTGCATTAGGATTTTTGGCTCGCTGTCGCAGTCCTAATAAATAGTAGATGCCCAGAAATTGATCAGGAACACCCTAGCTGGATGATCATGTGCCCCTCCTGCACAATCACAAAATCTTTATCCACATAGCCTTTAGGATAGCACCTCGAAATTCAATACCTTTCACATGATTTTAGAAAGCAATAGAGTCATTCAGCGGTTAATAGGAAGAAAGGTCGTGTCTATTTGTAATTGGTTCGGGGTCATGAAAGCACGTGATCACGTTGGCATAAAGTGGTCCGCGTTCAGGTTGAGGTTGCTTATTAGTCTAGACTTCCAAGGCATCAAGTGCGAATCAGCCTAGATATATACCGTTTCAACCTCACGCTTGCCCTAAAGTTGTCGATCGAATCCTGCAGCATGGCTGAGCCGCTTACTGAGGGATTTGTGATCTGTGCCGCAGGGCTGTGTGAGTCCGCGCTGCGATCATCCCAGGGGACCGGGCCGGGGCACTGCTGCCTACACCAACATATAAACTCCATCCGTTGTTTCTTCTGTAATCTTTCGTATCATCTTGTTCTTTTCATGATTCCGTGAATCTTGGAATAAATCATTCTGTATCTCAAAATTGCCTCTATTTAAAGCGATTCAAAATGGCGGAAAGCACTCCATTCCTTGCCCATAGCGATGATGGCGACGACTATGACAACGAGAGCCATCCCATCAAGACCCAACCAGCAAACGCTCACTTCAAACGCCCTATCAGCCTTCTGACAATTTTGAATTCTTTCCTTTCTATCGGAGTCTTCGGACTTCTCATCGCTACTGTTATACTCGCAAGCACCGGGCCATTCAACAATGTATACAGTGTAAAGGAGGCTCTCCGAGACCTCACCATAGTCGTAAGTACCGTATCATATAGTTTTTTCTCCGCTCATACTAACTAACTTATCTTCCAGTTAGGAGTAAACTTCATCCTCACTACTCCAACCATCTTCTTCCAACTCCCAATCATCCTCAACATCGCTGTCCACATCGCAATGTCTGTCGTCTGTTTCGTCTTCTCGGCACAGCTATTTGGTAGAGGTTGGCCTGACTCCTACGTCTGCCGAGAGTATCATCAAACTCCCAACGGACGATGGGAACCGAAGCCGCCAACATGGGAATGTAAGCAGGCGAGACAGAAGATTCAGATTATGGCTGCAGTTGGTGCTGGGCTCGGTATCTTTATCGGGTGAGTTTCTAAATATTGTCCTAACATTAATTGAGTATTGATAGAGTGGTTGTAGACTTCTGATCTTGACGACTCTTCTGCTCCGACTAGTTGCCGTCGTCAGAAGTCAGTTCTGGCACGGCAAGGCTTTTGCTAGTATCAAGGGATACAAGGGATTGGGATGGAATCCTACAGGCTTTACGGTACAGTTCACTTTGAGTGTCTTGCCAGCCAAAGAGGGGACAAATGCTGCGTGTACTGGGAACACGGTTCACGGTTCAGCTGGCGAGTCTGCTTCCGGTGCTGAGGGGGAACGATTGATTGAAACTTAAATCCGGCTAAGATGGGCTTCGAGTAGGAATGTGGTGTATGCGGCGCAGGTATGCGTAGAAGTATAGAATGACTACCTCTGAGTCAGGCCATGGTTATCGTCATGTTACGGGCGCCAGGGCCCGGCATGAGCGGACGAGGAATTAAATTGAACCGAATGTGGTCCACTCTTTAAGTCTGATCTCAAAGTAGCGAACAAATTATTACAATCCTTGTGTCATTGGACCTTTTGGTCCCCTTCTTGAGTTTGAAAAACATATTTTACCCCTCAAATCAGCAAAGCTTAGAAGTACCTCGGCGAAGTATAAATAGTCTATGATTGACAACTAAAATGTCCATCAAACTTACAAAAATGGAAGCCTTTGGATACATCAGCTTGAGCTTAAGGATTGCAATGCAGGGTTGTCAATCGACTTGACACGGCTTTATACTTTCACTTCACCTACAGTTGTAAGGAGTTACACAACCCATAAATCTTCAAAGAACAATTTGATGTCAGTCCCACCTGAGTCCTTGTGCAGGAACGGACCAATAACTCGATCCCCTTCTTCTATTCCCTGCAACTTTCCGCAATCGCCTTAATCAAGCCTACTGTGACTTGTTTACCCTTCTCAAGCTCCTTCTCCCCCTTCAAATGTGGCACATGCAAAAATAGCGCCTTCATCTCCCCATCCTCCCTCTTCCAAAAGTGTTCCAAGCTCATATAATAAATAAACCCACAAACAAAATTCCCAACATCATCACTTCCCCTAACATCAGCCTTTCCGCCCCCTTTCTTCCACCGACCCACCACATCATCAAAATTAAGAGCCGTTTCAAGTCTCTCGGGACTTTCCCCCCATGTCTTCTTACTTTCTGCTTTAGTGAACACTTTGCGGGCTATGTCGGGGTACTACTGATATCCATCTCTCAGTGCGCTTTTCTCGATCGCGAAATAGTCTCGGTCAACCGCGAGACCAATGTGTAGTACAATGTCGGGGTTGTGTTGTTCGAGGAGTTGTGGGATGGTGGAGAGGATGGAATGGTATGCTGTGTTGAGGGGCTCTGGGTGGGAGATAAGGCGGATGGTGAGGCCTTTGTGAGAGATTTCTGGGGGAAGGAGAGATGTAATCTCGAACGAGGGATTAATTTTGATATCTTGGAACTCCTGCGGGGTATGTTAGTTAGTTTGGGAGGAGATAAATAGGGAGTTGGGAAGTACGCCGAAGCCGGTTACTAGAACTGTAACATCGTAGTCCTCTTGAGCCATTCTGTAGAAATACTAAGCGTGACTGTTTTTGTTAAGAGTTTGGATGTGTTGGATTTAATTTATCTAGCATATATTATCAATTTTTGACAGCGCTGACTCACGCCGAATTCTGCGCTTTGAGCATGCAGTTGCTCGTAAATTTTACGTAGCGTGGCTCACTCACTTTGGATCATGAAGATTTTTGTTCAGGATGATGGCAGAGCGGAAATAAACTTCAGACCTACCAACTTTCGATTAGAGTATATAAAGAGGAAGTGACGATAAGAAATAGTATATTGTTTACTTTTCATGTTTCGAAAGCGGGGTTTTACAGTAAGCGAGGGGGCGAAGAGGGGTTGAAAAGGGGAGGGACAGGAGAGAAGTACCCTATTTGTACATGAGCACTTGGCCATGTCTGAAAACTAATCGAAGTTTTCTATCTAGAATAATATTCTATGGCCTAGTAGTAAGAGCTTTCAATCTTCACTTTCTCTTTCTGGACTATAAATGGGTCACGTGCGTCGCATCGGTAAGAAGCAAGCAGCTGCAATCATCCGATAAGAAGCCGGCTATCAACCTTCCTTATTGAACCTCAACCTTTCTTGGACAATATACCCCGCCCCGAAAGATCGCCAGGTACGAGTACGGTGCATAGTACCTGATAAGCACAACATTACGCCATGTACTCTCAACTAAATAAAGCCTCTCTCCCCCAACGACCTCCTGATGTCTTGACGCGTCGGACGCGAAGTTGACTGGAAGGCAGGAAACCCATCAAGGCCACCGCTATGCTTATTTTGATTATCTTTGCGGCCCTTCAGCTAGGTCTATACACGAATTGTATCGCATCACCGACGGCCTCAATAAGTGCAAATCAGGACGAAAGTGGGGTGGTCAAATCACCTTTAGATGTCTTTGAAGTTCAAGCACCGCTGAGAGCCAGCTATGAGGGCACGAGTTGCGAGCAAGTTGTCCTGCAGTATACATTTGCAGGAAGCTATGGAACTCCATACGTTGGTATGTTGCCAAATGACGGCGATAAGACGAATGTGAGCTGACTGGGGAACAGGAACGTACTCCCCCCAGCAGATTGCGAGTTCACTACCACCATATTCAATCTTTCAGTGACCTCATCTGGAATCAATTACGATCGTCTTGGCCTCATATATTTTGGAGACATCGAAGTATGGCGCACTACAACAGCAATGCCAGTCCGGACAGGTATTTTTGGAACTACCAGAAAGACATGACAATATTCGACACTCTGCTTCGTTCCGAGCAAAAAGTGATCATGTCTTTGGACAATTTGTATGATACTGTATTTACTGGGGCATACAATGTCACAATCACAGCGCTCTACTACAATGACCATCAGATGATTAGCCCAGCAAACTTGATTCTTCCAATTTCAACTCAGTCGTCAGCTCAGAACAAAGCATCCGTCATTTCACTTCCCGATGGAAATGCGACTGTTTCGTTCACTCTACCGAGGAATGCCGAGAGAGCTGTAGTGAGTGTACTTGCTTCGGGAAATGGCGCTGAAGAGTTTTGGTTTCGTAACGTGCCTACTGAGTATACCGACACATTCAACAATTCAGCGCTTCATGCCTACAGTCCGTTCAGGGAAGTGCAGGTTCTGATCGATGGTGATATCGCAGGTGTTGGGTGGCCTTTTCCCATCATCTTTACAGGAGGGATAAGTCCTGGAATTTGGGTGCCAATAGTAGGAGTTCATACATATGATCTTCCAAGCTTTGAGGTGGATATCAGTCCATGGTTAGGAATACTCTGTGATGGAATGCCACATTCGTTTGAATTGGCGGTAGTGGGATATGATTCCAAAACCACCTTTGGGACTGTAGGCTCAAATTGGTGGGTTTCCGGGTCTGTATTTGTCTGGAAAGATGCTGGAGGCAATCAAACTACAGGAACTGTGAGTACAAATTACTTTTCTCAGCGGTCCTGACTTACACGTTACAACCAGGCAATCGAATCCAGCTCTGCAGAACCAAGTTTTCAACTCACTCCCAATATCATTTCTACATCAAACGCAAATACTAGCCTGGAGCTGCACTTATCAGCACAGCGAGTCCTCTCTCATACCAGTACCATCACGACTTCATCAGGCCCGCATACTTTGAGCTGGTCACAATCTCTATCCTACTCCAGCATCAACAGCTATACTGCAAATGGTTCCAACAAGACGATATCAGCTCTCACGACCGGTACTTCGTCTTTTTCACCATCGTCCAAGTACTCTCCCCCAATCAAGAGTACATTATCCTACCCCATCACGTTCCGCACATCATCGACCACACCCGTTGATGCAACGACCGCAAATTCGACCATTGTCGCTTCTCTCGATCGTTCACTTCTCAGCAACTCTGTTCCCATCCTCTCTTATCTCACTGCACCCGCTATATTCGAGATACCACACGTTCTTGCGACGAGGCAAATTGGAAGCTCTGTTTATTACTGGAATGATACTTACTATGAGTTTGCTGGCGCCATTGATCCCGCGATGGGGACCTCTGGTAGTACTGAGCAGTGGTACTCAGCTGTGAGCAAAGTCGGGGTATATGGGAGACATGTGAAGGCTGTTGACGGGTATGAGCCTGTTTTAGTGGTGGATGAGGAATTTCCAACGACGCTCGCCGTTCCAGATACGGAATTGGTTGGAATTGGAAAGTAGGAGCCATGTCGTGCGATGAGAGTGGATCCTGGGCACGCAAATGCGGCTTGAAGGGGTGAAAATTGACATGGTTATAGTGCACTGAGCTTCTGCAATGGTGTAAAAAAGCCCGAACATAACTTTCTATCAGAGATTCCGATTCCCAACATCCTACATATTTGTCATCCATTACGAAAACGAGGTCTCAGGGTATACGTAACTTCATTGCCATCTATTCATTCCCCAAACTCCCATCCTGAAAGGAGATCTACTATTCTCAGCCATTTATCTTTCATCCACCCTTCATCCCCCTAATTCGACATTTCTCCCCTCCACCCCCAACATCTCCTCCTCAGTCAACGTAATGCCAAAAAGCTCCTCAAAAGCCGCAACCCTCTCATCCTCACTCTCACACACCTTCAGAACCCTCGTCTTCCCCCCATCGTTCCTCTTCACCTCTCCATTAACCAGCATAATCTTCCCCACAATCCCCAGATGTCCAAGCTCCCCCTCTCCTTCAATCTCGCAGTCCGGCCCATCGACCCCCCCTTGCGCATTCAGCTCATCTACCTCGCCATTCTCGCCATCTGGCTCACTGTTAACTCGCCCGAGAAGAAAACGTACTATGAGCACTGTTCTTGTCTGGAAATTCAGGGCGCTGGTAGACGTGCTGGTGAAATACGACATTATTTCGAAATCTGGAGCGGAGAATTCTAGTTCCGGGAAGGCGTAGAAGGCGTTCCAGGGTTGGGTGGGGGAGTTGCGGTATTGGTATATCCACTGTAGTTGAAAGACGGAGTAATCAATACCTCAATCTCAACCTCAACCTCAATTCTAATTTCAATGAACTGAATTGTAGATATATAGATATACATAACTTGGAGAGAGGATCGGATTGATATAGGGGTGGGGGGAAGAAGGGAAAAGGAATTCATGTATTTCTTACGTGTAACTGATCCTGTTGGCTGGAATGAGGCAGCGGCTCATGAACAAGGCGGATTTCTTGAGATCCTAGGTTTCGCGTTACGTGGCCTGCGATTAGAGGGAGGGGTTTGGTGGCGCCGTCGCCACCGAAACCAACGTCGCTGTGGTATTTGGAGCCAGAGGGTAAGGCGATGATGTTCACGACATGGACCCTGGGTATTCACCATCAGTTTATAGTGTGTTTCTTGCTTAATTATTATTCGTTCTCAGATCGCCCGTCTACCCGCACGGAGAAGGAATTGAACCAATGAATGAATGATTGGGGTAGATGGGTAAGATGCAGATATGAGAGAGAGACGTACCAACCGGTATACTCACCACCCGGCACTCCCCCCACTCTCGGCCTGATCCTCACGCCAGCCATATAAACAGCAAACCCCAACGCCTTCAATACGTGGTAGAACAAAATGCTATTCTCCATGCAATACCCACCCCTGCCTCTCTTATCGCCCACCGTTTTCCGGAACAGGACTTGGGGATCCAGTGACACGGTGTGGGAGGCGGAGTAATGCAGACTCAGGTTTTCGTAGGGCATGGCGGCGATTTGGTGCACGTGGAGCGCGGTTAGGTAGGCTAGGTTTATGGGGGGATTGGAGTCCTGGCGGTATTTATGGGGGAGGGAGATGTGGGATTCATATTGTTGGATTTGGGTGCGGGTGTAGGCTGATGGTGATGGTGATAGTGATGAGGGTGCCATGTTGGTGGGGATTGATTGAGGCGAGATACTCGATGTAATTGTGCGATTGAACAGGCGAGAAAGCCAATTGAGAAAGTCTTATATACTTGCGAATTGGATGTAGAGGGAGTGAGTGACTGACTCACTTCTGACTCACTTGAGGTTCTTGTGGTGAAGTTTTGATAAGCTATACTCTAAGGTACAGTAGATCGAAGCGGGTGGGTCAGAGCTTAATCAAAGGGGGGGCGCATATGCACATGTTTAACGATCTGTTTACCTTTTGACACATTTGCCAATTAATAAAAAAGACGATTGAGGTACTTGATTTGATAGAGTAGATTAGCCTAAAGTAGTAGCATCTGTTATCTATTTATACCAAGGGGGTAAATGAGTGCGGGGTCGCTTAACCCCGCCAAAATAGGATTCTTTACGAGTAAAGATCACTTCCTAAATCTTATAAAATTAACGATATATGGAATAGCCTCATATAGAAGACAAAAATACATGCTCCTAAATCCTATGAAATAGAGCTTTGAGTTTATGGTAGAATTGTGACTTGCTTGACCGCATAAGGGGTTCGAAGGGCGTCCGACATTCCCGAAAGATTGTACATCAAGTGGGGTATTTCATCTTCCTCTGCAGCTTCACAACTTAACCTCGAGTGTTTGCCAGCATTGTAGGTATACAAGACAAGTAGGATTTTAAGATAGCGCGTATACTTCTTCCTATATAGGTAGGCTAGGTAGGTACAAAAGAAGTCGTACGATCACGTGCTTCCTCACCTTGTGCCTCAGGCTAGAATGATATAAATTTCCATTTGGCCTGCCCTGCGCTGCTCTGCCCCTGCCTGCTCTGCGTGCCTGCTCGGTCTGGATGTATGCGGCACGATAAACGTGGCAAATCATCGATCATATCACGCCCGCCTGCACAATTCTTCTAAATACCATACCTAGGTACAGTACACCTACCTATCTACATACTGTACCTACATCTATACCAACATCCATACTTGGCACTCACCTCCACATCTCCACAATGTCTCCGGTGCTAAGCATTGTCCCCATCCCCATCCACTCCGCAAAACCACGCGCCGTGACCATCACGGGCGGCGCCCGGACTATCAGCGACCTACCTGACGAGATCCTTATCAGTATCCTCTCAATGCTTCCTGCGCAGCGCGATCAATGCGCCATGTGTCTTGTCAGCCGGCGCATGAATATGGTCGCGGACCCGGTCCTGTACAAGAACATCCTCTTCGACCAGCCGCACCACCACCTAACGTTTTCGGAATCGCTGCTTACGAGACCAAGGAGGGGCAGTTTGATTGAGAGTATCCGCGTCGATTATCCTAGTTCCGAACTGTCTGATTTTATGCATGTTCATCATAGCCCCATCTCGAATCGCATTGTCGATCCTTTTTCACGGACTATTTCGACGATGAGTAATTTGGAGCATCTCAAGGTCTCGGTGCCACAGTCGTTGTGTAAGGGGATTGGAGCGTTGTTTGATGGGCCGTTTGATTTGGCATGTTTGAAGTCATGTGAGTAATGCGATGTCTCGCCTCTCTCTGTTCTGGGTGTCTATTTGTGCTGACAAGTTTACAGGTTCTTTGTTCTACCAGTGTGACGATGGCGGGTACTGGGATCTTCAAGACAACATCCAAGTCTTCAGTCACCCGACGCTAGAATCTCTCACCATTCGCAGAGCTAGGCTCGATGAGCGCGGCTTCGATAGTCTTGAGAAGCCTTCTGAAACTGAACTAAAAGTGCTTCATCTCATCGAATGTGACATCAACGACGACGCTCTATCAGACATCTTGCTCCACCCAGAAGCACTGAAAGAAATATCCATCACACAACTGGAGAAACCACATCCACCCCTTGAGGAGAGCCCCGATAACATAGAAGATTATATCCTCGCCCTGCCCCAGCACTCCCTCGAAAGCATCATCATCGACTTCCCATCCCTCCGCGGAAAAAGCGCATTACGGATGCGAGAATTTGAAGCACTTAAAACCCTCGAGCTCCGGGACTATCAGCTATTCGGCGAAGACTCGCCGCGTCTTCATTCGGTCGGATTCCCGCCCAATCTGGAAATGTTGACGTTCTTGAATCGCGTCGGTCAGGATGAAGAAATTGCAGAGCTTTTGGCGTATACGATTGAGAATAAGATGATTATCGCGAGGAGCTTGCAGTATATAGTTGTTGCGAATGAAGAGCATGACCTCCCGGAGGTGATTCAGGAGGCATGTTCGAAGACCGGATTTGAGCTTCAGTTTGGATAAGGGAAGGTGACGATACCGTATAGCGTCATACATCAGGAAACACTTCCACCAACGAACGTATATTATCACGACACTCATCACAAGACCCCCCCACGAAACACTATTATCCCCAAGAAGAAAGGACCAGGTTTTTGGATTTAAATGGACGATATATTGGAACCCTTTGGATGCGACGAACCTGGACTGCAGATTTTCCAAACTCTGGAATATCCACCCGAGATGGTAAATTGAACGGACAGAGTGAGAACTGGAAAGACTGCGAGACTTACTTACCTTGCACTTTCATAAAGAGTTGAAGGAAGACAAGATTTGGATAGATGCAGAGAATTGGAGAAAAAACGAGAATAGAAGAGACTGAATGAAATTGGATACTCCGTAGAACTTCTTAGACAGACAGACAGACCGACAGACATAGAACGAGAATGAGAATAAACACCAGTCCAAATTATCAATAGCAACAAATAGATATAAGAACCCCTCTCAAATTACCCATGCATACTCCAGCGCAAACCAACTTGACTTGACTCCCGTCCCGTCATACCTAAATATAGGATTGATATACCCCTGCCCTCCCCGACAAACCATACTCGACTTTCCGATCTCCGTCTAGGATACATACAACTCGCTAAATATACAGGGAAAGTGCTCCCTCCTGCATGCAGCCCGCTCCTACAAGATCCATCCTATCCGGGGAAATCATATTTAGCGTAGTCCCTAGTCCCCAGGTACTCGTAGATACCTAACCCACCTTAGATAATAATCAATGCTCCGTACAGTGAATTCTGACATTTACGGAGTATAATTTATCCCCGTGTTCCTTTCGCTATATATATATATATATATATGTACGGATCCGGACTAGGGACTGGAAGGAAATACATCCATCGCTTTCCTAATCTAGTTCCACGTCGCGAGCGGGCTTGTGTCACTGACTGATAGCTGAAGAAGGATGGATAGTACTGGGGCGTAGTAGTTCTTAAGGCTCGGGAGCAGGGTTACTTGTTTGGAGTTGCGTGGATGGATGGAGCTTCTTGATATGCTGTAAACGAGAAATCTGGAGCTGTAATTACTTGGGATACTCGGAGGTTGAGTAGGCAGGCTCACGTGCTCTGTGGGGCAACATGTTTGGCATCAACTAGTTCTCTAGAATTGCTGTAATCTATATATACGTGTTTTACACAAGGTACCAGTGCCCACGGCCCGAAACAGAAGATTCTCAAACGGTTTTCACCTCTATTTTCGCTCCGACCATGCAGGATAGGTATTTGAAGAAAGAAAAAAAAATTGCGACAAGTAACAAATGACATGTCTAACGCTAGAGTACGAAGGACAAAAGAACGTCCTAAAATCTCATCCTCAAAGTTGTCCCCGTCTAAGCAGTGGCCGTGCGAACTAAGGTCTTGAAAGATGTTGGAAGCCCAGAAGGAATCTGGAAGCTGCCAGTTGGTGCAGGACCTCCTTGTCCACCAAAACCTGATCCAGTTGGTGCAGGACCTCCTGGTCCACCAAAACCTGATCCAGTAGGCTTCGCAGCACCCTCAGCAAATTGCTCCTTCTTTCCTAATCCAGACGCCTGGGCGGCGCCTAATGGGAAAGCATGAGATGGGTGAGAACCTGAGGGGAAGCCGGTAGGAGATCCGCTGAAACCGGTGGGTTGACCACTGAAGCCTGAGTGAGAGCCAGTGGGTTCGGGTTCTTGACGGGCCTCGACTTTAGAAGGGGCGCCGGTTGGAATGCTGGGTGCGCCGGATCCTGAAGGTTCAGGGCCGCCGGACGGGTGGACATGGCCAGATGCGTGGGCGAATCCGGATGGGAAACCGGATGGGAAACCGCTGAATGAAGCGGGGGGTGAGTCGGATGCCGCAGCGTGACCTGCTAGCTTGGCTGCGAAGCTAGCAAATATGCCGCCGGTAGGCTTAGAGAATGGTGCTCCAGAGGGAGGTGTTCCAGAGGGAGGTGTTCCGGAGCCGGAGGGAGGTGCCCCTGAAGGTATTGAGCCAGTTGGTTCTTGTCGACGGACTACTGCTGGGTCTGTTGGCCCACCAGTTGGCGCTGGGGGAGGAGCGCCGGAGCCGAAGCTGCCAGTGCCGGAGGGGTGTGGAGGTTTAGAGCCAGTTGCAAAAGCATGACCGGCGCCGTGATCAAGACCACGGAAACCGCCGGTACCTGATGGGAAGCCGCTTGGAAAGCCGCTGGGGAGGCCAGATGGTGGAGCGCCAGATGGTGCGCCAGAAGGTGGTGCGCCAGAAGGCTTTGAGTGTTCTGAAAGAGTGGATTGTGCTGAAGCACTGCTGACCAAAGCAGCAATAAAGAATGAAGTAGAATATCTCATGATGAAATCGGCGCTGCCTTGAGACTCTTGAGAGGAAGATGGATAGAAAAGTTGAATGAAGATAAAGAAGACGAGGATGATAGAGAAAAAGTGTGATGCTGAATATGATGTTTACCCAGCAGGAAACGGGTTCTACTTATATGCAGAAACACTTACCGATAATCAGCTCATCCATCGAGCAAATTGCTCAGAAAGTCCAGAAAGTCAAAATCACGATTCTCAAGTTTCATGTTTCTCCACAGAGACGTATACACAAGGCGAAGGATCATTGGAGGATCTGATCGTCCCGCCTTTCCTATAGGGGCCCCATCTCTCTCAATCTATTCTCAACGGTCAACGTTAGCTTGATTAATCATGAAAATACCGCCGTCGAATGGGGGCCCTAGCAAGTGTGGATTGACAAGATGTGATGAAACGAAACATTGCGTGGACAGTGAACAGCCAGGATCGCGGAGATTGGTGGAACTCCCTGGTCTGAGCCCTAAAATGAGTACCGAGTGTGGAGTCCACGATGGCCTCATCCACCCAGTCCATACGATATGAAGCCTAGTTCAGGGCGGATTCTGCGAGTAGGAGGGATGTGAGGCTCTGGGGAGAAGCTTGTTTGTCGCCATGGCGCAGAGTACACGCACACGCCACCTATTTTTAGGGTCAAACCCAGACCCACAATCTGCGTCGTGTACACTGCATTGAAGGAAGCTAAACTACCCAATCAATTCGAGGAAAGAAAACAAAAGTTTGTTTCTATTATAATGATAGGAGAATCATCTTTCCTGATGATTGACTCGCAATCCAAGACATGCTGAGACCTACCCACCGTACCTGACTGGACAATCCCAACTTACGTGGCATGGCGGCTATGCGACCAACCACTCTTCTTCCGACTTCGCGAGCGTCACAGCAATATGTCAAGACAAGCCTCTACCGACCCGATTGCGCTCGAATTTCCTTAGATAGGAACATACCTGGGTAGGTACAAATGATATCAGCTTGTATGAACTCTACCCTTTGAATGCCACGTTCAATAAACACAATGCTGCCGACTGCTAGTATTGCTGCCGGTGCAGCGTCGAACTAGTAATTGCCAGAAGATCTTAATTCAAAGGGACGTTTCGTTCTTATTTTCGAATAGGCAAGTGACATCAGGTTCTTTTTATTTCATTATGAGAAGTATTTATTTACAACCCGAGACTTTTCGCTTTCCTGGAACCTTTAATCTTAGGGGTTCCCGAGCTGGCCCTCTATTCCGGGAACTAAATGCGAATGTTACCCCAAGGTAGTTCCCCAAAGTTGGTTTGAAACGTCAGCTTCTAGATTGACAATCCTACAACAAACTCGCAATATCGATACTTCGGTTTTTATGCTAGGCACATGGCAGCACGTCGATTTTTGGACAAGGAGCTCCCGGCTACTCTTCTACTGCTCTGCCGTCGTCTCGAGAACTCAAAGTTAGTTCTAATTATCGCTGAAGTTCATGAAATATTGACGTGTGTACTATAGGTGCTAAATATGGACTCAAGAAAACTTTCCACACCTATTCCTCCCGAAGACTAGCGCGTCCTTCGTTCGAAAAGACACTCCTTGTCCGCCTTCACGATCGCTACACTCCATACAGTAGAATCTGCTGCTGCAAATTCCATCTCCGAAGCGATTTTATCCTCAATATTCTCTGTAATAGCGAGATAGAATCATCCTGCCCGCAGTCACTCAACAGGCTCTTTGTTTAGTCGGGAAGTTGAACTCACTGACGTTGAATTATCAGCTTATACTTTGACCCCTAGCTTGGAACCTTCTAGGTTACGTCCAACGAGAGAGCTCTACTCGATTTATACATACCAGCCATGTACCGAAACGATCTGTACCACTGCCTAGGGACTTTCTAGACCAGAATGCCTCGCAGTTGATCGCGTGGACATAACTGAAGTTTCTTTCCCCGCGCGAGCTCTTGCTGACTTGAGAGAGCTGAAGCTACCGAACCAAGATGAGGTATTTAATACACTTAGCCAACATGCGACCACCGCTCGATTGTCGACTCTAGACCCCATCCATCTGCACGGCTTAGAAGCTCTCGATACTCCATGCCTAGTAAGTAGCCTTGCTGCTAGTGCAATAGCCGAGGTCGAGACTTCCAGGTGCTCAGACTAAGAGCGAGACTTCGAGAACAAGTTTCCGACGGAAAACACTGCTAGGGTTGCATGTTTATCCACAAAATGTACCCTTGGCTTATAATCAAATGTCTCAAACCTGTTGGAGATATACTAGCTGTCCTCTAGACGATGATCAAACGGTTGGAGTTAAATCCAGAGACGCACTAATTGCAGACGTGGATAATCCTGACTGGAAGCACTGAGCGGAGTGAGACATGCGCGCTATATTCGAAGTTTAAACCCTATTTATTTACGCTAAATCTTTCCGTTCCATTTGAGAAACATAGTCTCTCAAGGTATTAAAATTCATGACTCAAATCTCGCAGTCTACGCAGCTTGGCCCTACGAAGATTAGCAATGTTCCCCCGACTTTAATGAAGAGACATCATGAACCTAGATCTCGAATCCAAGAAAGACATTGCAGATATATAAGTGGTATGATATTTCGAAAGTCACAAATTCACAATTGCTATTTGGGTATTTTTGGCACACGCTTTTCGGGTTTTCCACAAGAGCCGCGTGATTATTATTAGAAAGTCGAATGGGCTTACGAAAATCTACTTTAGTACGAGAGTTCTCATTCTCAGAGGATGACACTTTTGCAGGCTTAGGAACAGCGTAGTGCTAGGATTGTCATTATAGGGGCGGGCGATAGGACAAAAAACAGGGTCCTAAATAAACGGATAATAATTAGGTAATGAATAAGAGCAATAGTTGCTTCTTTGGAAAAGTATATGGAAATTGGGATAGTAATGTTACTGTTAAAGATACAGCTATGTATTATTACATTCATGCCTCAAGGTATACTTACTTGCTCTTGTTCAGACAGCTAATACCTAGCTAAACTCTAGTGTATTGCTAACTTAAAATAGACCCGCACTTGTTCTTTTAGTGAAGCGAGTTTGGAATAGTTATTTTCCTGGAGAAATACAAGTGCATTTATCAAAACTAACTATGATGGCCCTAGAATCTAGTAATTCCTTAGAGAGATACGTGAAAATGTATCTCAAGATGTTTAGAAGACTAGATCTGCTTTATACTCTAAGTTGTTTGATTTATATTCTAATAGTATAGAGAAGGCATTCAGATCACCTACTATTTTTTTCAATCTAGAGATACTTGAAGCTGCAGCGAAAAAGCCAGAATGTCTATAGGAGAATAAAAACTATGATATGTTTTAAAACTAGATATAAAATAGCTATATGTAGAAAGTTTGACAAGATTGCAACTACCCAATTTCGATAGGTAGCGTGATAAGTTCTAATTGACTATTGATTTATCCTATGTAGCTCAAACTATAGAAATTAATCATTTATAGTATAATTTTCAGCTTTATATATAATAGCTTCAGGCAATGTCACTCACTATTATAGCGTTCCAAGGCACAGAGTGTAAATCACGTGTCGCGATGATATCGCAAAGAAACCACCCCCTCGCTTTTTTTACCCAAACAGGAAAAGCCATCAAATTTTTAAACACCAAACAGAAAAAAAGGCCCGCCATTATCCTTATCAGCATAAAGACCGAGACTCCCAATCCAAAACCCCGTTCTGCCCAACTTTGCCAGAAAATCTCAGCAAATTATCAGCATACCAAGTATACACACCTACAATACAACATGGCACCAAGCAGGACATCGCCCCCAAACGACACCTCGGCCGATGGCCCCACCCCCGGAAAGAGTATCTGGACGATCGAAAGCATCCCCGGAAAAGGAAAGGGGGTAATGGCCGCCATCGATATCAAGCCTGGCAAGCTTCTTATAAGCGAAACCCCTTTATTAACAACCGAATGTATCACCTCGATGGAATCCACCGAAAAGGACATAGCGCAGGCACTGCGCGCCCTCCCAAAAGACTCCCAGCGAGCATTTCTGTCGCTGCATAACAACTACCCCGGCAAGAACCCGCTCAGCAACATCATCCGCTCAAATGGCTACCCCCTTGGACCCGGATCTGAGGTCGGGGGCGTCTTTGCAAATATTTCGCGTGTGAACCATAGCTGTCGGCCTAATGCTGTGCATGCGTGGAATCCACTGCTTACCGTGGAAACTGTATATGCAGTCAGGCTGATCAAGGCAGGGGAGGAAATCACATTGAGTTACCATGCTGGCGGCCCTTCCACTACCCGTAAGGAGATTCTGAAAGAGGGGTTCGGGTTCGATTGCACGTGTGAGATTTGCTCTCTTCCTCCAGCAGAATTGAAAGCAAGTGATAGCCGTCTCATCCGTGCTCAAACTCTTGATTCTACTATCGGCGACCCGGAGAGTGTGCGGTACTCTCCTGACAAGGTCTTGAAGAACTGCAAGACGCTGATGGGTATTTATGAAGAGGAAGGAATCAAAGACGATCGATTGACTAGGTTGTATTTTGATGCGTTCCAGGTGGTGAACATGCATGGGGACCAGGCTCGGGCAAGTGTATGGGCTAGGAGGTATTGTGAGGAGAAGAAGAGAAGTGCTGGGCGGGATAGCATCGATTTATTGGAGATGATGCCGTTTGTGAAGAATCCGTCTAAGCATGACAGCTTTGGGTCTACCAACGATTGGAAAACGGGGGTGAAGGATGTACCGAAAGATTTGGACAAGGAAGCTTTCGAGGAGTGGCTGTGGAAGGAGCAAGTTTAAACCGCTGTAGTGATTTTGGGTTTCGTTCTGTGTTGGGAAAGAATGGCGTTGGAAGATCGTTCTTGGATAGTCATAGAGAGTATATCCACTTAGAAAGCATGGCACATAAGTACCCCGAGAATTGTTGAGTGTCACCGTAAAACGCAGTGGCATGACAGAAAGGGACGAGAAGAGGTAGTTATGATTACTTATAACAAGGATCAATGGAAAGAACCGAGACTAAGTGGAATCGAAAGCGTTTTTTGTTTTCACGCTCGAAAAAAAAAGAAAAACTGCAAACCCGCGGCAGCAAAATTCCATTCGTTAAGCATACTCTCATGTTCGTCCCTTCTCGAAGTCCAGATCTCAGATTCCCCGCCCACTTCATACTCTAAACAGGAACCGGCATTCTGGGAACACTATCCATCCCCCTCGGCCCAATATGCTTCCTCTTCAACAACTCTTTCTCACTCACACCCTCCTTCAATTTCCTAATCAATTCGTCTGGATCAAAATCCACGCCAATAGGATTCTCCTCAAACTCCTTACTCGCCATGAACTCCGCGGCTTCTTTGTTCGTTGAAAAACTGTCGACTTGCATCTCAATCTCATTCCCATCCGGATCCTGATAATATAAACTCAACGTCGGTCCATGATTAACACACCACACGGGCTCAATCCCTTTCGCCTTCCTCTGACGATACGCAAGAAGCAGTTCGGCCACGGAATCGAAAGCAAAAGCGACGTGTTCCAGTCCAGCAGTAGCTCTGTCTAGAGGCTTGGCGCCCAAGTCTAAGATGGCAATACGATGGTGTTCTTCATCGTAAGTGAGGAAAGAAATGAATTTGTTTTCGTAAGTGGCTTCTGCACCGAGGAGTGTTTTGTAGAATTCGACCATTTTAGAGAAGTTGCCTGTTCGGAGAACGACGTGTGCAAATTTCGAAGGGCTTTTGACCTGTGCGAAGGGGCCGTCGAAGTTGGGGAGAGTGGTGGCCATCGTTTTTGCTGACCGTTGCGTGTACGAAGTGTATTTGGATGGTGGGTGTGCTTAATTTTTGTGGTGTACTGAAGGGCAAGTACGAAGTAGAATAATTGTGTAGCCACTCAATATTTCGTAAGCATGCCTTACGTACGCTGTTGTACGAATCCTAACCGGATTGGCGTTCAAAGAATTGGCCTGCAGTCATGCATAACGACATGGGCATGATAACAGACCGCTTCCCCAGGTTCGACAGTCTTCTCGCCGGGTTCCGTCCCAAAATGTGTTAGAGCTATTCGCCTAAGGGTACTATATGTACCTACATACCTATAGGCTGAAGCAAGTACCCCTACTTATCTGCTAAATACACGGAGGTAGGTCCGTATATCATCCCGATGTAGATCCGGACTCCGGATTCATCCTGGCATTCGAGTTTCTCTTTGACTTTGGTATCATGAAAGGATGAGCGAGTTGTCGTCCTTGAAGCTGTCAATGTGAGCTGTACTCATAATTCATCACAGAAATGATGAATTAAGTACATGTGGCATTCTTCAAATGATGATCTGGAAATCGAAGGAAATAATCAAATTACCGCTCTTCTTTCTAACTCTTCTTATTCCTAATACTCATAATGCCTTGAACCCCATTTCAACAGACTTATAGATACTACTCGGCCACTCTACTTAGAGTACCCGTCATAATAGGAATAATTCTCCTAAACGTAGTCCCCCTCAAGCCAAATGACTTATGATCTCCCTCACACCAAAGATGAAAAATCAAAACCTTCTGATTTATCTTCCGTCTCTCTGAAGTCGATACTGCAGTAATCGCTATGTTGTGGGTAGAGACGAGGAAACCGCATAGAAGTGGTCTCACTATCCATGCATGGCCTTTAACCAGGGCGTTTTATCCTAAACGAAGATTATCAGAAAGATATACCAAATTCGGAAGTCGAATAACTCACGGCATAGATAAGGTAAAGGCTCCCCTTAGGATCAACGCTTGTATCACCTTCAAAGGTCACTCTTATAGTGAATTCCCCCGTAGCTTCATTCCCATTCTTGAACTTTGCATCCATAGTTGCGATCAAGAGCAAATCACTGAAATCGTTTTTGGAAGTGTAGACTCTCAATAGGGTATGTTTGCGTGACTCCATATGTCCCCAACTATTGACCCTCGCTTGAAGGATCTCTAGGGCGTTCAATAAGTTAAGTGTCACATTTATGAGAATGCTTGATGTGACAAACCTGCTGTGCCAGTCGCCTTTCCTGCCAAACCGTAAACTTCAGCATCCTTGGTGTACAGAGCGGCAACTTGCGCTGGTGATTTCTCGTCCTTGGAATCGAGCAGAGAAAAAAGGGTCTCGACCCACGTCTTCAATGCTTTTGGGGCAGGGGCCTCCGGCCAAATTGTGTTACTAGTCATGATATTTGGATAACTAATTTTTCGCTTTGAGGAAGGATTTTTGTTGAAGAAAATAAGGGGTTCAAACCTCGATATAATCAATGTCCCGATGACTTATGGTTCTGGGGGTAAAGAAACTCGTGGAACCGGACCAACTTCGGACAGCGGTAAATCTCCCCGAAAAAGGCCACTTTTGAAGATGTCCGTCATTATGGCGTCTTCTGCAATGATACAGGACAATGAATATCACAAGTGCCGGTAGTGCATCATTTCGAACGCAGATAAATACAATCCTTCTCCCATGACAGGCTTCCAATGCGAAAACGAAGTTTGTACCAGCGTATTCTCAAAAACTGCCGTTCGTGCCTGACTCACTGTGCTAGCACAAAGCCCACTGTCACATTCTAAGTATTCTCATACCCACTCACTGAATGTGGGACCTAGGCTATAGACTGGCTTAGTGTATAGTGGGTAGTATTTTCATAATGGTCTCCGACAACACTCACCTCATTTGGCTATCTTCACCTCAGTTAATTCTATTCTCACCTACCCCCCTTCGGCTCACTACCCCGCAGCAGCAACCAATTACTTAGCTGGTGATCTGGAACCCCACGCCTTCTAGTATCTTTGGATCATGGGAACGACGTGGACTGTGGTGATAAAGAGGGGTTTTTTGAGCCAGCGCCTTCAATCTCGTTTCTCTTCTTGAGTATCATATAATATCATTTGCTTTGTTCCGCTTCGCACTCGAAGATGATGACAGTTATTCTGGGAGAAGACCGAGAAGGCCAAAAGCAGACGAAAGCAAGTCGAACAAAGAGGTCGGTCGCTTGTAATTACTGTCGCCTGAAAAAGGTGAGGTGTAAGTTCTTTGACGCGTTGCCTCCTCCCGACCCCTGAATTCTATCCCAACGCGCGATATTTACAGTAAGACGATTACGACATGAACACGATCACAGCAACAACGTGTTGGGAAGGAGAATGAGTTTTTATACAGCCATGAATAATATCTGACTGGTACCTTTCTTTACGGATTTAGGCAATGGTGAACAACCTACATGTGCAAATTGTTTGGTACGTTAAACTTGATGCATCATCCCCCTTCCATAGGTTGCCTTGTAATCCTTCAATACTGACCTGACTAAAGGATCGAGGAGAGAAATGTGTCTACCTGGCATTGAAACGACGAGGTCGAAAAGAGAGCCATGGCAGTGGCGAGTTCGTGTTGAATCGGATCGCGCGGATGGAAGCGATGCTTCAGGAGGCGAATGTCGTACCTCCACTTCTACAGAACTTTGGAGAGACTGATCAGCATGTTGCTCCAGTAGAAGGGTTAGAGATGATGGCCAATTCCTCGCAAGATTTGCATAAGCATCATATGCCACTTTCCCCGTACGTATACGTATTTTAGGGGCAGCTCCTCTGACACGGGTTGTGAAACAGTACTCGGCTGATTCTAACATTTGCAGGCCTCATACCGAGCAATCACGTCAGTCCTTACAGTGGTCGCGTACTGATCATACGAACCTAGCAAAACTGTCACAAAGACGGGGTAGCAATATATCTGAGAGAGGAGATGCATATTCGAATTACTCAAATAGTTCCCAGAGCGCTGCGTTAGCAAACATAAACGAGCAGACCTATCAGGATCAAATTGAAAACTCTCTATCGGATGGCGCTCGTACTATTAATGCGAACTCCTCCATCGGTACTAGCAATTCCGTAATCGATCCGGCATTGAACACAGCAGTAGACAGGGGTATCAATAGCATTGCTTCGCCAGAAAACTCGGATTGGGAATATCATGGTCCAGGCTCATTTCTCTCGATTTGTTCTAAACCTGGCATAGAGTGGGTTGGAGAAAAGACTGGATCGTCCGATTTCATCGCTATTTCCAGGACTTTTAGCCGGGATGTTACCCGCCAGCTCAAATTAGACTGTAAGATCAGCCTAGATAGAACGCCAGAGCCAGATCGCGCAACAGCGTGGAGATATACGAAAGCGTATTTCGAGAAGACCCTAGAATCTGCATTCGACATTGTTGTCCGGTCTTCTTTTGAAGCTAGGCTTAATGCTCATTTTGCGAATGACAATGCGTCTGGACAAGATGAAGATGCAGCTTGGTATTCCTTGCGAAATACCGTGTATGCTTTCGGGTGCCGGGCAGAGCTTGGGAGAACCAGCTATTCTTCTACCTTTGCAGAAGCTCAAATAGCTGGATGGAAATACTTTCAAAATGCCATGTCTAGACACATGGAATTGATTTATTGCCGGACTGGTCTAATGGCTGTTCAAGCTTTGGTGACAATGGTAAGTCCAATTCTTACAGGTGTGAGCTGAGATACTTTGCTTCAACTCAATTACCTTTTCGCCTCTTTCGTTTCATACTTAAATTATCATAGGCTCTATATGTGGAAGGTGCCGGCTGTCCTGCTCTAGAATATATGCTTTGCTCTGTCGCCTGGCGTTTAGCTCAATCAAAGGGGCTTCATCGACAAGCGGGAACAGCCTGGGGTATGGGCGCTCAGGAAATACAGCATCGTAATTGGATATTTTGGATCCTATACAGCTACGAGAAACACATCGCACATCGGTCTGGGCGTTCTTCTGTAAGTTTCGTTCTTCTGACTTGGGGCTGTTGTGTTCATACTGACTCTCCAAAGGCCATCGACGACGACGATATAAGCTGCCACATTCCAACAACCGTCCCAACCGGAAGCTCTAACAACGTAGAATTTTGCACCTACGTAATTAAGCACGCCCAACTCTCTTCTCAAATTGGGAAACGCTTCAGCACTGTACAAGCCTACCGCCAATCCCCCGAAAGCATCGCAAAGACAGCCTGTGAACTTGACCAGAAACTCCGCGAATGGCGAGATTTGCTTCCTCCATCTATGCGTCCCGGGACCGCCATCAATTCTTCTGAAATTCCCCCGAATCTTGATACGGTTCATGTCATTTATCTGCATTATGCATTCTTTGGAAGTCTGATAGCCATTCACTCCACTGTCACATATCCATGGAGCGACATGTTTGGAAGAGATGAAAATTTAACCTTTCGGAATCAGGTTGATATCAGCACTCAGATTGTCGCTGATGCTTCTCGAAATATCATACTTGCTGCGAAATACATTAATGATATAAACGCATCGACCCCACTCTGGCTCGTTTTCTACTATCCAGTCCTTGGCCTGATTAACCTTTTTGTCCATGTCGTGAAACACCCTACTGCACCCTCTGCTCCATCAGATATTACGCTGATGGAGGTGGTTGCCGGTCACTTTGCACGACTGGAATTTGCATCATCCGGCGAGCTCACCTTCTCATTTGCCCGGGAGCTCTCCAGGCTAGCCCGTCTAGCCGTTAAAAAAGCGCAACAAAAGTTAGACTCTGAGTCTAGTAAAGATGTAGATATTGTCAACACTGAGAGCAATTATCGCTTCTTTGACCAGCCTCAAAACTTGATGAAGTCCCCCGAAAACGGCATGAGCGGTCGTGATCTTCTTTCGCATTCCTCAAACAACCAGAATGCAGGCTCTTTTGCGTACCTGGACAATATGACTTGGGGTGAATTTGATGTAGAGAACTGGAGTGCGTTACTGCCTTCATTCTCGCCGGATGAGATGATGGATTTGAATGGGATGCCGGGGAATTGCGATATGTCTTTTCTGCCTACATGAGTGTGAAGTAATGTCAATTGCATACTGCCAGGGCTAAGGACGAGGCCCTTGCTACAGGATAAAGTGGGCGAAACGGGCGTCATATGTTGTTCCGTCAAAGCTACCGACTGCGGGGTGGAAATATGGTTATACGCCTGGCGTAACATGCACAAAAAGTTGGAAGTCATAGAACGTTGAATAGCAACTTTCTGAACCTTGGTGTCTAGGTTTCCGCTGAAGCTTACATAGGGTTACGTATGGTATTGAAGGACCTATTTACAGTGTTTATAGGCTTAAGCATGGTTGGTTTCCAGCGCCTTGCATACATATATATAGATATATACATGTAGATATATATATATAGATATAGCTTACTTCTTACGATAGATCAATGAGATCATCGCAGAAAGCAAGATAGAAGAGAAATGGCTCGGGCGGCATAAATGATAGGGAAATGCTCGGCATGTACGCCTGACTTTCCATTTATTGATGGCTGATAGCTCTTCAATGCCGTAGGAGGGGTGCGGGTTCCGTTTCGTGCCCTCAATTGTCAGAAGCTATCTCTTTGCGCAGTTTCTTACCACCAGCCACACGAGCTCAATGGGGCCAATCTGATCTGCGATGAGAATCTCTATCCGCCTGGTTCTGTTCCTATTCGGGTTCTAAGTCCGAGTACGTGTGGAGCATCGAGACGAGAATGCGGGGAGCCGGAATGCGGGGTTATGTACGAGTTAGGCGAGTTTTTAAGGGGTGTGGTGTGGGCTTCCGGCCCGAACGCTTTGGGCGATGAGTGCTGGCTCCATTCACCAACGTCAACGCAAAGCATGCCGGAAGGTTTCCGGCTAATAGTCCTATATTCCGTATCTTAGTAAATGGAACTCAAATTATAACTAAGTAGAGAGACACACAATCTAATGGAGATACACCCTCTACGCTTAATAGCATACGTCCATGAACTATGTCTAGCTTGATAATCGGATTTAAGAATTATCTGTCCGTGAAATTTTCTTGGTTCAAGAGATTTTCTCAGGAGCGATTAATGTCATCTTCACATCCAAGTCTTGAAGGGGCTGTTGATGCAGAAAGAACAGAAACCCTCCCTTCGGACACGGTGTTGATCGTGGGTGGTGGGCCAGTTGGGTTATTGCTTGCGACAGTACTTGCTTTTTATGGGGTGAAATCTCTCTTGCTAGAGCGAAATGAAACCACCACAAAGTTTGTAAATCTGCTTGAAACTAGCTGCGGAAATTGACCAGAACCCAGATGGCCGAAGATGGATCTGACCAATGCGCGGTCCATGGAGATATTCAGGAAGCTAGGTTTAGCTGATGGTTTGCGAGAAAAGGGTGATATATGGCAGCCACGATGCGGAATGAGAGCTGATTATTTCACACCAGGTGTTCCATCCAATATTCCATACACAGTACTTTTTTCGAGCGGATTGAGTCGTGAAAATGCAATCACCCAATGGTGGCATCCAAGCGTCGATGAGTGTCGGAAGCAGACTAGGACACGAAATGACGGAACAAAACCATTGGAGCCGTACCAAAGAATTTCCCAGGCAATCTTTGAAGCTTGGTTGAAGGAATCATGCGATGCCAATCCTTTGATAGATCTTCGATATGGAAACAAGGTTGAAACTGTGCAGAGTGAAGGGGAAGATGTCAAAGTAACGGCGGTAAACTCTCAGACAGGAAAGAAGGTTGATTTTATATCCAGATACGTTGCTGGCTGCGATGGAAGTTCCAGCAAAGTGAGGACAGGGCTAGGAATTCCCTTGGATGGGGGACCAATTCCAGGATTTGCATTGCTTGTCCACTTCAAGTCCAAAGATTTGGCTCGACTTCAAAAACAAGGCCAGTTCTGGCACATATTTTTTGTGAAAGAAGGCGGAATCGGTGGAGCTATTATTGCTCAAGATGAAGTGGATACTTGGACGACACATCTTTTCCTCCCACTCGATGCAGATCACAAGAGTATCTCGTCCGAAGAAGCTGTATATAGTGTCCTGGGAGGAATGGGAGGGAGATACGAGATTAAGATTGATGAAATCATCGTCAGGTCAACCTACAGACCAAATGTCGCAGTATCAAGGAGTTATTCCGCCTTGAATGGTCGAGTGTTCCTTGCCGGTGATTCTGCACACCAGAATATTCCAACAGGAGGATATGGAATGAACATGGGCATTGGTGATGCTTATGATCTGGGTTGGAAGGTAATGACTTCAACGCCACTGTTTAATTTGTTACTGACCTAATGATAGTTAAGCGCTGTGATCAATGGTCACGGTAAGAGAGGATTGTTAGACTCGTACGAGCTTGAACGCCGACCAGTCGCATCACTCACCGTAGAGCATTCCAAAGTTCATAACGATGCTCATGGTGCGGTTGGAAACCTTCTACTTCCAGATGCAACCGTTATAGACCACGATACCAAAGAGGGAGAGGCTCTGAGGGAAAAGATTAGCCGGCATTACCAAGAACACGATGGGGAGAATAGAGATTTAGGAATTGAAATGGGCTTCCATTATAAGTCTCCCATTAATATACCTGATGATTCTGCTCCTGCACCTGTGTGGACAGCATCACGCTATATGCCAACCACTTGGCCAGGAGTGCGAGCTCCGCATGTATTTCTCAATAACGGCACGCCGATTTTTGATCACTTTGGAAAGGATTATACCTTGATTGAGTTTCCGTCCACCATCGACTTGGGGTCAAAATACATTATGGACGCAGCAAAGGAGAATAAGTTTCCGCTGAAGCATATGGTTTTGCCTGGAGAAGATAACGCGTTCAACATTTGGGGTAAGCACCTGGTACTTGTCCGGCCAGATGGTCACGTCTCTTGGCGAAGTAATATCATCCAAGATTCAAGCTCCGCAAAGAAAATTCTCAACACTATAGTGGGAACTCAATATGGTGTGGTCATCGAGAAGATAGCCTTCGAAGGTTCGGGGTCGGGTGTAGTTTCGACCCAGAGGGAAGGGTTTGTTTTAGAGAAAATGGGAGATTTGCAAAAGTAGAATATGATTATAAACTGCTGGGACACAAAAAGTTATTACTGAGTAGAAGAAGTTATAATTGTATGCACATTTGATTATTTGGAAATGAGTAAGTTGTGATGATCCACTTTCCTATTGTCAGGTAACAAATGGACCTCCTTCCCCCTTTTGTCCACGTGGTATTTATTAGCTTTGTAATTCTTGCTTTGCCATCATGGACACCAAGGTGAGATAGAATTATACCAAAGAATACAATCGTCATTTCCATTTCGGCATGTGCGGTTGATATTAAATCCAGCCCCACAAGGAATATGCATGATTGCCCAACTTTACATCATGGTAGATCTGAAGACCGCGAGGCCTTGGGAATGATGGAGTTGAACTAGCACAATATTTCAGCTCAGTGAGAGTATAATTCGCCCATGATTCTTTGGTCTTTGGAAAAGTCCCGAATTCCATAGGGGTATGCTGCTAGAGGCCTCATCAGATTCTCAGGCTTCTATCACTAACCCCGCTGTAGAGACCTGTTTACGCAAACAGCAGACAGTGGAGAAAGATGTTGAAGATCAATCAATTGCATAAGTATTACATCTCTCTGCAATAAAAAAATAAGCCCTGTATTGTATTACATCTCTCTACAATCAAAAAAAAACAAGCCCTATATTATGCTAAACTGCACGTTCCCAGCCTTTCCAGCCCCTTGAAGATTTCTACCACCATAAGTCTTGGTGCGTCTGAACACAAACACAAGCTCAGAGTTTCATTGTCTCTGCAGTGTTAAATGTCATACCTGGTGGCACTTTAAGCCACTGCTTTGTTTCGGCATCTAGCAGAGTCTCTTCGACATTTTTCCATGCGTTCCGAATAATGTCCGCCTTTTCCTTTGACCTAGGTGTAATATTCACCTCAAAGTCTACCGGCTGCACAGCTATTCCACCAACGAAATCATCAATATCGACAGGAACAGGAACTCCATTTTCATCGATAACCCTTTCAAAGTTATATGCCCAGAGCATTCTGGCCATGCCCATGAAAAGCGATCGCTCAGCAATGTGCATACCCTGGCAAAGACGGCGACCCGATCCAAAAATCCAGTTCTGACGCTGATTTCCATCCTTGTTCGTTGCAGATTCTTTCTCACTTTGGAAATCGTTTTCAAAACGGGTGGGATCGAAAACACGAGGATTAGGGTTCCGCTTCGGATCCATGTTCAAGGTCCTGGAAAGCCAAACTCATCAGTCCTTGACAAATAGCAAAAGATTTGCGGGGATGCTGATTTCTCACCAGCGGCGGCAACAATTAAGAATAAAGCAGAAGCATACCAGTTATTAGGCACTATTGTTGACCCATTGGGGATTTTGTAGCCCTCGTACTCATCATCTTGAATATTGGAGTGTGGTAGACCAATAATTAAGGTTGGCATCCAGCGTATAGTTTCTTTGACGCATGCTTGAATGTACCTCAAATTCTCGATATCATCTAGCGTTGGGAGCCGGTCTGGACCAACGACTTGATCGATTTGTGCTTGTGCGGTCTTTTGTACTTCTGGAAACATCATCATTGCTTGAATGAAACCTACTAAGGTGCCCGATGTGGTGTCGGAGCCTCCCTCGAGCAGCGATCCAGTAATGTATGCGGCCTGTTCATCCGAGAAGCCTTCGTTCTTCTGGGCCTTTAGAACATCGTAGCTAAAACAAGGCTAAGGCGATAATTAGTTGGGTACTCTGAACGAGTAATAGGAAGTTTACATGGCATGTTCCATCTTTGATGCGGTTCTTTGTGGACATCCAATTCTGCATATACAAGTCGAGCTCCTTTTTTCCAAGTTCCAATGCACTCTTGTACGCTGGAGCAAGGAACGTTGGTAGATTTCGAAGAATGGGATATAAGTCCAAAATCTGGGCGCTGCCAGCTGAGACAAGTTTGCCCCATTCCTCAAAGTTCTTCATCTTATCAGTACGTCGAAAGATATCTATTGAGAGCACATACCTCGAAGAACTTAAGCAACCGTGGATCATGCTGTGAAGTTGTCCTATACCCAAAGACCATTTGTGTAGTAAGAGAAGTAGTATATCGCCTCACATGTTTACGGAAGCCTTTTGGATCGTCCAAGAATGCTAGCATCATATCTTTGTTCTCGAGGTCTTGGTATGGTATGTAAGCCACTGCTGTTTGAATGTTCAAAGTATTATGCATCATCCTATGGACCGACCGCCACATTGGACCATATTTCTGAAGAAAGTCAGTTCAATTCTACTGATATCTCTTTACAGTGGTTCGCTTGCTGCTACTTGCCATGGTAACAAATCTCCGACCTTCGCTTACTACATCTTGACCGAGATATATATCTGGCCTAGAAGAGTAGATGCTGCTTTTCTTGTCTAGCAGATCTTTGACAGCTGTAGGAGTTGATAGGACGATGTACGTTTTTGTTCCGAGAATGAGCGAGTAAATAGGCCTTTTCATCAGATTAACGAGTGCTTGCTTGCATAAAGTGGATAGAGGTATACCCATATTCTTCTGCCCATTTCTGATATTGCAAATGAGGCCGCTCTTTTGGTATCTAATGAACGTAAGCATTTTGAGCTACATCAAATCAAGGGGTATTCATACTAGATGAAGGTTCCCAAGGATAGGTATAGTAGGTGGCCCAGGAGGTAGATCTTTAGACCTTCTTCCTACCCGAAGTAATGTGATAATGCAATAGAGCACAAGAGCACTTCCAGCGGCTGTAAATAGCAATAAGATTGAATTCATTGTCACGCCTTGCCAAACTCAGAATGAAGAGAAGTGTAAAGCTCCAAGATTGTGTTCCGCAAATTGCGGCATATCCTTTGGATTATTATTTATTATAGATCCGAAGAGACAAAAAGGATTAGTCCACTTCCCCGCTTTTGTGAGGGTCAAACATGTGTCAATGCATTATCCCAGCTAAAAGGATACCCGGACCCGGGCAAAGATTGCCCGGAATCCGGCGGAAGGATAATCTCAGCCGTTCCGACACAGAGGGAGAGAATTGAAGAATCAGAAGCAAAATCCGTTGATCAGCTCACCCCGCTGATCGTCGCAGTTCATTGTAAGGTCTCTGGTTCAAGACTGATAGAACCATCCCAGATGACCACTTTCGAATCGTAAAAGGACTCGAAAAAGTCAGGGTTCTGGAGAAACCGTATCGTATCATGAGCCGGTATTAAGGAAGCATTCTATATCTCGAGCGCTTTGGGAAAGTAGTGTATTGTAATGAGGATTTATCCGAGTAGATGAGATCTGGTCCGAGCACGTCGATCCATGTTTCGGTAATGTTATGCTAAGACTAATGGGCAACTGAAATCGTGCAAGCTGACTGGAAAGATGACAGTGGAACCCATAATATATATACATTCAGAGGAAACCCATTTAAGAAAGTTTTGATAACAGAGATTTGGGGAAAGGGTATCATAGACGGGTACACTAGCAAAAGACAACGAGTCCTCGAGCGCCTACAACCACGAGGGCCTCCTTCATCTGTGTCTACTGACCTATCAAGTTCGTCGCCATCAAACTCAGAAGTGGTGCGTCTTTCCCCTCAAACGTTAATTCGCACGTCTAGTGGTACAGAGGTACGACTTCTAAACCCCGGAGATTCCGGCTCGTGGCCACAGGGGTATTTGAAGTGATAGCTATCCAGAAATTGTAAAGAAACTACTTTGCTCTTCACCAAATTCGTTTTCTTTGTCTGGAGGCAGTTGTCAAAAAGTTTGAAGGCGCCATATCTAGCGTTGGTGCTAATTATATGTAGCTAGGTCGGTTTCCCATCGTCAGCCTGCAAAATATGTAACTCATTAACAGGTTCCTGATTAATAATGAATACATTGACTCTGTTGGTATCATATGATACTGCGGTAAAACACTTCGTACTAGCTAGTAAAAGGTGGTCTCGTTGGTTGGTTGGTTGTTCTTGATGTTTGTTTAGAAGTGGAAGTGGGAGACGCGACGAGGTGATGACCTCTTGCTGACTAAGCCACGCCAAGTCACATGACTAGAAAGGTCGGGAGACAGCCCTTATCCCAACATAACTAATCATACGAATATGTTAAAAAAGTGCTATATTTTATAATTGTGTATTCCCTAACGGTTGCGAGTCAGGTCGAATTTGAAGGGTGTTCACAGGAGCAGTTGAAAACAATCGTAGAGTTTCTCTCATACATCCTTCGAGATAGGGAAGATTTGACGTAGAGGTCTGCATCTAATTGGTCACAAAAAGAAAGCTATTGCTGGGTTCAATTCAGACTAAAGACGGCTATCCCGTTCAATCTTACTGTACATTCAACGCCCATCAAGGTTTCATGTGGTATAGAGTACAGTAAGTGCTGACATCTCGATTAGGGATAAAGTTCGACGGTGCATAACTTTGCATAACCTTTGCACCTTTTCAAATCCCATCCCAAATGCCTCCGCGGTCTGATGCTGGATAACCCGTACGCCTTGTATCGAATCGCCTTATCGGCAGTACGGGGTACGAATATACACAAACACATGGTAGAGTTACACTCGCGTATAATAACGCTTTATGCGAAGTATACGTATTTTAAGGTCACAGTATGTTCTACTGCAGCCTCGGGAGGCTTACTTATGCTTATTTTGTGGCGCGGGCTGACCTATAATAGGAACCAACTCGCTGGACCAGCCAATAATAATGCAGATGAAAGTCAAAACATGAGTAGTAAGCAGCAGCTCCACTTAGTCACACTCCGTATCGCCCTGCTTTCTCTCTTCGGATTATTTCTCGAATCTCGATACTCGGTACTGCTGAAGGCTGATGAAATGTCGAAAACAGCCATACCGAAGGTTATGGCATGACATGGCATGGCATGGCATGAGCTCTGCTTCTCCAGTTCCGGGGATTTTGAGGAATCATTCGTGTGGATCACGATTACATACGGAGTAAGGCTTTCGGCAACCTTGGCATGAATACCTTCGTTTATCAAACGCTCCCAACAGCTCCTTTCTCACATCAGCCTCTAGCAGAATCCTACGAGCTGGAGTATATGCAGGTCTGCATACCTCGTACCTTATATACGAAATAGGCCTGATAGAGACTGTAAATTGATGAAACCAAGCCATCAACCAATCAATAAGGATATTTTAGGAGGGGAGGAGGATGTTATCCACTAATTATTTCTAAAAATACCTACCTTACCGTATTATAACCACCAACAACAGCCCCACTAGAATTTTCAAATTATGATTGGATGGGATGCCGACAAACCAAATCTTGACAAGAATTTAATGGCTACGCTGTCCCGCCCCGCGGCTGTCCGTCCTAAACCAACTCAACCCAAAAGCTGCTAGTTTCCACTGCTAGACTGTGGGAATCTTCACTAAGATAAGAAAATATTATCACGGCGCGTTCTGCAAAATGGAATGTATTGGAATACATGCAAGGGGCTCTCGAGTCCTGGCCTGTAAGGAATGCATGCAAGGGGCTCTCGAGTCCTAGCCTGTGGTTTCTTGAGACCAACATTTACGTCGTGAACTGTGCATGCTGAGCCTCCCTCGATATCGAAAATAACTTTTTATCGGCATCCTACAGAAGAGGGCGGATAAGGCGTAGCGTACTTGGCGTCCGTTGGGATGGCTTGTGATTGGTTTTCTGAGGTAGAGTATCCGCCAACTAGGAGCTGATAGCCTGTAATAGGGCATCTTGTCTCGTCTCGTCTAGTTTCGTCTCCTCCTTACTCGGAACTAGTCGTTTAACCATCCACCCACTCTCACTCTCACCCTCTCGCCCTCATCTTGAAGGGATTCTAGATTTGAGTCGCAAGCCAAATTGCTGGCTAGCTCTACCTAAGCAGTGGACGGCTTAACATTAGTTACCCTTTCCTTTCTGCAGGATCCTAAAATGGACTGGGATCCTGTTAAATTTAGGTGAGGTAACCCGTAAATGGGCTATCATATCAACCTTCATTCCTACGGCCTTGGCCAGTTGGCTTGCTTATATACTTATGTCACTACCCGCTAACATACCGTAAATTCTCAAGTGTCTCACTGTCTTTCCCACTGTCATTCTCTTTTCATTTTCCACAGTCTTCCTCAGTCAGTCCCTATCTTTGAGAAAGAAAAGCAACCGGCGCAATGGGGCCTTCACTTTCAGCTTGGAGCCCACCAAGGCTCGCATTTGCCCTACTCATTATCTGTTGGACAACATGGATTCTTTTTCCTAGTTCGGGAGAGAATGCGCTCCCTAGGTTTGGTGGGCATTCAAAGCTCCCGCCACCCCTCCCGGCGAACGAAACGTTTATTAGGGATATGTTGGAGAACGAAATTGATGGGCCGTACGATCTTGAGCCGCTGGCCGCACTATGCAGGAGCAAGGAGTATACTCCGGGACTTATCATAAAATGCAGGGCCTCGCCCGGAGGAATGGGCAATGTGAGGAATATGATGTTGAATTGCTATAGATTTGCTATTGAGGCTGGTGGTATGTGCACCTCTACGTTTGACTTGAATGTTAGCTAACAGACATCAGCCACCGGAGTTATTGTCCCACAGTAAGAATCCCTGGATCGTATCGAGTTTGAGGACAGTGGATTATTGTCACTGATAGCACAAGGTGCTGGGTGTAAAAGTTTCACAGCTCACAATCTTGCGATGCGAAGCTTCAATTCAAGATCATTGATACTAACCCCTCTTTAGAATCATGAAGCGAGGAGAGAGCTCACTATCCGACCTCTTCACCGGTATCGACTACCCATTCACGTACTTCTTCGACCTGGATCATTTCACCACCTCTTTCCGAGCAGCCTGCCCCCAGATCCACCTCTATGAAAGCCTAGCGGAACTTTCAGATTTCCCTTCCACCAACGAAGATCACGATGTCGATGCTCACACCCTCTCCCTCAAGCACCACCCGAAAGCCTACACCATGATCGACGAGCCACAATTCTGGCGCCACGAATTCTACAAATGGCTCAACGAGAACGTGCCCCCATTCTCGCGCTCCGAACCCGTCCTCGTCACCATCCCCATGCAACTCCTCCGCTGGCCCTTCAGCTTCGACAAGCCCGAGTTCGTCGCCACCTTTGGCAGGATCCTGCTGATCCGGGAAGACGTGCGCAGGTTAGCGGCTATGGTGCTGTACTCGATGGACAAGACCTACAACCTGAGTCTCAATCTCTCCGGGCCCATTCAACCGGACAAGTTCTACGGCGCGCATATGCGCACTGCTTCCGATGCGCTGGCGGTCGGGTGGCCGGGCTACGAGGAGCAGTCGAAAAACTACCTCGAAGCCGTCAGCGCCACGAACCTCTCTCTCGTCTACCTCACAACCGGCAACCCCGTCGACGCAGCGCGCTTCACCGCGACGGCAGCCACCAATAACATCACAGTAGTATCGAAGGACACGCTCCTAGCCGGCGAGGAGTTCGCGGCCGAGCGCGAGGAGATGAAGAACTTATCCTGGGACCACCTGGGCATGATCGATTACTACGTGCTGCTGCGCAGCAGTCTCTTCGGCGGCATGTTCCAATCCAGCTTCTCGTGGAACGTAGCAAACAAGCGGCACGTCGTGGTCGGCAACGGCACGTGGCAGGAGATCGCGCCCATGAACGCCGGCCTGGATACTTGGTATGATACGGAGGGCGCCCTGACGTACGATGGGCCGGAGTGTTTCAGGGATAATCTGAGTACGATTTATGGGTTGACGGATATGGATGGTGTGAGGTGGCAGTTTCCTATGGCGTTGTATCCTTGATTCCCTCCATTTGAGCCTTGTGCTTCTGCTACTAGCTACTAGGCGTAAGGGAAAATCTGGCTGCGCTGCAGTCTTGTGTTTTTAGACGGCGTTAGGAGGGAGGGCTCCTCGGATGAGGGGCTTTAGTGGGGGGTATATTCTTTCCCGAGGCATTTACATCAATACCCATGTATAGAACGCTTACTCCGTACTTTGTACCAGTTGTACTGTATATATAATACAAAGGGAATACACCTACGAGTATTTTCATAGAACAAAATCTATACCCAGAGCTTCTCTTCTACTTCCACATTTTATTTTTCTTACCTAAAAATATATAGGTAGAGACAGCAATCTAAAAAATCTACCTTTCCGACTAAAAAGTTCCAACTCTCCTCTCCAACATGAATGCACATGTTTTCATTCCCATTCCGGAATCTACACACATATCCCTGAGCCCATCGCCAGTGGCACCTTGGCCAAGATGCTTACCTTATATTACTGTACGCCCCCACCCCGATCCTACCCAGGGACCCGGCCGGGGTGCGCATTGCGTTTCACAATGTCCCAGCGGCGCAGTGCAGTGCTCTGCTCCTAAATATACATACCTCCACCGCCTAACAGTATTTACTGTACCAACAGTACCTAGGTATACCTATCCACTCGGCAGCCTACCTATCCCATGCACGCCAACATCCTACAGCGCTTCACGGCACGGCACGTACGGCAGGGCACGGGTCCCTCGCTTATTCGTAGGGGAGGGGATTCTATTCCTGGCGTTGGTTGGGACCGGAGCTTTGGGTTTACGAAGTAGGGTGTGATTATTACAGTATGGCGACATAGTACATACGTACTTCGTACTGTACGGTATAGTATTTGAGGCTTGGACTTGGTCGGTCTGGGCGTGGGGGTGGGTTTATAGAGGTGCATGTAGATGTGGAGCTGGTTCGGACTGTGTAGCTAACTACCTTGGGTATTTATTATACAGAGGGCTGGAAATGTTAGGCGATGAAGGAGAGGGCCCTTGATTACTGAGGTAGGTATGCTATGCTGGCTGGATTGTACGGAGTATCTGTACAGTAGGTAGGTGGTAGGGTATAGATTAGATTAGATTGAGGCGCGAGAGGTTTGCTTTGCTTGTAGATTTGGTCTGTGCGCTTAAGGGTATTCCTAACTTCCTGTTTTTATGCTTTGAGGTTTGAGCTCTCCTCTTCGTAGTTGTCCTGGTTAATAGAAAACCGATGGTAATGCTCTATCGAATCATGATTGTAGGCCTTTATGCTTTTGATATGGGAATAGTTAAATAGTTTCATAGTGGATAGGAAAGGGTATACTTCAATGAATATATGCTCTTGGCTTGGGCAGGAAGTATTTACTTATATATTAGATTCGTGAGATTATCTAATATGATACTACTCCAGCTAGTTTCAGTAGCTTGTCCGTTAATATAGGTTTTACAAGTGGTTCCTCCCTATCCCTTGGATCCCTTTCACCATTTGGAAGCATTGCTTTCAGATCAATGGCTCGGATGTTCGTATGTGGCCAATGCGACGTAGCACCCCATCTTTCAAAGATACCAGTCTTTATCTTCAGCGCAGCAGGAACCGCCCAACTAGCCGGCGCATACGCAACGTAGATTACCGACCTGATCTCTCGACTCGCAGGCCCCGGCTCCCCACCGTAGTGAATCGTCCGACTATCCCAGAGCACAAGATCTCCCGGCTCAGCGCACACCTTTAGGGGCTGACATCCCCTAGTCTTGAACCACTCCAGCTGCTGCGACGAAAATGGGAAGAAGTCGTTCTCAGACCAACTCCTCTTCTCCGTCTGTGTCGCGAAGAACTCCTCGACTAGATTGTGCGACCCCGGGTACACAACTAGACCCCCGTCTTCCGGCCCCGCGCGTGACAGGTTCACGAAGCCCTGCACACAGCAGCGACCGTCACGCAGAGGGCTCTGGTCTATATGTTCCCAGCTTTCATTTCTCGGCTTGTCGATTCGGTTCGGTAGCGTGACATTCAGAGAGTCAAAACTCGAGAGTAGCTCGTCGGTTCCCCAGAGATGCGCAAACGCGCCAAGGACACCGGGCTCCATGCGCACCTCCCACATGAAGCGCTCGTGGCTCACGGCGTAGTGTTTGAACAGGTTGAATTTGCTGTGCACAGGTAGGTTACTGGCGGTCCAAGTGCTGGGGTCGTTGATGTTGAGGGCCGTGCCGAATGATGATAGCCAGTCGAGGGACTGCTGGCGATATTGAGTTGCGCGCTCCGGTGGAATAGCGCCTTTTACTACATAATAACCGTCACGTTGTAAATCGTTTCGCCAGTCTGAAGTTTGGATAGAGGGCCTGGAGATGGTTGGTTAATTATGTTGAAAGGATGTTGAATGGATTTTAAGCACTTACGAGTCAATAACAGCTGAATCAGTTAATAGGACGGTTTGAGACATGGTTATTTGGGGGTTGCTCCGGGAAACTTGAGGACTGATCTGAGTATACGTCTAGATGAGTCTTTGCATTTGAATATGCATCTGACTGAAAGTGGAATATTGTACCCTGAGAGAGAGTCGAGCACAACGATGGGAAGAACCTTAAAACTTTGGCGGCGGTTAAGTCCGCCTATATGTCCTGTTCCGTACAATATTATACGAAGGTGGGAGCAAAGATAGGAGTTGAGGCATTTGACAGCACAGCGTGGGATGGTATCCGAAGTTCTGCCGCCGCACATCAGACATGGGGCGCTCGAGTAGATTCCGAAGCTCTGCCGCTAGAGATGAGATACTCGGTCATCATCCTCCAATGTAAGATACAAAGTCCTTTGAAATAGCCTGTTGTTAACAGTTAATTTGCGAAATAATCATGCCCCTGACACTTCATAGTGTGGTGGTCCAAGCATTTCCCCCAGACTACACTACTGAGTACCTCCACTGGGGTGACAGAAACTGTCCGCACCACCTGAATACCATGTGATACCACGCTACTCGTCAATTGCTGTTATGCGCCTGCTCTATGATACACTACTACTTTATGATACAACACAGTTCTATGATATGGTACGGCGGTATCATATAGCTATCTATCGATCATTCTTCCTACAGCCTGGCAACGCGTCCTATCTCCAACTGACTTACGTCTCCCGATATCCGGGATTTGGCCGCTAAGTAATCGATAACCTCACTACTAGCCCTATCTCCTATGCGGAGAAGGGCGGTGATCAACTCGCAAATATGTTCAATTGTGCCCCAAACCACAGCACAACGCCTTATCATCAGCTCTCTTTTAATCTGAGTCGCTATGTATATAAAGAACGGCCGCCTCATATCCATGATGCAACAACATCCTCCCAATTCAACTCTGAACTGTTGCAGGCATATCAACAATGGCCGACTTCTTTCGAAAGGTGGTGAAGCGCGTCGAGCTGCCTCGCGAGGACGATACTGTGACCCATGAACAGTTGTATTTGGCGAACAAGGATCTGCTGCCAGTGCCTGTCGAAAATAGAATCTGGGGGAAATGGACATGTAAGTATATTTCGGTCCATGTCTTTGCAAAAGCTAATCCCACGCAGATCTCTTCTTCTGGTTCGCAGAAGGCAGTAGTATCACTTCCCTGACTGCTGTTGGCACTGCCGTCAAGAATGGATTGGTATGTTCCCACGACTGTAATATTCCACAGCAAATAACAGCTGCTAATGATTCTGTGTAGAGCTGGTGGGAAGGTACAAAACTCCACTCTTCATATTTATATGATACTAATTTAGGTACTAGCTTGGCTTGCCTGCATCCTCAGTCATCTCATCCTTGTCGGATTTATGGTGTGCACTGGGCGATTAGGAGCTTCCTATCACGTGCCCTTCCCCGTCGTGGCTCGTGCGAGTTTTGGAACATGGGGTAGCTACTGGCCCCTCATATCCAGAAACATCATGACAGTTATCTGGTCCGGTGTGCAGGGTGTGTCTACGTAATATCGGTGAACAAACTTTAGTGATAAACATCTACTAACAATATACCAGAGGAAACTGTATCTACCTGCTTCTACACGCCTTGACCCCAAAAATCGCGAAGGTCCATAACCCTTTTTCCAAGGATGTTACGATGACCGGTGGTCGCTTGATCGGCTTTTCAATAGGCTGGTTTATTACACTTATGTGTTGTTTCGTCCCCCCTCACAAGTTCTCTAGACTTGTAGCCCCAAAAAGTATCATTATGAGTATCTTCATCTTAGTCTTTTTCGCTTGGACCATTGCTAAAGGAGGTGGAATCGGCAACACAATATATCGCTCCACTGTTATTCCTAAGGGTATGAGCCATGGCTGGGTATGTCTCTTCCTTTAGGCTTTAACAAACTGAACGTCCGTTTCTCCTGGAATATGGCTAACTTTCATCTAGCTCTTCTGGTCTCAGACCATGGTCCAAACCGCATCAAATATGACATTCGCAGCAAACAACTCGGATTTAACCCGGTATGCACGCAGACCTAATGACGCCTTATGGATGCAAGTCATCGGGTACCCCATCGGTACTGGCATCGTTGCCTTCTTCGGTGTTTTTATCATCTCAGCATCCCAAGCTATATATGGCAAAGTTCAATGGGACCCAATTGCGATCCTTGATGGTTTCCTGCTTATGGACTATAGCCCAGCAACACGTGCCGGTGTTTTCTTTGTGGCTCTTGGTTTCTCCTTCTCTCAAGTTACAACTATGATCTTCGCCAACTTGATTAGTGCGGGTAACGATACTTCTGCCCTTGTTCCTAAATATATCAGCGTTAGACGAGGTGCTATTATTGCTATGATTCTCTCATTTGCGATTACACCATGGAATCTATCCAAGACTAGCTTTGCTTTCACCAACTACCTTGGCAGGTAAGTCAGGCCTATGGGCAGGAAGCCTAGAAATTATCAAATCCGTACTGACATGTTCCAGCTACGACGTGTTCCTCGCGGGTTTCGTCGGCGTAATAATCGTCGACTACTTCTGGGTACGCCGCGGATTCCTCGACATCCACCAACTCTTCTCCGGCAAAGCCGACGGCCTATACTACTACACCCACGGATTCAACTGGCGTGCATTCGCAGCCTACTTCCTAGGCATGGTTCCCTTTCTCCCCGGTTTCGCTGCCGTCTGCGGCGCCAAGCACATCCCGGACGCTGCCAAGAAAATCTTCGCGCAGTCTGCCATCTTCTGCATCCTGCTGAGCGGTGGCTTGTATGCGCTTTTCTGCTGGATATCGCCACCGGCTGGCGGTATGCAGAAAGTGTGGAATGAGGTTGAGCCTGGGAATGATTTCATCCCGAGGGTTGATTATGTGGATGGAGAGGAGGGTATTTATGATGAGGAGAAAGATACTGCGGTGGTTGAGAGTAAATCTGCAAACTAGAATATATACAAGCTAAGAATGAGAACTATTGTAGCGGGCCGAGAGTAGTTTATAGATAGGGATAGTATTAATGTGGCATAACGTGATTTACTAGTACGCTGGCCATATCAGTCTACTAACCACCTTTTCCCATATTACTACTTAATTTTAGCACGCATTTTCTGGATATGGTTGCCTACATATAGGGGCGAAAACAGGAGGGCGTTATTTGCGAACACGTGATGCAAAACAAATCAGTACTACGGTTCAAGGCATGTCTAGGAGTTCTAACCACTGTTTCCTATTCCTATTTCTATTTCATAGTATAATTCATAACTATCTAGGTATTTCAAGAAGTTCTGCTCCAACCAACCTGCCACCCGCGTGCACGTGCATCTCCCTCTAGCAGCCAATCATTCATGACCTACGGCTCAGCTTCGCAAGGCGCAGCAAACTAACCCCTCCTGAACCCCCTCCTTCCTAGCCCAGTCACCGTAGACAAACAACGTCATAGGTACGGAGTACCCGTCCCGTACCTGTGTGAGGGTGAGGCTGACTGGTTTCAATATAATCCTTGCCGAACGGAACTATCGAGGCAGAGCAGGACACTTAATTACTCAGCCTTGCTTGGCCTTGGCCTTGACTGACATTCATCAATCACTCCATCGAACGATACGAGTATATAATCCGTATATTCCCCTGCAACTCCCCCAACCCTACATCTACATCAACACACGCATACGAAACAAAAACCAACACAAAAACAACATACACAAAGGAACGCAAAGATGTGTTTCGGCAGTAAACCACAACGCAAATACGGAGCGCCGAATTCACGACCGTATAAAGGGTAAGTCCAGTCCAGTTTCCTCCCCTAACTAGTCCCCGTCTCGCCTTGCCTGGCTTTCCCCAACATCAAAACACCGTACCCATCTCCTCCAAATCCGCCCAGTCCCCCACCCCCCATCATATCCACAGACATACTAACATACCTACGCAAAACAGCAGCAGAACCCGCCGTGGCAACGCAGGAGCTTACTCAGGCGGAGGCGGCGATGGCGGAGGCGCTGGTGCTTATTATGGAGGGGGAGGACATCATCATGGTGGGGATGGGGGTGGTGGTGGTGGTGGACATCATGGTGGTGGAGGGTGGGGTGGCGATGGAGGTGGTGTAAGTTTTTCTTTTCTTTTCTTTTCTTTTCCTTTCCTTTCCTTCCTATTATATTACATTATTCGGCTTAAGCTCTCTCCCTCTCTTTATACCGAGAAAGAAAGATACGGGTGATCACAGTAAAGCAAAGCAAATACTGATTGTTTGACAGGGAGGTGGAGGTGATGGCGGAGGAGGCGGGGATGGTGGAGGGGGTGGTTCTTGATAAAGAATTGCGCGCTTTTCCTATCTGGAGACTGGGGTGTTTTGATGATATGATATGATACACGGCTTACGATTGCTTATTTGCTTTCTTGCTTATCAGCGCACTGGGATGGTGGATTGGGGATTTGTACTAAGTTGGGTTGGTTTCTTATGGATTAGGTTAGGAGGGGACTTTCATTTCGTTTCGATTTGATCAGGGGGCAATGCATATCAAACGGCAGAGCAATTTCTGAAGATGATGGAGTGGTGAATTCTTCATTTCATGCTCTAAGGCTTCCTTGAATCTTTCATCCTCATATCCAACTCCATACTCTCTCCTCGCGGGCCTTTTCCTTCCTCCTCTACGGATTGTTCGCTCTCCAATATAACATCGTTTTGTGTTTGGCCGTTCATCTCCCTTGGGTCTTTTCGACGGCTTCTCCTCTGTGATTGCAGTCAAGTAGTCTTTGAAGTCGCAAACCCGCGGTGAAGATTATCCTCTCGGATTGTTCCACTCTAAGCTGTTTCATCGGACTGCGATGTACGTCCACGGATTCATTCTTGATATCCAGCACACTGCAGAAACTCGTAGTGGGATCTTGGTAGAGTGATCGATAGCGAGAACGGAGTAATGATGCGTGTTCAAGCCTTGAAAATCTCTTTATTTGTCAACCGTGATAACAGTTGTCTTATGTATACCAGTCCCCAAGTCCTCCACACCTCCACGATGATCGGTCACCCCCCCGAGCTCCATCCTATGTTCTTTCTGTTCCCCAACCCCGCACGACATAATCCTCGCAAGGCTGAACAAAGCTGAGGCTTTATGACAGCGGCCGGCGGTAATCTCTGTAGTGACGGATGATCGAGTCAGGCTCAAACCCAGCATATCTGCAAATTCGGGGCTGTAGTGTTTCGAGCTACCGGTATTCCGATCATGCCGGTGTGGAAGCCGGCTTTCACCCACCATACTCTCAGCGTCCGCAACCTTGAAGTCGACGGGTTTAGTTGAGAAGAAGAAATTGTTGAGAAGAGGACGAAGTGTAGCAATATTGGCGGCTGTGATGGCGATTGCCGGCTCCACCATTGACCATTTGACGAGGTTTATTGCTTCCCAGGAATAATCCTTGGTTTGGGAGAGGCTTCTGATGTAGAAGATGCGAACGATGGTAGCGGAACTCGCACTATAATTATCAGCAAATATTCAAGAACATGACGACGAGCTGAGACAATGACGTACAAAAACCCGAGGGAAAGGATGAGAATGACTGAAAATTTGGTTCGTGGGTTCATCTGCATCCTTCTAACGAAGAAGATGGGAAGGATTCCAAAAGACCAGTCAGTGATTGCGGACATTACAGCATGCGCATCTACGCATCAGAAGTCTAGTCAGTTTTCTTCTTAGCATAATGCGAAAAGAGTAAATGCAAATTGTCTCTACTCTTGGGGATCTATATAAATCACTTACAAGTAACATTTGCAAGTATTGTACTGCGTAAGCATGAGCCTTGGCTGTTGCCAAACTCGGTCCACAAGAAATCGATTGGGCTGCATTGGAAAAGCAGGAAGAAAAAATATGTTGTGGTGAATACCATGACAATAGTCAGAGTAGAGTAGACGATCCGTGTCTGGTATTTCTTGCTGCAAAGGCGGAGAAAATATGTCCCGATTGAGAGTTTGGCCACTGCTGTTGTCACAACATAAAGAAGTTCGCAAATAAATATAATCTAAGAGCATCAGTCGCTGACGAATAGGTTGTGTGTCTTTCCCCGTACCTTGAATCCCGATTCCTTGTCGGTCGGCGGGATGTTGTTCATGTGGGCACCAAGTCCATATTGTTTTGCTGATAGAAAGAGAGAGCAAAGGAGAGTAATGAGGATCTTGTGGGTATCAGCTAATGTTTCAAAGAGAAGACGTTGGGGGGCTACCATGGTTGCAAACATGAGCCAGTCCTCTTGGCCAACAAACTTGAGTATCCGAGTTCGAACATACAGACGGAGTAGAGCGGATATCCAAGTCAACAAGAGGGCCATTACCGCAATGCCCGTGACCTGCGCACCTCGGGTGACTCCTGTAAACATTGCGAAACTGTCGGTCTGGTATAGGTAAGGGAAGGTAAGGGAACAGAATGAAATGAGATATGAAAGGACTGGCTTCAAAAGACTACAACTGAAAGCTGTATTGGAAAAGAGAGCTAAGGAGGCATTAGGATATGAGATATAAGGCGAAGGAAGTGAACTAGAAGAGGGATAGTATATTAGTGTGGAGAAATACCTAGGGGGTAGGAGTAGAAATAGTTATTTCGAATCGACTGAAACGCAATGGAAGGGAGCACTGTTATGAGTCTGGTCTGTTGGTATACCTAAATCTCCTAGCGTCGTGAATCAGCTTGCACTGCACTGCGCTTGCCGAAAACGTTGGATATACCTACCCTTTCCCTTCAAGGGAGCGCGGCTAGCAGCCACCCTGTGCATCCTCAGCCATACCCAACAGCCATTTAGCGCTAGCATAGCCCCAGAAGCACTGCTCTGAGAATGCTCGAAGATGCTGGAGAAGTTCATTGTGTCCCCGCAAGACAAAAGTCACGCTACCTGAACCACCCCTTTAGATGTGAGACTGTCAACAACCATCTAAGTACTGAGCTTATCAGGGATTCCGGCATGAAAGATGAGAAGCCCAGGAATAAGATGCGAGAAGATTCAAGACCCGACATATGGAAAATGCGCGGAAAATACGCCCACTCCGGACGTGGATAGAAGCGAACAAATATCGTACGGAAATCCTTGCGCTGAGATACGTTAGAAGCCTGCCTTGAACTCCTCAAAAATGCATGAAGATCAAATCAGATTCTAACTTCTTCTCACTTTTGATCAATGGTTGCAAATCAAATGGAGGATCTTGTATTCTCGGCGGCGAATCGAATAAAGTCCTCCCCAAAGAACATTTCAGTCCACCGTTTTGAAGATTCCATTTCTCACAACAAAATCGTCGACCTTGGGTATATTCCAAGGCTAGTCTGTTTTCTACCTGCCAGCTATATTTTACCCACCCACCCCCTTTTGACAACTACTGTCACATCTCCCGTCTTTCTTGGAGCTATAGTAACATAACCAGCGTCCCAAATAAGGCATGATGGAAGCACGCGCTTTGTGTAGAACCAATCAACCTGACTATTCGAGCAAGCAACATCCTTACCTGTCAAAGTGGGCTAGTAAATTAATTTTTGGCGGGGGAGCTACTTCGCAGTCTCTCTATTGCTGTTTTCGGAAACTTCCTCGTTAGCGACTCCTACATCGCCTTCGCCAGTACTCTCGATGAAATGGGTGATGCGTGTCGTGGGAAGCCAAGCCGATTCTGGTGTAAACCACCAAGAGATAAGTGCAAAAATTGTGACCGCAGCCATGATGATCGGTGCATCTAAAACGGACGAGAGTTAGCCAATGGATTAAAAACATTTTCTTTTCGTGTCCCAAAGATCCACGATCCAGAAACGACTATCAAAACGTACAATTTAGTGTCTGGCCCGAAACTGGGAATTCGTAAGGCGAGAAGAGAACCGCAACGACCCATCCATTCCAGAAAATACCAATGAACTGAAAGGGCCTGCTCAGCTTCCCCAAGCTCCATCTCGGCTTTGGGAAGTTTTTGGGGGTGAAGAAGAATCGACCGAAACAGATCAATCCGTACGCAGCAGCTGATGGCACGCCAGCAGCCGATATCAGCGATGTGAACGCTACTGCTGAAGGTAGGATGGTGCATGTGACAATGGCAGCAACTCCCCAGACAACGAGAACAGCATTCTTCGGCTGGCCTTTGCGTGAAACTTGCGAGACCCAACCCGAGAAAGGTAGAACGCCGTCTCGAGCTACGGCGAATACAAGGCGAGACGCCGCGACAATGGCAATTGCGGTGTTCTGGATATTCATGTTAGATATTTGGTCTGGAACTTTTGATTTAACTCCGGGTGACTTACTAGCCACAATGCAATGATGCAGATTACATTCATGAAGACGTGTCCTCCACGCCCGAGAACAAGGGCGTAAAGGGGGACGAATGGCTGAGGAGCAGAGAATGAGAACAATGTATCGGCATCAGGCTACATTCATCAGCAAGATCATGGGCCAACAAAGTCAATTATTGAACTTACCGCACAGAACAAAAAGAGTATAATTGCTAGGAATCCACCGATTCCGCTTACAACTGTACTCCAGAAAATACCTCTTGCTGCGGTAGTAGCTGCATTCTTGGTTTCCTCTGCAACGTGCCCCGATGCATCAAATCCAATCAGGATTCCAGCCGTGGCTAGGTATGACAGACACCAATTCCATCCGGGTGGAGCTCCCGTTCCATTGTATGTTGACATGAATGCTTGCTCGGCAGTCCTAAAACCTATCGTATTGGCGGTTCCAATAGGAAGCCAGATAACATTGAGAAAGAAGTCCAGCAACACAAAGAAAGATGAGATGTAGAACACATATCGAAAAAGACGTTCTAGATGGAGTTTAGTGAGGTTCAGGCGCTATTTAGTAGATGAACGACTCACGTGGCAAAAAGTTGACCAAGGCGGCAGTTGCCAAAAGAAGTTCTGTACATATCCACTGCACCGCTCGAAACTTGACATTACTGGAGTCTGAAGGAAAGTCGACTCCGAAAACAGTGATTTCCTATCAATGAATTAGTATACGTGGTGGAAATCCTACAATTTTAGCACTCACAGAGAGCATATAGTTTGCTGCTGCTTGAGAATTACCTAGTTTCTAAAATCAGTACCAATTATAGGATAACATTCGAGAACATCATATTTACTTGCACAAAAGGTCGTCCATGCCGTAGTACTCCACCAAGCCACAATAAAGCCGAAAAGACGCCCGAACAGAGGACCGCCGGATTCCGCGGCCCATAAGTAGATAGAACCAGCTGACGGCGAAGCCGAACATGCTTCAGCAATCACAGCGGCAGTGATAAAAGTAAAGACACAAGTGATGATATAGCTCGTCCTACACAGAAAATCAATCTCACCTAGATGGACTGGGACAGTATGGAATTACTTACCAGTAAGCCAGGTTTCCACCAGCAGCAATGCCCGTGCTGAACGTGACTCGGACGCCACCTACAAAATACAATGCAGCTGTTTGGTTCTTAGAATTGTAAATAAAGTCAGACGATGCTGCAAGAGGCAATATTCAACGAACCAAAAGATGTTGAAAAGTTCTCAATCAGGCCATATGTACGAGTAAGAACCTGTATATTGTTTTAATACACGTATTCTACAGATCAATCTTGATGTACATACTGGCTTGTATCCCAATTTCTCCTAATCATCCATTGAATAAGAATTCTATAGTAGTAGCTTTGGCAGATCGAGCGACTTACGAGCAGAAGATCATCGGCGCCTTTAGTACTCGCCGCTTCCTCGGATGCGGAATTACCATCGGCATGGTCCTGTTGACCGCTTAGCCGATTCGTATGGTTAGGTGCCGAACTATGCATCATCCTGTGATGCTATAATGAAATAGGTAGAGTAATGATTCAACCAAAATGCGAGAGTGAAGACTGCGAAACTGCAAAGTTTTCCATGTGCGCCGTTACACCGTGAACGGTGACTTTTGGACCACGTGTTTGACGGAACACCGGATTAGCTTAGTCATGCATGAGGATATCTCATCGCAGCACCCGTAAGATCTCAGCAAAGTCAAGTCTTCACCTTACTCCTTAAATCGAAAAAAAAAAACCCCCTGCCTCAACGCTACGGAGTAAGCGTACTCGTAGCGGCAATGACGCGATAACAGAAGTGGTACTGTACCATACTATCAGTTCTCGAAATCTTTCCAATGGTTTAGCAAAGTAATATAAATAAGGATTGATGAGGAACAAGCACACTATATATACTGTATACTGTACCAGATATACCTTATGCTTTGGGCAAGGCAGAAATCGGTCGTTACTGGGCCAATATAATGGATTGGTTGGCTGAAGACCCACTTCCCCCCCCTTGCAAGGGGCTTAAGCGATACCCCGCGCTGCTCCTTTCCTTCACTGCATAAAGGCTCACATGAATGTCACGAATATTAACAGTAACCGCACCGCGGGCACCTACCTGTTAAGGGTTTACAAGGTATCGAAATCCCTGGAATCTGTGCCAAACAGAACTCCCAAAGGCATTACCATATGCCAAATAACTATTCTCTTCCTCCATTAGCCACTACATATCAGCTCTAAAGCAGTTTCACCCGTGGTCTATATTGCGGAACGAGCAACAATCATGTCAAAGCATTCCAGACACGAGTCTTAACTCACACGAGAGGGGACAAGCGCTTCGATGATTAGGTCAGAAGGTGCTAGTGTGCTTAAAGAGCGTTGCAGAAAGTCTGTCTCGAGAGTATACAGACAAGAAAAGTTCCATTCCCATCAACGCATACAGAATCAGCATGAATCTGAGATCTTCGACAATAACGGCCGCCATGCCCGGAACCACCATAACACGAGAAGCACGAGAAGCGAAGGTCCAAGAAGAGCAAGCCCGAGAAGAGCAAGCCCGAGAAGATGGAATCCGCCTCCAGAAGCTTCATGCTTGGAAAGACGCCGGATATGAGGGTTTTCAGGCGACAGTGGATTGTGACAATTTTTTCAGTGAGCTTCGTGCCACGATCTCACGATGGGAAGTCACCAGCGGGCAGGAAATGGTTGCAGGTTCGAGAGAAATAAATAGGGAAGATGCCTATACACTAGGCCAACCCTTGGAGACTTATGAACGGGCTCTAGAGCTGGTCGTGGACAAAAAAGTTGATGAGAAGAGGGCGATGAAGGCATGTGATGAGGCGAAAATGGTGTTTTTGGAAAAGGTAGAAGAGGATGAGGACGTGAAAGAATGCTGATAGACTGTCTCGAAGGAATAGAAATGCAGCTTGCATGCGTTCTCACGGCACCCCCTTGGCCATTTGCGAATATTTATGTACAAGCGATGATTTGTTGACGAGCAGTGATACCACATTTCCATAGTGTTCAACAGTGAAAGAGTCATTCTTAGTCTGGCTGTAAACTCACCCGTCTTGGAGTGTAACGGTAGAATGAGTAAATATGATTTAGAAAACGAAATTAGATGCCAAGATACGTACTCAGAACTTCAAGCAATAAGATGCTACGGTCATATCATGGAACTGGAGAGGTTCACCACGGCCGGGGGTGGGTTGCTCGGATGAAGGCGGTCAGGTCAGACTGGCTAGTCATTCACCAATTTTAAAAATATAGATACAAGAAAAAACAAACAAGAAAAAACAAAGAAGAAAAAGCGCAAGCTTCTTGGCTTAGCACTCGCCCCACGATAAGCAAGCCAGCTCTTAATGATGGCTGCTCCCGAGTCTAACGTCGGAGTTCTTTCAGCGGAAGCGCAAGCAGAGAAAGTAATCCTCGCCACATTGATCGCTCTCGTCAAAACGCCAGCCGATATCCTCGGGGCGATCCATTATCTAGATAAACGCGGCCATACGGAGGGTGATGAGCTTAGGGAGACAGTATTCGAAGCTGTGATGCAGGAGGCGGGCGCAGATTTCGTGAGAGCATGGGATGAGATCAGCTTCTGTCGAATGGTCGGAGAGCCGATAGCCCACATCGTGCGTATCGGCCCTGGTTCCGAGGAACAATCTGTTGATTGAGGAATTGCATATTTTGGCTTAGCATTGGGTGATGTTGGCTGGAAATGGAGCACTGGGGAGCTGGGGGAGCACAAGGAATTCAAGAGGGGTGGAGTTAAAGGCAGCTCAATGCCAGGTCAACTTCGGGCGTTTTTGGCGGCATAAAAACGAGAGAAGGGTTTCGATCAATGGACATCTGACACTATGGGTGACGCTCGATCTAGAGTGGTGGAGGTCTATCACAAGTTTCAGGAAAAGAAGGGGGTGTTCAGTTATGGTACAGAGTTCTCCCAAATTCCATCATGACAACTGACTAATGCTAGCTAGGCTCGGCTGAGATGGAGGTAAAGGAATGCCTGAAAATTAAGCCTCGTCCTGATGATCTCCAGGATACAGGAGCCCAAGACACGGATACAGGAGGATTGCACAAGAAAACTCCAAAACTGACGGAGCCACGACAGACTGATGCTGGGGGCTCGAGCTCACTAAATGAGGAGCCAGAACGCCTTCGCAAACGACGCAGGGCAGAACTGGGCCTAACTTCAGAGTCAAACACCCGTTCGGACGGAATCACCCTTGTCGAGGCGGTGGATTTTAAGGAAGCGGCAGCTAAAGCCACCAAAGCTGCGGAAATGGTCAAACTACTCCAGCTTTCAAATACAGCCAAAGCCAAGGCCCTGCAAGTAAGACGAAACTACGACAGTACTCTCGACGACATGGATGGTGTCCTTGCGAAATGGGCCGCGGGGCATAGTGTACAGATATCGAGTTTGGAGGATGTATACATTCAGATATTTATGCGCTGCAACATCTGGCTGCAGAGTTTCAACGAGCCAAAGCCAGTATCGAGAAAGCGGATCGCAGCGAATTTGAGGCACAGAAAAAGCTCGCGGAGTATAAACAGAAGTGAGGGTGAGGGGACATGATCGGAGTCCTTCCAAGGAAGCAGTTTGACCTTGGCCATAAGTTGCCATTATTGTAGGGGACACAGTCAGGAGAGGCTCAGTTGTATTCCACAGTTGCATTCATCTCGTGAGAGAATTAGACGGCATTCTGCGAGAGAGTCTCCAAGAATACATGCACTGAAGCTCTTTGAAATGCGGTGAGTATAATAACTACTCCGTAGAATCTTTCAGTGAAGTAAGCAAGGGGTGAAGAGGTTACTGTACGATGAGCGAGTGGCCAATCAGAAGGCGACGAATGGAAATGCAGCTAGGTACTGGCGCCACACCAAAATCAACCCCTGTCCATTGCCCTGGGAAAGGAAAGTTTGGGGACCTTGATGGCTTGCTATTACTTACCCGAAACAGCCAAAAGCAACATCGTCATTGCACCAACGTAAAGACCCTTGCCCTCTCACTAATCATCGAATCCCTCGACCTCCCTCGCCCTCGCCCTCGCCCTCGCCTTCGCCCTCGCCCTCATGTTTGCTGTCTCATCTTCACTATAAATACCCTCCGCCATAAATTGAAGGAAGAGAGGCTTGAAGACGCCTATCGTTCAGTACAGTGCTCTCCGACTTGCGCCGGAATACCACCAAGTCCGCAGGCAAGAAGGATCCCTTGACCTGGCTGCCCAGGCTGGATACATGCAGAAGTATGGGGTCCAGCATGGATAATGATACTCGGGGATGGATTATGTGTGTAGTCAGTGGAATTGGTAGGTCAAGTTTTTGCGTCTGGGGGGGAAGTATAAGGTAGCTGACCCCTCTATTAGCTTGTGTCGCCGGAGCCAGCATAATTTGCGTCGATGTATTAGTACGATTGATACCGAGTAAGAAGAACTTCAGGATACAGGATAGTAGTGTCTTCCTTGCATCCTCGTTGAGTCTGAGTTTTGGAGTCATGGTGAGTCTTGACCAAGCAATCCATCTTTGTCAGACCAGATGCTGACGGAATCTAGCTTTTCTCCGCCCTGTACAGCATGCTCCCGTCCTCGAAAAAGTACCTTATAAAAAGTGGATATACACCTTCAGAGGCGGCATGGTTATTGCTTCTCGGGTTTATGGTTGGGTTCGTTGGGATACAGGTTATTTCGAGGTTTCTGCACCACTATATCCCCTCGCATGTTGTCGACTGCGATCATAATCATGAGGAGGAAACAAACCACCACTCCCACGATCATAGCAGAACACAATCGCATGGGAGCCACAGCCATTCACACCACTGCAAGGCATCGACGTCTAATCAGAGGGCGACTGAATCTACCCCTCTACTACCTGGCGAGGAAGCATCCAACGGGAACGGTAGAGCTTTACCCCCACCTGTAGATAATTCGATGCCAAGAAACAGCAGTGGCCCCCCCCGCTCCCGGCGGGCGACTGACAATATCGGTCATCGAAGACCCTCTATGATTGAGGTGCAGAAGCGGGTTTTATCTTTTGTGAAAGACACCAAGACGAATTGTGATTCCACCGGACCATGTTTTGGATACTCAGACCCATGTGGCCAAGAATGCTTCAAGCATATCGCCACCAAAACAGCTCCCAACAGCCGACACCCAACCTTACTCCGCACCACAACAGGTTCCTTATTTCCCCCATCCTCCACCATATCCGAAGAAGACGACGACGAACCTCCCACCCGCCGCTCAAGAACCACCACTCGCGCCCACTCCCGCGACCCAATGGACGAGGCCTGTGATTCGGAGTCTGACACCGAAGACCTGGAAGCACAACATCATCACCACGTCCCCGAAAACGCCTTCATGTCCATAGGCCTGCAAACATCCATCGCCATCGCCCTCCACAAGCTCCCCGAAGGGTTCATTACCTATGCAACCAACCACGCGAACCCCTCTCTCGGATTCTCCGTCTTCATGGCTCTCTTTATTCACAACATCACCGAAGGCTTCGCTCTCGCCCTCCCTCTCTTCCTTGCTCTCCACTCCAAATTCCGTGCCATGTTCTGGGCCGCGGTACTGGGAGGAGTGAGTCAACCTTTAGGTGCAGGCATTGCTGCAGCTTGGTTCAAAATTGCCGGAAATAAGGGCCACAAACCTGGAGAAGCAGCTTATGGAGTGATGTTTGCTATTACGGCCGGCATTATGGCTAGTGTGGCCTTGCATCTCTTTGTTGAAAGCTTGAGTCTGACGCATAATCGGCAGCTTTGTGTTGCGTTTGGGTTTGTGGGTATGGCGATTATGGGGATCAGCAATGCTCTTACTTCTTGATCTGAGTTGGATGAAAGAATGGTTGCTACTAATGACAATGATGTATAAAGGGAGATGGAAGGGATACTTGCGGACTCAGGACTGTATTTTTATATGAATGAATTGCAAAAGCGTTGGCGTTGGAAATTGCATTGGGAATGGATGGAGGGGAAAGCATTATTAGCATGGAATTGGGTGTACAAGCTTGGTGTTATGGTTAGATTATTCTTCTCGCGAAAATTATAGACATTGAAGCTTGACTTCTTGGTGACTAGATGTAGTCCACATTTGCAAACGTCTGCCAGTTGATATAGAGGACCGAAGACAGCAGCAATCACTTGAAACTCGCCCCAGCTAAATCTCGTCACACGCTTCTTTTCATTTCACTTCTCATTACGCTATGTACAGAGTTTGCAGAATTTAGATATTTTGTCCAATCGGTATTCCGTTTTGTCGATTTTGTATAGTACACGCTCCCCTTGCCTGCGGGAAAGGAACTAACCACTTTCGGGCTTGAGATGTAAATACTTAGACGTATTTATACGCTCCTAGCCTTGGAAATGCAGAGTTCTTGACCCCTTTTTTCACTCTTCTTCTCCTCGCCTACAGTAGCCTAGCTTTTTCCAACATTCCCTTCCCGCTCCAGTCCAGTCACACCCGCCACTCCCTTCTCACGTGCCCTACCTAAAATCGATGCGCTCTCCTCTGCTGCGTCCTCCAAGCCGTATACCCAACATACGAACCCCCAACTAAGCCGAAGAACGCAACGACCTTGAAGAGAAACCAGGTCCAGCTGCCCGTGCTTTCCTTCTTGACAGGCTTCCCCTTTGTGGGCCCGCTCCTACTTCCTCCTGCACTCCCGCTATTGTCAGCCCTGCTCTTCGTGTCATACAGATTTCTCGTCGCCACGCTGATAATATCATGGTTATCGCTCAGCTCGCCCGTCTCTGCACTAAAGCCTAGATATGCCACAGAAGGGATGGTCGGCGGTTCGCTCGTCTCAAAGCACAACTCCCACTGGTCCTCTTTCTTATACTGCAACTCGAGCTTCAGACTCGTGTCCTGGAAATACGTCAATTTCGCCTTGGTAGGCTGGTTGGCATTCCTAATCCCCCGCGCGCTGCAGCCCATGAACTCGTTCTCCTTGCCGTCGTTCGCTTTGTCGTAGGCCTTTTGCCCGTCGCCCACCATGGCCATTACGTAGGGGAAGACGGTGCCCGGCCGGTTGTTCTTGTACGTGTCGAAGAAGATCCCGAGGCCTTCGAAGCGGTCGGTGCTGCCGAATACGTCGCCGCCTGTGGCCCGCTGCTTCGTGAGCCACATTGCGAATCCGTCACCATGGAGGGTGCCGTCGCCGTGGATCTTGAATTCTAGTTCGATCTGTTCGGTCGCCCATGTCAGCCAGAGAGTGGGTTTTTATGTATTTGGTGGTCGGGGTATAGTAGAGGTTTTGATTGGGTGCAAAGCAGCGCAGAGACAGATAGACAGACCTCCCAGTTTGTGGCTGTTAGTGGCACCCGTGAGAATATCCATCCTGCTTGTGAGGGCCGGTCCGATGTAAGTCGTATGTATCTGTACCACGCATCAGCCTCTCTCCCCTCCCTGCCACAGTACTGTCCACATACTTGTCTGCGCGTATAATTGTATCCCCACCAAAATCAAACCAGCGACTCTGCATATCAGAATCCAAATACGGCTACACACGCCCAAAACGAATGTCAGCTCTAAACAAACATTCCACCCCCCCTTACATCCGCCATGTAATGTAGATCGTTTCGTTTACGGACCTGTTGAAGAGTATGCGTGCGCAACTACTCCAGTAAACCTCATTAGCATACAGTCTCTTCTATCCGGGAGGAAGATCGGGGCAAACAAACAGGTATACTCCGAATGCCATCCGCATTTGTCGTCGTCTGGTCATGAATACCAGCCATTACACATGCTGCCAGCCATAGCGCGGCCGACAGCGATGTGGAAAACCACATGATTCCTATCCTTAAAGTAGTAAAAGCAAAGTAAAATGCCCAGGCACGGAACTGAATGTACGTGGGAAGGACGGAGAGAAGAATCGAAAGAACAAAAGCGTCGCGCTGCAAATCAAAAAAGGAGAAGAGGCTGAGACTCTCCAGTATTCGATAGCTGGCCTTTCTGCGGAGTGCAGTAATCCCTGCACGTCTCTTCCGATGTTTTGTTCCTGAGGGATTATTGTTGATCCGAGCCGAGCTCCCCAAGCCAAGCTCAAGCAAAAGTTTGGATGACATCGACATCTGTTATTTTACAAGCAAAGCAAAGCAATCAATCCTCAAACAACCACGGAATTCCTTAAATCGACAAGAATCAGCACCTTGTTTTCGAAGACAAGAAAGGACAAAAGGGAAAATGGATTCATTGAATAGCTTCGGCGCCTCGGCCGACCCCAAATCAGCAGTCATGAACCAAGTACGACAAGAAGCAGCCATGAACAACGCTAGATTACTGATCGAGGTACCTATTTATCCCTCTTCCCCGCTCACTCACTTCCTCTACTCATGCTCGGAAATATACCGAACTGATGCTGATTCCCCAAAGAAAATAAACGACCACTGCTTCGAACGCTGCGTGCCCAAACCCGGCTCCTCCCTCTCATCTGGCGAGACAACCTGTTTTACGCAGTGCATGGAGAAGTACATGGCGGCGTGGAATACGGTATCGAGACAGTATATCGGGCGGATACAGCAGGAACAGGGGAAGGCGGCTGGGGGTGGGAGCGGAGGCATGTTTTAGGCTGATGGGGATCTGTTTGTGGGAGTCCGAGGTCATGATGAGAGGGCCAATTGTACAACTACGACACCGTGAGACGTGGGCATTGCATTGGGAGGCGCTGTATTATATGTATGGATGGGACCTTGCCTGCTGGGCTGCGATGGATTTGGCGTGATGTGATAGATGGACAGCAAGCATGAATCACCACTTTGATTAGTTATTTTTTGGAGGGGTACTTGGATAGACCAACTTGTATTCGAGCCTCGTTCAAGCAATCCAAAGCAGTGGAAGTGTCTCGCACTGAGGTATGTTATTAGTGTGACACGCAGTTGAGAAAGATAAAAAGTAAGTGAGGATGTTTTATTATTGTCAATAAAGAACCTGTTCTAAGTACTATGCGTTAGTCGTTTTCTTATTTAATTCGTATCAACTGATATCCCCGAGTTTGTCGCCACATAGGGAGGAAAGATGTTGTATTCAAATAAAAATTGCACAGTACAGTACGCTTAAGCTCGACATGAATCTTGTCTAGATCTACTATTGTGGTGGGGTGATATATGTAACAGGTGCTTGGTTCCACTGCTAAACCTATGGCCAAGGGTTTACTTCTACCCCAGCTACGTATACGACTTACCTTCATGGCAGTATCCACTCACATCACACCTCACCCCATGCAAATCGTATACGATAATCAAAAATATATCATTCTCTCATCTAATATCTACTTATAATCTTCTTCCTACTCTAATCTCGCTCTCCCTAGCAAATAATCCCACCAAACAATCCCACCAACATGTAAAAGTAAAACGCCACAAATGCTATGCTTCAAGGGTATGAATATGCAAAACTCCGACCATGAAAACTTATAACCAATCAAAAGAAAAATATCTCCATCTAATGTATGCATGCATAATATCTAGTGCCGGATATGCCCATCCTTTTCCTCTAGTTCTCGCATGTATTTTACAAATGTTTTCTTGTGGATCTGTTTTATTTTTGTTAAATAATGATTATCATGCGGAGATGGGACTGAAAAAGTAGGGAATGGTAAGAGGTAAGAGGTAAGAGGCAAAGGGGGAGGGCAGGAAATAAGTGCTTACAATTCCAGCAAAATGCCCTTCTTTCGTCACGCAGACATAGCGCAAGCCAAGTTTAACAAAACACTCGTAGACGAGGTCCATTGGGGAATGAATATCCAATGCCAATGGTGCCTGATGAGGTGTCAGTAAGTAGAGAGTTTCGATCATAGCAACAAAAAGCTTACTGGATCAATATAAGGCGTGAAATCCGTTGGATCAACATCCTCTTCATCATCCGAATCATCCAACCTAAGCACCTTCGCCATAAGACACTGACTGCCCACCTCATCATCTAAATTATCCAGCGCGAATCCCAAGTCTGGTGCTGGTATCAAGCCGACGAGTATTTCGTCTCGAATGATGGGTAGACCGCCATCGACTTCACCAGCTTGGTGTAGAATGTCGAGTTTGACGCGGAGACTGCTTGCGGAGACCAAGGGCGAGTTCGAAATGTCAATTATGCGCTCGCGGCGGACGCGTGGGACGATGTCGCCAAGGTCGGAGGTGAAGATTGGTTTGTGTTTGTTGTTAAGGAAGGGGTATGAATTTAGGTTAGTGAGGAGATCCTGATTTTTGTTAGTTACAAAATGGAAATGCAAATGGAAGGAAGAAACGCACATAGATACTCAAAGGCTCCATGAAATCAGCAGTCCACTTTGCAATGAGAATTGCAAGGGAGAACGGCAAGACATAATCCAGACTTCCGGTCAACTCGAAGAGGATGATAGCGAGGGTTACAGATAATCGGGTAACCCCGCACATGGTGGATCCGGCAGCAACGAGAGCGTAAACTCCAGGGGTAATGCAAGACCTGCCGCTTGAATGCGCAGCGCAGTCCCCGAACATGGGGTAGAGTGGGAATCGAAGAACCATCCATTGCACGAAGTGACCAACGATGCGCCCCATTAAGCCACCAACGACCATGGATGGGACGTAAATACCCGCAGGAACTTTCTGTTCGTACATTAGCACTTGTACTCTGATATCGTGGTTGGACGAGTTACTATGCCAAACGTGATTATCGTGAGGATGCCCTTGATGAAGAAGGCAGCTGCTAAACTCAAAATTACCGGACCAATTTCATCAATCGAACTTGGACAAAGGCCCATATCATCTACGCTTGCAATATCACAAGCGCTGGACAAGTTGAAGAGTAGCTTCGCGACCGGAACCTTGGTGTACGGATTCCAGTAACTGACTAGCCCTGTAAGAAGAGCGACTAACATAACTTCAACAAGTGGATATGTCTTGATGACGTTGATCTTGCGAAACGTCTTGGCCCATGATCGGGACGCCTTGATAAAAATAGCCCCGACGGCTCCACCTAGCATGCCGACGACAGCGAATATAAAGAGCTCGAAAAATTCCCAATCAGTTAAATATCGGACTTCGAAGATGACGATCTTGTTAGTCCCATACGGATTGAAGAATTTGAGCGAAAGCGCTGCCGTAATGCAACAGAAGAACGTTCTAAATAACGTTTTTGCTGGAAAGAAATACGCAACTTCCTCAAGTGAGAAAAGAACGCCACCAATGGGGGCGCCAAAAGCAACAGCGACTCCAGCTGCAGCAGCAGCTGATAGAATCTCTCTGCGCTTCCCATCGTTTCGGTCGTATTTATCGAACAGTCGACATGCAATGTTTCCTATACAAGTTGCAATGTGGACGAACGGGCCTTCTTTGCCTAAACTGAGGCCTGAAGCAACACTCAAAATCAAAGCGGCGCTCTTAATAACCAAGGTTTTCACACCCAAAAAACCGTGCAACACAAAACCACTGAGGATGACTCGAACTTCGGCGACACCACTACCGGCAGCTGAGTAGTAAACCATGGGCTCAGCTAGTTCTGCATCAGGGGCAGGGACCGATCTCGGGCTGTCGGTACCATCTGACTCCACCTCGGTTGGTTTCCTGGATATGGCAGCTAGATTCTCATCAAGCGTGGAGATATGGTAAGTTGATGGTACAACAGTCTTTGTTGTAAGAGTCAACAGACAGGCCGTAGTTGAGAAGAAAACAACTAGGATTACAAAGATCACAAACTCAACTATCTGTTCTTCGACATGAGGAATTTGGATGTAGTTGGACCAAGCTTTCCATGAAGAGCAGCGTCCTCCTTGGGGACAGCACCTCTATGTATTAAATTAGCCATGTCTGCACCGGTGAGTTATGTTCCACTGCATCATAGAGTTTTTGCCGATATCTTCGTTTTCAGAAAATGCGTGAACATGGTTGGCATGGGATGAGTTATGTGTCATGTTGGTTGATGTGAAACTTCCGGTACAGCTCATGGTCGCGTGCACCCATAGTACTACAAACTAGTGATAGGAAAACGATCTGACATACCTTCTCACTCATAAAGAACCCCTTATGGCAATACCCATCCTTCCAATCAAAAAAAGGAGCCTCCGACACATCCACAGCATACGCCACGAAAGCCGTAAGGAAGCCAACGAGAGCACTCAAAATCCATCCTTGCGTACCATCAAAGGCGGCCTTGATACGCCCGCGTATATCCTTCCGACTCCTCAGAGCTTTAATTCGATAGGCATCGGCGATACTGTCGTGAACCCAGTCCGTAGACGTAAATTGATCGTACCATACTCGTTCGTCGGAGAAGAGGCTGAGCTTCGACTCTCGCATCGAGTCTCTTTTTGTCAAGGCACCGATTAGTCGTGAGCCTAGGGAGCCAGCACGGCTGTGGTGTTTTGGGTGAAGGCTTCCTAAAAGTACGGTGTCAGTTGCTGAAGCTACTTAAAAAGGTGGACAGAGGCCAAGCTGGTCTGTTGGTTTGGACATACCATTGAAACTTTGCCGTCTTGACAGACGAGATCCGCTGGCAATGTTGGTCCCTGAAGTAGCAGCAGTATGGGGTCGAAGCCGTGAACGAGGACCATCTCGCAGAAGAGGGGTCCTCTCGTCATTATCAACAAGACTATTTAGGGAGCGCGAGAGGTCTGGAGAGCGTTGTGTTGGTGAGGGTGGATTCGAGGATTCGGTGGATTCGAGGTTGGGGTTTGCGGAAGTCATGGCGAGACCGCTCCATGTCTTCTTCCGTTTAACGGGAGAAGGAGAAGAAGACATCGGGCAGGAGGAGGGGCTTATGGCAAGTTCATGTAGTATGCGTAGATAGAACCTGTAGGTAGTAGTGGTGTAGGTGGGGTGTAGTCGACTGGTCTGGACAAAGCTAGAGGAGTGAGTGCTGCGCCAAGAACAATCAATAGATGGGTAGGGGGTAGGGGTAGGGGGTAGGGCAGCTGCCAGCTACTCCGAAGTACGCCTTTCGTAAATGTATAAACTCCCATATGAATCACCTCATACCCCAAAGAGGGGAATGGGAATAATCGGGACACAACAGCAAAGAAGCAAAGAAATCATATGGTTGCAAGTTGACCGTGATTCACATATAGCACGGGTGTGGCTTGTGATTGCACACCCCGCATGATGCAGTGTTTCCCACTGAAGGTGCACAAGCTCTGTACCACAATCACAAGGGCATTTCTCCTGGTCGCCGCCTACAGATCCACCAGATCATTCGGTCAGCTCAGCTCAGCTCACTTCCAACCCTTGGGATTGCTTCAGAGGTCATACTGTACAAGCACAAGCACAAGCCCAAGCCCAAGCCATCTCGACTCCCGGCTGCTAGACAACATTTTACCTTTACCCGGTGGTTGGAAATCCGTACCTTACCCAGGCCAGGTAGTTCTGCCACCCTACCATTCAGGGTCCATCCTGAAGAGGTTACTGCATATACTTAGGTACCTATGCTAATAGGCTGAAGGGCGGTGAAGCATTTATTTGTTTTGTCTACCTATGTACCTATTTAGGTGTTGTACCTAGGTACCTACATACACTCAACCTCAAAGGGCCATTTCAACTTTCAAAGCGGGGTCCCTCATATCACAATAATTCCCCCACCATCGCCAACCCAGCGCCATGGCAGACAAGAAGTATCCTCAATTTCTCTTAATTGGGGACTCAATTATCCAATTTACCAGCTTCACTAAAGATGGCTTCTCTTTTGGAGCTGGACTTTCAGAACACGTCGATAGGAGACTAGATGTCATCAATAGGTTTGTCTCTCCCTTAGTATAATGAATAAGCCCTATCAACTCATTCTCCCCAGAGGCTTAAGTGGATACAACACCAACCAAGCAATGGTCATTCTGGACCGTCTCGTCCCATCTCCCTCTTCCGCCAAAGTAGACTACCTACTTCTGCTCTTCGGCTCCAATGATGCCTGTCTCCCAGATTGTCCCACCAAACAGCATGTCCCACTGGATCAATACCGCAAGAACATGCACGCCATCCTGAACCATGCATCTGTCAAGGCTCACAATCCCACTATTCTACTAGCCACACCACCCCCTCTCAATGAAGTCCATCTTGAAGCTGAGGACTTGAAAAGAGGCCACTCAGCTCTTACCAGACGTCAAAGCTACACCGAGCAGTACGTTAAGGCTGTGAGGGAGATTGCGGAAGAGTACAAGGATCAGAGAGTCGTGTTGGTTGATCTTTGGGCTGCTATGATGAAGGAAGGTGCAAGATTGACTCCTGGTTTTGTGGAAGGAGGGGGTTTGTTAGGGTCAAAAGAGAAGGGTGATAGTGAGGGTTTACGAAAGCTGGTGGTGGATGGCCTTCATCTTACGGGCGCGGGATATAAAGTCTTCCTTGACCAGGTTTTGCCAGTGGTTGGGAAGGAATGGGCGGGGGAACCGATGCATGATCCTTCGTGGATCTTTCCGTGAGTACTGTTTCAAGGAGAATAGACATTGCTAATAGCTTGTAGTCACTGGTCAGTTGCACCTTCCCAATAAGGGGCTTAAGTAGGCACCTTAGTAGGTGCCGCCCAGTAACTTTTCAGGAGGTTTAAGAAGTAGTTTGTATAGACAACTAGGAGGTACTTTAGATTTGAGCTGTTAATGGCGTACAAGCAGTGTGCTTACAGGGATTAGAGAGGGTTAAAGATCAGGATAAATGTATACGCGATAGAGCTCAAGACCACCCAATAGCATCCAATCTCCGCATTGCTATATGATTGGGAGTTTGCTGAAACCCCTCAGATACAGCAATATAAAACAAAGAGGTATCTGACCAATGATATAGTTTTATAGAGTATTCAATTCTAGGGTCATTGCTGCCCGCGTTTGCGTCACATTCCCTGCATGAGGTATGTTAGTTTATTCCGGGGTTAGAGCCGCTAGATATAGGGCCACTTCCACTCCATTCTGTTCACCAGCTCTTCTCTCTCACACCACACTACAACCTGGACAGGACTCTGCACGCGTCTTGTTCGAAGTAACATTCACCATCTGCCATCTGAATATACGCCAACGGCGAAAATTGCCACCAATATCTCCGGTCTGGGACCCTTGAAGACGGACCAACAGCACGGTCACATCTCCAATTCCAGTCCAGATTGAGCAAACAGATCATTTGAGCTCCTACTTCAGTAACGGTCAATTATAGAACCAGTTCTGCCATCAAGGACTCAGCATCTATCATCCAAAACTACCTGTAATCCTCAAGAGCTACTACAACATCCTAACCGCCCTTTCACGACTTGTTGATCCTCTTGCGATCAAATCTCCGTACATCCCCAAACCCGACAGACAACCGTCACCGCGCCATAACCGGAGAGCCACATTGCAATCTTCTCGGTGTCGCACACGCGCGCAGTGACCGGCGGTCGCAGGTCGATGCGGTGGTGGAGGTGGAGTTCGTGAGCATTGCGAGCGCAGGGCATCATCCGACGAGTCGCTCTGCCGCCTGATACTGGTGGAACTTGCTGGTATACAAGAGGTGGTACAGTCACCAATTTGTCCCAGCAGCCCATGGAAATTCGAGATAGCGGGGTGACGAGATAACCATCCTCTACTCATCCAGGGAGTACATTCTCCGGCCATAATTATCCTTTGGCCCAGGCGACCGCGTCGTTGGACTTCTGCTCTTCAAGGGGAACAAACAAGAGCCCGGGCATGGAGTCGCAGTTCACGCCATCTCGAGAAGAATTATATCATGTTCAGATGGACGTCAAGCATGTCCAAGCTGTACAGATCAATCACGCAGACCGGCTTTTGAGATTGGAGAAACGTCAGGCGGATGATGCTGCCCTCAAATCCGTCTGGGGCACTGGATCCCCATTTCCTGGTATATTGAGCGGCACTCCTCAGCAAGGTGAGTTCCAAGCGAACTGCCCACACGGAAACAATTCACTGACAAGCTTCTGAACAGGACCGATTCAGAATCCATCCACAGACGTCTTCGATGACTTTGATGATGAACAGGGACAAAATATACTAGGGAGTCTACAGCTAGAAGCAGATGAAGAGCCCGTCAGACGTGGAGCATCACGGGCCAACAGTGTTCGATTTGACATCAGCGCAATACAAGGCTCAAATTGGGCTCAGAGTTCTAGTAATTCTGGAGAATTCGGCCCTGTACGTCCTAGCAGTGGCTTTGGTAGCCATCCTATGATGGAGCGTTCACTCTCACACAAGTCAGATGGAAGACATAGTTCGGCTGGTCACTCTGTGCATTCGATGCATTCTGTCCCGTCTGGAAGAACGAGCAGTCTTGGACTAGATACCAATTTTATTATAGGCGACCAAGATGATGATTCTCTCGATATCCCTGATCCGCCGCCAGGATTATTCGTTCTCGGATCAGTACCTTCGATCATTCGCTGTTGGCTGACGACGAATTTCTCACATAGTGCACTTCTCTACGCTGATATCTGTTCCGGCTCTCAGAGGTCGGTCCTTGACTTCAGTTTGGTGAAGGAGCTCGCGTTGCTAGATCAGATTCAAAAAGATTCAACTGGTCGTCATACGATCAGACTCCCAATATATCTGCCCGAGGCTATTATAACTCATCCATCCTCGAGATCCAACAGCCCCGCGCCTCAACTTCCCACTCTTACAGTTGATTTTGAGATCGTGGGCCTTGCGCAGCGCAACAATTCCGATCGCAAGAAGTCTATTCGAGTCTTCGTTGGCAGCGACACTCTTCGTTCACACAATGCAGATATCTTGTTCTCGCAGAATCTCATGACCTTGTATGGCGATGATAGAAATAAGCTCTCGATTCCATTTGTTAGACCAGAAGACGAGGTAACCTTCAAGAATCTTTGCACGGCCAATATACCCCCGGAGAAGAACGAATTGAAAGCAACTGCAGCCTCGTTCACTCCAACTGAGTCGAAGCCCAAGGTTGAAGTTGCACACGATACACTTTCTTCGGCGCTTTTAAACAAGATCCAACCCTTAAACCCTTCTCAACAGGATCCATTGTCCGCCTCGACCGTCGAGCCGCGATCCCCTTTCACTCCCATCTCTGCATCAGAAAGCAGTGCCCCGGACCAGGCCCCTAACGTAAAATTCGAGAATTCCGCTCCTCCCAGCAACCTCTCCGACTCGGAGAAATCACATCGAACAGAAAGTGCAGCAACAGAACCAGAACCACGAGGTTCCTCAGATTCCAATCGCCGAGAGTCAGCCCCTGGCATCTGGGGATCTTGGCGCCAAGGCTCAATCAACGGTACCGACAACTCCAAAGACAATGAGACAACAAGCGGCTACCAGCGCGCCACCCGCGGAGGAAGAAGCATGAAAGTGCTCAAGCCATCCTCAAAATCCATTCCCTCAGCAACCGCCCCTACCCGTTCCATTTCTCGCACAAGAACACCCTACGAACCACCCGCATCAGGCCAAATTCGGCGAAAAAGCCAAGTCGAGAACGTGCCGCTGAGATGGGAGTCCAAACGAGTTGGCTCAGAGCATATACCCAAGGTTCCTAGGAGTGAAAATCCGGTGGGTGGCGCGAGTGCTTTCGCGTGGATGAATCCTGTAAGCAGTAAGAAGACGAGTGCGACTGCAGAATAGAGAGACGTGATGATTTTTAAACAAAACATTGCGGCGCAGGCTGCGGGGCTTTTGTACGTATGATATGAATGAAGGGATGCCACTTGTGAAATCAAGGAGACTAGCTTGAAGTTAGCAATGCAAGAAACATGAACTTGCTGGGTGTAAGTGGAGCAGAGTCATCGCATAACTATTTATTCTGTTCGCAAGTTGCAGGAACTACAAGGGCTGGGGTCAAAGTCGCACTCCAACCAATACACCTTTTCTTTAGGTTTCACAAGCTCTCGAAACCATGCACAGCAGTGTCAAGAAAATTTCAGAGAAAGTCTATTTTACGATTTCATATACAGGTAATAATAATTTATCAACGTTCAATGAATGCTCAATGCTCAATGCTCAAAAATACAAATAAACAATAAAAGGAAAAAATGCAACCTCCCAAACCCCCAACACCACCATGCTTTGCCATGTCTTGCCTTGCCTATATTCCAATCTGTCTTCTCTAATTTCCTTCCTCCCTTTCCCCTTCCTTTCGCGAATCATACCGATCCTCCTGGTCTGCATCATTCCTTGTCCTCCCACGTCTTGTTGCTCACTTGTCTGTGGTTCCTAAGCGTGGGATCACCAACCGTAAGAGCTTTCGTCATGGCGTATACACCGTAGCTGATCATGAAGCCGACTATTACACCTAGGAGGAAGAAAGAGTGGGTGGGTTAGTTGGTTATTGTTCTGGGATTGAAATTGAAATTGAAATTGAAAGTGGAAGTGGAAGTGAGGATCAAAGGCCAAGTCCAACTAATTCCACAGGTATAGCAAGCAGGTATATGGATAACAAGACTTGCAATTAAGGGCAGATTGGTGGTTTTTCTTTCTTTCTTATATTTTATATTGGGGGGAGGTGAAAGAGCTAAGTAACGTACCGAGTGGATAAGCTTCGACGGGAATGTCTCGTAGTTTTTGGAACTTGATACTCGTTGTCCCCGCTGATCGTTCCTATTATAAATACGTTTGATCAGTCGATGTTTCTTTTTTCCTCTTCTTGGCCTTCTAAGATGGCAAGAGGAAATCAAAGGAGGGAGCAAGGAAGCATGGATGGCTCAACTGCAAAAGTCGCTTACGGTGACAGCTCTGAGGTTCCTCGTTGCGCGCATATAGAGGCGTGTGGTTGGGTGGAACATTATGGGTTGTTTGCTTATTTGATGGAGATGACAAGGGAGATGTGGAGGTGGTTATGGTATGTATTGTATGTTTATGAGGCTCTTTGGTTCTCGGGTTTTGGTTTTCGAATGGAAGAATGGAAGAATGGATGTATGAATGTATGAATGTTTTTCCTTTACGTTGAACAATAGAATAGATATTAAAATCCTCTTTTTCTTTCCTTTCTGAAGGCCCGCATCTAGCAAGCACATAGCCTATTTAAATCAAGTTGAACCCCAGTCATGTTCCTCATTTGCCAACGACATCAACTCCCGCAGGCTTTCCCGGGGAAAAAATAAAACAGAAAACATGCAACTGCTGACAACAAAATGGGCTGTTACACGAAATTCCTTTGGTTCTACGGCGTCAAGTCAATCCGTTTCTACATCCGTAGCAATAGAGTACGGATATACAGGATATACAGGATATATAAAAGTGAAATCCCGAATGTTAGTTATGCAGATTCTCCGCTATATATTCTGGAATAGGTGAACGGGTCCTGAGGGCCAGGTCAGTGGGTTTGGGCGGGATGTAATTTGGTGGGTGCAGGGGAAGGGTGGATCAGAAAATCTTTAAATGTCATGCCATGCATGCGGCGCTTGTACGCCCCCGCGCCACGCCACGTTTTGTTTTCGAGGGACAAGCCGGACAAGGTAAACGAGTACGAATTGTGCGAGGAGGCTCTGGACCGTAATCCCTCTCTCCTTATAGGTTTGTTTCCTTCAGGGGTCCAATTTAGGGGTCCAACTTCTGAGGCAGGCCAATAATAGAGTTATGGAAGAAGCCGATTGATAACTAAAAACCCTTGGTAGGCGCTAGACAAACAAACCAGCCGTCAGGAGACAATGACGATATCCAGAACACCGAGGCTGGATCAATCATCAAATAGGTAGCCCAGAATTCGAAACTCGGTGAAAGTACGGAGTATGTATGAGGCTAGATTACAAAGCAAGGCAAGTTTCCGTGTATCAACGTGACCACCTCTCAACAAGTTGCTCCCTCTTCACATTCCTCTCCTGCAAAGCACTCAGATCAATCCCCTCCAAACCTCCCTGCAAACTCTCAATCTCCTGCTCAAACATAGTAACAGAAGCCTCAATATCCGGATCCAGCAATCTTACTTTACTATACAGTGACTCAGCCAACAGAGAATCCTGCAGCAGCTGCAACGTCAGATTTGCATCTAAGAAGTGCGCAGAAATAGAAGATTCGGTCGTAGATTGCAGACTCGTAGAATGGATCTCTAACTTCGTTAAACGCTCAGACAAGCTCTTCTCTAGTGCGTTGGCGCGAGCTTGCTCTGATACTCCTACGGGCGGCAGCGTGATTCCAAGGTTCCGGGCGATTTGTTGCTCAGGCTCTACATCGTCATTTTCGAGGACGGAAGACCTTCGCCGAGTATTGTTCCGCGTCCGTACTGGTGAGCGAGCGGCAGATGAAGTTCGTCTTCGCTGGGTGTTGGGACTGCTGGTCGCTGGGCTGTCTTCGACGCGGGAGAGTTCTTTTTTGGCGGCATCTAGGACGCATTGTATGGCCATTTTGTGACATTGGCTTTCTTCAGCTCGTTCTAGGAAGGTTTCTATGCGGTTTACAAGAAATAGTACGCAATCGTGTATCTGGGAAAGTTAGGACTGGGTTGAGATGTTGGAAGGGCGGCATACATATTTAACGGCTATGGCTGCTCGTTCCTGCCCTTGACCATCAGTCGCTGCAATGGCCTTGAGTGCCGGCTGCAGAAACTGTTGCTCGGCGGACATTTGGGCAACTGGAAGAATTTCCGAGTAAAGGGATTCCAATTCTTCCTGTAGGTCAGTTGTCTCTTGACTGTCTGGCTCTTGGCTCGTTGCAGAGTTTTGTAAAGCATGTAGGTAGATTCGGTCCAGTTTGGTTCTTATGCCTTCAACGGTGTGTTTGATGAGTCTACATGACATTAGTAAATACGCCAGACCTATCTGTAGGCAAAGATTACCTGGCACAGAGATCCTTGATCCGTGATATCGCCATATCATTGTCAGATTGGATAGGATCAAGATCGCTAGCCAGCTTTTGTAAACTGGCAAGAAGTTTGTCATCGGATCGTAGAATGTCATCCACAGTCTGTTTGACACTTGCCTCCGAAGCCTTACGTTGTTGTTCAAGGTCGGCAGATTGATATGCCAGACTTTGAGATAATTCTTCGATCTATTTCCATTAGTATAAGCAATGCCATACATACTTCAAGAACATACTGCCTTGCTGACATGTCCCTTCTGCGCATTCCATTTTTTCAACTGTGAATTGCTTGTCTGAGTCCGGGACTGTCTTGTACGCTTTTCATTCTTAACCAGAGCACTCATAGCATTCTGCTGGGACTTCAAAGCCTCGCTTTGCTTCTCGATAGCTGCGGTTGATCGTTTCAGCTCTTCAATAGCATCCTGGATTTCTGTATCGTTGAGGCCTTGGATTGAGGAGAGATCTTGTGCCGCAAGTCTCTCCGCTTCTCCTGATTTCGAGAGGGTGGCATATCTGATGCATATTAGTATCGTCTCAAGTAATCATGCCGAGGATACCTTACAAAGCAGCTTCATCTTTCGTCAGTAGAGTTTCCGGCGCCAGATATTCCTCCATCCATTCTCGAATAGCGGTCTGGCTTTCCGGATCGTTTAACGCAGATCTGATGGCATCGCGATCAAAGGGGATATCACGGTCGCATAGTATCTTGGTAAGGTCATCAAAAAGAATGTTTGCCATATTGAAGAGTAGAAGGCTGAAGTTGCGCCTTGTTGTTGTTTATCCGTAGGTAGCGTAGAAATAATGTGGCGTGGCGCGTTTTGAAAAGGTTCAGCCTTCTTCTTCCTCGGCAAACTCTCCGAAAGCCGGAGACGAGACGAAAGTCGATATTTGCCAGTCATAACTTTACAGTGTTTCCAATTCTCATCTGATAAATCTTTGTTTTGGGGATATGGCTCAGAACTCAGGATTCCGAGGTTTTCTAACTGATGGGCTCGAGGCATTGAAGTTGGTATGGTCCATCCATCCATATAACAAACAAGGCTGACGATCTTCAGGTCGCACAACTGTCATGGCAGCGCAACGTGACTGCCTGGCTCTATGTCCCTGTTGGAATTTTGATAATGCTTCTTGCGTGCTTTGGTGTAAATTACTTAATTGGACTTAGTTCTGTTTCTTTCCCTGCGTCTGTTGCTCTGTTGGTCGTGCTATTCTTTGGATTGATGATTTGTGACTGGATAGTTGGAGATCGCAAGACAAGGGCTCTTGTAAATGTCATTGATGTACCGGTATGTTCTATTCGGAATATTATGCATAGATACTTGATATTGATTTCTTCAGGCTGGATGGGCTCTTCGATGGATCAGCATCTTCTTCACTCCATCGTGAGCTTTATCTTCCCTGAATTACCCCACTTCTTTCTAAGAAACATTCTAGTTTCGTTCTCCTCCCCCTGAGTTCCCCGATAAGTGGTGTCGAGGTGGGAAAGATTATAGCAGTCTTCTGTGAGTCTCAATCAATCAATGGATTGCTCTTCTAATTCCTATTAGTGATTGGGTTCTTCGTCATGGTAGCAGTAACAGCATGGCTAGCCAGAGGCTTGCAACTGATCATGGGCTCTTCTAAACGCGCAGTTATAGAACGGGCCGAGGAGATGGGGAATGAGTCTGATGCTATTCCCTTGGCCAACATTAGTCGGAGTAGGCAAGACTCTGAAGTAAATCTTCCGAGTGGGATGAGTACCCCAGGCCCCGCCACCGGCACTTCTACGCCAGGTCTAGTCGAAGACATAACCAACGAGTTAACTGCACCTCAAAGAGCACAGGATCCAACTCGTATCAGAGGGACCGGAGGCCCGCCAGAGAACGATACCCCATCGGAAGCTGCCCGAAACAGCCCACCACCACAGGCACCTCTTCCCCTCACCCGTCCTCAGCGGTGGGCAGCATTCATCAACTCGAACCTCGATAGGATTACCTACGCTACTATATTCCTCTTCATTGGACTCCCAATCTACTACACAACCGGCTACGCCATGCCCGCCCAACTGACATTCAACGTCCTCGCCTACTTCGCCGCCCTCGCCCTCCCACCCCGCTACCGCCAATTCCTACACCCCGTGCTAGTCTCCGCCGCCCTCACCATCCTCGGCATATGGATCCTCGGCTTGATCCGCGGCTCGCCCCTCTTCGAGACATTACACACCTACAAAACCGGCACAAACTACCTCGACCTCTGGCACGGCATTCATCTCCCTATCCCGGGCACAGGCGACATCTTTGGCAGCGTGCTAGACGCAAGTATTGTCGCACTCGCGCTTCCCATGTTTTCCTACCGCAAAGAACTAAAGAGGCATTTCTTCGCAATCGTCATCCCAAACATAACCATCTCCGTCGGATCACTGTTCGGGTATCCAGCACTCTGCTACGCCATCGGGATATCTTCAACACGCAGTCTGGCGTTTGCGAGTAGGAGTTTGACGCTGGCGTTGGCGACGCCTGCGACGGAGAATCTAAGGGGTGATGTGAATACGAATGCGGCGCTGGCAATAATGAGTGGGATTTTGGGAGTGCTGGTTGGTCAACGGGTTTTAGAATGGCTGAAGATTCCGGAAGGTCAGTTGTTCAAATCTCTTTCTTATCTTGAAGGGGGTGTAAAGGTGTGGAACATGACCAATGTGATCAGAACTCTTGTTGGTGGGATTGATCAAGTGACATGTCGATCCGTCGTTTAAACCCTCGTACCTGCAGCGGTTGCTGACACGCATTGATACCAGATGACTATGTTACGCGCGGAGTAACCCTTGGGGCGAATTCTTCTGCCATTGCAACGGCGCTCTTACTGCAAACTGATCCCAGAGCTGCTGCTTTGTCGAGTTTGAGTATGAACTTGTTTGGCATTATAACTTTAGCTTTGACATCAGTGCCGCCAATCGTGAGGGCAATCGACTCTTTAGTCGATTTGTGATTTGAAGAAGGACAGCTGGATTCGTAGAAGTGTTTTATCAATTGTTTTTAGTCAGAGGCGTTTGGACGCGTACAAGAAATGTGAAGAGTAGACTAAGTCCCACAAAGTCTAGCCAACAATCAAGGCGACCCATAAACACACTCTTTATCCTTATATCAAAGTCCGTTTATCCATAATCACATCAATCATATTGACGTACTTCAATCAACATCCTGTATACGGATTAGCAATGGTTTATCAAGTAGCTGACCGGGGTGAGCGAGACCTGTCTCTGGATTAAATGCAGACCAGACGCCGTCTCCACAACCCCGCTGACTTCACCAGGCTTCAACCGAAACGCAGCCTCCTCAAACTCCTTTTGCATATCCCCTCTACCAAAGAACCCCAGATCTCCCTCTTTTCTAGCACTGCTGCAGTCCGACTCCGATCTTGCGAGGTCCTTGAGCTTTTCGCCGTTCTTGATGCGTGATTCGTAGCCAGAAATGATTCGCATAGCCTCTTCTTTCGAGCGTGTGATTTCCGCCTGCAATTAGAACAATCAGCATGGTCCTTGTATTCACAATAACACCTATATGATGAGACGAAAGTCGAGAAAACATACCTCACGCCAACTACTCGGCCGACGACTATCCCGATGCTTGACCAACAAATGACTTGCCCGAATCTTACCACTACCATTCATGCCCGGTTGGACCTCCGGGGCGCTGTGGTGCTCAGCCATGAACTTCTTGAGATTCTCTGTATCTGTGCCTTGTGGGGGTTCCCATCTCGACAGCTTTTGCGACTCGTTGAAGTAGTAGGGTAGATTCTTGGATTGCGAGTGGCGGACTTCCCAGCCGGAGGGTAGACCTGTATCAGCCTTATTGTTATATGTTAGTAAAGTGTAAAGTCCTTGAATGTTGTCGAGTATTTATGTGCGAGGAAAGGGTATTTGTAAATAAAGAGAGGCAAGTCGGTACCATTTTTGCGTAACGTGTGTGTGTGATGTTCGTTGGAAGAGGTGTGGATTCTGTTGGGAGGGTGGAGAAGGTGTTTACAAGAGTGGTGAGGTCGTACCAGGAGCGCTTTTGTGTTATTTGGAAGTGACGTGATGTGATGGGGGTCACACTTCTTCACTCTCGCCCAGCTGCAGGAACAATTGGAAAGCAGGAGAATCGCAGCTGACAGCTTTTGGCGGGGAAACAGGTGAAATAAGGTTTAGCGTGTTTATTCCTAGACTAGTGCGCTGGTTGCACGACAGGGGTAATGGCCGGATTCATAACCGGTATGACGCCGACGCCGCTTTTTCTCGCCGCCTCCAAAGGAATCTGAATAATTCGACATCAAGAGACAAGCGCAACCGCAACCGCAACCACAACGATATCGCAAACTCGCCCAAATACCTGCAACACTCATCGCAATCACCATAAAACCAATAAGTAGATAACTTCGACGTTCTACCAGCAAATTCAGCAGCCATGGCTTCCCCAGCATCCAGTTCCGGCGAAGGGCAAAAGAAGAACATGGAGCAAATCACCTTCCGATTCTGCAGCGAATGGTACGTAACCCCTTCTTAAACCTCAAGATCACATTCTAACAGCTTCATAGTTCAAACATGCTGTACCCTAAAGAAGATCCCGACACGCACCGCCTTCAGTTCGCCTGCCGCACATGCCAATACTCCGAAGAAGCAACCTCGTCTTGTGTCTTCCGCAACGTGCTCAACAACGCTGTGGGTGAGACAGCTGGTGTCACGCAGGATGTTGGATCGGATCCAACTGTGGGTCTACCTCTCTGTTTGTTGTGTGGCGGCGTTGTGATGTGTGAAGGTCGAGTACAAAGCACGCAAGTGGATGAGTTGAGCAAGAAGGAAGGGGAGCAAGCTGTTGTTTCTGTGACGGAGATTTTTTCTCAGTAATTGAACTGCTTGCTGATGTGTGCCTCTACCCCTCTAGCTTCCACGCTCGAATAAAACTTGCCCCAAGTGCAAGACGGAGGATGCGGTGTTCTTCCAGTCTCAACAGAGATCTGCGGAGACAGGAATGGTGGGTATTCTGGGACATGGAGAATGAATGCTTGCTAATTTGTGATCTCAGAAACTCTTTTATGTTTGCTGTGGTTGTGGTCACATCTTTTCATGATACCCAGGATTTGTTTAGAGTGGATATCGGGCATTGTTTTACATTTTATGGAGTTTGGAAGCTGCATGGAAAGCACACGGCGTATATGGAGTTGGGGGGCGGGGGTTTGGATAAAATCAAAGTAGCAAAATGATGGATGGGAAGAGTTTCTACATTTCAATACTATGCTCGACGAGTCAAACGCCGTTCTCCCTATGCTATACTACACCCCATGTGATTCTTTTTACATATATTCCTACAAATGCATTGGAGCAAGTGATAATATCTTCGACCACTTCATCTTTCTCAACTCAGTTCCAACAATACCTATAGTTTATGTTAGCCCAGTATCCCCCTCGTTCCTTCAAAGATCAAGACTCACCATTCAACCTCGTCCCAATCGGCTCACCCGCCTTATTGATCAACACACAAGCATTGTCATCAAACTTGACTACACTCCCATCCGTCCTCTGTAGCTTCTTCACCGTCCGCACCACAACTGCATGTCTAATATCTCCTCTGCGGACCTTATTCGCTGCTGACGTGGAAACACTTGCGCCGGGCCCTGACTCTGGGCCAAAGTTTCGCTGCTTCTGGACGACGACTATTATTCGATCACCTAGAAGACAAACAATAATCAGCAGGTGTATGAGGTAGTGAGAGAGGAGGGGAGAGCCTGTACCAATTTTGGCGGCTCGTTTCATCTTCATAACTTGTACGCACTCGACGATGGCGGCGCCCGAGTTGTCGATGCAATTAAGCATCGTCTGGATCTGTATTAGTGCTCCATACCAAAAACACACACACACAAACAGCAAGATATACCTTTAATTGTATCATTGCGAGAGCATGTCAAGGGAGCTGTCTGCGGTTATTCCGAAAATACCTTGAGCTGGATATCGGCGGCTTCGCGAATTCAATCTGCACGCCACCATTTGCAGCCTAGCCTCGCAAGCACGTGTTGTGTTGGTTGACCTGCCATCAAATAAACAACGCAACATCCCCGTTCCAAGGGAGTCTCCTTAATAGGAAGACATGGGGTTGTAGACTTTGACTGGCCCTGGCATTTGTACATCTAGATTTTCCTTTACCTTTTTCCTGATACCTATTTTTACTCACACCTATATGCATGAATTTTACTCTTGCCTTGATATACCAAACCCCTGGCCGGCTGGAATTCTGAGCTCATTGCGCTGCGCTGCGCTGCGCTGTGCATTGCTGAGCTGAGAAGAAGGGAGGCTGCGTCGGCCCCCTTTCTAATTAGGAGGTGAACGAAGGGCATCGAGGACACCATTGCGCCGATCTGTCTAGAATTCACCCTTTTATCTATTTGAATCTAGTCGCTCCTTCGATACTCGACACGTATTCTTTGCGATTCACCCTCTCGTTGATACCAACGCGACCACGATATTGTAATACCATCCTGGGAAGAGATCTTGCGACTTGCTTTCTTGCGACCAAAGATGCCGAAACTAGTACCGCAAAAGAAAGAGCGCCTTACTCTTGCTCAGCTTGCTGCTTACGATGATATCTTGACGGATGCGCTGGTAGACCATGTAAGTCAACTTCAAAGACGAATAGATGGTAGGAATTGCGCTGATGTCTGGAATAAAGGTGTATTTCTGGACCTCCATTCGAAAGAACAAGAGCGCATACCACTCTTCGCGAGGAATCCGAGAAGAAGATGTAACGTCCATCCTCCAGAAATCAGTAATCGTCGAGAAAGACCCCGCGAAGGCCGAGGCTGAATTGCTAGCCTTGCCCGGCCTAAAAAAGTTTGTGGACAATCTAAAGACGGAGAAGGAAAAGGATGATTTCAGGAGGCATTTGAAGAAATATGTCGCTATCTATCTCCCGGATTGCCCCTTTGAGATCGCAAGTACGAATCGCTACACGGTTGTCACACATGAGGCGGCGGTCACGGCAAGGAGATACATAAAGAAGGCGGAAGTGGTGAAATATTTGTGTGGCATTCAGGTTATAATGACCGAGGAGGAGGAAGAGCATATCAAGTCGAGCAGGAGGGACTTTAGTATTGTGGTTTCGAGTCGCAATAAGTCCGCGTCGTTGTTCCTTGGACCAGCGAGATTCGCAAATCATGATTGCGGCGCAAATGCAAAGTTGATGACTACTGGGAGTGCTGGAATGGAGATTATTGCGGTGAGAGATATTGAGATTGGAGATGAGGTTACTGTCAGCTATGGTACGTTTTTCAATTTTGATGCTAGACAGCATCCTAACGCTCTGACTAGGTGAGAACTATTTCGGAGAGGACAACTGCGAATGTTTGTGCCAGACCTGCGAAGACCAATGCCAGAACGGCTGGACCCTAGCGGAAGATGATGAGAATAAACATGTCCCAACACTATCAATCGAAGACTCATCAGGTGATAGACAAAAGTATTCGTTCAGGCGGAGAAGGCGACTTGATTCTGCAGACAACTCTTCTCGAGATCAGTCCAACACACCAGATATCGACATTCGCCCACTCGTTCCTAAGAGGACACCCAGGTCACTTTCCAGAATGAAGAATCCAAACTCGGCCCTTGGAAGATCCCAATCACGCGAATCAAGTATATCTCCGTTGAAACGCAGACGAGAAGCCAACCCATCACCTTTGAAACAGACGGTAGAAGTCCATATCTCAAGCAAAGACTCGGACGCTGCGAAGTCGATGTCAAGGGAGCAAAGTCTATCATCTCGGAAGCGCAAAAGAGAGTCTGAGTCGATAGAGCAGGATTCCTCATTTGTCACTTTACTGGAAATGGCCCAGTCTAATATAAACGTGAAAACGCCGCCTTCTCCACCTGCTAAAAGAGGCAGAGCCGAGAGACCCGTCAAAGTGGAGGAATCTAACTTGAGCTTCTCTGCTGAGATTGCCAATACCCCTGCTAGTTCACCCTCCACATCTAGACATGGTAGTGTGGAGACTACTGATGAGCAAGCCGGAACCGATGCGACCTCCGTCGATGATGATACTATCGTTGTGGAATCTGTAATCACTGCAGCCATCCCGAAAGCAAAGAAACCCAGAGGACGCAAGCAACTGGGGCCTCTCGAGCAGTCGAAGTCCGGTGAAACCATCCTTGTTGGCAACACAACTACATTGCAGCACCCTGCGCTCGAAGACGAAGGCTCGCCACTCTCAGATCTTGAGAGCCAAATGTTCGAAGACGTCGATCTTGATACTACACCCAAGACTTCGACCAGAGCAAGTAAGAAGAAGAATACGGCCGAGTCGAGTCAGCACAGTGAGTATGGTCGCCCAGCCATCAAAAAGAGGAAGAGGCGCGCTTCAACTCCAATCATGGATAAAGACCACGCACCACCTGTCCGCATCCCAGGCGACTACGTCCTGACTCCCGCCCTTCTTGCACAACCCACATCCGCTTGGATCAACTGCAAGATTTGCGAGGAACCCTTCGTGCAAGAAGATGCTTACTTCACTCGCTCTTCGTGCCCGCGCTGTGAACGACATAGTAAGCTGTATGGTTACATGTGGCCGAAAACCGATAAGGAGGGTCGGAATGATACTGAGGAACGGGTCTTGGACCACAGGACTGTTCATCGCTTCATCAAGCCGGCGGAAGAACGAATTGCTAGGAAGCGGAATAGGAGTGTTACGGGGAGCAGAGCGGTCACTAGGGAAATCAGCGAGGCTGCTGTTGAAGAGGAGAAGCCAAAACGAGGGAGGAAGAATCGGTTTACGTTGTGAGGAGCCGAGGGTTGAACTACTTCAAAGGATCTTTTAGAGCGAGCATTTGGCGGATGTACGATAAGATGGCGGGGCGTTATTTTATGGGTGGTCACTAGCGAATTAACTTTGCATTGGGAGGGGATGATCTGCATAGTATCATTACGGTGGAGGCTTGTATTAGCAAGCAGACGAATGAAGAGATGTGTATAACCGTTCATCACAATGTAGCCTCAACTTCTGCATAGAGCTGTCTTGTAGACTTCCTGCTTTCATTATATAATATACTCCGCAACTTCACTACAGCTTAGCTCTCTCACTCTTCTTTCCCCACCCCTTTCCCACCAACTCCCCCACCAGTTCCGCAACCCCCCTCGAGATCTCCACCCCCCTCCCTCCAGCTCCATACGCATGCACCACCGTCCTCCCCCTTGCCACCTCCTCGCTCTCCACCCTCATGCCCCCCTCCCTCGACGGTCTCCTGCCCACGATATCTCGCACAACCTCCCACCTACCCGTTGCATCCAACAGCTCCGGAAACGCCTTCGCCGCCTTCTCAAGCAACACCCGTCTTGTCTCCGCCCGCGGCCTGTCCTCCATATCCCGCTCTTCCTTCGTGCCCCCGATGATCGTGCCCCCGTGCAGAGGGCGCGGGATCACAAACGTCCACGTCCCGTCGCTATTCTGCCGCGTTTGCGTGGATGGCGCGGGCGCCGCGTTGGTCACGAGACATGTCTGGCCGCGCGTGACGAAGCATTTCGGATCCTTTACTAACCCCATCGCGGTCCCTGAGCAATTGACCACTGTCCGTACAGGACCACTACCATCACGTGCCCCCGCGACCGCAAACGCGTCTTCGATACCAGCCACGCGCTTCTTGACAATCAGCCCGCCGTTCAGGAGATAGCGACGCAGAAGATGTGCTATATAGACGGGCGTGTTAACGCAATACGTCGTATAACTAGCTCCCCACTCCGCGCCCGCGGCCAACTCCTCTTTGCCCAGGACCCGGAAATCGTCGATCGCGCTGTAGCGCCCGTCCAGGTTCAGGTATGCTGCAGGTGGGGACTCTAGCATTTCGACGCCGGGCATGAACCGTATGCCCGCTTCCGGGTACGTGAGCGCGTATGTTTTGAAATGCGCATAGGTCTTCTCGGCTAGTGAGGCTTCGAAGAGGCCTTGTGGCGAGCTGTCGGGGATGGGCCGGTAGTGCGCGCCTGACCAGGGCGTTGCGTAGTCGATGGACTCATCGCCGGGCGCGTACTGCGCTATTATGAGGAGGTTTGGGCGCGGCGTGAGGGTTTCTTGTAGGTGGAGGGCTGTGGAGAGGCCTAGGACTCCGGCGCTGGTGGTGGGGGGATTAGCTAGCTGTTATTGCATTTCCAAAGTGAGTGAGATTCATGGCTTACCCAATTATGACAATTGTTTCGTTGGACATTTTTGAGATAGATGATACGGTAGAAACTACAAGCTGGTGTTGCTTTTAGTTGAAAACGGAAGTAGGAAGTAAGGTATCCTTTGAAGTATATACTTGGCCCAAAGGCGATATAGCTCCGATAACGGGCATAGATCAAATGACAAACTTCAACAATGTAATAACTCTAGAATATAACTTGCGATTAATGATACGATGTTGATAAAAAAGAGTATGATAAACAACGCGCTGGAAAGCAAAGGTGGGCGGTATTCATGTTCTCGGCCCGGCCGCCGAAGCCGATAAAATAAGAAGAAAGAGAAAATCCCATTCTTGACGCGGATACCTACCTAGGCTGCGTCAGAAGCCAGGCAGGCATGATCATTTTCAATCCCGCTTCTACACTTCCTAGAGAGTATCAGACCTGAACTTTCAGCTCCTTTTCAAAAAGTACGAATCGTGCACCATGTCCGACAAAGTCGCCGTCAACATAGCAACTTCCAAAGGAACTGGCATCTTGCACAACCAAGCCATCGTAGCTAATGGCGTAGTGTACTGCTCCGGACAAGTCCCAGCTGATCTCACCACTGGAGAAATCATCGCCGGCGGCATTCAAGAACATACCGTACGTATTCCCTCATGCACTCACTCATGCCCCCATCATCCATCGAAAGAAACAACGTATGTATTGTACTGTACCATACAACATAGACTGACAAAAGCGGGAAACAGCACCAATGTATCCGCAACCTGAGCGCCGTTCTCGAAGAAGCGGGCTCGTGTCTCGAAAAGGCTGTTAAGGTCAATGTCTTCATCACGGATATGAAGAACTTCGCGGCTATGAATGAGGTGTACGTGCAGTACTGGGGGGCTGTGAAACCGGTTAGAACGTAAGTCTTGCTTTCTATACTATACTATACTATACCATACCATGCCATTGCCAACTTGCCGCTTTATTACTCGGGTTTTGAGATGGAGAGATATTTGGGCTCGGTCGAATTGGATTGAATTAGCTTGGATCTGATGTTGTGTAGATGTGTGTGCGTACGGGATCTACCCAGGGGGGCTGATGTAGAGATTGAGTGCACGGCTTTGGCGGGGAAGGAATCTAAGTTGTGATATTGTTGGACTTGGGGTTGGGGCTGGGGTTTGCAGGGAATGAGTGTACTGGAACGTTCTTGATTCGAGATGGAATGGAAGAATAGCATTATTGTTTGAAAAAGGAAAGGGGTACACGTGCTTTAACGACGATACCCTGAAATTCAGGGGCGGCATTACAGTACGGTATAGTACCCTAAGAAGTCGCTTAGCTGACATGCTTGACTTCCCCAACCAACGATTCTGCCCAATACGACAAAATTATATGAACAGTTTTACGGAACAAGGTATCTGTGTATTAAGTACCAACAGAAATTGTGAAAGCTTAAGGTACTGAAAAACATGTTTCGTGGTCGTTCCTCAGTCAGGGTCTCCACTCGGCACCGGTTTAAGATGCCGAGAGCGTCCTCCCCCACTATCGCGTTTTTAAACACTGCCAGCCATGCCGAATATACTACCTACCTCCGTAAGGACTCTGTTATAGCGCTTAGAGTATGAAGTCCTCTTCTTGCTTAGATTTTGATATTTTGATAATCTACTGTAGCTGAAAAGTTACAAGTAATTTTCATCAAATTATAACAGCACACCCGTAAGCCGCCATGGAGCCACGGGGAAGCAGAGCTGGAGCTATCCCAGAAGATGGCCCAGCGCGACAAAACCCACGATATGCCATGAAAATCACTTCTCTTTTGATGCTTCTAGGCGCCATATCAGCTGTAGCATTCCCATACCTCGGGTACTCGTTCCAGGGCCAAAAGATAGACGCGTTGGATTATGAGGGCAGGGTGAAACATATATTGGATACTACGCCTTTGATAGATGGGCATAACGATTTGCCTTACCTGCTGAGAATCGAATTGCAGAATAAGATTTACGATGCTGAGGAATTCAACTTTTGGGATGGTGAGAATATGATATTTCTTCTTTGCTGGAATTATAGATGTGGTGTTTTTGTGAGATGAGACGGAGGTTAACTGGGTATAGGATTGGCGAGTCATACCGATTTGAAACGATTGCAAGAGGGACGTATTGGGGGGCAATTTTGGTCTGTTTTTGTAGAGGTAAGAGTCTTCGGAAACTGGAGTACTGGAGTGCATCGACTGACAATATGCAGTGTCCGGACACCAGACACTTTGATGACCCAGATGTAAGTACATGCACTTCAAGGTCTAGGCAAGATCTAGAAGATGAGGTTTATTCAGTCCCGCTCACTGAACATAGCATGCCGTTCGGGACACAATCGAGCAAATAGACGTCGCCAAACGTCTCTTCGCCCACCACTCTACCAACCTAACCTACTGCACCACATCCGCATGTGCCATCAGCTCCTTCAAATCCAAGCGTATAGCATCCATGCTCGGTGCAGAAGGACTGCACCAAGCCGGCTCGGCCCTCGCCTCAATCCGCCAGTTCTTCCTCCTGGGCGTACGCTACATAACCCTGACGCACAACTGCGACAATGCCTTTGCAACAGCCGCGTCCACCGTCACAGCAGGAGGCAAAGACAACGGACTTACGGAATTCGGATACGCGGCCGTGAAGGAGATGAACCGCCTAGGCATGATGGTCGATCTGAGCCATGTGAGCCACGATACCATGCGAGATGTCCTCAGGGTCACGAGGAGCCCCGTGATGTTCAGCCACTCGGCGTGCTATGCACTAGCTAGGAGCTATCGGAATGTCCCTGATGATGTGTTGAGTGGGTTGAGGGAGAATGGTGGCGTGGTGATGGTTATGTTCGTCAAACGGTTTTTGAATGCCGTTGATCCTGAGAGTGCGGATATGCAGACTGCTGTGGATCATATTTTCCACGTTGCGGATACTGCTGGATGGGAGCATGTTGGGATTGGTGTGTTACTTGCTCCAAACCATTATTCCTGCTTGCAGCTATAGTACGAAAAGTACGAGGAATCATTGCTAACGTGTTATAGGGGCCGATTTTGATGGCACGGTAACCCTCGCAGATGGCATCGATGATGTGACAGCGTATCCTCGATTGATCCAGGCAGTCATGGAACGAGGTGCAACAGATGAGCAGATTCGGGGACTGGTGGGGGAGAATATCTTGAGGGTATGGCGGGACAATGAGATGAACGCTGCCACTTTTGAAGCAGCTGGTGAGCTACCAGTGGAGGATGTTTGGGTTGAACGACGCTTTTCGAGGTGGGACAACCCGTTACCCCTGATGTTGCCGGGGAACACGAAGAGGGTCAAGGCTGAGAATTATGTATAATCCGATGCTTTTTGCAAGCATCAGACATTTTCATAATGGGACATGGTGTAATATACATGTGATATGAAACAGGATGAGCTTACGTACGTGACTTACCGTGAATTGAAGACATCTCATTCCAGTTGAGTATTCGCTTTGTCTTGTTAAGCTTAATTTCTTCAATTGACTGACCTGGAAGGAAAGAGTTTTTCGTCCAAATCTCTGGGTATTCATTGGTTCCAAAGGTAGACTCGATGCGGCCTCATCAACTTATGATAATAGCTTGTTAGTATCTGAAAAGTACGAAGTAAGAGGAAGTACTAGTAAACATGCTACTCGTGCAGTACAGTAGGTGGTACGGCCAGTGAAGCTCATGATAACGACTAAGTGGGGTTGAGTCTAGTGCCATGCTCTAATCACTGTGGAGACGCCTAATACTCCGTAATGCAAGCCAGCTCTTATCGCAACCCACTAGTCCTAGATTGTGTACCTTCGTGTATGAAATTACCCCGTGCATATGATGTCCATAACTCCATCTTTCTCTTGCTTGTCCACAACCTCGACATCTGACTCTACATTGACTCTACAGCCACATGCAGCCATGTCGCAGTCAGGATCCCTTCAAGTAAACGTAAACCAAACTCCTACCACCACCGACGCCCAGCCTGTGGAAGAAAGCTCAAATCGAAACAAGAAGCCCGTGCGAAGCTACATCGCGTGCCGGAAATGCCACGCCCAAAAGGTGAAATGCAGTGGAGAGACGCCGTGCAGGAACTGTAAGGTGTCGAAGAACCCAGTGGAATGCATATATCCAGTTCGCGATAAGAAGATTGCAGTTTCTGAAAGGTAGGCACCTAGACCTAAGCAGAACCGCCAAGCCGGAGCAATGACCCCTTTTTAATGTGTACGACTTGTTAACCATTATCATCAAGATATCTACGAACACTTGAAGGCCAGAGCCGGGCACTGAAGCGTGGAGCATCGGAAGCATCGCCAGAGAATGTTCCTAATGTTCTTCATGAGCAGTCACTTGTACCACCAGAAGCCCCACGTCCGCGAAAACGAACGGCAGCAGCGGCCTCACTCACGCCAGACGCTAACATTCCAAGTCCCCTGGAACAGAGCTCTGTAGTTGAGGAGGAAAGAGAACCTCTCCCAGATGAGGCAAGTATTCAGCCAACTTATGTCGGCGAAGCTGCTTGTACAACCTTTGGCGGGAGACTTCGCCAATTCCTCGTTGGCGAAGATAGCCCCGTTGTCCCCCGACGACCCAAGTACTATAAGCACGCAAGAATGCTTCGAGCGTCGCGCACAGATTGTCAGTTACCAAACCGCAGCGATGCTCAGCTCTTGGTCAGGGTCGTTCTCCGATTCATCGGCGCTGATTATCATCTCTTGCGAAGGAGATCCTTTCTAGAGAGGCTTGATGAGACATACAGACTTGATGTCCTGAATGATCCTATCTGGCTGTGTAGGCTGTTTACTGTTTTTGCCCTTGGGGAAATCTACACAGTACGATCTTCGAAGCCAAAAGGTGTCCCGGGAATCTCGTTCTTCTTGAAGGCTTTGGAATACTTCCAAGATCTTTATGAAGAGCCGACCGTGGAATACATAGAGACCCTTGTTTTGCTTGTGAGCCACATCCATCTTATTCTTTCTAGATGATGAGATTATTTGCGTCTTCGGCATGTTGCAGATATTCTTGACATCATCTGACTACCTTACAGGCATTTTACTCCACTACTCTTAACAGAAGAAATACGGCTTATACCTATATTGGCCTTGCGCTACGATTATCAATAATGCTTGGGTTGCACAGGAAGATTCCAGCTAACAGCTCTCTCAGCCCCGCGGAAAGAGAGCACCGGATTCGCGTATGGTGGACTGTCTATACGCTGGATCGTTTAATGAGCTCTAAAGTTGGACTCCCAACAATGATTCAGGATACCGAGATCGACGCCCAAATACCATCAATGAACGGTCTAACACAGCATGATATGGAAGACTTCTACAATCCGGCGCATCTTGTGGCACAGATAACTCTGTCAAGGATAACGGGAAATGTGCTTGGCAACATCTATCACATTCCGCAAGCAGATCGTACCAACACCTTTGTAAGAGGAGTGCAAACAACTTTAACAAGTCTCAGGAACTTCCATGAAGGACTACCACCCATTTTGAGATTGGACCCCAACAATTCGCCAATGTATCTCAACAGATCTGTTGCATCCTTGCATCTGCACTTTAACCAGGTTTGTAGAAACCAATCTAGCTGCTCCTTCTCTGCTAATTTCTTATAGTGTGTCATTCTAACCACACGGCCAATTCTTTTCTATCTGTTTCGACAAAAGTTTGCTCGAACCTCAAATTCATCGGAAGACTCACGACCTTCATCCCACATGACGACAGTTCTTGCCGAAGCTTGCGTACAGACAGCGCGGAAATCGAACAGAATCTTGTCTCAACTATGGGTAGATGGCTGTCTCGCGATGTACGGCTTCTACGACGCCTTGTCGATATTCTCATCCACTCTTGTGCTCATGATTTCCGCTGCCATGGAAGATCCCGATGCATATGCTACTAATGATGATGATGGAATTGGCGTTGCTTGGAGTCTGTTGAGGTCTATGAGAGATGACGGAAATGTACCTGCAAGTGATTACTATGAGCAGCTGGCCCAAATAGAAGAGGATCTCAAGGACGCCTGTGTGAGAAGGAGGAAACGGCCTGAAATACTTCCGCCGCCGCCGCCGAATACCAATAATGCGCATGGGCTGCATTTGTTGTTGGCGGCTAGTGGGACAGACAACCACCAGGTACCGCAGATTCCAAGTGATAGTGCTCAGCATGGAAGTATAGCGATACCGCCTGCGTTCCACGGGGAAGGCACGAGTATGGGTGACCCTCTCAATGATCCTTTCTTGAGTGGATTTTTGTCCCAACCGCAGGCTGCTTGGGATCCCACTGCCTTTGAACCCATGTTCACGGGCAATAATGAGCAACACCTATGGGATTTCAATTGGGAGGGTGGAGTGGTGGATTAGGTGTGAAGTACGGAGTATGGAGTATGGAGTAGGCCACCATGATATCAAACCATAACTAAAAGTTTTAGCGGATGCGGCAGGTACGGCTTGAAATTATGTCACGCCATGACAGTAATAAAATCAACATTCGATTCGGTCTTCTTCTCAATTGCAACCACATACAGTGCCTAGCTTTTACATCATGGGACTGCAGTGAAACATTTCCATTGGTCATGGAAAGGGGTCTCGCTCGGTTCGGCTCTTTCTTGCGGCGTCGCAACGCCGCCAATGGATAAGACTACCAAAGGCCCACTCTTCCACTCTTGCACCACACCCCGCTGCCAGAAGCAAGCGTGATACTTCGTACTACGGCTTTGCCCTCCGTCTTAGTTGTCGGGCAGAGTACTCGATAGGCATAGATAAGCTTGTAGGCCCGTATGGCCAAACGACCGGTTGTCCACAATTGAGGAATCGCGATATAACCCAATATAGCGTGCCAACGTCGCATCGATCGTACCTCTTTATGCATCAAATATCTATTTTTAATCTACACTCTTTGATATCCTGCGACAGCGACGTCAAGTTTTAATTTTTACAATGCCTACAGCAGTACCAGCAGGAATTCGGATTGCGATTGATAGAGGAGGAACATTTACTGATTTGTGGGCTTCCCGTGTTTTATTCCCAAACCAGAACGAATTCTGACATTTTACAGTTGGGCGAACATCCCCGGCCGCAAAGATGATCTTGTTTTCAAGCTTCTGTCCGTGTGTCCAGATCTCTACCCGGACGCGCCTACAGAAGGAGTGAGGCGGATCTTGGAGACTGCTACAGAGACCTCAATTCCCAGTGGTCAATTACTGGATTTGGAACCTGTTGAATCAATCCGCATGGGAACTACAGTTGCGACCAAGTAAGTGCCGAACATAAAATAGGAGGATATTCTTGCTTGGGTGATTCACTGATTACTTTTACAGCGCACTGTTAGAACGGAAAGGCGAGCCAGTGGCGCTCCTCATCACGAAGGGTATGATTGACCTTTTGATAATTGGCAATCAAGCGCGGCCACACATATTTGATCTTTCGGTACGAAAGCTGGATAAGCTTTACGAGAAAGTCATTGAAATCGATGAGAGAATCACTGTTGAGGGATTTTCGGAGGACCCAGAACCACAAACAATCGATATCACAAAGGACGCAGATCTTGTTGAGGGTCTCTCGGGAGAAGCATTAAGAATCTTGAAGAAGCCGGACTATGAGGTTGTTCGCAAGGATCTTCAAGCTCTCTGGGACGAGGGATTTCGCAGCTTGGCCATTGCGTTGATGCATTCGTACGCCTACCCAGAACACGAAACGAAGATTGCTGAGATTGCACAGGAGATGGGCTTCAGTATCTCCGTCTCGTGCAAACTACAACCCATGGTGAAAATCGTTCCCAGGGCGCAGTCAGCAACTGCTGATGCTTACCTGTCTCCTGTTATTGTGCGCTATTTGGAAGGTTTTGCGAAGGGCTTTCTGGGCGAGTTCAAAGACGAGAAAAGTTCGAGGAAGTTGTTATTATCCCAGTCCGATGGAAGTCTGGCCACGTTCAATACTTTTACTGGACTCCGAGCTGTGCTCTCAGGTCCAGCTGGTGGTGTCGTTGGTATGGCCCGAACTTGTTATGATGAAGTATCGCAAGTTCCAGTTCTTGGCTTCGATATGGGTGGAACCTCGACAGATGTCTCCAGATTCGGAGGAAGTTATGAGCATGTGTTTGAAAGCACAGTAGCAGAGGTCACAATCCAAAGCCCTCAGCTTGATATTAACACTGTGGCTGCTGGAGGTGGATCAATGTTGTTCTGGCGGAATGGCCTGTTTGTTGTTGGACCTGATTCCGCCGGTGCTTTTCCAGGACCAGCTTGCTATGGAAATGGCGGTCCTTTGACTATCACTGACGCCAATTTCCTCCTCGGCCGCCTGCTACCTGATTTCTTCCCCACAAAGCTCGATCTTCTAACGGTTATATCCAAATTCTCCGAATTGACAAAGATTATCAATGCGGAGAAGGATGGGGATTCCCAAATGACCCCAGAAGAAATTGCCAATGGTTTCATCACAGTCGCAAACGCCTCAATGTCTCGACCAATCCGCAATATCAGCGAAGGCCGTGGATTTGACACATCAGCCCACAACCTTGCCTGCTTTGGTGGTGCAGGCGGCCAGCACGCAGTCGCGGTTGCTCGTGACCTTGGCATCAAAAGAGTGATCGTGCATCGTTTGTCAAGTATTTTGTCCGCTTATGGAATGGCCTTGGCGGACATTGAAGTAGATCTCCAAGAGCCCGAGTCGGTGCTCTTCAACGAAAGCACCAGTTCCAGAATTGAGAGTCGGCTAGACTCCCTCAAGACCAAAGCTCTCGCAAAACTGGCATCTCAAGGGTTCAAGGAAAACCAGGTCACTCACCATAGTTTCCTTAACATGCGGTACAATGGCAGTGATACAGCTCTGATGGTCGAGAAGACAAGTGAGGACCCAGATTTCGGAACCGCTTTCACTCAGCGGCATATGCGCGAATTTGGTTTCACTCAACCACGAGATATTATGGTCGACGACATCCGTGTTCGGAGTGTTGGCAACAGTATCGGAATCCAAGCCTCAAATCCATTCCAAGAGCTCAATGATCTTAGCAGCCCTATTTACCTCGGAAAGGCAGAAGCGGCCAGTACGCGAAAGGTGTTTTTCGAGAAAAATGGGTGGGTTGATACAAGAATATTCCACCTTGATGCTTTGCCTATCTCCCGCAAGATCGCAGGACCGGCTGTCATTATTGATTCGACCCAGACAATTGTCGTGGACCCTGCTAGCGAAGCAACGATTTTGCAAGAGCACGTTGTGGTTGATTTGTTAGATGCGGATCGCAAAGCCATCAGTTCAGAAGTAGTCGATCCTATCCATCTGTCGGTTTTTGGTCATCGCTTTATGAGCATTGCCGAGCAAATGGGTACAACATTCCAGAAAACTTCCATTTCCACCAATATCAAAGAGCGACTAGACTTTTCTTGTGCGGTTTTCTCCCATGATGGTGGGTTGGTTGCCAACGCTCCCCATATTCCAGGCCATCTGGGATCCATGGCTTATGCCATTGCCTATCAATCAAGATTATACCCCAAAGGCGAGCTAAAGCCAGGCGATGTCTTACTGTCTAACCATCCAATTTCTGGAGGGACCCATCTACCGGACTTGACTGTTACCACTCCTGTATTTGACGACGATGAAAACCCACAAGAGATTCTGTTCTTTGTGGCAAACCGTGGCCATCATGCAGATATTGGAGGGATTGCTGCTGGGTCGATGCCCCCTAATTCCACCGAGTTATGGCAGGAAGGTGCTGCTGTGGAGTCATTCAAGATGGTCAAAGAGGGTGTCTTTGACGAACCAGGCTTAGTAAACATACTTTACGATATCCCCGGCAGCTATCCAGGCTGCAGTGGGACGAGAACCTTGAAAGACAACATTGCCGATTTGAAAGCGGCTACTGCAGCGAATAAGCGTGGTATCGCTCTGCTCTCCTCCATGATCAAAGAGTACACATGGCCAGTTGTGAAACTCTACATGGCCGCGATCCAAAAGAACGCCGAATACAGCGTCAGAAATCTTCTTAAAGAATTCAGCGTCCGCTTCCGTGGCCGTGCGCTGGAGGCTGTAGACTACCTTGACGATGGAACGCCACTGGCTGTCAAGATCACAATCGATGGTGAAACTGGGTCAGCAAAATTCGACTTCACTGGCACCGGACCGGAAACGTTCAACAACTTGAACGCGCCACCAGCTGTCAAGAATAGTGGGATAATGTACTGCCTGAGATCAATGATATCCTCCGACATCCCCCTGAACCAAGGTTGCTTGGAGCCAATTGAGATTTACTGCCCTCCGAACACAATCTTATCCCCATCACCAACAGCCGCGACGGTTGGATCCAACGTCGAGACGGCCCAGCGTATTATCGACCTCATTTTCAAAGCCTTCAAAGTAGCGGGCGCCAGTCAAGGTTCCATGAACAACCTCACGTTCGGCTACGGCGGCACAAACGAAGACGGAAGTGTAGCCAAGGGCTTCGGCTACTACGAGACGATTGCTGGCGGAGCGGGTGCTGGCGCAGACTGGCAAGGCCAGGACGCCGTGCACACAAATGCTACAAACACCCGTATGACCGATCCCGAGATCTTCGAGAAACGATACCCGGTGCTGCTCCGGGAATTCTCCATCCGCAAAGGCAGCGGGGGACGAGGCCGGAACCGCGGTGGTGATGGCTGCATCCGTGATATCGAGATTAGGCGGCCACTGCAAGTCAGCATTTTGAGTGAGAGGAGAGTTATTGCACCGTACGGCATGGCGGGCGGGGAAGAGGGAAAGAGGGGAGTCAATATATGGAAACGCGTTGATCCCGTGACGGGGTCTGAACGGACTATCAGTCTCGGTGGGAAAGCGTCGGTGATGATGAACGCTGGCGATCGAGTAATCATTCACACGCCTGGTGGTGGTGGGTATGGAGCTCTTGAAGCGCTGCAAGAAGAGAGCTTGGAGATAGGCGAGTTTAAGCTTTTTCAGACAGCTGACAAGGCTTTGGGGAAAAGAAAGGACAATGTAGTAAAGGATGGTGTTCTTGGCATGTAGTTTAAATATTAAATATATAGTTCGACCGTATATAGTGTTCTACTTTGACTTATTACGAACCTACAAATATTGTGCATACTGTATCGCGTGACTAAGCCTAGAAGTGCTAGAACGGTTCACTTTAGTATCCTTAGTTCTCTGTACTAGATAGAACATTGTTACCGAACCTTGAAACTTACATGGAATCACAGAATCCTTGAATCTCAATGCAAGTGTTCTCGTAGGATTTTATTGTCTACATATCAACGCTCCAAACAATGAAGTGCAATTTTCCTATATCCCTCAACACTTTCCAGTAACTCACTTATCTCAACATGTTCATTTTTGCCGTGTGCATCCATAATAGAACCAGGTCCATAGAGATACTTTTTATGCTCCCCATAAAGTCTTGGGACATCAGTGCCAAAAGCTGCCGCATAGGGGCCAAAACCTAAACAAGTCGGTTAGCGAAATACTTGTACGTCTCCACAATCTTCCTCACCTTCAATATCATGATCCAAGAGAGTTTCCGGGTATTCGAACTTGAAATCGACTTTGACATCCTTATGCTTGGAAACGATGTCCGAAATCCGCATCTTGATGCCGGGGAGGTCGCTTGCAATGCGCACTGCGCACAACGCCTCGCTCGACGCTGCCAAAACATTATACGCAACGCCACCAGTCATTCTCCCGACATGGAAAGTAGACGGGCCGAGCAAATCAGACGAAGGCCATGTAGCTGCAAGCAGTTCCGAAAGGGCGCCAATAAGAGCAGCATTAGCACTCGAGCCGAGTTCTGGATAACCAGAATGACTAGCAACACCCGTAGCAGACAACTCAAACACAATGTGTCCTTTATGTCCGACTCCTAGTTTGCCTTCTGTCGGCTCTCCAAAAATAACAGCCTCCCACGATAATCCCATATCGTTGGCTGCCAGCATACCAGGGCCGCCCTTCTCCTCGCCGACCACCCAGAGGAAGCTGACATCGCCACCGCTCTCGCTGATGCGGCCTTCTCTGCGCAGCTGCTCGACCGCTTCGATCTGCGCTGCCAGCGGGCCCTTGTCGTCACATGCACCGCGGCCCCAGATTGTCTGGCCATCTGCAGAGAGCGAGAGGGGGATGTGCGGTGGCACGGTGTCCATGTGTGACGTTAGACATATGCGCGTTTTGCGGCTGCTCTTGGGGCCTAGGTACGCATACACGTTGTGCCGGGTTGAGGAGGGGGATATCGGGATGCGTTCTACGGTGTAGCCGAGAGATTGGTGGTGGTGTTCGAGGAATAGCCCTACGGCGAGTTCATCGTCGCTGGTGCTGGGTATCTCGATGAGTTGCTTTAGGAGAGAAACGACGGGCAAATCATCGTGAGTAGCCATTATAAATGAGTTGTAAAGAAATATCTGCGTATTTTATCGAGTTCTCCAGTTATTGTTATAGTAGCGTCTCTTAGATATTAGATGCTGGAAATTCGGTTCCTGCAGATGGATGGATGCTGTAAAGGGGGGGCTACTATTAAACGAGCCGAGAGCTGAGACTTACTATTGCGGTACCCAACAAAATACTTGATTCAGGGGGGCCGTTTGGAACTGAAGCTTTCCTATAGGGAGTCTTACAGGCTCTCTAGTGAATGCAGTGGGGAACTTCAGTGCATGTCCTCCAACCTCCTCGCCGTCCCCTTCGCTGCTAGGACCATCCTCCATTATACCGATCCGTTCGCTTGTACTTGGTACAAAGCCGCCCTTCGGCATGTTGCTTGCCCGTGCCGATCAGAAACAAAACAGACGGCGAAGTGGGACCAAAGTCCTTATCGACCAGCCCGGGTAGTGGGGGTGGGGCCGCTCAGATGCTCAAAGGGTCCAAGAATGAAGTCTCGTGACCGGTGGATAGACTTGACTCTGGGCTGTATATCCTCCAAATAATGAAAGCATGGATGGATGGCTTGTTATCACTTTCAAATCCCATGAAATTGTTGCGGCGTCGCCATGGAAATCCAACAGAGCACCCCACTTTCAAAGCCGACGATTCTTCTCATCAGCTCGGACACGCGAACCATTTTAGCCCAACAATGGGAGAAAGTGCAACAAAAATTCAACATCTTGATCTATGACTGTAATAGCGTCGAAGAGTTCTGCAAACGACTCTCTCCCGGCGGCGTGTACTCCAAAATCGATGCCATTGTGCGGACAGGATGGTTGAAAGCAGAGCCGTACAGTACACATCTCTTATTTACCACCGCGGTTGCAAAACACTACCCATCCTCTCTCAAGCTCATCGTATGCTCAGGACACGGCTACGATGCAGCTGACGTCGATACATTAACAGAAATGGGCATCTGGTACTGCAATACGCCGGACACGTGCACCGAGGCTGTTGCAAACACAGCGCTGTATCTGATCCTATCTGCATATCGCTATTTCACCTTCGCCGAACGCTGTGCGCGCAACGACTGGGCGTTGAGCCGATCGCTGGGGATGAAGGCCGTTGATCCACTGGGAACCACGCTGGGAATTGTGGGGTTGGGAGATATTGGCGCGCGAATTGCTCGCAAAGCTGCGCTGGGACTGGGCATGAAGCTTTGCTACTACAACAGAAAGCGCGACGTGGAGCGCGAGAGACAGGTCGGTGTCGAGATCTCGTACTGTCCATCGTTAGCGGAACTCCTAGAGACTTCGGACTGCGTGGTGCTCGCCTGCCCATATACACCAGCCACGCACCACATGTTATCGACCAAGGAGTTTGAGCTTGCGAAAGAAGGGGGGATGAGAGTAGTGAACATAGCTCGTGGTCGGTTGATTGACGAGGCTGCTCTGCTTCAGGCTCTTCGGGATCAGAAAGTGGTGGGTGTCGGATTGGACGTTCATGAGAACGAGCCGGGGATTAACGACGAGTGGGCGGGTAACTATATGGCTACGGTATTGCCACATATTGGGGTCTGTTCTAGGACCTCTTGGGATGGGTTTGAAAAGGTGTGCTGGGATAATGCTGAAGCGTTTTTTGAAACCGGGAAACCGCTAACACCTGTCAACTCAATAGCTTGATGTAATATAGATAGCAAATGCAATGTTAGATTAGATCTTAGCAATTACCCTAGATCAATGTTTTCTCTTTAAGCCTATCGAGTCGTGAGGTTGTAAATTTAGGGGTGCTTGGGGCACCAGGGTTAAGCGAGCTCGTTTGCTAATAAGAGGTACTGTTCTGTTGTACAATTCCATGCGCACCTCCTTGACTTTACAATACGTAACAAGCTCTAGGATTATTCATAGACAAGGTCAATTGAATCGTTTGGATTATTAATGGAAAGATCAAAAAGACTTTAGGTAAAATTCCTTGAAGACAGATTTGTCTTTGCTCTCACGGATGCTCACCTTAAAGCAAGCCAAATGAGTGATGCACGATAAATTAAAGACCTCGTAGGTTTTTTAATTATTAAATAGTAACATTCTAATATATTTCTCATGCCGATCCACTGACCTGATGTATTGGACTGTATGTGTATGAACGAAGCTTTGCCCGAACCAGAGTTCATTTCCATATCATTGGTTGCAAATTAGTGAACTGATGACATTCGTTCGCAAGCCTCCTGCTCAGCTACCACCTATATCTGCTTATGTTGTGTACCTAAAATAGACATTCATATCACCCTTTTCAGGCTCATCTGGAAGTGGAGTACCAGCATCCAAAGCAGCTTGAATCCTTGCTTCACGTCGCTTATTGGCAAGCTTCATACCCACAACAAGACACACAACCTGTTTAAATATCAGCAAAAGTTCGAAAGGACTCGTAGGTTTCACATTAGACCACTTACCATTATGCCAGCCAAGACTGCTAGTCCCAAAGAGATGGAAAGTCCCTTGATGTATCTTGGACCACTTTTGGTGGTGAAGATCTGGCCAACAGCAACTCCTGCTGTGTTTGCACAGGTGAGAGTAGCCCCAATCATAGCAGCTCGCTTGAAATGTTGCGCAACGTTGTCGTTCAACCACATGAGTGACATTCCAGTGGTGGGGTAAATTCCCATGACGACGATATAACATGCGAAATAGCGAGCCCCAACACTGTCAGTCCCGATGAGGATAGCATACCCAATCACTAGACATATGAGTGGACCTCCAATCCAATAACCTGTATACCTTTGTCAGTATACCTCAATAATGGCATCATCGGTGTTGAGAGCTTACCTCTGGTTTGGCGGTCGGACATGTATGCAACAAATAGAAACCAAATGAGACCCCAGAAATAGACAGGTACTGTGAGAAGGTTTGCGTTGACGGATGTGTAGCCCATGCCTTTGATGATTGCCGGGAGGAAGGTTGTAAAGGCATACAGTGAGACATCCACTGAGAATTGGAAGACGACACTGCGGGAGATTAGTAAGCTATTCCTCCTGGACGGATACACTCATTATGACTTACAAGGCATACCACTTAGGGTCATAAAATATGGAGAGGACAGAAGACCACTTGAACTTTTCATCGATACCCCAATGAGGATCATTAGCGTATCTCGCATCCATCATATTCTTCTCCTCTGGTGTCAAAAACCAAGCCTCACGAGGTTCCTGAGGAAAGAAGAAGAAGAACAGAGGCACAATAAGAATTGTCAAAAGTGCCTCCACGATAAATAGCCAGCGCCATCCTTTGAAGTTACCAGGACCCTTGATTTGAGTGAGTCCGTAAGCCAACAGACCGCCGAAAGCACTAGAGAGAGCGCTGAAGGCGAAGATAATGGCAGAACGCTTGCCACGCTCTGACCTCTTGTAGACGAGGCCGATATACACATCAATACATGGGATCAAACCTGCTTCGAAGAATCCAAGCAGCAGGCGGCAGGCATAAAGGGCTTTCCAGTTCTGAATGAAGCCCATACCAAGAGTGACCATTCCCCATGAAAATGCAATGCCGGTGAGGAGATATCTAGGTCCGATAATCTTGAGGAGAACGGCTACCGGAGTTTCGATCGTGACATAAGTCGCAAAGAGTAACGTCACGGCGGTACCGAATTGGTTTCCTGTGAGCCCAATGTCTTTGGGCATGCCAGCAATGTTTGCATTTCCGAGGTTGCTCCTACAAAATCATTTAGATTAGTTCAATGAAATTTAAATGTGTTACGCCCAGACGTACCGATCCAGATTTGCCGTGAGATAAAAAAGCCCCATCAACCCAATGCACCAGAACTATGAGGGAATTAGCAGATTTCATTGTCACGTGTAGGTAGAACCGCCGCCGACTTACGTCAAACTTCCTCATCATCTTGTTCTCCTTCACAGGGTCAATATACACCTCCGCGCCCCCTTCCGAATGACCCTCGACATTGTTGACAGCTGAGTCCGAAGACTTTAGTTCCGCTTCCTTTTCCGACCCAGACATGATGCTGTCGATGCCCTTACTCGAAGGTGGGGATATAGAGGAGGGAAGTCAAGTTCCAAAGAGAAAGGTGTTGGCTTGACCCAAGTGATGTTGATCATGTTAAGGGGTCGTGTGCATGATATGATATATCCATAGCTCAAGCTACAGGGTTTATGCGCAAGGGTTAAAGTGGAGAGACAACCAACCGGCTCAAGCGACCGAACAAGTTATACAGCAGGTGTCAGCGTAAGATAGGCTGAGAATACAAATACTATGTTCCAGATATGCGGTACACTACTGCAGGACACCATGCCATGTTGCACATACTCGTATCGTCCATATCTTGATTAGATAGAACGGATATGGTACTGTATTGCAAGTTGATCGGTTTAGATTGGATATTTAGCTTGTCGGGCAAGGCCTATCTTGTTTTCAACGGGGCACCACGTGTATTGAAATGAGCTTCTGACAGCCGGTACCGAGTTTATGGTACATTGATACGAGTATCATGATTGAACCGACCAGACTCATGGAGAGTATGAGGCTCAGGCGCTTTGATAGGTTTCCGCTTTGTTGACCTTAATGGGGAATAGTTAGAAGCGGATGCGAACACCGGGACCATGCCGTGATAGTAACGTCGTACCCATGACTCGTTATAATTAGTACCTACTTGTTATTATAGTCACATGTTAAATTCAAACATAGCTTTTATATTAAACTCTACCTTTATACTGCTGTAGCTTCTATTCAAAGTGAAATTCGCATGGATGATTTATATGATAAGCAGCATGATATACTCCAGAGGTGGATACGATCACGTGGCTCCTCTTTGAAGACACGCGCTACGTTTATGCTATACAAGCGCATGCCACACAAGCGTCCTTTATACAGAACCATAGCTTTTTGGCCTAAATACTTCGTCCCAGGCGTAATAAGCCCCCCCGACAGGAGGGGTTGGGCCAGCGGTGGTTTTCTATGGCAGCTCCTATTAGCGGAACGTCTGCCTTCACATCCCTTTTGGGGGGTTTATTACACCTGGAACGAAGTCCTTTACTCCCTAACTCGTTTCCCAGTCATTTGAATGTCTTCTAGCCATCCAAAGAAGATACAAACCCGTGTCCAAAGAGCTGATTGTCACCCTACCGCAATTATAAGACCAGACCTTATTTCTCATACATTACTGGAAGAAGTAAATAGATCTGATCTAGCCTTTACGGCTATGTAAAGAGAGTTTCAGTTTAAACATTTGCGCCGCGGTGAGGAAGGGGCGGCGCCGAAAGGGGGGTTCTTTTAGACAATACCTCAATTTGTAGTTGCGAAATGATAGAAAGTCCACCATGGCATAGTCTTGGCTAATTGAGAGGTAATTATGCTATTCAAGTGGACTTTGAACAGCCTATCTTCTTTTGTAATTATGTCGAATAAGTCCTTAGAATATCCTAGAAATCTATTTTTCTCTCTTTCTGACACAATAATACATTGTTTATACACCGCCACAAACCTTGAAGCTCAAAAAAGCTTATCAAATGCTCTCTCGTACAAAGGTACATGGATTCCAACTCTAGATTGCACAAACTGCTCTTCCTCGTCATCAATAGATTGCTTTCCACTAAAGATATCCGCCTCCTCGGCTTTCACAAACTTCGTCTTCTTAAACAGCTTGAAACCCACAAACATAAAGATGAAGAAAAAGACCCCGAAGTAGCTCGAGATGAAGCCCGAAGCGTCGAAAGCCCCTGGCCAGAAAATGTAGAACCCGTTGAAGATTACAATGATGAATGCGAAGGCGAGTGAGAAGTAGGAGGCGTAGGGTTGCAATCCGAAGGGGGTGCGGAAGTACAGTGATTCGGTTCCGATCTGTTTGACGACTGCAGCCCGGAATCTGATGTAGGTTATGAGGATGATCATGTATGTGATCATGAAAGATACGCTGGACAGATTGATGAACCATCCCAGGACCACGTTGGTGGAGGTCCTGACGTTGAGGAAGCTGAGGCACGATACAGCTGCAACGGCAGCCAGAGAGTAAATTGGCACGCCATTGCTGAGACACTTCTTGAAGATGGCGGGAGCTTTGCCATTGACAGCGAGTCCGTACAGCGTTCTGGAAGATGAGTAGACGTAGGCGTTTCCACAACTCCAGGCAGATGTGAGAACGATGGCGTTGACGAGATTTGCAAGCCCGTTGACACCATGGACACGGAGTCCAATGACCCAGGGTGATGCGGCGGATCCAGAAGCTCCACTATCCAGGGACTTCAAAAGCGTTGCGTCGTCATCTGGGCAGATGATGCCCAGCGCTAGTGTGCCCACGATGTAGAAGAGTCCGAGACGGAAATAGATCTTCCTCGTGGCCCTAGGAATTACAACTCTGGGATTCTGGACTTCCGCGCTTGTCATCATGACTACATCTGGTCCACCACAAGCAAATGCGGCATAAATGAAAATCCGCCAGAATCCGAGGAAACGGCCCAGTGCTCCTTTTTCGAGGTATTCCTTCATCGGGTGATGCCAGTAACGGAACCCATATCTGTCATGCTGTGGGTTACCACCACTAGATCACAGGAGTCAGTTATTTCCTCTTTAAGAGTGTTTTAAGAGCAGAAGAAGAGCAAGTTCCTTCTTAGGAAGTATGTAAGGAGTAGTTGGAGTACATGAGACGAAACATGATAGAAGGGAGTAGGGTAAAATCAAAGAGCCAGTTATCCTTACAGCATGGTGACGAAAGTGGCAGCGATAAGGCTTAGCATGAGAATGATCTTGAAGGAGGCCGTGACGAATTCGACTTCGCCATAATATTTGACAGCGACGAGGTTGAGAAGGAGGGACAATCCAAGAGTAAGCAAGATATACCAGCCCGGGTTGGTTTTATCGTCCCAATATGAAATTACCGAAACACAACCTGTAAAATCAGAAATGACCAGCATCAACGCGCCATACCAATAGACATATCCACCCGCGAATCCCAAAGCAGGGTCGACGTATCGTTCAGCGAACTGGAAAATCGATCCTCGGACTGGCAACCAAGAGCACATCTCGGCCGCGGCCATGAAGAGCGGCCATAAGATGAAGACGCTGAAGAATGTGAAGCCCAGAAATACGCTTAGAGGTCCTGATCTTGCGAGTGCCGATCCAATTCCCACGAACATGCCTGTTCCGATGGAAGAGCCGATGGTGATAAGTTGCATGTGTCGATTTGTGAGGCCGCGGACCGTCTTGCCATATCGCTGCTGTGCTTCTTCGGAAAGCTCAGCATACTTAACGTCTTTCTGAAAGACATGGCCGTGAATAGGCGCGATTGTTTCAGGAGACATTTCAATGTCAACATCCGCGCTAGCTGTCTTCTCGCCCATGTTGGCGATGAATGCCGAAGAGCTTGAAGAGTAATTATTTAAAGGACTTTGCAGTTTGGTTTACTCTGCTCTGGTGGAAGTCGGCTGACGACTAGAAAATGGGCCAGGGCTCTTGGTGATATTTATAAACAACTTCAATTTCTATGCGGCGCAATCAAATCATACCCTGGTGAAGATGGACTCACTAGCCCCCCTGTTGAATTGATAAGAAAGGTCGAGAATAAGCTAAAGAGGACGTGTGGAGATAAGGTTTAGGACCAGAAGTGGGATGGTCTTTGGAGAAGGAAGTAAGTGGAGATGGGTTTCATCCACCTCTCACCATGATGTTTCTTTTCAAGCCGATAATCTTTTATATCGGCCGGATCATTGTCTGCCGACCGAACTCCTTCCCAACCCCGCATCGGTTGGACGTGTTTGCGAAGATATTGCTTGCTTCTCGAGCATCGGACCGGTATCTACAATCGTAAACATTTATCCCCACTGATTTCGTGATTTAGGTTGTAAAAAAAGTCACAGATACAATTGACCTGCTAGAAGGCTAGGTAGATGTATTTGAGCGGATTTCAAATCAACGAATCTTCATACCTAAGCAAAACAGTCGGACCTCAAGCAAGGGCGCAGACCTCCAATATGACTTCCACCATTCTATACACGCACGCCATCATAATCACCGTCAACGAAAAGCGAGAAATCTACCAAGATGGTAGTATTCTCGTCACGGAAAATATCATCAAAGATATTGGGGTCTCTTCCAAACTTCTCGCCAAATACCCCAACGTCCAAGTCCACGACCTCTCAAATCACATCATAATCCCCGGCCTAATATCAACACATATGCACTGCGTACAATCCCTCTTCCGCGGGACAGCAGACGACTGCGATCTGATAACCTGGATGTGCGATCGGATCTGGGTCATGCAGGGCAATATCTTGCCGGAAGAAGCATACGCAGGTGCTCGTTTGTCCATCGCGGAAATGCTCCTTGGGGGTACGACGACATTCCTGGAGAGTCTTTGGGCAGAACGCTATGGCTTTGATCAGTTGGTCAAGGCCGTGGAGGAATCTGGGATTCGAGGGTGCTTGGGAAAAGTCGTGATGGATGTCAATCCAAATCAGCCTGCTTTTCGGAATAAGATGCATAAGGGTTTGGTGGAAGGGGGCGAATCGTTGGAAAGTGCCATCAAAATGTGGGAACAGTTCGATGGTGCTGCGGAAGGGAGGGTCAAGGTGTGGTTTGGTGCCCGAACACCCGGAGGTGTCAGCACAGCTTTCCTCACCCGAGTGTGCGCAGAAGCAAAGGCAAGAGATATTCATATTACGATGCATTGCCTGGAAGAAGAAATGGACCACGAAGTTTTCCGCGAATTTGATATGACACCCATGGAATATTGCGACTCTATTGGGCTCTTGTCTAAAAACACAGTATTAATTCACATGTGCTGGGTGGGAGGCGATGATATTTCGCGGCTGAAAAGAACGGAAACAAATATCGCACATTGTCCTGCATCCAATATGAAGCTTGCTTCAGGTTTCTGTCCAGTTCCACAACTTTTGAAGGAAGGTGTCAACGTTGGGATTGGCTGCGATGGAGCGCCATGCAACAACATGCTCGATCTTTTCCAGGAGATGAGACTGGCGGCCTTGATCCACAAAGGAAATACTCGAGATCCAAAGGTAGTCTCAGCCGAAGAGGTATTGGAGATGGGAACTATCAAAGGTGCAAAAGCACTCGGGCTCGACGGGGAGGGAGGTATTGGAAGTTTAGAAATTGGCAAGAAGGCGGATTTTGTTGGAATTGAGCTTAAGAAAGCGCATCAGATCCCAAACTATGACCCGGTTGCTACTGTAGTATATGCTACAAGCGCTGGAGACGTCGATCTTGTTATTATCGATGGCAAGGTTGTCGTTGAGAAGGGCATTTTGAAAACGATGGATGAGGCAAAGGTCATGGAAGAAGGGATCATTGCTGGGAGAGCTGTGATCAAACGGTCAGGATTGGAAAAAAACATTGTTCCGAAGTGGCCTTTAATCAAGGAATAGGCCCTATCAAGTAGAATTGCAGTAGATGTACTCAAATACAAGATTTGGCAACAGATGAAAATATTTTTTTAATTAAAGATTCCTACCAAAGTAGCCAGCGAGTGTTGTAACAGAGCTAACGCATAAAATTGCTTGTTACATGTTGTGCGACTATACGAACAGCAGGAGAAACAGTTTATGATAAAGTGCGGTGAAGAAGTGACAACGAGATGAAACCCAACTCTGCTGCTGCCGCCTGCAAGAGCTCAGGGTTCCATTGGAACTCCCGTACTCCGTACAGTACGTCCCTGTAATTACTTAACGCTGCTTATAAAATATAAACTGCGGCTTCCTTGGCATGAATCCTTTGTACCTCTTCTGGGTATCCCTCGTCGCCGCTCTTTTGCACAATGCCAAGGTATCTTACTTCAGACTAGTATGCTGCTTGCTGCATCGGCCGTATATTCAACGCCGGTTCTCACTGTCAGGAAGAATGTGCACTGGGTGGAAAAGAGGATGCGATGCATTGTTTAGACTTCGTACTTATATTAGAATCAGTGCCCGGGACTCGACTTGTACTGGACTCGCTTGATCGCTTGAGAAAAGGAGATCTCAAATCTCAAATTTATTATCGTATGATCGCACTATATACCCCTTTAAGCATATCTCGACGCACCGACCGGCAAGAGCATCTGATTTGTTGAAGCGTATCGGAAGTTGGGGCTCAATAAGGCGATCGACAACATGGCGTTTATTGGCGCTGAATCAGGTGGGCTGTGGCTTGTAAGCGATATCGTGGTGGTCGTGTGCTTACCTTTCGTCCCGTCTTGAGCGGAACTCTGGATCCGTATGACTCGGGTGAAAAGTATACAAGGCTTCACGGGAGATTTGAGAGAGGAAAGAACTGGTGCTGTAGACTCGTACTGAGTACGAGTTGCACTTGAGTGAGGTAACAAAGGCTGTAAATTCGCAGGTGGGAGTCTTCACACGTGCAATATAAACAATATCCATCTTGTTGGGTGCCGTGCGGGAGGCGCAACCGCCACTGGTATGCAGCATGCGGATGAAATTTAGCAGGAGGGTGAGCAGCGATGGTTTGAGGTTTAGAGGTGGCGTCATCATTGCTGTTGCCCAAAATCTTATCTCACTCCATGATCTGACCTCTGATGAGTACTGTACTGTATATGCCAACATCGTAGACAGCAAAGTGCGAGGACACGAAAGGTGAGGATGGAGTGAGTGACAAGCAGAAGAGTGAAGATGAATCTATACAGGCCCCCTTCCCCTTTAATAGACATGGATTTCCACTGCATTGATAATAAACGGAGCCTCTGGCCCATCAAACGCCGTGATAGTCGTCGTAAGCCATCGCTCGCCAATCACACCCCTTCCTATCCGATAAAACCATTCCAAGATCCCAAACCTTCAAGCCGCAACAGGTATAACAGGTCTTGGCGAAATGTCTAAGAAAAGAATCTTGCGCTGATGATCTTGCTGGGCGTCCTGATTTTATTAAAGGTGGAGTTTCGCCCTGTCAGGACGGGACCAGGCGTTTTGTCTGCGTACAAGGCATACGAAGTACTTTTGCTTAGCCTGTGCGCCGTTCACCTTTTACTCCCTTTTCTCACTTCTCTCTTCTCACTTTTGTTTCTGTCTTCTGTTTAATATTCTTCGGTGGTTATTCTTTGGGAGCTTGTCGTGAGGAACGAACTGAGTTGCAGAAGCCGGACAACGACACATACCCGGCCCGGTGAGAAGGATATTCAAGGGCGAGCTTGGGATACAACAAAAGGGAGGAAAACCACGACCAGCGACGACAATCATTTTCTATATTCAATTCGTACGAATAAGTTTCCTCGACAGGAGGGTTTGCTGTTTATTCCATTATTATTCCATCATATCGGTACCTTCCAACCTGGGACAGACGGATCGATCGTTCCGCATATCCCGCCAAATTATCACCTGTTAGAACTTAGGGAATTTTGGGCACGAGAATATACAATAGAAGGAACATGGCTACTTTTCCAATTGAAGAGCCCCAATGGAACAGTGCTCCGGCTTGGAAATTGCCAGGATGGGCGGAACCAATTGTGAGATTATTACCTCCATGACTCGGCGACTTGCTAATGGAAGAATGAAAGATGGTTGCGAGCATCTTGGTCGGATCTATGATAATTACTAGGAGACATAACTTTCGAATCTTCGATCGGAGGAGAAATTATAACCTTTTGGACGACGACCCAGATTTTGAGTCTACTCGGTCGTCGGATGATATGCTATCGAGGGACCTCATGGTTGGAAACGAGGGTGATGATTCCAGTATAGATTCCATGAGCACGATGAAGAACCCGCCGAAGAGGAGGAGATGCTGTGGGATGACCGTATACACGCCCAATACTTCTCGATTCGCGGATTACTACCACAGCCGGATCTTGCAGAAGTTCCCGTTCTTAATAGAGATGTTCTATTGGATTATTACTTACGGTTTCTATCGATGTACGAGCCTTCTCTCGAATGCGGTGTTCTCAAAAACGGGGATATGGGACGTTGCCCAGGATCATGGGCTAGCTATTCTGGAGTTTGAGCAATTTTCCCGGTTGAGCTTTCTCTGGCCGGTGCATGAGCGCGATGTGCAACAATGGTTCATGCATGGGCATCAGACGTTCTTGACGGTGCTGAACCGTTCATACGCCTTGATCCACATTCCCGGAACCGTGGGGTATGTTAAGCCCATACTTGAGAGCTGAGACTGCTTGCTGACACTTGCTAGATTCATTGCATGGTACTACTATGCCGCCCCCTCCTTCAACACCTTCGCAGTTGTGCGAAGAACGATGACCCTCACGAACCTTTTCGCTTTCATAATCTTCATCTTCTACCCGTGCATGCCACCGCGACTCCTGCCTCCAGAATACGGGTTCCTCGACAGTGTTGGACGAAACAACGCACAGAGCGTATGGATGAGCGGGAAATATGTGAACGCTCTGGCAGCTATGCCATCGATGCATTTTGGATACGCTTTCATTATCGGCAGCACATTTATATATCACTCTGGGGTTTTCCGGAGAACGCTTGAGACGGGAGAAACGCGCAGGTCCAAGCCATGGGCTCTTTTCTATGTCTTGTTGGCCATTTGGTATCCGGCCTGGATCCTTACCACGATTGTGGCGACGGCGAACCACTATTACCTCGACGCCATGATGGCGTTTTTCGTGGTTCTCGCCGCTTATTTATGTAACAGGGTATTCTTGGCATTCCTGCCCTTGGAGGATCTGCTACACTGGTGCTTGAGATTGAACAAACCAGTACCAACGACTGGTGATAAAATGCGAAGAAAGTCTGCGTCTTAGGAAGTACGTAGATTTTGCATTGGTTTTGGAGTTTTGTTTTTGAGCGCACGTTCTAAGCCTTCTCGTAATCATTTGGATACCAAAGCATTTGTACATAGGGTGTTGCAAAGGAGTAGGCGTTCCGTCCGGAGAACGAGAAGGTTGTAAGCTTCCAGAGAGGAAGCAGTTTGAATATATACAATCGAAAGAATTAATTACCTGATCCAACAATCTGAGAGAAAGATGGCAGTGACGTTGAAATATGGTATTTAACATTGACGAAAGATCTTGTACTACTACGTACAATAATAGCCTGGCTTTGCCGTGAGCTGATTTGCTGGGCTGTGGGCGTGAAGGTGCAATAATTCGACGGATGAATGAATGACTCCAAGCTGCTGTATGTGAAAGCGGCGTATGTGTGTGAAAGCGGCACCCCCAAGATTTTGTTTGGTACCTGAATACGAGTATTCGGCGCAAGGCCACTTCTTGAGCTGCCCCAACCTCGACTTCAAGCTTCCCCCACCACCTTCATTTTACCCCATCGCGCGCACAATCCCTCTCTGAAGCTGGAGCATCTCTCTGTTATATATTTTCCGTCATTCGTTGATCCAATTGTCGCATCAATGCCATTTCAAGCCTGATTTTCACTATTCGAGCAAGCTTCAAATCCACAATTACACTACCCTCCTAATTCCCCAACTTATCCACCACAGCAGCACAATGGCGGATACCGGAGACTTCGAAGGCACGCCAATCGATGAATCTGGCGACGTCTCTATGACCGCTGATACACCAATTGTCGAGATTGGTGGCGCTGCACCAGCGACAGAAGAAGAGGCCGGTGTGGATGACACCGCTCTGCCCTTCCAAGAGGAAGCTATAGACGATGTGCCCCCGCGCACTACCTACATCGACTACCTGAAGAGCCCAGTCATTGGACTGCTTGTAGGACAAGGCGATGAGCAGGCGCTCCTAACAGCTCACCAGGGGCTTCTTATCACAAGTCCCTGGTTCAAGGAAGCCTGCGACAAGTTCAGCAGTGATCTTTCGGTTCGCCCCATCTCCTCCGACATGCCCTCCAATCCAGTTAAATAAGAGAAACAGGAGCGCAGAATCGACCTCGTAGACGAAGACCTCGACGCAGTTGGCTGTTTCCTCGAATTCCTCTACACCGGCGACTACTTCCCCCGCAAGATCCCCGGATCCCGCGATCTCGAGCGCGACCCCACCACACCCCTCGTCGACGAGACCGGCGACCAGCTGCTCAAGCATGCCCGCGTCTACACCCTCGCCGACACCCTCTCCCTCCCCGTCCTAAAGTCCCTCGCCTCGTCTAAGATCCACTGCGTGAACTCGACGGCCAAGGGCGAGATCGCATACGCACGCTACGTGTACGCGAACACGCAGAAAGACGATACGACGATCCGGGCGCCGGTTGCGAATTTCTGGGCGACGAGATCGCATACGCTGCGCAGCGAGGCGGAAGACGAGTTCAGGAGCATCTGCTTGGAGTTCCCGCAGTTCGGTTACGATGTTCTCAGTATGTTACTCCACATGCTCGCCCATTTCTTTCTCTGGTGCCATGTTACACGTACTATACTAATAATACTTAGCTCGTGTGTTGGACGACAAGCTCAAGAGGGAGAAGAACGAGAAGTTGCATCCTACACCTGGCGGCAGTTCGAGGAAGCGTGCGCGCGGCATCTAAAATCGCTGGGGGCCTCGGGAGTCCGGCGTGATATTGCGTCTTCATCTACTTATTAATGCTGTGAAATGAAGGAGTCATACCCATATCTATATCTATTGTACAACATGGGCGAACCGAGCTTTCTTTCGCAAAGCCAAAAATAAAATCCGCATCGGTTGATTTTCATTGTCTTGTATTGGCAATCTATCTGTATGCGTGGCAGCGGTACGTGGTACTTGATCAGAGATGGCAGGCAGGCACTCTTCGTACAGTACCTACCTAACGCTTGTATCAATCAATCAAGAGGATGAAGAAGAGGAAAGAGAAAAGGGAAAAGGAAAAGGAAAGCCGGGAGGGAAATCGGTTCATTTGATACACGGTATATCTATCTATGTATCAACAACTTCTGTTCTGTACAATATATGTACAAAATTTATAAGTTAGCATTCACTCTGCACATCACATCACATCACATCTTATAATCTACCCAAGATACCTACCTAACCCCCCCCCAAGTACCTTCCTTCCCTTCCCTACCTATCTACCACAAGTTCTAAGAAGAGCAAGAGCCTAGCTATAAGGTATGCATGTATGGTACGACAAATTTGGTTGTGTTTAGTACTAAGTTATCATTCATGAATTCGTTATATAAAAAAAGTCGGCAAATGCTAGAGTACCTCCATCCATCCATCCATCCTATTTGCGTGTCTTGTCTCGTCGTGTCTTGCCTCCCTCCCATTCATATATCCTAACCCGCAAGCAAAATTAACTGTTACGATGCGATCGATGATTGCTCCACGCCACGCCACAACAAAACACAACACAACATTCCACTCCATGAAGCCGAAGCCAAGGAAAAAGAAACAAGGAGATCCTCCACATGCAATTCCAATGCCAATTCCAATTCCATTTCCATTTCCACTGCCTCCAGGTAAGTAAGGTAGGGTAGGTATCATATCATGAACGTTCGCTTTTCGTCTCGTCTCGTTTTGTCTCTTCTTTTCTCTAGCTAACTCTGGATCTTAAGGAAAGAAAGTACTGTCATGTTATGATATGATGGAAGGTAGATGGATGGCCTGTCTGCTGGGAACTTTTCTCCACCCCGTGTCTTTTTTTGTTCTTTCTGCTGTTTTTATTTTTGGTTTTGGACGAGGAGGGGAGGAGGATGTAATGTAATGTGAGGTGGTGATTCAGCGTTGGTGTGGATAATGATCATACTGCACACGTTGCGGCTCCTGTCCTTGCTGCTCAGCACCCATGCCATTTTGAAGATGCTGCTGCTGCTGTTGTTCATGCAACGGATTCGGTAACTGTTCCGGACCTCTCATCATGTTCATTGCATTCCCTCCATTCCCCCCACTCCCACCAACCATGACACCGGGAAACCTACCCGAATGCCCGCTATTAACTGGGTGGTACAGCAAACTCCCGATATTGTGGACGAAGAGCGGGTACAGCAGCTCGGTAATCTTCTCTTTGTTGGCGAACTCGAGGGCGCGCTCAAAGGGGATCCAGACGCCTTTTAGGTGCATGGGCCCGATTTTCACGACGTGTTTTTGTTTTTCTGCCTTGAGGATGCCGTCGCGGCGGCCGCGGGTCATGCCGGCTACGTTGAGGAGTTTGGTGCCGTTTATCATGTGGTTGTCTGGAGATGGTTGGGTTAGTAGGATAAATTAAGATGGCATGTGATGGGATGTTGAGGCTGAGTGGAGTGTGGAGATGGAGGGACGAGGTGAGGGGTAGGTAGTGTAAGATTGAATGCGGGGAAAAGATACGACATGACATACCTTCTCGGCGCGCAACACAAGTTCCTTTGACATCAACCTGGAAGCACAATGTTCCTTCGTCCTCCCACAGCGTGGCCGTGACTTTGGGCTTCATGCCCGGAGGCGCAGTCTGGCCGGTCGTATCCATGCTAATCTGCATCTGCTCTCGGGGAGGCATTGGAGCGTATTGATGGTTTGGGGGAGGCAGGCCATGTGCGGACATGGGTGGAAGGGGTAGGCCATGAGCGGTGTTGTATTGCTGATTTGGGTGTTGGTTTTCTTGCTGCTGATGCTGTTGGTGCTGCTGGGGAGGGAACTTCAATTGAATGTCGTAGGAGTACTGAGGATATTGGTTTGAGGTCTGAGCTTCGTGCGGCGCCTCGGAGCCTGGGGGAGGTGGGTAGTGGTGTTGCATGCCACCGGGTGGTCCAGGCTGGATCGGTGGCGATTGGGGACCGGACATTTGTGATGGATGGTACATGTCTGCGGTGGAGGTTGAAGAAGGTGTGTATGGTTGTGGTTATGGTCGAGGGAGTATTGGCTGGGTGGTCGTGTAGTATTTGTCGACGAAATGTGATGGTGGTAGATTCATAAAAGGATGACCTTGATTTATCATATCTTGGTGGAGTGGTGTATTGGTCTGGAGAAGGCAGTACGTTAGGAGACGGTACAAGAATGGATTGAGGATGGTGGGGTGAGGGCACAGCAAGTTTCAAGTTTCAAGTGTCAAGCTTACTTTGGATGGATGGATGAATTGAAACACAGCTAGCTGTTGTTGTAAGATTACGATGTTCACTTTAGCCTAAGGGGGCTTGAAACTAGGAATCTCAAGTACTGGTGCTTGTCGGGACCAGAAAGGAAGGAAGGACGGATAGTAGCAACAAGCAGGGAGAAGAGAAGGATGGAAGAAGGAGGAGAGGGGAGGGAAGGGGAGGAGAGAGGAGGGGAAGAGGGGAGAGAGGAGACGGGTGAAGACATTAATCTACAGCCTTGTCAATTGTCAAAGTTAAACGCGCGCTGAGCCTAGAGTGCCGAACATGGCTTGCATACATATTCTTAGCCGAAGGACTTTCTCTACAGATGATCAACTCCTCCCGGCTCAAGCCACTCAAGCCCATGGATTAATCGCCAGCCATATCGACCGGCGTCAAGCTCTCAAACTTCTAACTTGTCTTGATAGTTTGCATGCGCGCTTGCGGGTAAAGCTCAAGAGGTCCGATCCGAGAAGAACGGAAGGTCCTTTGGGGGGTCTGCACGGGCGGGAAGCTGGGGCTGGGCTGGGCTGGCTGGGCTGGGATCTTACTGTAGACACAGCTAGTGACTGCAGCTTACCATCCATCCATCCATCCCATCCATACCTTAAGCTCAAGGGGCAGGACAGGGTTTAGTAAAGGGAACGAATAACGGTACAGCTTACTCAGCAGCATCACCTGCAGTACTTGTCTTGTAAACAATAGACCCGTCCCCGTCTGTGTTCTCCAAATAACAAGTACACACAGGATCAGAAACATCATATCAGATGCAAGATGCAAGAACGGGAAGATCTCCAAGCGGGTATCAACAGGATGGATATGGACATGACATGGACATAAAAACTCCGAAACTAGTAACATCTCCCTATCTAAGGTACTGTACGGACGGGTACAAGTGCTTAAGTTAGCATCCTCGGAATCCAACTCATCTCCTATTGGTCAAGAGAAGAACAGGTCCTCGCACTTTTATAAATCAACAAATCAATAAAGCGGACCATATTCCTTTTGCGGCTTGAATGGGACAAGGAAAACCTTCCGAATATCAACCATAAGTTCCACGACACCTTACAGTACTGTATATCTACTTGGCGCCAGCATTCTAGCGTGGAAACGAGTGGTTCAAAAACTGCCAGGTACCGTGACCCACTTTACCCACAGCTGTGCACCTAATCCAATGTATTGTCTTTGATAGCAACGAACTATTGAGATTCTAGAAGACAACCCTTACTTTGATGAGAATAGGTAGAGCCATGCCTTTTTAAATTCAATCAATCTCTGAATTCGAGGGTTTTAATAAGATATAGGAATTCAACGCTAAACTGCTAGCGCTAACTGGATCTTGGCAGTTTCTATGATAGTTGCAAGTCACTAAGCTTTTTGAACTGCTTGGAAGTATAATGACTACTTCGAGGTGTTCAGCAAAACCCGAGGAATATAATTAAAATCCTTACAAATATTTCCATCTAAATGCCACGATTAGTTGTCAACTTTTGGTGTATTGTACTTTTCGCTTAAGACCCTCACTAAAGCACCACCAAGACCATGTAGCGGGGCTCAAATTCCCGCTCCCACAAGACCCCTCCAAAGGTCCAAGCACATGGTACTTTCAGACCTCACTCCCTGAACCTGCAAACACTTGGAAACCCACGAAACAAAGGCGCCTAATATTGAAATTGATTATGCGCCATACGTGGTAGCTACACTTCTAGGATATACCCCCAGCACTCTTCCGCCATGGCGTCAAACCCCACGGCAACGCTCACCAGCCTCCTCAAAAGCTCCACCATCTCTGACCACTCCGATGTCCTCAAAGCCGCCAACGGCGTCCTCAAGGCCTCCAAAAACAACCCTGATGCCCTGCATACCCGAGTAGTGGCCCTCCTCAAACTCGACCGCTTCAGCGACGCCCTGCGCGCTCTAGACGATGGCGGTGACAAGCTTGCTGAACGTTGCACGTTCGAGAAGGCGTATGCGTTATACAAGACTGGGGAACTGGAGGAAGCTTTCAAGCTGGCTCAAAAGGGGGGTGGAAGAGGCTTAAAGCATGTTGCAGCACAGGTTGCTTATCGTGCTGAGAAGTTCGAGGATGCGGCGGTGATTTACAGGGAGCTGAGTTCAGATGACGCGGGGATTGAGGGGGAAGAGAACGATCTGCGAATCAACAGCTCGGCAGTCGATTCCCAATTGGAATGGCAAGGCAATGGGGAGAAGGTCGAAAAGAGCAGGAAGAAGCCTAGTAGAGAGGACCTTGAGGCTTTTGAGACATCGTACAACGCTGCTTGTGGCTGTATCGCGCGAGGAGAGCTGGCATCTGGAAGTGTGTTGTTGAAACGGGCACGAGATTTGTGTGAAGCGTTGGACGAGTTGAGTGACGAGGAGAAAAGAGCAGAGGTACTGCCAATTATGGTTCAACAGGCTTATGTTTTCACAAAACTCGGGAAGCTGGAAGAGGCGGAGGCTTTGCAAAATATGATAAAAATTGCTGAGTATGAAGCTACATCCTCCTTAAAATGCTGGTCATTAATTATTACAGTGTCCCTGAGCCTCCCACAAAGGTTATTGCCCAAAACAATCAACTGGCTGCAACACCAAGCGAGAACCCATTCATGACCCAACGCATTTTCGACTCCGTTCCCTCGCTAGCACACGGAGAAAAACATTTCAGACACCAAGCTAGCATTCTAGAGCGAAATAGATACACCATTGATCTCCAATCACTAAAGTACTCAGGTGTAGCGTTCTCGACCGCATCCATTATTACGAAGGCACCCTCCCCAACGACCTCCTCGTTCGTCAGCACACTTACTGTCCTCAACGCCGCAGCTCACGCGAAATGCGAGACCGGGAAAGCGAGCATAAAGCAAATAATGCCCCTCTTAGAGAAGCGACCTAATGACGTCGGGCTCATCTTGGTCCTCATTCAGCTCTACATCCTAACCAATAACCCCGGGCCCGCCATCACCCTCCTGGAAACCTTCTTCAAGCGCCTCGAAGAGTCTACTTCCCCCGCTGACCAAGATGTGCGATTCGCACCCGGCCTCGTCGGACTTATCGTCTCGCTGTACCGACTATCCGGTCGAAAATCCCCCATAAAAACAGAACTAGGGAAGGCAGCTTCTTATTGGCGGCGGAAATCGAAACCCTCTGTAGCACTGTTCCGTGCTGCCGGAAAGTCGTTGTTGGAATCCTCAGACGCCGAAGATTTTTCCGCAGCCGGCGAAATATTCTCCACGCTCCTCACCCAAGAACCCACCGACCGCACCGCGATAGCCGGATACGTAGCGTCATACGCCACTTCTGACCTCCCGAAAGTTGCGTCGCAGCTCGAAAAGCTAACCCCCGTCTCAAGCCTCATCGCCGGCATTGACGCCGCGGCACTAGAAGAAGCAGGCGTCCCAACTCTGGCTCCTCCCATATCCGCAAGCAAGAAACGCCCTGCCGAAGCGGAGGAGAAGAAGCCCGAAGAGGTGAAGAAGCGGAAGGTTCGCGCGGGCAAGATGCCAAAGGACTTTGAGGAAGGCAAGAAGATGGATCCGGAGAGGTGGCTACCGCTCAAGGACCGTAGTAGTTATCGGCCCAAAGGCAGGAAGGGGAAGAAGAAGGCGGCGGATATGATGCAGGGCGGTGTTGTAAAGGAGGAGGGCGAGAGTCTGGAACTTGCTGGGGGCGCGGGGAGTGTGAAGGTTGAGAAGGCTACTGGTGGAGGGGGCGGTGGAGGTGGAGGGAAGGCGAAGAATAAGAAAAAGGGGAAGAAATAGATAGATGGTGACTTTGGTCAACAAAACACACCTATGTTTGGGAATTTGATGCCTGCTTGCTCGGCATTTGTCGGCTCAAAAGCTCCTATTCAGCGCATCTATAGAAAGTCTAGATGATTCAAAAGCCAACCTACTCAACAACCCCCCATTTCGACTAGCATGCATAGCCTTAGGCAAACTCTTTGACCTACGAGGTTTACAAGTACTGTACCTCACCCCCTTTCCTAAGCGAGCACGGAATGAATAACAGCAAGTGACCGTACTCGAGGTAAATTCAAGTTCTCAAATCCACTCAACTCAACTCAACTCAACTCAGCCCCACCAATCCATTTCTCCCTCATCCCGGCTCATGTCATCCAAAACATCATTCATTACAAGCCTTATCCGCATCCCGGTTCTCCGCACACGGGATCTAGATATACTCCACGTCCCGGCCCTCAAGCGCCATCAGCCCCGTCGATGAGATCGTGATTCGCTACTTCCCGTGAACGGAGTCTCCCGTTCGTTGCGCCGCCATTTATTTGTAGATCCAGTCCGTCGTGCGTATCGGGAGTCCGAGTAGATGGTCACGTCTAACCTAGGTGGAGGCGGGGTAATTAGCTGGTCAGTGCGAGGTTCATCTCTACCCCATTTTCACTGACAATATAGGTACAAAAATGTCAGCTCAAGGCCAGAAGCGAAAAGCCCCTCTTGCGGAAGCAGACGTGAATACTCAGCCATCAAAGAAGTCTTCTCCATGTTCGTCCCCATGCAAATCGCCGCCATGGAAATGCTCGCCGAGCACAACCTAATCAACACGCCCTGCGCCTTCAACGCGGAGGTCATCACCTCGCTCCTGATCTCCTCTCTCACCATGACAGCTAAGGACATGTCGTTCTTCGCAATCGACGGACTTGGCCAGATCGTTCTTGCGGCTGATAAGGCAGGCCTAAAACTTGTAGAGAGGAAGCAGAAGCAGCTGAAGGGGGCCGATACCAAGGCTATCCAGAAACTAAGGGAGAATCCTGGGAGGAAGTGGGATTGGAAGAAGTGAGTTTTGTTTACATGGTCCATGCACAGAACGACGGCACTAATATTTGAAACAGTGGAAGGAATTCAAGCTTAATCATGCTGGTGGAAGCTAATATGATATCACTAAGATGTCTAAAGCCGAGAAGGCTCGGCATTCGTACGGTGGTGGGCGCGGTTTTCGGATGTGTTGGACGCGAAATGGGTGTATAGGTGATTTAGATTTGGAAAGCTGCAAAGCCAAGTGCGTTCTTTTCTTTCTTTTTTGGATACGTGTAACATGTACTGATAGTCCCAGTACATAGCTGTATTAACATTGTTTGGATAAGCATCCGCTTTAAACCTAAGCGGGTGAGGCAAAATTCTCATTCGCGATGTTCACGTTCTTTTAAGTGAGTCCTCCCCATATATCTCCGTATTGATAATATTTCTATTGGGGATGATATCGCTAACTAGATAGCAGTACAGCAATGATGTGACTGCTAAATTGGGTTTCAAAATTCGCGAAAACTCCCGCTTGATAGTGTGGCATGAAGTTCAGGGGTAACTACATATCCAGAAGCTCAAAATAATTCCTGGGTATCCCATCAAACTATTTCTCCTCCCACGGAGGAAGCAACTTTGGTTTCATCTTCGGTGGCTCGTTCCAGAAAGACAGCGTTCCAGCCTCCCTCGCCTCAACGTTCCTCTTCGCCCCCGCGGCCCTTCCCTGCTTCACCACTTCGTCAGCCTCTCTCTGTCTGCGTTCTGCAGCCAGGGCGGCCAAGGGTCGGAGCTCCGCCTTGACCCTCTCATTCCGCGCGAATCGGTTTTGCACCAGCGCATCACTGGTTCGTCCACCGTGTACGAGTTCCATTATCCGACTCTGTCTAGCATCGACCTGGCGGTGGCTCATCTGCTTCCGCTCCGGGTGGTACATGCAGGTCGATGCATGTGCTGTGTCTCCGATCCGTATGATGTTGTCCCAGGATGCCATGCATTCGAAGCACCACGAGTGTCCGCACCGACATATCATGTGGTTGCACCCTTCTTCCTTGGTGACGCCCTACTGGCAGTTCGGGCAGATCTTGGATTGCTCTTTCGCGAGGAGTTTTGCCGTGGCTTCTTCCCGCTCCAGGCGCTCCAGCTGCGACTCGTCCATGTCGAACTCGTCGCAGGTCTGGCCCGAGTGCCATGGGAGCTTGTGCGCTGTGCAGGTCTTGAACCCGCAGGAGTTGCATATCATCATTGGGTTGGGATCTGTGTGGCTTTGCCCTTTGTCGCAATTGCGGCCTAGACACATGACAACGTCCGGGGATTCCTTCATCATCAGATATTCGTACCTAGGCAGAGCGTTAGCATGATCTGCAAAGACAATAACGGGAACTCAAAATTACTTACAGAATGAAGGCTTCCGGACTTGCATATTTCATCATCTCCCCATGAGAGAGGATTTCATGACAGAAGGGGCAGTGGAGAAGGTGCAGCATACCTTCATCAAGAGTAGTCTGAATGTCTTGGTGGATGCAATCCAAACAGGCCATCATCTCGTGATTGTGTTCGCACTTTCCGGTGATGTTTGACGAAGCGGGGAATGCGGAGGGTGGAAAGAACTCTGCACAGATTCCACACTCGATATCTGTTGAATTTGGATCTCTAGTTTGAGAAAGATAAGGAGCAGAAGGACCGGATTCCTGCTGCTCGGGATTCGAGGGTGGAATCGGGGCAAATGGTATGTCTGGTAGAGGTGTCTGATGAATCCCAAAGTCGATAACGCGTGCTCGTCGTCCTGGAACTTGCAACGCGTGTGGAAGTGGGCCATTCCAAAGGTCTGCAGGCAATCTAGCTGCGTCTCCATCGGCGCCAACTGAGTGTCTTCGTGGTCTATCACCAGCCACTTGTCTTGCACTCAAGTTTTGAGCAATATCCTCTTGCACTTCATCATCCATATCCATACGTTCATCGCCCTCATCAGTATCGTCAATCCCATCTTCCTCATCTTCACCTAACTCCTCCTCTCTACTCACAAAAGCCTCGGGATCATACTCGGGCCAATTTCCTTCATCCTGGTCAAGTGAGTGCACACCCATACTCATTGACACACCAGGAGCAGCTGTAGCCGGCAACACGTGTTTGGGAAACTCCCCCCCGTTCTGCAACCACGGTTGAATATCCCGAATCTGCTCATCCGTCATATCTCTAGCTAGCGCAAATAGACCCTTGAACAGCGCGGTACGATCACTTGGATTCGCGGGAAGTTTCTGGAATTCTCGCAGCAGTTGCTGCATGCGTAGGCCGTGGTGTTCGCGGAAACCCAGGCCGAAGACGGTGAGTTTTCTACCGTCGTTGGATGCCATTTTAAAGAATAGGGTAAATTAATAGAATATTAAAATCGAATTAAGGCTGAGGAAGGAAGGTTGTCCCAGGATCGATATGAAGTAGGTAGATAATCCTTGTGAGGCTAGGTCGGTGGTAGCCTGGTAGGCAGCGCAGCCTTGCAAGTGGGTTAGGGAATATTTGCCAACCGAGATGCGAATAAGTGGCACTTAGGCACCTAGGCAAGTATCCAACGTCTTCTCGAAATATGATCAGGCCAAGGTCTATTATCATTAGTTTATGAAACTCTAGAATATGTGTGAAGGGGCAGTAGGTATACCTTGAGATTATTATCGAAGGAGGATAAGGTTCCAGGATGACTGGAGGCGTTATATGTGCCTGAACTTGACTCGCACTAAGCCTAATCCTCAACCTGTCTGTCTTTACACGGTCTATTGAATACCTGTAGAAAGTGTGCGTGCACTCAAAGTCATTTCTATAGTTGGAGAAGAAGTCAATAAGTGGATGTTATTGTGCAGCTCTTTTTTCGCCAGATCAGAACCGACTAATTGATTGTGGATTATAGACGGTAGGAATACTAAATCTGTTTCGAATAATTATTTTACATTTGTGCTAATTTACTAGTTTGTAAGTATTCCAATTTCAACTGAGAAGTTGGGGTTTAGGATGTAATCATAAGGAGGCTAATGATTAGGCTGAGACTATTGCCTAACGGGGAAAGTTGCATTCTACGTATCAAATTACCAGAGAACCTCGTTATTCTATTGAACTTAACTCTATATCGACTGATGCTTCGTTGAAATTAGTTTCCGAAGCAAGTCTACAGCGGCAAAATCTGAAGTTTGGGCTGTGAAGGCGCGGGCTTTTGAAGTCGGTCGGAGTGCCTTTGACTCTACCACAGTTATACTTATTAAGTGCTTCATATACGACATCCGAATTTTCTTATTGATTTCAAGTTCGACTTTGGACTTTTGCTTAATGGAAGCCGTTTTGCTAGTAAGTAGTAGTAAATTTTTATTTTACAATTCATAACTAGTAATATAGAACTGGCTGAAATACTTTTCTTGTTCACAAATGCAATATGCTATGCTAATATCACATCTTTAGAGAAAGCACATATATATATCCTAATTACCTAAACATACCCCTATCCCAAGGACACTCACTAGCTAGTGATGAATAGAGAAATCATAATCTAGGCGATATTTCCTTCTCGCTATTAGCAATCTGCGGCTGCAGGGGGCGTGTAACAATAGGCAATGTCACCTGATGACGGATACATATTTCACTGAAGTCGAGAATGAATCTTACAGCTTTGAGCATAATCTATTGCGGAACTTATAGTAATGAATAGGAAGCTTAGTAGGAATTACGATTCTAGGATAGACAGTACATATTTGGGTATAGTGACCTTCACCTTCCTCTCGATTGAAAGTCACGGGAAGCGCTGTGCAACCCCACCTGTAGTGACAACAAACCGCGCCCGACAAACGGGCAGTAGATAATGAGGCTCCTTCATAACACAGTTCTTTTTTTTTCTTTTAAACGTACACTGTACATTGGGATGAGGCTTACGTTAACTATTGTCACCATCCCCTATTAGTACGAGATACACACGCACTCGTGTCAAGCTGACATGGCTACTCTCGATTCCCTAAAGTTCGCCCTTAGGCAGAAAGCCACAGCAACAGCGTCATCCCCGAAACAGTCGTTGTCCGACTCACAGTATAGCGCCGGCTTCGACATCTTGGTGCAGGGCTCAGGGTGGTTGACTTACCAAGACTTCATTATCCCTCAGCTATCTGAGCAGCTAGCCCCTGTCTTCAACTCGCGTATCCATGTCTCGGTGCTAGAAATTGGACCTGGCCCGAAGAGCGTATTTGAATATCTACCCCACCATCTGAGACGGAAGGTCAAGAGATACACTGCGTATGAGCCTAACGGCACGTTTGCAATAAGGTTAGAAGAAGGACTTTGCTCTGCCACGGAGACGGAGTCCCCACTGCCCTGTCTGGAAACCCCGCCCGCTATCCATGGAATTCCATTCGTTCTGGACAGCAACACAGAGAGCGGTACTAGCGGTATGAATGATGACGAAGAAAAGTTCGACGTCATCCTGTTCTGCCATAGTATGTATGGCATGAAGCCTAAAAACAAATTCATCAAACGGGCGCTGGAAATGCTTGTCGAGCGGCCAGAAGGCGGAATGGTGGTGGTTTTCCATCGAGACGGGACCTTGCACCTCGATGGCTTGATATGCCATCAGACAGCTTCTTTCCCCACTGGAGTCATCCGTGTAGCAAATGACGACGAGGTCCTGGACTTTTTTGCTCCATTCGTCGCGGGGTTTGTTATGCAGGATGTAGAAGTGGACAAGCGTATCCGAGTCGAGTGGAGTAAGGTGTGCCGCGCCTTGGGCCATCATGAGGAAACCGACCCAGACCATCTCTTGTTCAGCTCGCCCGATGTCATGGTAGCCTTTACCCAACATGCGACCACGTTGCCGGAGCTAACAGCGCAGGTGCCATTGGTGGAGGGGGGCATGACGGTTAAAAATCGCGAGGCTCGCCTCCACCGTCCCGCCTCAATTGTTAGGCCGACAGAAGTCCGACACGTCCAGCAGTGCGTTCAATGGGCTCTGAAGCACAGTGTAGGACTGGCCGTTGTTGGTGGGGGGCACAGCGGCCACTGTCTCTGGCCCAATGTCGTCTCGGTCGACATGAGTGCCTTTGACCAAGTACACATTCTCACGGCCGGGGAGGATGGAAGCAAATCCGGTTCCAACTCCGATTCCGGTTCCTTGGTCGTCGCCGAGGCTGGGTGCAAGACAGGGGATATCGTCCGCAAGACCATGGAAGTGGGCTTGTCAGTGCCTTTAGGAGCCCGCCCAAGCGTAGGCGCGGGGTTGTGGCTACAAGGTGGCATCGGCCACCTGGCTAGGCTACATGGGCTCTCGTGCGACTCCATCGTCGGTGCCGTGATGATCAGCGTCGACTCTAGCCAGGTCCTCTGCATCGGCCATGTACCAAGCCAGCACCGGCCGGCCGATGCCATGCGCCCGGAAAACGAAACCGATCTGTTGTGGGCGATGAAAGGCGCCGGCACCAACTTTGGCATCGTGATCAGCGTTACTTTCAAAACTTGTGCGGCTCCAAACTATTCGATTCAAAACTGGATTCTACCGCTGAACGACAACCTTGAGGCACGGCTCAAGCTCAGCGATTTCAATGAATTCGTTGCTAGGAGGCTTCCCCGGAACCTCTCTGCAGACGCGTATTTGTTCTGGGACAACAACCAGCTACATCTTGGCGTGACCATGTTCGGATCTTCCACCACCTTTGAGACTCCCACGTTCATGCCGGTAGGTACAATTTTGGGGCCGGAAGCCACTTTCAAGACCGTGGACGGCCTCGGTCTGTTCGAGACCGAGATGTACATGTCTGGGATGCACGGCGGGCATGGCGGCGGCAAGACCTCCTCGTTCAAGCGTTGTTTATTCTTAAACAGCATAGGAGCAGTGAATATCGCCGACATCTTGGTGGCGGCCGTTAAGACTCGTCCCTCACCACAGTGCTATCTCCATTTGCTGCAAGGTGGCGGCGCGGCTGGCGATGTGGCGCCGGATGCCACTGCTTTCGGCTGTCGAGACTGGGAGTTTGCCTGCGTGGTAACTGGTGTGTGGCCGCGCGATCAAGATCAAACCGAAGCTGCTCGAGCTGCCGTGCGGTGGGTTTATAATGTTGCTGGGAAATTGTTGCCCTTGAGTAGCGGAGCTTATGGCGCCGATCTTGGACCAGACCCCAGAGACGCCTCGCTAGCGGCTAAGGCTTTTGGACCAAACGGGGCGCGCCTAGCCCGTCTCAAGCAAAGCTCAGACTCGCATAATGTGCTGGCTTACGCATGCCCGCTCCCGAAAGCGCCGAAGAGACAGAAGCTCATCATTCTTGTTACGGGCGAAAGCTGCGCCGGCAAGGACTACTGCGCAGACGTTTGGGTCTCCGTGTTTACCACATGCACCCGCAAGAGCCTCACGGCACGTGCAGTCAGCATTAGCAATGTGACCAAACAAGAATACGCAGCGGCTACCGGTGCCGACCTGAGCCGCCTGCTTTCGGACCGTGGCTACAAGGAGCAACACCGACCAGCATTGACGACCTTTTTCCAGGGCCAGGTGCAACAACGACCTCGGCTGCCGGAGGAGCATTTTCTGCATGTGGTATACAGCGCCGTAGATGTTGACGTGCTGCTAATCACCGGGATGAGAGACGAGGCGCCGGTCGCAGCCTTGTCACATTTGGTGCCAGATACCAGACTAATCGAGGTTCGGGTCAAAGCTAGGGAAGAGCTGCGGCGGGTTCGCCGAGGGTGTCACGACGATGATGCCAATGGTGAAGATGGTAACGACAATAATGACAAGGACAGCAACAGTGGTAAATCGAATTTGACAGCCTTGGACTACCGCCCTAGTCTCATTTTCGACAACGACACGACCGGAAACGAGGCGGCAAAAACGTTTGCCGAACAGTACCTGCTTCCCTTCTTGCACAAGGACCTGCAGCGACTGGCCGATATGGTGCGCTCGGTACCCGACTTTCCATGCCCGAGCATCGAGTTCCGCCACGTGCTCAACATTTCCCAGCAGCCGGGTGGGTTGGCCCTGTGCACATCTCTGCTGCAAACTCACTTCACCGGTGACTGGGCCAAAGTCGATGTGCTGGCTTGTTGCGAGGTCGGCGGCTTTGTCTATGCATCGGCCTTAGCCGCGAGGGTCGACGTGCCCCTGGCGTTGGTTCGCGAAGCTGGCAAGCTTCCCCCACCCACCATTTCCGTAACCAAGTCCCCGTCACATATCTCGTCGTCGGTATTCAACGATTCAAAAGAGAAGAGGATTGAGATGGACCCGAATGTGGTCCGCAGAGGTGCGTCAGTAGTAGTAGTGGACGATGTGCTTGCCACAGGGAAGACGCTTTATGCGGTGCTACAGCTATTACATGAAGCTGGCATCCGTGCTGAGGATATCAGCGTCATGGCTGTGGCCGAGTTCCCTTTTCATGGTGGTCGGGAACTGTTGCGCCAGCGTGGCTTTGGCAGAGTCAAGATTCAAAGCCTTTTGGTGTTCGGTGGTGCTTAAGAAGAGAGCTTGGCGGATTTTGTGATGGAAATGCCTTGTGATACATATGATTCGAAGTTTCTGTCATTTATTTTAATGGACCTGAATGTTTTTCCCTTTAGAAGAACTTAACTATTGACACATATCAACAGCTTTTCTAACCATCAGAGGATATTTTAAAATAGCAGAAGCTAAGTCCATACGGGTGTCTGAGATGATTGTAGTGAATGCATTGAGGTCTAAGAGTGGATGACACGTAGGCGACGTTATATACAGATCCTCGCTTATGCGGAACCAAGTCACATGACATTACAGCATAACCATTTCTGGTCACGTTATAAAGCACCAAGCTGATTCGGACTCTCTGAAGATGATCCGGAATTTTCCTATCATGTTATGAATGTAAATGAACAATTTGCAATTCTAGTCTCGTGATGAAATTATGGATATCTGTTGGATGTCTAAGACTGGCCATCCACTAGATAGGTCGGCCTTATAAATACTTACGGGTTCGGTTTGTCGAAAGCTGTTAGTGGATGACCGAATGATATGAGTACACCATCCTCCTGGAATTTCTTCTTAGCAATTCGTCTAGAGGGTAACACTTCTTTAAAATACCATCGATCCCGGTAGTTTAATCTTTCCAAGGCAAGTGTCACAGCCCTCCAAATTACCGCAGCATCTTCAAGGCTCAAATCTTCTGGTATATCTAAGAAATCTGCAAGTTGAAGCCAGTCCTTTTGTTTCAGTACAATGCGAAGTGTTCGTTCGTTCGAAAATTTCCAGGTCTTGCCTAGTGTAGTACTTAGTGGCTTGTTGGCGATTTGATTCACACTTCTGTAATTAATGGCTTCATCTAACAAGCCTCGGAATAGACTACAGGACTGTTTAGTCTTCGGTTTGAGGCGCAGTCTAGTGATGCGATGCCGAATGAAGGTTTCGAATATGACCATATACCGATGCCGAATGTTAGAGTTGTTAGTGTATTTTCGAAACCTGGACTTGTACTTGTTCTAAGGTTGAACGCTTTGCTAGTATTACACTATTATGGCTTGTCTCAACTTCAGATCAACAAGTGTTAAAAGAATGACTGCCTTTTTGTGGCTCTTATGCGAGATCCTGGTTAGGGGTTACGCTGACTTTATCTATTGGTCTCTCTAGCAAATTATCCATACAATAATGAATAAGGTGATAATCGTATAAATGCATTCTCTTCTCTTGATTTTATGTTTTCTTGCAGGAACTGTAAGAGGTGGAGACTCGCATTTGCATTTGCATTTCCTTGGCCGCTTTCCTCGGAAATGTCCCAAACCCAGATTCTCGGTTATCTCCTACGCGCCTTGTCATTACTTCCCGTCAATAGCTCCAGATCTGTCTTCCTTGCTATAATTATTCGGGCTTCGATCATGTTTCTTTGGCTTGCATCTAGCCAGGCCATCCATCGGCAGCTGAAGCGACTATCGATTCGGGTTGGAACTGATTGTTGGGGCGGTTGGTGACGAAAGATTAAATAAAGTGCTTGGTACTCCGTATATACCTATCATACTGTAGGCCGGGTTACTGGTACTGTGCTGTGCTGGTGATCGATCTAAAGTACGGACCGTTGAATTATAGATCCAATCATCCTTTCTCCCGTATTGCAGACTCGCAGTAATCAGTAACCGAGCTTTGTACCTGCCAAGTTTAGATGGTATTTCCTCGACAGACAGTACAGTGACTGTTATCATCATCTTCTTCTTCTTGCTTTTTTCTCCTAGTTAGTCCTATATTCAACTGCCTGTTTAGAACATTAAAGTTCCCAATTTACGCCTCGTGGCGATAGTAAAGTGGTCTTGGCGTATAACCTTCCCCTAAGGTAGGTTGAGTAGTTTGAAGTATAAAAAAGGGACGGAGGGCGGAGAGAATAGCTGGTTTCGTAGATACAGTTGGAGACGGATGAATAGTAAGCCTGCAAATAAAGCGTGGCTATTTACCTTTGTGTAAAGCGGTCGATCTACAGCTACGCCTGAAGAAAGTTCAAGTAGACAAGTTACTCAAAAAAACAAATACCTAGGGTTATCTTGATTCACCGTTTCAAAGAGAGTTCTATAAGCGGAAAGGATTCCTGCTTGTGGAGATCGGCGTTCGTAGTAGCATGTAATAGATGTCAGCTGAAAGCTGAAATCTTCTTCAAGAAAAGGTCAACTAGTCGTCGAGTAGTACCGAATACCTAGAACGCCTCACCGGACCTAAGTGTATTCTCAGGTCGGGTGCGGAGATAATTAAATGACTTAAAAAAAGACAGATTAAAAAACAGAGCGGCTTAATTAGCGTCACTTGCAAGGTTCAATATAACAGTGGTATCGATACCACATTTGACCAGCCGACGGACGTTCCAAAGTAGAGGTCTGAGAAGCGCTTACTTCTCATCCTCTTCATCCTTCACATTGGGAGGCAATCACTGCTGTTAACACATCATGAGGAAACCCTCCTCTTGCATTTTCCACTCCCTTAGATAACCTAAATAAATTATTACATAAGATAGTAGATACGTATGAAGCAATTGTTTCTTGGAAGTGTTATATGGCGTTTAATGATAAAATTTCCATCGTTACACCCGACCCAAGTACTATTGTAGTACAACCCCTCGAGTATTACAAAAACCTGTCTTAGATGTATCCGGGTCTCAAGTCGCCGATCACCCCTCATATAATATAATGTAATGATTCCTTTCGCTCATCTTCCCAACGAGAGAAGCTTTATTTCAATATGCACTTCACAATATCAATCGTGCCATTCTTGGCTAACACGATACTACCAGTCTGGTGTCAAAAGCAACAACAGCCAATCCTCAGTCCCCAAGAAACCACCATCAAGCAGCCACTCATCGGGTTCGGAACTTACCTCCTCCCGCAATCAGAAGCATCTGAGAACATCACCGCTGCTGTGTCGTTCGCCATCGAAACTGGCTACCGACAGATTGACTGTGCAGCTTATTACGAGAATGAGCAGGCTATTGGAAAGGGGATTGCTGAGGGTCTCTTGAAGGCTAACTTGTCGAGGGGTGATATCTGGGTTACCAGCAAGCTTTGGAATGACCGGTATGTTTGTACTTGTGCCTTCTTTTGTGTTCAAATTGGTACGACGTTCGGGATATTGCAAGTGAGTCTGACATAAATGCATGTACAAGTCACGGGGACTACGATCTCGTAGAAGCGACGTTGAACAAAACTCTCAGCGATCTCGGGCTGGAATATTTGGATCTATACCTTATTCATTGGCCCGTTGACAGCTCTTCGGGAAAGAACGAAATCGATTATATCAAGGTATCTCTTTCCAATATACCTACCTACCTATGTTTACCTTTCTTCCTTTCTTTCCACGCACTTACTAACTCCGGAACCATTCATCCTCCAGACATGGATCGCTATGAGCCAACTCCCCAAAAGCAAAGTCCTCAACATCGGCATCTCAAACTTCTCTCCAGAACAGCTACGCCATCTTATTTCAGAGACTGGAGTCACGCCAGCTGTCCACCAAATGGAACTCCACCCCTATCTGCAGCAATCATCCTGGATTGCAGCTAATCGGGCATTGGGGATATCAGTGACAGCCTACTCTCCACTCGGAAACTCGAGTCCCGATTACCGCCACCCCTCTTCTCCGTCTCGCTTTTCATCTTCATTACTACGGTATTTCTTCCCGTCCCAGAATAAGAAATCTGCACCACTGCCACCACCACCCTTGCTTCAGAACACCGTCCTCAAAGAGATAGCCGAACGTCGGGACTGCACCGTGGCTCAGGTAGCGCTCTCTTGGAATGCCGGCCGGGGTGTGAGCGTCATCCCGAAGAGCAGTCACGAACGGTGGATCAAGGAGAACTATGAAGGCCTTGAGTGCGAGTTGGGGGTTCTGGATCTCGTGCAGTTGGAGGAAGTTGGAGTGAAGTACTTGGCGAGATTTAGTAATCCGAGTGAGGAATGGGGTGTCGAGCTCTTTGCGGGCTTGGACGATGCATGATTATCATGTACCTAGCCCTGGGATCGACCCGGCTTAGCAACTTTTCGCTAAGAAGCAACTAAAATAAGGGGGCGGGATCGGGGGGCGAGGGCGAGGACGAGGACGAGGACATCGCCCAAAACTTAGGGTTCTTCTAGCGTCCGACCCCTAAATCCACAGGGCTTAATCGCTAAGCTTAAACCTACTCAGGCACCTAATCACCCAAATCCACTGATTCGTTTCTTATATCTTCTCTTTTCCTTCATCTTAAAAACAGGAATATAACTATAAGCTGATTTTGCCTCCAGTATGAAATCCCTCACACTATATTCTTATAGATCTTTTCGCAGGTATTAATAAGGATAATGTATAAGACGATTAGGGAGATAACTTGGTTAAATTCTATATTCTAATCTGATTTGTTCCAACTAGATTAAAACTAGCAATAAGCTCAGGTAATTATACTCTGCTTAAAGTATTAGCTCTATAGAAAGCTGTTAGAAGAATGTAAATCAAAAGCGTAGATGAATAAATATAAACCGTAAACGTATTAAGTAACAATTGCAAGTGAGGGTTAGTAAAGGGTTATGTAGAGACTATTAAGTACTGAGTTGAATCCGGAAATACCTTTGTATATGATAGATTCAGCTGTTGAAAAATTGCTCTCGAGCTCGGTTTCCTATGTAGAAAGTCCCTCAGTATTTCGGCCTCGGAAAGATTTGAGCCACATTCAAGCACCAGCTGTCTATATCTCCTGCCTGCCTTGGGACCCATGGGATCTGCAGTAAAGGCCGTTTCCAAAAGGTCGGCACCGTAGACTATGGACCTATTGGCAACCCTGGATGTTAATTTCCCACAACACCCGCATAAGAATAAGAAACGTAAGGCTAAGAGTAAATTGGAGAAGAGGAGCAGAAGAGAGATCTTACAGGGGGTATGCAAAGTAGCCAGCATCGTATTTGCGAAAGATATGAGGAAACCCGCCTTGCCCGAAACCCCAAACTTCCGTTGTGTTGCCAAAGCTGTGCTGGAATATCTCGTGCTTCGTTTGGTTCCACAGCGCTGCCATGTCTATCTCTAGAGCTGCCTGTTGGTTCGGCGGGCGTGTGCACTGCAAGGTCAAATAGCGCTGGTTGTACCTGCGAGAGAATCGTGTGTGCTTGATCGTACGTCTTGGTCCGGCTAACTGCCTGTGCCAGAGCAAGTGGAAGTGTTTCCTCGGCCTTCTCGGGTGCCTAGTCTAGTGGTTGCTGCCATGTTGTAGTGACTTGTTAGTGGCGTGGAGGTCCATGGAAGAAAACATGATTGCCATCATTATTTTCTGGCATTGTGTGTGGACCCTGTATATAGTGCAAATATTATGTAGATCAGAACGAGGTCATATTCGGTGGTGAGACCAGATTTGAACAGTGCAGTACAAGGTTGTGAAGTAATGCCTAATTGGAATGTCTGCCTAATTTCCAATATATGGTTTTAATTAGCATCTACATAAATTCTTTTTTCTAGATAAGCAAATCGAATGAAAAGTAAAGGCACACTATGAGTGACCGGCTATAATAGAACACGATTCTCTTGATCTACTTCATTGTGATCAAGGTGGGATCAGCCTCTTCAACAAATTGAACGAACAATGTAAGGGTAAGCAATCAATGAGGCCGGGGAAGTCGAAGTCACATCGATGCAGTCAGATACGTACAATACGGTTGAGGCCTGGCACCTATCGATCGAATGGCTTTGATGTAGCGTTTTGGGGCCGGGGATACCCAGAGGATTTGCTCATATCTCAAAAAAGCGGTTCGTATTCATTCATCACCATTATATAGTCGTATCTCTTTATTCCATAGAGTGAATTCGTGAGTTCTTGATCTCGTCTAAAAGACCTAAGTGGTAGCCTGCCCTGCGGTTCTCCCCGCTCAATCCTTCTTCACCATGTAAGGCAGGCACGCTTCGTAAACCTCCCTATAACCAGGGTACTTGGTAATCCTCTGAAACACCTCTTCGTGCACCACCCTCGTAGACTGGAGGGACCCCGCGATAAAAAAGTCAGTGTAGCTCGGCCGGCGCCCAGCACAAACGGCCCATCAACCTTATGCGTCAGTATTAGCTCGCCAACCAGGCGCATACTATCGCTAACCGCAATCCAAGCCTGATCCTCCTTTCCTGGATCAAGCAGGTCTTCCAGCGGATGACCAAACGCAGCCTCGCGCGTGCGTCTGAAGTACTCCTGTGCGCGCGGAGACAGGATGCCCATCTCGCGCGGCATCACCGACGTCCGGAAGGCCATGCCAACCACAACGCGTGCTTTGGACTCGATTTCGCGGCCCAGCTCTGATGTCAGTGGTACTGGCGGGTCTGGATAGGTCGATTCGAGGAACTGCGCGATGGGGGTAGAGTCCATCATGTAGGTGTTGGTCGGCACGTGGTGGATAGCTGGGACTGTGTATTTCGAAGCGGATCCGCCCAGAACCAGACCGCTAGGGGTTTTCAGATTAGAAGACTTCTTCGTGTGTGATTATGAGGGCTTTGTGAGAAGGTATAATGAAATGAAAAGGAAGAGAAGGGAAGAGAAGGAAGTGCAAAGGAAATGATGGAGGCCTGAAGTGGAGAACAAGGAGTAAAAACAAGAGAATATAACTCACAGCCCTTTCAGGGTAGGCTCAATATCCGGAAATTCAAGAAAGACGGTTCTGTAAGGGATTTTCTTATAGTTAAGCATGAGACGGATACGCCAGACAGTTGGAGAGAAGCAGACGTTCTTGGTACAAGCCAAGTCGTACAAAACAATCTCGGGATCGATTTGGGCCGCCATGTTATGCTCCGCTACAGTAAACACTCGGTTTGGAAGATAAGGTAATTTAGAAATGTGAAGTTTCTAATGGGTCAATTATAAGTGGACGTCTTCAGTTGAAACCTTGTGCAAAGAAAGAATTATGAGTTTAAAATAGGCTTTCGCGGGCACCGGGCCGGTTGCGCTTGCGCAAGACATCTGGGACTAAGCCTAGATAGGTATAGTTCGACCCTGCTTCGCGGATATAAATACGGTTTTGCCGTTAAATCAGCCAATTAAATAAAGCATTATGATATCCGCTTGTATGGATATAAAGAACTGCTTGGGATAGTGTTACCTCTAAAAGTAAGTATTCGTGTTAAATATACAAGTCAAATAATTTACCGAGTATTTCTAACCAGTGTCCACTTTCCAGTATTTGGGAGACTTATTTGAGCTCCATGAGCATCTTCGTCAAAACTCGACGACCAACTTGTGAGGAATGGTGCAACAATTAAGAAATTGGAAATCAAAACCAAATGATGGGGGTAGTAGTGGGCAGGGAAGGCAAACGTCTTCTCACAAAGAGTTGGTTCTCAAGTCTTGTATACATCACTGTCTGTGCATTCTCTTGACATATTCATCAATTTCCATCTACTACTGTTCCTGCACCACCATGAGTCTGGCACCTTTCATATGCTTCCTATTCCACGTCTCGAAGCCCTTCGCCCTCCTGTAACACTCAAAGAAAGCCCGCAGCACCTCAGCCAGCGAACCACCTCGGTTCTTCAGAGCGATGATACTCACGTGGCTCTTCTCAAGCTGCCCTAGTGCGCCATGCAGAGACAAAGATGCCCAGCGGTGAACTAGCAGCAGCATTTCTTTGCGAGGCAATCTTTCAGAAATGTCGTAGTTTGTGATCATGGCCGCCGGGACGTCTCCGATCAGGCAATAGAAGTTGATGTCGAGCAAGTACGTGTCGTCGCTAGGATTAACGTACATGTCGAATGTCCTTTTCCGGATATTTTTCTCGGCTTCGCTGAGTGGGGCGTCGAGGTACTTGCTTGCACGGATGATTTCATGGCGTGATTTGAGTTCGCGAGGTTGCGGAGGCCTGATAACTCAACTTTTATCTCTTGTGATGACATTATTAGCAGTGTCGGGTTTCGTGGCTCTGGGTTGAGGTGGCACAACTGTGTAGTGGCTGGACGACACTTTGGGGTTGGATCTTTTGTACCCTCATTGAATGGTGGTGTGTGAAAAGAGCAGTAGAAGATGAAACCATTGTGGACAGAGTCACAGACGATGGTAGAGGCTTTAGACGCCTCAACTAAGCTGGAAAGCGTTGGAAATGCGGAGGGCTTTCATACAGATTTTTTGAATCTGGCGATAGAAATGAAAAGCTGCACCGGAAGAAGAGTAACAACAACTCGAGGATGGACATTATGGTAGTGCCTCATTTGGAATTAAAACGAGGAGTAATCAAACGTCTTCTCTTAGCCACAACTTTAGAGGCTCTGGTACCTGCCGGAGAATGGCTTGAAAAGTCAAAATGTGCAGGTAAATGGTGAAAACCAAATGATGAGAAAGTGCATGATGGCAGAAGGATTGATATTGCATAAGTCCAGTGATGTGTATGAGGATAGAACTGAGGGGAGACGAGGAAGCAGATGGTTTAGTGAAACTCGTGACTAGACGGCAGAGGAAGTGACATTTCGGCGTCTCATCAGCTAAGACTACAACTTTTGTTGACGGGAGACTGGAGACTGCAATACGAAAAGGGAAGAGAAAGTAGTAGCAGTACCGAGGTAAGCTTCAAGACTGAACGAGACCGAATACCGGTATTTGAAGTTCGAGTCACAATTATGGCAGATGCAGCAACTGGACTCGTATACGAGCTGGTCACTACCTAACTGTCAGTATCAGTATGTTTGTAGAGCTATTTCAGGAGTAATATCAAGAGACGTTGAAAATGATCCCTGGGCCTCGCTTCAATGTCCATGCTTCGGCTTCGTTCGTCCTTAGCGCCGTCACTCAGGGGTTCTCGTCAAACCAGATTTCACTCGGCCTTTTTTCAGCCCGTGACTTCAACAGTCAACAACACCACGCGCGTTTATGTCTTCATCGTGACCCTTAATACCAGCTGCCCTCTTCACCCTCTCCCTCTCCCTCTCCCTCTCAGAGCCTAATAAATACAACCCCACGCCCAAACGCCCTGCGGGCCCCCTTCTTCAAAATGTCAAAATCAACTCTCGCAATCATCGCAGCTGTCAGCGCAGCAACGGCGCCGGTGTAACAGCAGCAATGTACTCCACGCGTTCAGAAAAGAAAATCCAAGCCGTCGCATCCTCGACCTCCGTCTCCGCCACCTCAAGCACCTCCGTCCCCGCCCCAATCCCAATACCAGGAGCAATCCCGCAGCTCCCCACAGTCGCACCGCCCGTCGACCCAGCAGGGCTCTTCCAATACGGATTCCCAGGCCCCGTAGCCGATCTTGCTACACGGAACTCCCTCGTCTCCTCCTTCGACCGCCGTCTACGCAACCCCAGCTGGGTCGCGGAACATATCACGCCCGCGTCCCTGGCGCTGTCGAATGGCGACCGCAAACATAGCTATTTCGCCGAGGACCCCTCGGTGCCGGAGAAGTTCAGGGGGAAGCTGAAGGACTATTTCCGTAGCGGGTACGATAGGGGACATCAGGTGCCAGCGGCCGACGCGAAATGGAGCCAGGAGGCTATGAACGATACGTTCTACCTCTCGAACATGTGTCCACAGGTCGGGGAGGGCTTCAACCGGGACTATTGGGCGCATTTTGAAGATTTCTGTCGGAGGTTGACCCAGAGATATCCATCTGTTCGTATTGTTACTGGACCGTTATACCTACCGAAACGAGGCGCGGATGGGAAGTGGAAAGTCAGTTACGAGGTCATTGGCAACCCGCCCAACATCGCCGTCCCCACACATTTCTACAAGGTTATCTTTGCCGAGGATGGTACTGCTACGGGACCCGTTGCGCTCGGGGCTTTCGTCCTGCCGAATGCGGTGATCCCGAACGAGAAGCCGATTACGGATTTCGAGGTCCCCGTGGAGGCGGTGGAGAGGGCGAGCGGGCTGGATTTTGCGTCCAAGTTGCCGGTGGGGAGGAGGAAGAGGCTTTGTGCGGATACGGTTTGTGCTTTGGTTATCAAGGACTATGCGGATAGACAGAAGACTTTTGCAAAAGAGCAGAAGGCTGTTCAGGCACCTACGAGGACGAGTCCTAGGAATGGGGGTGCGAATTTGTGAATCTATAATCGGTGGATGGGATGAGAAGGTTAGAGAAATGCATTTGCTCGCGAGGGCTTTATTTCTATAGGGCGGACTGCATTTTATGGGAAGGCTCATTTGCATATAGCACGGCGTTTTGATTTCATCTGATTTTTGCCTTCAAGACTCGTCTTGAGGCAGGTATACCATAGCATTAGTACATGTAGTAGTTAATTAAGTCAAATCAAATCACAATACAATATAACAAAGACCGAAAATCAAACATGGATCAAGATTTTTTCCTTTCACATTAACTATGAAGTTTTCCCCCATAAACCTGTTGTACAATCTAGACTGCCTATCTAGCACGCGTATACTTCCCCTTCCTCTGCTCCATCTGCAAACTCTCCTCCTGACTCGGCAACGGCCCTCTCCTCCTGACATTGCCCCCAGCATCACCACTCCCACCAAACTCACTGCCTCCTTGCGCACCCATTCCCGGGATGCCAAAGGGCGGCGGTCCTCCCATACCAGGCGGTGGAGGCGGGAATCCAGGCGGCAATTGAAAGTTCCCAGGCGGTGGCAAGAGTCCAGGAGGCAACATACCCGGCGGAGGAGGTGGAGGAAATTTCCCCCCGGGAGGTGGAGGAGGTAGTCCGGCTTTCTTCATCATTTCTGCTAATTTTGCGAGATCGGGCGGGTTGCTTGGATCCATGCCTGGTAGCGGCGGCGGTGCACCAATACCAAACGGTAAAGGAGGTGGGGGAACAGCTCCTCCCATACCCGGAATTTGCACTTTCGGCACTCCACCATCCTTTCCAAACTGCGGGAGAGGAAGCCCGGGAATACCGGGGAAAGAAGGCATCTTCGCGGGCATTTTTTGGTCAACAAGTCCCTCCATTTCGTCCTCCATTTCCTGTTCTTCTTCTTCTTGTCGCTGTTTACGGTTTCCACGACGGTCCCATGTTCCTTGGGCTTCTGCGGCTGACTCGCCTATGTGGTATCTGTCGTTGAAGATTTCTGTGTCGCCGGGGCGCGCACGCGTCCAGAAGCGGGTTACACGATCGTTGGAACCGGATGCAAGGATGTGGCCTAGGGGGTGCCAGTCTAGGGACCATATTGGGAAGTCATGGGCGTATTGCACTTTGTGGGCTGGGTAGACGGTTTGGGCGGGGGCGGTGGTGGGGTCGGGACTATCATAGGGTGAGAGGGATGGCGCTGTGCCTTGCGGTGTGTTGGGTTCATCGAGGAGGTAGTGTAGCATAGAGCCATCGCCGCCGCCGGTACTGAGGAGTGAGGAGTGGATGGGATGCCAGGCTAGGGTGGAGATTTCTTTCTCGTGGCCTTTGAGGAGACAGATGTCGCGCATCATTCGGAGGTCGAATACACGAGCTGTTTGGTCTCGTGCTGAGGTTGCTAGACATTCGCCTCTGACTCTTTCAAAGAGAGTTTTTGTAATGGTATTCTTGTGTCCGTGGAGTGTTGTTAAGCATCGACCCGTGCGAGGATCCCATAGTTTAACGAGATGGTCTTTCGAACCAGATACAAGCAAGCCTTTAGTAGGATGCCAGTCGACACTTTTAGCATCCCATCCGTGACCACTGAGGGTGGCCTCTTCCACTCCCTCTGCGAAATCAAAAATTTTGAGAGACGAATCATCAGAGGCTGTGACAAATTTAGCGTCGTTTGGGCTAAACGCAAGATCTCTTATAGGATCATTATGCCCCTGGATGACCTTGACGTTATTGAAGTTCGGTTGCCAGTACTTGATTAGTCCATCGTGATCAGCTGACAACAGCCAGTCATCACTGTGAGAGTAAGACAAGGCTCGGATAGCAACATCATGCGCTTGCATGATAGTCTCGAAGTTGAAACCAGTTCCATTCCACAGAGTGAACTCGCCACTGCTTGAGGCAGTGAGTAGTCTCCGGCCTTCTGGCGTCCATCGTACCACGTTGACTGGGTGCTTGATCTTATTTAGTGAGGAGTGAAGATGCCGAGCTGGTATTGAGTCTGCGGGGTTTTGTAATCTTGCTAAAGGTGGTAGCATCTAGGTAAAGTCAATAGTATAATTGGAGCGCAGCAGCGGAAATCTTACGTCTACGATATAACTCGGACTAGGTCTCTCCAGTTCTCCTTGGTAGCCCCCTTTATATCTCGGTTGGCGATTTCGCATCCAGTGAACCATGGTTGAACCATAATCTGTGACAGCACCTAGTATTCAACCGGTTTAGCTCCTGTTCCATAACAAACTTCAAATAAAGAGAATAAAAGAGTGGTCACGTGGAGGTCAAACTACACCACCAGAAGAAGAGAATGAGTAAAGCGCTCTTGAGGATTACATTCGGAATTCGCCATTCACCGTTCAAAGGATCACAAGGATCAAAATCCCATCTCAAGATGATCAAAATGCCATGACCCTGAGATGGGATTCTTGAGTTTGACCCGAATCCACTTGGACTCAGCCTCATCTTCTGACAAGCTTCTTGAGCCGCTGACACTGACATCTGAACCAAACTTACGCCTGCCTCTCCCTCTTCCAAACCCTCCCTCAAAGCCTCCACCGCCTCCCCCTTGACCCCCAAAGTCGCGCTCGCCGCGCTGTTCGTATGCCATTCTCCCTGCCTACCGTGTCATTCTCGTCGGCGAGTTGCTGTCAGACGGAAAAGGTTGATTAAGATGAATTTGCTTTGAAATGTCAGGTTACGCTTAGAGAGATGTCACGAGCGATTCGTCGGTAGATGAATGGTGTTTGAGATGGAGAGTCAGGTGGTCAAGTATGAGCATCACGTTTTCTGCGCGTGAAGCTAAATCAATATGAATAGCAAAGCCCGGAATAAGGTTATGCCTAGCGCTATCTTAGCGCCGGACTTCCAAATATCATCCTTATCCTTGTTGATAACTCATCCATCTCATCTGTTCAACATAGTTTATGTTTTGCTATTATTGTTTTGCACGTCCCATCCAGTCCAATTGGATGAAGAATAATGGCGGAATCCAATCCTTTATATGTATCTTGATCTTGTCTCCATCAATTCTTTATTCCCCTATTCTCAGTCCCAATAAATGATTGGCCAAAGTTAATGCCCCGCTACGTTCCTTCCCGCCGTTACGGTACCCCTGCCATACATACCGCATACCACGTTGGATTGACCCCCTTCCTTGTTATTTCTCAGCCCCTCAATGACATTACCATCACCCATCCTTCCATTCTTTGTCCTTCTGCGACTGCGAATGCATCTTTTAATTGTCGGCCAACGATGGCGACAACCATAAATACTGCAAAAGTAACGGGTGCAGATGTTCCTGCAGACCTTCCAATCAAGCGATCAGTCCATTCACATGTCAACGGCAAAGGCAAGGGTAATGGTAATGGTAATGGCTTCTCGCAGCCGCCACAACCCCTCGCTCAAACCCGATCGACATTTTTGACCAAGAAATATCGCCATGTTGCTGCTGTGCATTCGAAGGCGAGAACCTCATGTCTCAGTCATGATTCTGAATCCAGCGCGAGTTTTTTGGGGTTCCGCAACCTCATGGTCCTTGTTTTGAGTATGTCGCAAGATCTTGCTGCGGAAATGCATTGCTTACATTTCTTTTAGTTGTTGGGAATCTGCGATTGATGGTGGGTCTCTCTGCTCTTGAGTCTAATCCATGAATATATACTAATTTATCCATCTGCAGATTGAGAACTTTCAAAAGGTACGTCATGGAATGGAGCAAATTGTTGAACATTCAGCTGATCAGTTCTAGTACGGAGTCCTAATCTGCATCCGATGCCATGACTACCGACGACAAGATCTCGTTTATGGCGCCGCATTATACTTCCTCATACCATGCCACCTCTTCGTTGCCTACGTCGTCGAACTCGCCGCTGCCCAACAAGCTCGAGCATCACTGAAGGGAGGCAGGAAGAGGAGCGGGACGGCTACACCTGGCGGGAGCTACATTGCCTCGGATGAAGAACGCCGCAAGTTTCAATCGACATGGAAATTGATAGCTTGGATTCATGGGATCAATATCACGTTCTGCCTAGGCATTACCTCTATAATCGTCTACTTCTTCATCCACCACCCCCTCATTGGGACCCTCAGCGAAGTACACGCTGTTATCGTCTGGCTCAAAACCGCGTCTTACGCCTTCACAAACCGCGATTTGCGACACGCGTATCTACACCCTTCAAAACGAGACGAGGATGCGTTGCCAGAGATATACAACAAGTGTCCGTATCCGCAAAATGTTACTTTGAGTAATCTCAATTACTTCTGGTGGGCACCAACTTTGGTTTACCAACCTGTGTACCCACGTACTACCAAGATTCGCTGGATTTTTGTTCTCAAACGGCTGGCTGAATGTTTCGGGTTGAGTGTATTCATGTGGATCGCATCTGCTCAATACGCAGCTCCAGTCCTACGAAACTCACTTACGACAATCTCATCTCTAGACCTCCCTTCAATCCTCGAACGGCTCATGAAACTCTCAACCATATCACTAGTGATCTGGCTAGCAGGCTTCTTTGCACTTTTCCAAAGCTTCTTAAATGCATTGGCGGAAGTCATGATGTTTGGTGATCGCGAGTTTTATACGGATTGGTGGAATTCCCCTAGTGTCGGAGTTTATTGGAGAACGTGGAATAAGCCTGTGTATCACTTTATGAAAAGGCATGTGTTCTCGCCATTGATTGGGAGAGGTTGGAGTACGGGACAGGCCAGTATTGCTGTTTTTGTCTTTTCTGGCGTACTTCATGAGTTGTTGGTTGGGGTTCCTACACATAATATTATTGGTAAGTTCAACTTTAGATCTCGCTTGGATGCTTTAGAGCTAATGATTTGAGTAGGTGTGGCATTCTTGGGCATGGTAGCCCAGCTACCCATGATTGCTATCACGGCTCCATTGGAGAAGATGGAAGGCATAAATGGTCGTATTATAGGGAACTGCATTTTTTGGGTCTCCTTTACGCTCATCGGTCAGCCGCTGGCAGCTCTTCTCTACTTCTTTGCTTGGCAGGCTAAATACGGAACGGTTAGCAAGCAGCCCGTAGTAGCTTCGCCTTCTTGATCTAGATAGATAGATAGACAAAGGTCGCCTTTTTAGAGCCCATAAGATCTGTCCATCATAATTCATAACATTACATTTACTTTTCAACTGGGTATCAAAGATGATCACGAACCCCTCTCATTCTCCGCACTCAACAAGCTAGCAATCACACCACCTTTATCTCTCCTCCTCGCATCCTCTTCCAGCTTTTCAGCCACAAACGCACTAATCTCCTTAACTTTCACCAGCGCAACCTGCACGCAATTCAAAAGTACCACCGCATCAACAGGCACCCCGCCCAGCTTCGCAATCTGACACACCTCCCCATGCCTATTAATACCCACAGTCGCCACACCCTCCTGCAACTGCTCCTCCACCAACGACGCGTCGCACAACACGACCTCATCCCCCTCGTCTGCGCCGTAAAACGAAAACGTCACACAGTACGGATGGTGCAGTATACTCAACGGCACGGGCTCCCGCTCCGCAAGCGTATACACGGTCACGGCCTCGCCCTCGGTACTCGTATCCGGTTTGCGGAAGTGCTGCAGAGCGGCCATGACACTGACGCAGGCGGCGTCGACGAGGTTGCCGTCGTGGCTGAGTACGTGCACGTCGGCGCGCACGCTCCAGACCTTCGACCCGGCGATCAGGCACAGCGATTCTGTGTCCAGGGCGCCGGAGCGCCGGAGCGTTTTCTCCAGGATTCGCGATAGCAGGATTTCGGTCTCCGAGGGGGGGGTGTTGGCGGCGAAGGTTGGCGAGGACATGGGGGATAGGGTGGTGGTTATTGTGAAGAGGCCGTCGAAGGGGCGGTCGGGGAGGGGGGTGGTTACTTCGGCTGTTATGTGAGTTTGTATGCTGGTAGATGTTTGTCAGTATTGGGTTTGGTTGTTTTGGCTTGGGGAGGGGGGGGATGTACCGAGTCTTTCCTAACCTCACATCACATACTCCATATTCATCACCAAACTCTAGCTCTAGCGCACGGTATTGATCGAAAGCGCGGCCGTCTATGCGTAGGTTTTCCGTGAGAGCTTTCGTGAAGAATTGGCGCTCGTTGAGCGAGGGCTCTACTTGTCGTGGCATGGTTAGGTTTTGGGTTTGTGTTGATCTTGATATTGAAGAGACGCTTGGGAGTGAAGTGGGTTGAACTGAATGCGGGATGTTTTTTTGATGGTAGTGGCAGAATTCTAGGCGGTGAGACATTAGCGGCTGATTCTACCGTAGCGCCGATTGATTTCTGGGGAGCTGCGATTTTAAGCCGCAAGAACGAACACAAAGGATTTAGACACACAAGAGAGCACTACAAAGATGACGACTGGTATGTGCAATCAATCACTATTGACTATGCGATGTGTTTATGCTAATATCTACCAGCCCATAGACCTACCTTTGATCCCGTAAGGACTCTCGACTTCCCTGGGTCGGAGAATTGCGACTGACGAATAATAGGCAAGGGGAAAAGACGCGCAACGAGGCCCGGCATATCACCAGCGTCTATTACCAGCTCATACGCAGCTGAAAGTCAGGTATGGTCATATCACAATACCTCCCTTGGAATATCCTGGTCTAATGGTCTCATTTACAGGAAGCCCGGACAAGGAGGAGACGCAGACAACGCACCTCGCGATCTCCGCGCCGAATTACTGCAAGCTGAGGCTGTGCACTTTGCAAAGATCAAGGGCCAACCGATCCCAGAGCTAGAGTCGGAGCCTGCTACGAATACATCGAAACGACAGCTTGAGAATGGAGGAGGAGAGGAGGAAGAGGATCCTGAGGCGAAGAGGAGGAGGGTGTTAGAGGAGAGTAGGGATGTGGATGCTGATTCTGAGGAGGAGGAGGAGGATAGTAGTGAGGATGATAGGTTGGTTACTCTCCTCTCTCTTTGGGGATGTATTGGTTTCTAACTGTCACAGCGACGACGATGAAGATGAGACTGCCGAGCTACAACGGGAACTTGAGAAGATTAAGCGCGAGAGGGCTGAGAAGAGGGAGCAGGAGGTTAGAATAAACTTTCCTTATCCTTGTCCCCGTTGACTTTCAATTGGTGGGAGAGGCGTGTTTCGCACGACTGACATGAACGGACGCAGGAACGAGAAAAAGCGGCTGCAGAAGAGGCAGAGCGGGAACATGACATTGCGCTTGGCAATCCTCTCTTGAACCCCAAGTCAGACTTTCATGTCAAGCGGAGATGGGATGACGATGTGATCTTCAAGAACCAGGCACGCGGAACCGAAGATAAGGGCAAAAAGAAGGAATTCGTTAATGTGAGAACTCTTCCTCGTGCATCTCCTGGGAATTACATGCTGACTTCTTGCTTAGGATCTTTTGAGATCGGACTTTCATAAACGGTTCATGAGGTTAGTTGAATCAAGCCGTTTCCTACAGCCGAAGCTAAGCTAATCCTTGGGTAACAGCAAATATGTGAGATGACGAGGCAACTATTCTTTGGTGCACTTTGCCGGCATGGGCCCGTTGTAGTATTGCCATAGAAAGGCCACCAGGCTGAAGTTGAAGGGAATCTCGGGAGTTTACGATGGATATCTGCAAGTCCCAGGTGTACAAGGATTCGATCAATGCAAGGTTTGCATTAAAAACACAATTTTCACAGTTGACAGCTGACAGCTGAAGGCTATTTATGCACTGCAGACGTTTAATTTTCACCTAATTATTACCGTACTCCGTCCGTATTGTCCGTATTGAATTTCAAGCAAAATAGAGGGCGGGGCACATGGTTGCCTCTTTCTCATTGGCTTCAAGCGACGCCACATGGCCCAAGCGTGTTCAGGATCCACATGGCTTGAACGAAAAGCGGAATTGCCGAGGATGACGAGCTTCGCCTGCTTTGACTTTGACTCTGAGGGATTTACGAGATTTACCTAGGTACATAATATGTGGGGTCAATGCATGCACGCAGTAACATATTTCTTGCTCCTTAACCATCCCATCCAACCATCCGGGTAGTCATGGCGAGACCTGACTATAAATTGGTTAGTCTGATCTGTCACGCAACACAAAGCAAGCTGAATCTTGCTTCTAGCGTCATGATACCATCTCGTCATCCCCACTAATTGTGGCTCTTTCATCCCTTCTTTGCTTTGGCCTTAACCTTCTTTCGGCATGAGGGGTAATGGTTCGCTCACGTCTCTTGCTCTGCCTTGTTTCACACGCTGAGAGCTGTTTATCTTGTTCATGTCCAGAGGAGCTTATGACGCAGCCTTTCTGCTGGCGGAGCAACATACTCTACGTGTGCATTAGGTGTACTTGTACTCGCACTCGCAGTAGATGGGAGCTGAGCTTGGACCAGCTGCTGATATATAAGATCCCTTTCCCCTCTATTGCCAAGCATAACCATATACTCTCAATCCAATCTACCATCACATCAAACATTCAAACTCTTCAATACCAAACATCTACCATCATGTCTAACTACGATAACAACTCTGTAGGTCTTGCGCACAATAATCATAACCAGTTCTTCATGGTCCCCGTCCTTTCTCTAACATTCTTTCCTTTCTCAGGGCTCCTATGACAATGACAGCTACGGCGTAAGGACTCACAGCCATTGCTGCGCTCTGTCCGCTCACTAACCCTTTTCCCAAGTCATCTGGTCGTGGAGGCAACAATAGCACCTACGGTGTATGAGCTCCCTTGATTCTGCTTTCAGCCATGCTAAAGCGAGATGGCATTTTCTTTCACTGGCCAACTTTCATTCAGTCATCTGGCCGTGGTGGACGCACCGGAGGAAACGATGATAGCTACGGCGTACGATTCCCTTGGTCCCACTCCTCACTCAGCCATTGCTGCAGTGCAGTACAGTGCAGTTCAGCCCATAACTGAACATCATTTCACATATTGCTAGAAACACGGCTAACACATATCTATAGTCCAGCAACACCGGTGGTTACGGCTCATCCAACCAAACCGGCTCTGACAACTACGGCTCATCCAACCAAACCGGTTCCGACAACTATGGCTCCTCAAACACGGGCTCCAGCGGCCTAGGAGGACGAGGAAACACCACCGGTGGATCCGACAACTACGGCAGCTCTGACAACTACGGCAGCTCCAACACTGGCTCAAGCGGCTTCGGTTCATCCGGTGGTAACAACACCAGCTCGGGCTACGGCGGAAACAGCGGAAACACCGACTCCTACGGTTCCTCGGGAAACACCTCGAGTGGACTTGGAGGCAACACCGGTTCTGATTCATACGGCTCGGGCAACACTGGGTCAGACTCATACGGAAGCAAGAACACCTCGAGCGGCATCGGAGGCAACACCGGTTCTGATTCATACGGCTCGGGCAACACGGGCTCCGATTCATATGGAAGCAAGAACACCTCGAGCGGACTTGGCGGCAACACCGGTTCTGATTCCTACGGCTCGTCCAACCAGACATCTTCCGACACCTACGGTAGCTCCAACACGGGCTCGGGGGGCTACGGAGGAAGCAGCGGAAACACCGATTCCTATGGCTCTGGAAACCAAACTGGCTCATCAGACAACTATGGATCGAGCGGTAACAGCAGTGGTAATAACAAGAAGAATGACAGCACGGCTGGCAAGTTGCTGGAGAAGGTTGGCGGCTTTATAAAGAATGATAACATTCAGCAGAAGGGCGCTGAGAAGAGGGGAAATGCTGGGAATGATGATTATTCTTCCGGAGGTAACAACAACAACAACTATTAAACGGTTGTGGTGGGATGGGAATGCAATGGATGATATGAATGTATGATTTTCCTTTTTTTTTTTCTTTGAGGTTGGGATGGATAGGGTAGGCTGGTATGGGCTGGGATTTGTAACCAGTTATTCAATCAATCAATCAATCACTCAATCAATCACAAGTACCAAACTTCACTTCACCCGACATTTTCATACCCCTTGGGTACTTTCCAATTGACAGTTGATCTGTCGGGAAGTGGTCAGTACTGCCTACTTGGTGACGACTTGTTCATATGCCCCGCATATGACGAGCTGAAGCTTGCATATATCCCTGCGTCGATCACGACAGGGATACGTCATCTGTTTATGCCCTGTGGATCGGAGCCAGAAGGGTGGGTTATGCGATGCGGTGCGGTGCGATGCGATACTTTCACTTCATTACCAGCAAGCTAGAGGGAGGATTCGAGTAAACTATGAGATGAGGTGGGATGAGATGAGAAGTGATATAATGTGGGGTAAGGGGAGGGAACACTAGAGACCTGAGAATCTTTCTTAATATTCATAACTGGAAACAAACCTCCTTTCTAAAAGGTATGCTATAGTATAATATATCATAACTCATGAATCCATCCCTCCCTTCCCTTCCCTCCCTACCAAACACCTTTCACCGTTCACAACCTACTCTCCTTCTGCGCTCCCAACGCACCACTCATAAACGGCCCTCCTTCCCCTCCATCTCCGCCCCCCCTAGCACCAAACAAAACCCTCTCCCTCCCCCCCCTGCTCCCCCACCACCAAACACAAACAGCACTCCTCTCGACATCCATCTCCCCACTCTCCAGCACCTCCCAAAACCGTGCGCGACACCGTTCCCGCATCCCAGCATCCGGCACCGCAGCCAGCAGATCCGCAGCCAGCGGGAGCCATTCCTCTAGTGCGCCGAGCGGGAGATACGGCAGCGCGTCGAGCAGCGTGAGGAGCAGCACCGCTTGCTCAGACAATGCTGCTGTCTGACCATCAGGTTGGGCTCCCTCGTTCACAGAAGGGGGGAGTGGGGCCGTAGGCGCGTGCAAAGCGCGGTGGTGGAGCATTTCCAGTAGAGTCTCTGCGAGCATGGGTTCGGAAGCAGCGAGTTGCTTGGGCGGCGAGGTGATTTGCATGAGGGCTTTGAAGGCGAAGCGGAATTGCCGCGGCGAGAGGTTGGTGGGGAAGGAGTTGAAGAGGGATTCGACGTAGAAGGGGAGGGATTTAGCAGCCAGGGGTCCGTTTTGCGGGGCTGCGAGCGCCGAGAGCATGGCGCTGTGGGCGGCTTCGAAGATCTCGACGAGGTGGGCGTTGGCGGATGGGTTTAGGTAGGGGGAGGCGGGGGTGAGGATTAGGGATTCGGTGGTGGCTGGGGACATGATTAGGGTGAAGTGCTCGACGGTGTTGAGGTAGAAGAGATCGTGGTTCCGGTGCAGGGGGTGGGCTGGGATTTGGCCGGCGTGGGAGGGGATAATTGAGCGCAGGAAATCCCCGGATTGCATGGGGAAGCAGGAGAGGATGTCGATGGATGTTAAGTTGACAAATGTGTATGCTGAGAAGGCGTTGGAGCCCATTCGGGATGAGATGAATTGGATGTTGCTGAGAGCAGTCAAAGCCTTTGAGGCAATGCCTGGTGCTAGCTCGTTCGATGATAGGTATGGGGTTATGAGGGTCTTTGCAATAATCGAGCGTAGGATAAGTACTGTTGCAAACATAGCCGTCTTCAGAACTTGCCAAAGTAACGGGAATGTAATTCGAAGTGTCTCCGGAGTGAGGAACGTTGCCTCTTCAGAAGGATCGATTTCAGATAACTTGTTCCGTTGCCATGCTGTCAGTAACTTGCCCGAAAAAGCTACCAAGTGATCAAGTGTCTCCAGTACTCGGCTTGGTACACTCAAGTTCTCGATGGCATGTGCAATAAGCCGTGATAATGGTCCCATTGAGGATACAAGGGGCTTGGAACCAAGTTTTTGTAGCTGAAGAAACGATGGAGACTTTGCTGACCAGTCGAATTTGTTTCCAGAAACATGTCTGACATCGTAATCCACGGTTTCGAGGAATATCGCATCTTGATATCCTTCCATATATGTCATGGCTTTAATAAGAGGATATACCAAAGCATCATAATTTAGTAAACGTCTAACATGATCAGACAAAAGAGGGAATGCATGATTCAGCGCCAAAATCATAGATTCTACCCCCAGAATTCCAGTAACGGCTTGATCTTGAAGCGTGAGGTTTGCAGCCGTAACCAGAGCAGTCTCAAGTTTGGCTCTCAACCCACGCGATAGTCCACGCCGTTCTTGCCCCTCCATCCCAAGCAGGATTCCGGCCAGTACCAAGGTATGTTCCCATCTAGGCGATCGATCGTCCAAGCCCTTCACCACAGCCGTAGCCCACTCGTCGCATTCCACCCCTCCACCTAGCCTGGGTTGATAGGCATCGAAAGGTTTATTACTCTTACTCCCACCCTCGACTTGGTTCTTGTGCACGGTTATAGCAGCTGTATTATAGACGCTAATTATTCGAAGACTCGTCCGTAGTCCGTCTACTTGGTTCCATATTGCTGGCGATATGAGAAGTTGTGATGTGAGGAGGGTGATGTTGAGTGGATTCGAGAGCGTGGTGAAGAGGGATGCCGTGCTGGAGAATATCCTATTGCTTTGCTCTGGATCTGGAGCACCCTGGTAGGCGCGAAGCACTGTGGTCAGGAGTCGATCCGTCGGCATGGTTGTGTATCATGGGAACCTAAATTCCATGGTTTGTGTTGATGCTGTGAAGTCGCGGCGGCCAGTTGGTTCTCTAGATCCGCAGCCGAGGCATCTTCAGCCTTTCGCGTTGTTTCCAACCCCAACCTCCACTCAACCACCTCACACCTCCCAACAGCCACAAGGCTGAAAGCCTTCATACAAAGAGCTACACCTTCGCCATGGTATCCGCAAAGTGCGTATCCTCCCCAATCTCCATGCGCTTCTCCATTAGTAACATCCCCTAGCGTGCGACTTCACGATTCCACGCCCTTCGACTACTCAACACCGGCATTTCCCTCGCTGTACTGGCCCCTAAACGTCAAACCAGGAGTTGCAAACTACCTGTACTATGCCAGCGACATCTGGCGATACACTCTGCTATGGACGCTGATAATATACGCCGTGTTCCACGGGGCGGTTGCGGGGTTTGCGGTCTTGATGCAGCTTGGGAAGGGCAAGCATGCGTGGCAGCATGTGTGGATTATACCGCTGCTCTACGCGCTTATTGCGGGCATAGAGGCGCTGTTGGCTGGGAGTATCGTGGGAGGAATGTTAGTATTACCTTGGTTTAGTTGTTCAGTCGCTATTGAGTATTTCAATGCTGATCTGATATCATTCAATAGTCTCGGAGCTGTCTATAATGCTGGATACTTCAAGATGTCGACATGGATGCCGTTTATTTGGGCCTTGATCAATGTCTTGATCTTGACTTTATCTTCATTCTCTTTCCAAGGTGGTCTATAAAACACTACATATCGTCATTCAGACCAGCCGAATGAAAGCTCACCAGATGGAAATACCGGTCGGACTTGAATAGTCTTCACTATTAATTCAAGTCCATATTGAGGATTTGAAATTGGAGCGGCATACCCGAATCATCTCTCCCGGATATCCTCATCTCTAATCTCAGACTGGACAAAACGCTAAAACTTTCTCCAAGGGGGAAATCATGGATAATCATGGTGACAATTCGTCATCATTTGCTTCTATCAAAAACAGAGCAGCAACGCCGACTATTGTTAATCAATTTTCTAAGGCAGTGTGACCTTGAAATGATATGAGCTTGCACACAGAGAGCTGCTCCCGCTACTTGCTTAAGCTTGGTTCTTGTGACCAAGAATCTCCATTGCCAGCGTCGCTAGGATCTTGGGACGTATTATGGCACACACCAGTACATTTGCTACCCGATGGCTTACGGATAAGTTGCTTTTAGCGCTGCTCTCAAAGCATCGTGGATACCATTATTGTTAGTCTATCTCAGCAACGATGTCTCACATATCCAGCTCCAACAATTCCGGATGCCACTAGCCTCGGGCTCCTGAACTTCTTTCATACTTGCTGATATCCTCGGTTGGATTAGTATGTGGATTTGTCGAATACGGGGGATCAAAGGGCTCTCGCTTTGATATGAAGAATGCTGGTGCTGCATTGGACGAAAAGTTTTGTGTGGTCTGGAAGTAATATAACTTATACAATTATAATCAGGCTCAGATATGTAATTATTGAAAAGCAGTCAGGTTTCCTAAATGTGTTATTTATAGCTATATTCGTACTCGTATGTGCCATCTGAGACTAGTCGCACTGCAGCTGCAGCAATTAGCTGCCGGCGCTATACATCCTGGTATGTTGCCACGTGCGTCTGTCATCTTCAGCCTTGCCAATATTTTGAGACATTTTTGCCATCCCATCCCTTGTTACTCCACTTTACTCTACAACCTTCATATTGTTCCCGCCCCGCCTTCGAGGCTCAAAGAAACCTTATCTTTCTTTCTCTCGAAAGAAAGCTCGAGTTATATTAGAATACTCAACCCTCCATGTTCCTTGGGATGACATCTACAAGTCATGACTTTACATAACCTCTCCAACGTTCCAACAGCTCACGAAAGAGACGAATTACATTTTGACAATGCCTTCCCCGCTGATGATGGTGGAAATGCAGCCGCAAGCCATTCCTACGAAGGCCATGATACTGCTGCACGTTCAAGAGGAAATGGAAGTGCAAATGGGACGGCTCGACGAAATGTCCTCAACGAAGCAGCAACTCTCATAAATGCTGGGGGCTTGGGGCACGCGCAGGCCTCAAACCATTCTACAGCTACAGATCCAGGTCCAGGTCCTCCAACCTCAGAAGAGATCTCCTCCGCCCTCAGAGCCTACGAACGAGCCTTCCTACCCAACCAACCCAAATCCCTCTCGGGAATCTCACTGCGCGCTTTCCTCCTGGGTCTCGTCCTCTCGCTCTCCTCAACTCTATCCGTATACCTCGCCTACAATGGCCATACTGTCTGGAGAGCGCCCTTTTTCATAGCTTCACTATGCGTCTTCCACTTCCTGGAATTCTACACCACAGCCCTAACCAACACCGCTTCCGCAAGAGTCTCTTCGTTCCTCCTCTCTAGCAATGGCTCCGCCTACACAATCGCCCACACTGCCGCCTTTGTTGAATGCATCCTCATACACTTATTCTGGCCCTTTAGCTTCCTGCCTTCCTCTCTGCACACCATGATCCTCACTTCCGGCATCCTGCTTATCATTCTCGGCCAAACGATCCGCGCCATAGCTATGATTCAAGCCGGACGTAATTTCTCGCATCTAGTAGCGCATACGAAACGGTCAGAACATCAATTAGTCACGAGTGGGCTTTATAGTGTGTTGAGACATCCCAGCTATTTTGGGTATTTCTGGTGGGCGATTGGCACGCAATTGGCCTGTGGAAATGCAGTTTGCCTTGTTGGGTATGCGGGGGTGCTCTGGTTGTTTTTTGCAAGGAGGATTGTGGGGGAGGAAGAGCTGTTGATTAAGTTTTTTGGACAGGAGTATGTGGGATTTAGAGAGAGGACTTGGGTTGGGATTCCGGGGATCAAGTGATAGGGTGCGCATTGGGTTGGGTAATTGATTGGTAGGGGCGTTTGGCATTCAGAGGGTTTGCATGGGAGGCATTGGAGTGAGCGAGTGATATCCGGGAAGTGGGTCTTTGGGAGTTGAGGCACGAAATGTTCGAGTATTTCTTGTCGTGGGCGGGCATTCATGACTAGCTGGCATGTATGAGTATGATGGCAGATAATGTTTAATTAAGATACTGTAGGAGAAATTGGCATCTTGTATATTTGCACCGATAATTAATGAAACAGCATTACTGAACACCAGGAGCTGATAAACTGCCCACTCCACAAGCTTGGATTCTTTTGAAATATGTTCATTCTGATTCTAACAGTAGCATGGCTCTCGTAAGCAACTTTAGGGCTTCTGCTTCTACCTCCCGAAAGGAAGCAAGCAGCAAGATATATAGATATCATATTGTCCGTACATGATTCATTCCAAGACGTTCTGCGCAAAATTTGGAGTTAACACTTCCATCCTAAACGATTTGTCAAACGTCTGTTCTTCGAATTGAGACGGGGAGTAGATGTCTTGTGAGACAGGGTATCACCGAAATTCCTTTGGCGAGAACACTATTTAGTACCGCCAGACGATTATGGCAAAGCCTCCATAGCAGTCAAAGACACCAAGCATGGTTCGACACTTCCTAACACCCCGCTTACCTCCCGACCTAAGAAGCCTGTTAAGGGGGAGGCTCCGGCCCAGCCCATCCACAAACGTACGATGAATCTCATCTACTGTAAAAGTAAACACTGCTGTAAATAAAACTCGTTCGTTCGTTCATTCGTTCATTCGTTGCTTGCTTACATGCCTACCTGCTTGCGTTATAGCGGGAAATAACGGCTGCCGAAATAATATCTACTACCGACCATATTATCAAGTTTCAATATCCTGTGCGTACATCAACTCTCTCTCAAGACGTGAAGAAGCAAGCAGCTTGTACTTTATCTGCTCCCTAGTATACCTGACATTGTCTAGAATCTAGCTGTGTTTGCCTTGTATTGTAAGAATCATGCGCGGGGTGAATTTATGCTTTGAGAGAAAGAGTGAATGCTAGGAGAGGAATAGAGAAGAGTCGCTTGAATTGGTAGTGGTTTGCATTTAGTACTCTCTGATGGGGAGGCTTTCGGAATGCTGTGGGATTTAGTTGACGCGAAAACAATGTCATGTTGGCTTCAGGGAGGGGCCGCGGTTTGGTGTGTGGTGTGTTCCAAATCCTTCGACATAGATGGCTATGATATATTAACAAGAAACCAATAGTTGGAAAGGAAATGGAGAAGGGAAAAGAGAATAGATAGACAGATAGATATATGTATGAGGAAGGATATTTGCTGTCATTACGGAATGTGCTGTCAATGACCTTCTAGCCATTCATTTATTCATTCGTATTTTTGGATCAAAAAAAAGGGGGAGGGGGGGTAGCGGTGGATGTATGTCTATAGAAATAATGCAGGGGTGAGGGGAACAGATAAAGCTTGATTGAAGTAGGTTTGGCATTTGAAAAAATGTATAATAGCAGTATGCGCATGAATGCCCACTGGAGCTTTTATACTTGGAAGAGAGTAGATGGTCACGTTGTTGCGTGTAAATGACAAGTTTTGAACTGCTTTTTATGTTTTTACTTTTCTATCAAATTTGAGGCTTTGGACCTGTTGGTCTTGCTAGATACCGGCATCTCTTTGTGTGTGGAGAGCCATTCGAGCATCACTAGGAAGTCGAAAGGGCAACTCTTCGCCACTTGAAATATCTCAGCCAAGAGCCTTCGTTATTTCGTAGGATACATCTCGGCGTGAGTAGACCTCTTCTTGGGTGGTGTATTCTCTTGAGGGTAATATTGTGTTTTCAAGGTACCTCGCCCCTTTTCTTTGCCTCTTCGGCCTCTTTCTTTCTGGCAAGATATCTCTCCTTGGCGCTCATAATATCGCCCTCTGTCTTCCTGCTCTTCGAAGCCCTCTCGATCTTCTGCTTCTCTTCTTCCTCTTCCTCCAAGGCACGTTTTGTGGCTTGCTGGAGCTGTGTTTCCATCATACGTGATTGTCTCTCCCGCATAGCTTGTTTGCCGCCTCCGGCTCCAACGAATCCAGGGCCTCTACTTCGATCCGACATCGAAGCTCCACCACGTGCGGCAGTTGCTGGAGCAGTACTCTTGGGTTTGGGTATAACATTCAAACCTCCTTTAAGCAACTGTCTCTTATCAACAACCTGCCCTTCATCATTCACAGCAATCTTTGCCCCAGTTTTCTCACTAATCTCCCTCGCAATCTCAGCATCAGACTTCTGTTTTTCTTCCTCCTCCCTCTCCATTGGTCCATTCTTAGCCGCCTCCTCCGCGGCCTTCACAATCTCCGCATGTTGCTGTTCCCCCTGCTCAAGCATATTCTTATAAAAATTCGTCATTCCGGCCCCCTTATTCTTCTTCTGCTCCTGCTCCTCTTTAAGCCTCTCCTCCGCTTCTAGCCGCCGATTCTCCTCCTGCTGCTTCTTATACGCCGACGTAACGAACTTCTCTTTATCCGCAAACTCATCGCCTTCAGCCTCTCGATCCCGAGCTAGTTTCTTCTCTTCCGCAATTGTAGCATCTCGTTTCCGTACTGCTGCTGCGGCGAGCAGGTTTGTCATGTATTTGGGCTTGCGCTCTTCATCTTCGGTGACGACCTTCTTTTTCGGCTTTAGGGATTCGTAGACAGCGTCGTAGTCGTAGATACTGGGATCCAGTTCCTCTGCTGTGTCGGCGTGCTTCTTGGATGTGAATGTTGCTGAAAGATCGCCGTACATGCTAATAGGAGCTTTCTTGGGGGCCCTACCATTCTTGCTAGGTTTGATAGAAAGATTACCCCGTGTGGCAAGGGTAGGTTTGGATGGTTTTTGAGAGAGGCCGTCGATTTCACCAATTTCTTCTATGCCGCCTTCGTTGCCATCTTCGTTGTCCGAGTCGTCGGGTTCGTCGAAGATGGGTTTCCGTTTCGCGGGTTGGGGTCTATTTCCAGGTGTCTTTTTCTTGATGTTGAGTCCGTAGGAAAGGCCGGCGTTGGACATTCTGGACGGAGTTGGGATCTCTCTCCTGGAGTTGCGATGAAGTGGAAAGTTTGGTGAGGTTGGAATTAAAGGCCGCTAGCCTCGATCTTCTGAGAAGGCTACCGACAAGGCATCGACCACCCCCACCCACCTCAAGGAACTTTCTGTGAATCCAGACAAATTTGTCGCTCAACAAAGGTCAAAAAACTTCTTCATAGATGATGCTCAGTAAACATCCACTCAGTCTTAGACCTTGACGATGAGCTCGGGAAACGAGGGCGACGCTGTCGCAAACGCCAGCGACCCGCCCCGAGACAACGACGAGTATAGAGGATCACACAAGTCGAAATTCAGATTCAAGTCCAAGCGAAAATCCTCCCATGCTGAAGAATCGCGAGGTTCGTCTCGTCATGGCGACGAAGAAAGACATCACCGACACCACAAACATCACCACCGCAGCAAACGGCGCAAGCCCTCCCCCGCCAAAGATGACCCCTCCCTCTACGACGACACACATCTCCCCAACACCTCATCCGCTCAGTTCGCCGATCCGGACGTCGCATTCCGCGAGTCTCTCTTTGACGCCATGGCCGACGACGAAGGAGCCTCGTTTTGGGAAGGCGTGTACGGGCAGCCGATTCACACGTACCCGGATGTGAAAGAGGGGCCGACGGGGGAGTTGGAACAGATGACTGATGAGGAGTATACTGCATATGTAAGGGGGAAGATGTACGAGAAGACGCATCAGCATTTAGTTGAAGAGAAGCGGCGGAGGGATGAGGCCAAGAAGGAGAGGGAGAAAGCGGCTAAGGAGGGGCGGAGGGAAGAGAGGGAGGCACAGAGGTTTAGGAGTAAGGTGGAGGAGAGTTTGAGGAGGGGGGAGGAGAGGAAGAATAGGAAAGCTTGGGGGGAACGGTGGAACGCATATGTTGGGAAGTGGGAGGAGTTGGGGAAGGCGGAGACGAAAGTCCATGTTGCTAGTATTCCTTGGCCAGTGGAGAGTGGGAAGAGGCAGGATGTGTGTTTTAAGGAGATTGAGAGATTCTTTCTTTATGCTCCAAGTTCGGGAGAGCCTACAGAGATGCAGCTAGGGAAAGTGTTGAAGACTGAACGAGTGAGGTGGCATCCGGATAAGATCCAGCAGAAGCTCGGAGGTCAAGATGTTGGGGAGGATGTTTTGCAGGCTGTTACAGAAGTGTTCCAGCTTATTGATCGAATGTGGTCTGAGATTCGGGACCAGAAGAAATGAGTTATTCATATGGTTTATTTGGCGTTGCATAGCGTTGGCGTTGAGTGCGGATTTGGCAGGGTTGTGGCATACGGCAATTGGGAAAGAGAGAGTGTTTTTGGAAGATCCCGAATAATACATGACATTTTATGAGTGTCTCAAGAACTCGTATTGCGAGGTCTTTTTTATCCCGAGTTGATGGAAAGACTTGAGAGGGAAAAGCTCTGGGAAAGAGCCTATAATAGGCTTATAAAGCTCCTAGTCTCACAGAGAGTTCAAAACAATCAGAACTTCGCATTCTTCTCCAGGCATGGCTGATTAGTCCTTGGTAAATTATGATCCTGATTGCAATCTTTCAAGATAATTCATAATTATTCCTCCTCTTTCTCTCTCCCTATCATGATGAATTTCTCTCCTTCCTTGACTCTCGTTTCTCTTTCGGGGATATGCGTGCGTATTAACTGCCAGCTCTGGTCGATCCTGCCTCTGTGGTTGTCACTGGTTGACTAGACAGGAACTCTATCTGGATTCCATTCTAGACTTCCTTCTGAAGACAACACGGCATCCTCTCTTTTTATATACATCCACCTACCTATTCTATCCTACCCTCAACCTCTCCACCCCTTGCCCCTTTCTCTCTCTCTCTCTCTCATTATGTTCTTACGCTCCGTAGAGCGCTAAGCCCCTCCTTATACCCACCAAGGCTTGGCGCGTCAATACCACACCCCACCAGGAAGCGGGCCAGCCAGTTGGTACAGTACAGTGCCAGCCAGTCCAGTACCAGTCCAGTACCAGTGAGCCTGTCCAATCGCACACTCGCCCGCATATCAATCACACTTCGCCCGCCGCATCCTTCTCCTTCCAACCGTCCACGAAGCAGCATCGCGACCTCCGAGCCTGCATCTTCCTCCTTCGCCCTCTCCGTTCGCTCTCCATTATCTGGCTCTATCGAATCAATTGACAATTGCCTTCTGTGCAGCCGTTGTCTTTTTATGTTACAGCCTCATCGGAGTGCCATCCGCCAGCCACACGCTATTGGCGATAGAAGAGAAGAAGTCAGACTGTTGACGACTGCACGAAAGCCGCATTCCTTCTTCCTAGGTGCCCTGTCGAATCGCAGGTTCCAGCGAACTCACTCCTTACATCGACCCTTTTACTTCTCTTCAATCGCATTGCAGTCTCTCGTCGAACTTACAATCATCATCGGATTATCCCCCCGCTATCCAATACCTCCACACTGATCTACGCCGTCTTCCGTCCCCTGGTTCGCAACGTACGCCTTTGGGCCCCAGTTCCTACTGGTCAGTCGATCGCGACGACATCAGTCTGCAATTGCTTTCTATGCCGACTTTAGGATTCCTGAAGAAGAAACGGACGAGGGAGTCGCCGGGTCAAAACGACCTTGCTTCCTCGCCTTCAGCTTCAGCTTTTAGCCAGCCAAATAGTCCGATAACACCAACTTCTTCCAGAGGATTCGACAATTCGATTACATCCGTCTCTACACAATCGACCGCCCCTCAATCCCTACCAACATCTCAATCATCCGACGCGAACAAGACTGATATCTCCCCACCTGTGGGCGAACACTCGAATATGCAAGAAGTGGCTCAGCAACAGCAACCCCAGACCTCATATCCTCCCACGACAATTCCAGGGCAACAAAATCTTCCTTCGATTAATAACCTAATAAATCCTCCCCAACACGATGGTGCAGGCCATTCGGCACCATCACAAATGACATCCATCACAGAATCTACCAGTTCGGTTGGAGCTGCAAAGACAGAGGCTGTGATACCTACCCCACAAGTGCAGGCAACCCCGGTCCGGCAGACCAAGGGAAAATACTCCTTGGGGGACTTTGATATTCTGCGAACACTTGGGACTGGTAGTTTTGGGAGGGTTCATTTAGTTCAGTCAAAACACAATCAGCGCTTCTATGCGGTAAAGGTGCTGAAGAAGGCCCAGGTGGTCAAGATGAAGCAGGTTGAACACACAAACGACGAAAGGCGGATGTTACAAGAAGTCAAGCATCCATTTCTCATTACACTTTGGGGGACGTTTCAAGATTCAAAAAACCTATACATGGTGATGGATTTTGTAGAAGGCGGTGAATTGTTCTCACTGCTACGCAAGTCGCAGGTAGGCGCTCCGTCTTGAATAATATCCGAGTGATACTGAAAACAAACAGCGTTTTCCCAACCCCGTAGCAAAATTCTATGCCGCAGAGGTTACTCTTGCCTTGGAATACCTACATTCAAAGCAAATCATCTACCGAGATTTGAAGCCAGAAAATCTACTCCTCGATCGACACGGACACCTGAAAATAACAGATTTTGGGTTCGCGAAGAGAGTTCCAGATATCACTTGGACACTGTGTGGAACTCCGGATTATCTTGCGCCTGAGGTAGTCTCAAGCAAGGGATACAACAAATCCGTCGATTGGTGAGTTGTTTCTAGGTGTCTAATGTCATTGTTTCTGACGATTCTATAGGTGGTCTCTAGGCATATTAATCTTTGAGATGCTCTGTGGGTTCACTCCATTTTGGGACGGTGGCTCTCCAATGAAGATCTACGAAAATATCCTCAAGGGCCGAGTCAAGTACCCACCGTACATTCATCCTGATGCCCAGGATTTACTTCAGCGCCTCATAACGGCAGACTTGACAAAGCGACTGGGCAACTTACATGGGGGCTCAGAGGATGTCAAGAACCATCGATGGTTCGCCGAAGTTACCTGGGAACGATTGTCTAAAAAGGACATCGATGCACCCTATGTTCCGCCCGTCAAGGCTGGCGTTGGAGATGCGAGTCAGTTTGATAAGTACCCGGAAGAAACCGAGCAATACGGTGTATCGGGACATGATGAGTAAGTTACCTTTTTCGGCCTCATGAATCAATGCTAACCTTTGTAGGCATGGACGTTTGTTCCAAGACTTCTAAGTCCAACATCCAATCATCATTATTCGAGTCTCGTTCAGTTGTCGATACAATTGACTTGTCCTTTTCTAGACGAAGACCACCTGCACATATGCGCTTAAAACATCATCATCTTATGTTGGATCGAAATCATGGTGGCGAAAACGATAGGGAGGGTGTTGGTTGGGATACAATTGGAGCTGGTAGGCGCGCATTGATATTGGGATTGCTTAGATTATTGGACACAAGCCATTTTGGGTGAGCTTGGATATTTACGACCTAGGATAGGAGCCTCTGATTAGAGTGCAATGGGACGCGTTGGAAACGCAGATTATTCCCGCCTGACTGTAAACTAAAGAGTTAAAGTCGGTAGGTCCAAATGTGATTGCTTTGCAACATCTATGTAAGGCATGAGTGTGCAATGTGTACTTGTGTACTTGTGTACTTAGTGCAATCGGCGAAGTGGCCTGTTCCTTGCACTATTGTGAAAGAACGCTAAATGGAGTACACTCAACTTTACGAGTGAAAGAAGTGAAAGAAGCGTCTGCTTAGCCAGCCAACTAAAGGGTATAAAAACGAGCCTCGCTGTAACGGTAGCTAATTATTCTATCGAAGGTCCTTCACCCACGGAAGTTCACCTTGGAATTTATAGTACAGGCTTGTCTTGGACGGATTTTACGGCTGCTGTCGTTAAGAATGTTTTACGGTCAAGATATTTTCGTCGTTTGGTCATGCATGTTCGTTCTTCCCGATCTAATGCGGAGTAGGAACGCTCTAACATCACTTTAAAATTTCGTTTACTTTAACCACTCAAAAAAGGGTTGATACCTTTTGTTAAGTCTCTAAATCTTTAGTCTTATGCATTGCGGAGGCATGTAGATTCTTCGCAGCCTAGCACGCCTGTCTCCTACCAACAACACGTTGCTGCCATTGGCTTTGACCAGGATCTTCAATTGGTATAGCAGTGGACCCGCCCTGCAAGATTACAACGGTCATATAGGGTGGTATAGATTATAAGTTCTAGTTCTATTAAATATCATTTGAAATAAGCAATCCTCTCGAGGCCCTCGCCCCTCTTCCCCGCCAGCGGATGCAGGCCTCTTCGCCAACGCTCTAGAGGGTCATTGAGCATCCAAGTCGGAAACTTCCTTCTCTTACTATAATCCACCTTCTCATCCACATCATCCAAATCAACCTCCACTAAAGCAAAATCACTCGGCGTGTACCGAGTCCGATTAAACGTCCCAAAGCTACTTCTTGTATATCGTTTTTGCACTCCCATTCCAGGTCGGATGGCCCCGTTGTATGCTCGACCTTTCTCTTCCATCCACTCATCCCATTCGTCTTCCTCAAACACTGAGTTTGAATACCGGTAGTAATCAGCGCTCTTTTGCATCAACTCCACGTCTCCGCTGTCTCTCAACGTCGTCCCGCCATTTTCTCCACTCCACCCCCAAGTGCTTCTCGAGTACCTTGAAGCGGAATCAAGGCTGAGAGCTCGCGAATGTTTAATCTCCTTGTCGTACAGTGGAACATCTGGAGGTGGGAGTGGTTTTCGTTTGATAGTGTTCGCTCGGGGCAGAATTAGTGGCTTCTCGGGAGCGAAAGGGTCCTTGTTGGGGCTGCTTCGGAAGAAATTCCGTCGCACTCGGCTGGAGAGGAGGAAAACATCAAGGAGGAGGACAATCAGGAAGAAGATGAAGATAGAGCCTAGAGTGATGCCAATTATGGCACCGCGCGGTAGACCGCTGTCATCTGATGCCACCAAGGGGCTACTTGTCGGCGCGAGAAGAATGTTTAGACTGGTTGGGGCCTGATTTGGGGCACGATCAGAAGTTGTTCGTGTGCCGGCGGCATTTGCTAAAGATATAGCAGAAGAGCTGAAAGCTGCTTGGGTTTGTGTTGATGAAATTTGAGTTTTTGGCGTGCCAGTTGGACTGATGAGACTTTCAATCGAATTACCTCCAGTGCGAGAAGTGTGAGCTTCTCCTCTGGGTCCCTCCACATTATCACCCGCTCTAATTGACACCCCCCTTAAAGAGATATACATAATTAATAATACTATATAATAGAAAACATCACGGCAGCACAGCTGCGTGCAGAAAAGAATGAGAATCTCGAACGTTTGCGTGGAGAAGAAATGGAGAATATATGGGCGCGGCCCATTATTTCACAAACATTAACTCCATGACGCGCGCAAACCTTCACGGGAGACGGATTTTCCAGTTCTCCCCAGGTCTAATTCAAGACCAAAGCTATGCGATTGACATCGGATGAAGCTTCACAAGGCTGAAACCGAGATCGACGCTGGGTTGCGGAAGCTCGAAGCAGAATTCGAAACGCTTGGCACGGGTACAGCAAATAGCAGTCCATCAACAATGCTTCATCAGTTCAACTTAGAGCTGAGGACAAGTATCGGATCTGCGCTCGGGCAATAGAAGTGTGGAGACGAGAAAGGTGTTCGTGGTCCAGAGTGGCCAAAGCCGAGACTTTTGCCCCCCAATATTTATGCCATGATCGGATTCACAACTCTCTTGCAAACCAACGAGAATCTTACACCAAAAATCAATGCTCTTCTTGTGACAGCAAGGTTCCCTAGAGGTGAACGAGCATGCAATACCAATAAGGTGCGAGAGGTCAGAATGCCATTGTGACGGGAAGAAATTGTAAGCGCTTAAGAGGACAAACTTCCCCAGCGCTTCAACTTGTCAGACTCTTCGACTTCAGACTCCAAGAATGTTTCGGCATATAGAATTTAAACTTAAATCCAATACTGAATGTTCGCCTTCTTCTCCGGCTCCGGAAAGATACGTCCCGTCACGAAAGTGGCCGGTCCAGAGGTGCCAATAAGAAGTGTCAAAGAACCGCCACGAGCTCTGCGATCACCTTTCCTCCCAGGCTTTGGCCGTCGCACATCTTAGTCCTCGTCCCCAAAGCATATACATTACGTCCCGATTTCCTGCATATGTCTAGCCAAGCAGTAAAAGAGATGGTTTCGAGGAAAATCGCAAGAGGAATCATATCCCCAGAGTTCTCTTTGGGTGTTTGTCCTGATGTATGAACGAGACCGGTATCAGAGGCCCAGAAAAACATAAAAAATGATGCATGCGTTCAAGACTTGTTGAGGACAAGTACTGTGTAATCGTAGAGTTCTCCCCGCTGCTGTGAATTTGCTGTTGGTAATTAATTCACAGCAGGTTGGATGTTGAATCGGGTAAGTGTTGGCGACACGGATAAGGGGCTGGCTGGTAAACATTCATTCAGGGGCAGGGGTAGACAACTAGGAAAACTCTGGGATCTAATCTGAAGGAATGAAGTAAAAAGGTATGAAAACAAACGAACGAACGGAGAAGTTTGTGTTAGTATAGGAGGCATAGAGTGTGCTGAACAGAGCTTATAAACACGTCCAGCTAGCGAATCGTCGTATCTAAGAACAGCCATCAATCAATCAAGAGTATAACCCGGAAAGCAACCCGCTTTTCTTCCTTTCTTTCTCTCCTGCAAGCCATTCCACCCTAATACCGATAGCTAGTACGATTGTAATCTGCAGCCGCCTTGTTAAAATCCCTTTTCTCCATCAACTGCTTGTCCCCCCTCATGCCAGGAATGCTAGATCCGCCAATAAACCGATGTGCATCCCACTACAAGCCCCAATCAGAGTCAGCATTCATTGCCCAAAGGTAGGAAATAAAATAATCATTCATCGTTCAGTTCACGCGTACTCAAAAGTCTCAAAACCAGACTTCCTCTCCCAAACCCCCCCAAAAGAAAAGTCAGTCCCGATTAGGAAACAAATGAACCACTTAAGTTAACTCGGGGCAAAGGGAAAGAAAGGGATGGGAAATTCACATACATGATGTTCAACCAGCAACAGATTAGACTCAAATACCTTTGGCTTCTCCCTGCACCTCCCCATCACGCACTTCCGCGCCCACGAATCCCTCGGCTCTGCCTCCCTCCCCCTTCCATGAGTCACTCTCATATGCGTATCCCGATCTACTTCCCCCACAAACCCCTTGAAACAAGTCCCGATCTCGCACCATGCCATCAAGTGCCCGAGCTTGAACGCTGCTTCTCCTTTCTCCCCCGGTTTCTGGGCGTGGAGGTTCTGGATGTGCGTGATGTAGGATTCTTTGTTGGGAAAGCTGGAGGTGCACGTGGAAGTGAATGTGGATGTCGAGGTGGAGGTGCGGATGTTGCAGGTGAATGTGTCGGCCGCTGGTTCTGGGCCGAGTCTTGAGAGCTGGTAGGTTACCTGCGCCAGTTCGCCGGGACGTGTATGCATGCTTCTTATATGGAAGACCAGACGTTCCTTGGAAACAAACGGATCTTCACATTGGCCAATGCGGCAAGTAAACTGGGACTTGGTGCGGATCTCCGCTCCGGTCTTCTGAGTCATTCTGGGGCTTCTGGGTAGAGTAAAGTTAGTTCTAGTTTCGGTTTATGGGGAGGAACGAATTAGCAAGAGAAGTGGGCAATCGTACTCTGGCGTGTCGCGGGTACGGGCACGGGTTCGGGAGGCCATCAGTCGGGCTTTCTTGTTGGCGGTATGGAGAGGCGTGAAATATGGAGAGGAATAGTCACTCTCGAGCGCGGGACGTTTCATCGGCGTGTACGTGGTGGTATTGAAGAGACAGGATCTGGGCCGTGGGATCATTGCACAGCGCAGCAGGTAGTGGCCTCGCGTCGTGGTACCGAAGACTGTAGCGGCCCACGAGAAGTCTGCAGAAAAGAATGAAGAAGATTCTCCCTGGGCGAGAATACCCGGGTACAAATTTCTGGATATCTGAGTGCAGTTGGGCGATGATGTCTATCTAGGTACCTTGGGTCGTTCGATTGGGTGGTACAGCTGGGTAGCCGATGTTGAATATGTGTGGTTAAGCGGTAACAACTGCGGATACAAGTTCACACAAGATGCCAGAACCTTATTCCTTAGCAGCGATAAATATAAAGGTGGCATGAGATTGAAGGATTAAAAATGAAATGGCAGTGGTTCTTACCCAAATAGTACAATACAGATTCCGACTACAGACTCCGGTACCTAAAGTAAATACGTAGTTGCAGTACAAACATTATATTCACCCAAGCACTGGCTTGAACATTTTCTCACCAGCAGAAGCAGAATGGAAGGGGTCTAGCATAAGTAGATTTCAATTCAGCTCTAGAGCGACTTTCTGAAAATCCCCGTTGCAAAATAACCATGTGTTTATATACCTCATATGCATAATACCCATCCATACGCCATCTAACTCTCCAAATAAACGCCCCTGTCCAACAACCCAATGCAAGACACGGCAAAAAGCAACGCAAACATATTATCACGAAACGCTACCAGCTGCGAAACTCAATAGAGACCCAAACGTCAATCCCGCAACCAGATTCATACTCATAAAGCCCCCAGTAGCCTCCCTTTCCTCTTCTGCCACGAAATCATTGGCGTGACTCATGGCCAAACTACCAAGATAGCCGTTGGTGGCCCCGAAAAACGATTGTACGATAATGAGATAGAATGCATCGCTTTTGATCTTGGCACCTTTGCCTTCAATATTGCACAATAGGTACAATGGGAGGTGAGCACCGCGGAGAAGCGAGAGGGTGAACATGAGCCAGGGGCGACTGCTAATGTTAGGCACGGGAATGATTGTAAGTAGCCGACCACCGAAATCTCCGAGATTCCAAACCAGAAAGCCGAGGGGGATAAACGTGGTCGGTTGGAAGAGTCGGGGTGCACGGTCTTCGGGGACGACCGAGAGGATCTTCTGGGTGAAGACGGGGAAGAACATGGTTATAGCGAAACAGACAAACACTGTTCCCGCCATGAAGTGTAGTTTCTTGTAGAGAGTCCACATGGAAACAGTTTTCCGCTTCCCTCCTTCTAATCCATCGTCGCTTTCAGCTTCCGTCATCATTTTGAGCTTGACAATTCGATTATGCTTTCGCACCAGGGGTAGGAAGGCAAATAGTGTGAAGAGACTAATCATGGTTGCGGTCAGGAAGTATATGAATGCAGAGGTCTTTGCTTCGTTTGCCAGGCTGTCGGCAAGAATAGATGGGTCTTCCCATTTGTCATGTACTGGAATTGCCAACACAGACATGATTTGTGCAAAAGAGGGAAGAACGCCTGCGACTGCCTGACCTGTCATAATAGCCCGAATGTATTCCCCCCTCCCAAAACTGGACGCAAAGGCGAAAGCTCCGTTTTGAATGAGGCCCGTAGCACAAGACGTGGAGAATACCATTATCAATGTGAATGCCAAGTACCCCGGTGATGAAACATTGGGGAAGAGGGAGGTCGATATGCAGAGGAGGGTGAACACAATGCTATTCAAAATAAGGGCGTATATGATTCGTCGGGGGTACGAGGCTGTTGCTTGTAGGTGATTGAGGATGAGCATGGAGCTCAGGTTCGTAACGCATCCGACGGAGATAATGGCGGATTGGAAATGGTTTAGAATGTGAGCATCGTCTCTAAATCGACTCTGAAAGTAGGGAGCCGCGGCGAGGAACATGTTCCTGCAACACGTTAGTCTTTGTCCGCAAGAGGCCCAAGATAGCATACCAAGCCCATAACATAGCAATGCCCAGCAAGAGGAAGACGGAGTATTCCACGTAGGAAAACGGCTCAGCGGGGTCCGGAACAACCAGGATAGGCCGTCGCACATCTTCATCAGCATCGCCCAAAGGCTCATAATCTTGGGCGTCGGCTGACTTGTTGAAGATGGCACGCAGCCTGGCTATGGCGGACTGGTCCTCCATTGTCGTAATTAGTAGTGATTGTGGCGTAACTGATCGAGCATTTGTGTAGGATGCAAAGTGTTTGGAGACTAGTCATATATACAAACGTATCTAGCGAGCATATCGAGATTCAATATCTGTGCGCCATTCATAGAGTATCGTAAAGCAAGTCAGGACTCATGCTTCGTTGTTGGATGATGTTGACCACGAGCCATATGTCCGCGCCGAGGTACCCTGGATCACCTGACCATGCGCCTCAGAATGTCTTGCTCCCTCTGCACCTACATCATCTCCTCCTCGCTGCCACGATTCTGCAGGTACAAGGTTCACCAAAGATTGGCTAGCGGGCCGACCTCTCCCATACAAATTTGGGTGAGAGTCGGAGACCGCGTAACATGACTTGGAAGCAATGCGTATGCAAGTATGTCTTGCTGCAAATCCGACTTGCAACGAAAGTCATGAATGTCTTAGTTCGGGCCGGAAATCGTCGTTCCAAACACAAAATATACATACCTGTTGATTGTTTTCCATTTTATTTTATTCCTGGACGCGACGCGGCTCTGCGTTTCTCGCGTTGGGATAGGGGTTGTGGCCGCCATCCGGTCGTACGTTAACAAGGCTGTTGATTCGTTGATGCACCTTGGAGGTGCGTTGTCACACATTATTTTCATTGGAGACAATACCTCTGAGAGGCTGCTTCGAAGTCGTGCAGCCTGTACAACTGTGCTGTACTGTCGGAAATCGCTCTTGGTGCGACTACCACATGCATGCTCTGAGGTGGAACAACATGTACTCATATAATCAGAGGCTGTCTTTGATCCGGGTTTCAAGACCTGATGAAGGATATAAACGACTGCGTGTTTTGGAACAAGTGTGATCTTATTCGCGATACCTCTATTCGATTAAAGTATTGTAGAGCGCTATAGTAGTACATGTGTACAAAGTAAGCTTTAATAACCGTCTTCTTCCACATCCTCTCACCCTTCTACTTTCTTCACACCCTCATCATCCGTCTTCAGCGTAACATCATTAAACCTCTCACTAGTCGGTAACTCAATATGCACATTTGCCACAACAGCAACCTGCATCTCCACCACCCCATCCCGCAACTCCAAAACATGACCCCCAAACCTCTTCTCCTCATCAATAAAATGCATATGCTCCCCCGCAACACTAAACCCCTGCCAAGACTCCGGACTGCGAAACCCAATAACCGTCCCCCTCACATCCTTATACTCAGCAACAAACTGGCTCTGTCCCAGTTCCGACAGCGGCTGCCCTTCATACTCCTGTCCTTTCACAGTCCTGCATTTCAACGCCGCGAAAGAACCGATGATGCGGTAAGAGATAAACAGGTTCTTGGAGTGCGCGTTCCAGTCTGAGAGGATGGAATCGATGCTGGACTTTTGTGACAGGGTGATATGCGGGAACGTGTGTTCGGGCACGAATTGCGTGACGGCGCAGTAGGGGACTTGGTCGTCGGGTGAGGCGATGCGGATTTTTCCTTCGGCGAGGAGTTGGTAGCATGTCCCGTCTAAGAGGAGGAGTTCTCCGTTCATGAGGACGAAGGTGCCGAGGCCTTGGTTGCCCTTTGTGAGTACTGTTTATCAGATTAGTATGGACTTCACACAGGGAATAGAGAACTAGGCTCTTAATTGAGATATGAGACGGAACAGTCTTATGAGTGAGACTGAGACTGGCTTACAGGTGGAAACGGGGATGCCGGATGAGGAGACCCCGCCATCAGGGCATTGAGGAGGGAGTATTGGTATATGTGATTTGATTCGAGCGCCATATTGGGTGAGTAAGTGAGACTCGCTATGAGAGATATTGGTATTTTCAGGGGCTTCAAATGATTAATTCAGCTGCTTTGCGAGCTTGAAGATAGATCACTGTGGGCCAATGCTCTTTCGAGAGCTAATGGTGGGGTGAACCTGACGTCATAAGCTATCCTAATCAAGGGATATATATATATTTGAAAGGTATGTCGAGGATATATTTTTACTTGATTGCTATGTCGTATGATAATACACCAAGACTACCTAGGTACATGCAGAGTTCTCTACACCATTTTGAGAAAATGTGCTACAGTACGGAGTAGTCTCGGCGAGGGAAGAGAATAGCCCCGCAGGTTCCGTCACCATTTCCACGCCACACCCTTATAGTAAACATTTCATTCATTTATACCAGCTTGGGAATGGAAGTCACATAAAGTCGGTCAAACCAATTCCTAAACCATGCTATTACTTTAATCCACCCACCTGACTCTCTCTCAGCTTCTCCACACCCAATCCTCACCCCGAGCCTCCATCAACCACCTCAGCCACAGACCTCACTTCACCATGTCGGAGGACTCAGTAGCATCCATTATCGTCAACAGTCTCTACAATGCAGGCATCCGCATTGTCTTTGGGATTCCAGGCGCCAAGGTCGATGCCATCTTCGACTGCCTGCAAGACCATCCGGAGATCAAGCTCATCGTGTGTCGACACGAGCAAAATGCAGCCTTCATGGCCGCGGCTGTAGGTCGTATTACTGGTATTCCGGGGGTATGTATCGCTACTTCTGGCCCTGGGGCTTCGAATCTAGCTACGGGTGAGCTTTTGTTACCTTCTCCTGATACTGATACTGATCCCACTTCTGTCTGAAAACTGGAGCTGATACTTCTCAGGTCTCGTGACAGCCACCACAGAGGGTGATCCGGTCTTGGCCTTGATCGGATCGGTGCCCAGGCTACAGAACACAAAGCGGACCCACCAGTCGATGAAGGCATTGGATATTTTGGGTCCTACTACCAAAGCAGCCATTCCAATTGATGTCGAGGACCAGGCCGCCGAGGTCATTTTGTCCGCTTTGAGAACTGCATATTTATCTCCTCAAGGCGCAACTGTGGTTTCTATTCCTGCAGATATTGCAAAAGAAAAGTCCAAGATCCTTGCTTTCGAAAGTCACGCTTTCACGCCACCAATGTATGGAGCTGCTCCTCTAGAAACCCTAGACAGTGCTATAGCCATGATTGAGAAAGCCGAATTGCCCGTCTTGTTCCTCGGAATGCGAGCCAGCAGTCCCAGGGTAGTAGCCATGGTCCGTCAGCTACTGACAAAATTCCCCATGCCAACAGTAGAGACGTTCCAAGCAGCAGGAGCCGTATCAAAAGAACTCGCCCATCTCTTCGCTGGCCGAGTGGGACTCTTCCGCAACCAAGTTGGCGACAAGCTTCTCGCAAAGTCAGATCTGATAATTGCCGTTGGATACGATCCCGTGGAATACGATGCGAATGTGTGGAATCCAGACGGAAGCCGGAAAATTATTCACATCGACTACACGCCAGCAGACTACGGCACATATTACCACCCTGTTTCCGAAGTCCTCGGCTCCATCGTCCAAAACCTCTACCACTTCGTTCAAAATCTGAAGTCTGTCAACGACACCACATCCTCTCCTCTATCTAAGCAACTCTCCGCAGAGTACCTCGCCTGGCAAGACTCACCCCTCACAAAACGCACATCCGGCCTCATCCAGCCCCTGCACTTCATCAGCACCCTGCAACCCCTCGTCTCGCCCACCACAATCGTAACCTGCGATGTTGGCACCGTTTACATCTACATGATGCGGTACTTCTTCTCCTACGAACCCCGCACGCTCCTGTGCTCCAACGGCCAACAAACGCTCGGCGTCGGCATGCCCTGGGCCATCGCCGCATCCCTCACACAATCCCCTCCTTGCTCCCAAAAGGTCATCTCGCTGAGTGGAGATGGGGGTTTTATGTTCTCGGCTCAGGAGCTAAGTACCGCAGTGCAGCAGCGGTGTAACATCACGCATTTTATCTGGAATGATGAGGCGTTTAATATGGTGCAGTTTCAGGAGGAGATGAAGTATGGACGCGGCAGTGGGGTATCGTTGGGTGGAGTGGATTTCGTGAAGTTGGCGGAGGCTTTTGGGGCGAGAGGTTTTAGGATCAGTGATGCGAGTGAGTTGAAGAGTGTCATGGAAGAGGCGTTGGCTTTTGAAGGGGTTAGCATTGTGGATGTGCGCGTGGATTATAGTCAGAGTCAGGAGTTGGCGGGGGTTATATCGGAGAGTGAATGGAACTGATGGGAAAGTTTTGTGTATTCAAATTTTGGTATGCCAAAACGCCGTAATGCCAGCCATCCAGCCATCCCTATCCCATATAGTCAGCATTCCAGCCACTGTGGAGCATTCAAGTATATATACAAGCCAAAAACCCGCCCACCCATCTATACAAGCCGGAAATCCATCCACCCACCCAAGTCCACCCACTAACCCTAAAATACACCCGAAACATCAGCCCCATACTCCTCCGCCTGCACCTCACTAACCCACCCCTTCTCCACACAATAAAACAGCACATCAGTCGCCGTCCCAAACGCCCCATTTTCAACCTTAGTCCTGAAATCCAAGCGCCCACTCAATCCCTTTGTCTCTTCATTGAAAAGCCCCAGCACACTTCCCTTTCCGCTCCTACCCCCACCCCCACTCCCTTTACCACGGCCATTTCCACCCGGAGTAGCACGACTGCTTTCGCTTTTCTTCAAAGCTTTCTTGAGATACCCTAGCATATACCCAATCCATATCACGTTACTGTAAGGGGTGTATTCGCCCCACGAGGTGCTGGGCGAAAGGGTTTTGGAGAGGTGCCAGGATTTTGTTTTGGCGGTTCGTTCGCCTGTTATGAGGTTCGTGCGCATACTGTAATGAGGAACACAGAACCATAAGTATCAAAAAAGAATTATTATGTATATGTTGCAAGTTCTTTTTTGGAATAGGGGTGGGGACGGATAAGGGAAAGGGGGTATATACCGACGATAAGCGTTGAATTGCGGATGCCCTTCTGAGCCCTGGAAGACCATGGGATCTTCTTCTAGGTCGAGGAATACTACAGTGCCGTTTTGCAGCTTAGCGCGCGATAGGCCGTAGTCTATGAGTGTCGTCTTGACTCCTGCACGTCCTAGTTTGAGGTTGGGGTTTGTGTCTGTGTCGGTGTGATCAGATGATGGAGTGGGGGAGACGGAGACGCAGATGTTGTTTTCGTGGAGATCTCGATGCTATAATGGATGATTAGCCGCCAATCATTATGTAATAGACAGCTGGTGAGAGATCCGACTCACTTCGAATTCATTCGCCATCTCGCCTTTTGCAAGAGCCAAAATAGTCCCTAGAAGGATGTCCCAAACTTGCTTAATACTCGTAACTGGAAAGTCCTCCAACACACACCCCGCATCTCCCAACTCGATGGCCAGAAATTCCGATGCGTCTGTGTACAGCTTCGGGTGCGGAAACTGCGATTCTCGGCCTTCTTTGCAGACTTCCTCGCGGTGCTCATACGCATCAATGAATGCCTGCACGGAGCGACCAAGGATGATATGGGCGTCTTTGAAGCGAACAAAGCCTGGGAGCTCGGTAAGTGTATTCATGATCCTGACTTCCGAGACGATGTTTTCCACTCTGATGGCGGTGTCGCTCGCGCTGGAGGCTGGGTCACAGGGGGATTGGATGCGCATTACTTTTATGATTGAGGTTTCGCCGGATGGGATTGTGATGCGGTATACTTCGGCGTATGAGGCTTCTGCTATTTTGATTACGGTGCAGTCTGAGGGAAGTAAGTCAGCCCAGGAATGGGTTGTCAATGTTCGACCGGTGTCGATGCCGTAGGCTGTGATAAGTGGTAATAAGTGCTGATGTTTTCTGTTAAATATTGAAGTTTCGTCTTCCGTTTCGAGTTCATCATTCTCATCGAGTTGCAATGTTAGACCCTCGGAGCCTATTGAACATTCAGTACACAATAAGACCCTTCAATCGCAACGCCGTACCTTCTTCACTCTCCCTATCCTCTAGGGTCTCCGAGTCTGTTAAATAATCAGCAGACGAGGGAACATGAGGGTTAAATACGACTTACTCTCGTCATCATCATCATCGTCGTGGTTGTGGCCAACCCGTTTGTCTTCATTCTCAGTATCACCGTCGAGCTTTAGATTGATTACTGCTGATGTGATATCCGCAAGAGCAGATCGTTCTGGTGATGCAGGAAATTTGGTGTGGTGGCTGTTGCGCGATATGCTACCAAAGAGAGCGGATGCGGCGATAGAGGCATGCGTCTTCCTCGCGCCGTAGGTACGAGGCCGACCCATTTGCCTATGTCCACTTTATTACAGTAAGTAAAATGAGAGACTTGGGATCTATCTCCTCAGTTAGTATTATGTTGTCTGGGTGATTGTACAAACAAGGAAAGGAAAGTAAGAGGGAATGTTCTTCTCAATTTTCTAGGAGAAGAAAGAGAATGCTATGCATAGTGTTTAAGACTTAGGAACAGGCGAGAAACCGGATGAAGTGTTCGTCGAAGTTAAGCTCTGCAAAAGTCTTTCACTCAGAAGGTGGAGTCTAAGTGCCACAAGGATTGAGGCTTTGCCCCTTTTCCAAATTTCCGCTGGGTAATGATATGGTCACGTGGTAGTAGCAAACTTTCAACCTAACCCCCTCTGAGAGCAATTTGAGCTGGTTCAAACTCGAAAAAGTCTCAGAAGACAGAGATTTGAAATTCATAATTTTCGTGCTCAGGTAAAACGCAGCAGGAGACTCGGAAGAGCGCTCTCCAGGGGTGTAAACAAAGGACTTGTCCACGTACCTGTCGAGATGGGCACAAATATAAGGAGGATTACTATATGATATTAGAACCTGTACATTTTAAATTGCTGATAGAGTCTACCTTTCGCTATTGTCGTCTTCATTAAGCAAAAGCCGTATCCAGGGCAAAGCTTGAGACTCCATGATATGTTTACAATCGGCGGTATATTAATCCGATCCATGTTGTCACAGTGATACGTAAAAGTGCCTGACATAACGAGATCTGATAATTTTACAAGGGTATTACAAGTAGTCTAACCATATTACGACTAGATCAAGTGTAAACTGGACCCCATTTCTTTTCCCACGGCCACGAAGCTTCCCCCTTCAGCTCATCAATTGTCAAGATGGCCGCCCTATTCAACAGCCTCTTTGGAGGATCCAAGCCATCTGCGTCGCCAATTCCGGCCGGTGACTCTGGTATGTTTGCGCATGTATTGCATTAGAAGATCTGTTGCTAATCAATTGCCTATCACAGACTTTGCGGATTTTGCGGGAGCTCCAGACCCATCTCCCACTCCCCTCGCCGCCGTCCCCACCGTCGCCAGTTTCACTGGTGCTGGTGCCGTTCCAACTGGTAGCAGTGCTGTTCCCTTCACGAAATGGTACAATATCCACGAGCGACACTCTTTGAGTGACTTCAAGCAGGAAGGCGTGATTCTCGGTATCCTCCTGGTCATCATTGCTATCCATCTCTACGGCACAAGCTCCAACCGAAAAAGGGCAAAGGCCTGGATTACTGCACATGCGCCAATTCTTCAGAATGAATTCGCTCTCGTTGGATTTGGTGGCCGAAAGGTCCCAACGGAGGAAGAGAGCGAAGGCTTGTCAAAGACATTGGCGACGGACAGCCTCCAGCTGCCCGTAGATCTGTTGAAAGAAAAGTCTCCCCAGGAATTCTCAACTTATGCGACTGGGCGACTGAATGTTGCCTTCCTCGATGTCAACCTGACTCTCCTCAAGCGCTACAGCCCTCTGACCCTGGCCTTCGAGTACGGCGCAAGTCTATTCTTTGACAGCATCCCTGCCCCAGTCGAGCGCGTTGAGGCTATCCTGTATCCCTTTGATGGGAGAGAGTCTCTTACCGTCCCAGGTCAGCTTCCAGGCGCGCATGAGCTCCGCAAGGATAACAAGAGCAGTTATGATGGATTCGTATGGGCCATTGTCAACAAGGAGACCATGAAGCAGCTGCGCGGCGAGCGATACGATGTCTCAATTACTTCTACCAAGGATCACCCAAAACTTCCAAACTGGGCAACTATCATGAGCGAGAGCTCCGAGATCACAGAGTTCTTGCTTACCCCCGAGCTTATCAAAGCCGTTGAATCCGCCGGAGAACTTTTAGACCATATCATTATCACTGACCAGCCCATTGACCAACCTTCAAAGTACATGTAGTCCGTTTTAATATCTCATAATATTTACTGACTTCTTATTGCTTAGGCTCGACGAGACCATCCCAAAGAAGCGCCTCTACCTTTCAATGAGACTCCCATCTTCCGGCGATTACACCAATCTCCTACCCATCTTCCAATACTTCCTCCGCCTGACCGACACTCTCGTCCAATCGGCTCACTTCCGACCTGAAGTTCTCCGAAAGGTCCGCACAACCCGCGACGACGCCATCCGAAGACTACAAAAGGCAGACGATGAGGAGAAAGCTGAAGAGATCAAGCTCGAACGTGAGAAGGTGAAGAAGCAGAAGCGAGATGCAGAACTGAAGGGCCTCAATGCTAAGTCGCAAAAGAAGTATTTGGAGAAGGAGAAGGAGAAGGAGATGAAGAGAGCGCAGAAGAAGCAGACTCAACGTGGATAATCACCATGGTGGGCTATTTCTGGCATACTTAATTGTACATTTAATGTGGACAAAAGTCTTGGTAGAGGTTCGACGTAGGGTTTGAACTGTACAATATTTTCGTGGCAATCCTTGCTAAATATGAACTCCCAAGATGCTATGTTCATCTAGTACTTGTAAAGCCATCAGATCTCCGTCTTTTCACTCTGTTACTCTGTTGCCCAGTTGGTGACCACTGTTTTAGTCCCCCACGAAAGTGTCATGTTTGACGCCTGGGTTCCCTGTGAAGATAACGGAAAGTGCCGTTGGCCCTCTTTGATTTCTATTCGAAGGCCACGTGTGATCGACTCCCAGTTTCCAACATGCAACACCAACTTAAGCTAATATACCCCTGTACACGCAGGTAGATATTATTGGCTCTTCACCCTCAGAGATAGAACGTACCGTAGACTTCTTATATTTATAGACCAAAACAGGGGCTCGGCGGTAATCTAGCTGTTTGCTGCATAGTATATCCGGGAGTAGGTAGCCACTAGGAGGAGTGCGATCCGCTTGGGAGCCGAAAGCTTTGATGCGATATGCAGAGCAAACAAGAAGAGTGACTGAGAGTGGAAGCGAGACTGAAAGTATTGTTCCGAGCTTCATAGAGTCCACGAGCGCTTCTCAAAGGATCGACTCTATTACAGTACTTGCAGCATCGCCAAGCGGCCGGTTCTATTGCTGTGGTACGGAGTACGGAACAGTGCGGTTGTTTGAGACCAAACGGGGAAAGCTCTTGAATCTCCACGTCTCCAAAAGTTTCCTGGGCATCGAACAATGGGCTTGGAGTCATAATGGTCACTACATTTGCTTCTCTGACTGCAGCAAGAAAGTTCACATTATGTCGATGATTTCCGGTACTATCGGTTCTGACCCTATTATAGAACCGAAGGCAGAAACATCAAGTTAATATCCCCCTATATGCTTAATCAGCTAAATGAAAATTGAAATAGGTAAACCTGTCAAAGAATATCTACAGGTAACTACAAGTTGGAAACTAGGTATAGGGTTACCTTTGCTATAATCTTACCTGTTAAATTTACCTCGCTTTTAGACAGACTCTGCTCACCTACCCCACCTAGGGTTGTCTTTTCATAATTATATATAATAACATCATTTGGCTTCGAGAAACATGTTCTAGGAATAGGACTGTCCAGCCTACACGCATTATATCAATTGCAAGTATTCTTGAAGGAGAATAGCATACAATTTTGATATAACAAAATAGAGCTAAGCGTTTTGAATGAAAATTATCTCCTATACCGATATTCCTCTATAATACCACACTACACACTTGGTTACTTGCTCCTATAGCTATTCTCGCAATATAAATTACTAACAAAAAAATCCTTCCAAAGATTTGGATAAGTCCTAATCTGGACCTCTTGGTTAGCTTTAACCTAGACCTAGAATCGTCCCTAACAGCGATCACATCTGTAACTGTATGGGGAATAATGTGGGAGCCTTTCCAGTCAAGTGACCCAATCTAGCTTAGTCAGCATGGGGATAACCTCTTCGCATTACAACCACCACTTTAGCTAACCAACAACCAATGAAACCACCAGTACCATCAAATACGGACCTACACGTGTAGTGAAGTGATCACCTTGTGATACCAACAGTAACGCTTATTTCTCAACACTTTGCTAACGTTGCTTCTACTCCGACTTCGCACTCTTCGTCTTCTTGCTACGAATCCGCATCATAAGAAAAACGAAGGCATAACTAGAGAAGCAAAATAATGCCACAATGCCAGTCTAGAATTAGAAATATCAGCCGCTGTTCTTCAAAGTTCGTGTATACAAGGACTTACGTCTCTCCATCCATAATATCTCGCATTCAGATTCATGGTCGCTGCATACTGCGAGCCATATTTATATGGGCAGTACAACTGGACGTCGAGTTATCCACCAGGTACCCAGCACCAGTCTCAAAGAACGTGGCCATGTAGTCTCCACAATTCATATTTGCAGGCGACGTAAAAGATGCTAGTTCACTCTTTGCGCACGTGACATCCACGTCGAATAAAATCTGCGTGAGTAGTCCGCCAACAAGGTACGTAAAGAGGTCAAGCCAGTAAAGCCAGTACTTCCAGAACACCACTATCTGGTTGTACGGAACTAGCACACCACAGAAGTTTATGAAAAGGGAGCCTAAGATGATAGGGTTGAGGAGAGAGGCGAAGTAGGAGTTAGGCGAGACGGCGGCTATGCCTTGGCCGATTGCGGTGTAGAGGAACTCGTACACTGCTGGGTGTTAGCATATATCAGGAGAATCTGATGTGATACTTACAGATCATGGTGAAGAAGACCTGGCCGGACGTGCTGCCTTTGATGGGAAGGCCGACGGTGAAGTACCAAGTGCAAAAGTACATGGTCCCACAGACGATTAAGTATGGTACTTCGGCGATCAGTTGTGAGGCAATGAATACTAGCCAGCTATACATTTTTGCCTGTAGCTTTTATTAGACACCGACTATGTACATATATACATGTAACAGACGTACCTTTTTTTCTCGGGCCTCGAAGATATTGCGGTTATGGATGAAGAGGGGCTGTAGTTGGTTTATGACTCCTACCGCTACAAACAGGAAACCAAATACAGAGAGAAGACGCAGTTGCAGATCGCTGACTTTGTTCCCAAGTTTCCAGAAGCTGAAGCCGGTCATTAGTCCTGATGAGACATGAAGGAAATTTTTGTTCCACACGTAGTCCTGCCGATAATAAGTAAGGATGATTTATAGCTTCTCGTAATAGATTAGACATACCGGATTTCTCCATAGTGCTGCCTGCTGCCTTGAGGTAATGAGACGAAGCTGCGTCATCAAAGAAGTTGCAAAATCACCCTCGCTGTCTTTGACTGTTGACTCTCGACTCAAGGCGTCTGCTTTTAAGGCGGCGAGCTCAGTGAGACACTCGGTGCGCTCGGGGGATTGGAGCCAGTTTGCGGCCCATATGTCTCCGGAATCTGCTTTGTCAGAGACAACATTAATGATGTGCTCTGCCGGATTGGCGTCAGGAGGGCAAGGAGCTCCATTAACTGCCAAATAGTTTAACAGTGTCTCGGAATTGGTTCCAGCTATAAAATGAAGGGTCAGAAGATGGTCTCCATGAATAAGGATATAACATGTCTTACTTTCTCCGAAATAGATAGTATTTCCACCCTTGGCTAGGAGAAGCAATGTGTCAAACGCTTCAAAAAAAGTGGCCGATGGTTGATGAATTGTACAAAGCACCGCTTGTCCGGCGGCTGTCAGTCTGCGGAGGAATCTCACAACGTTGAACGCTGATTGCCCGTCTAGTCCTGATGTTGGCTCATCGAGAAAGAGCAGTATACTCGGTTTTGCAGCAAGCTCTACACCTATTGTTACTCGTTTGCGTTGTTCGATACTCAATCCTGCACCGGGTTCTGAAAGAGGGTTCTGTCAGCTGGTAATCTACTTCAATTGGGGGATACGTCCTTACCTCCAATCAAAGCATCCTCAATATCTTCCATTTCAAGCAACTTGATGATACTATTCACATACGTGATTTTATCCTCATCAGGAACATCGCGCGGCTGACGAAGACGGGCTGATAAAACTAGGGCCTCCCTGACGGTAGCTGTGCTCTCATGAACATCCATCTGTTCACTATAGCCAGCCGAGCGCTGGAAGCTGAAAGGTAAAGGCCGCCCATCTACCAGGATTGATCCTTCCACAACACCGGCATCTTTTCGTTGCGCCAGAACGTCGAGAAGAGTGGTTTTGCCTGCTCCAGAGCTTCCCATGAGAGCGCCTAGAGTTCCAGGCTTCACCCATCCGGTTATATCGTTCAGGAGTTTGCCATGGCCACCAGGGACTGAAACTGTGTAGGACGGATTTTCCCAGGTGAAGAGTGCTTCGTTTCGAGCAAGGGAGAGCTCATTCGACTGCGGCACAGTGCTCTGCGCTCCCGGACCCTGGGATGGGTTTTCTTCGTCTGCCGATTTTCTTAATGCGTCTTTTGGCTTCTTGCCGCGCGCGAAGATTAGAGACGAGGAGCCTGAGTTGTGGTGGGGTCGCTCGAGTGCGATGGCCGTGGCAACAGCATAGAAAAACCACCAGCCGACCAGAATTCCTGAGAAGTAAGTATACATGTTGAATAGATGGACAAAGATTGGACATACCGAAATTACGCCAGATATGGTCGACTTTAAAAGAGTATGACTGAGTGATGTAATCGCTACCCACGACATGTAAACCGTCGTTTGACACACCTGCAACAGCACAAACCTGATAGGAGGTATTGTTATACGAAGCGCCGCTGAGGATTAACTGTTGTCCTGTGCACGAAAGGAATAGCCCGCCAAACTCATTGCCCATGTACGACTCATACGCGTAAAAAGCTGGGCTGAGCCATGCCAGCCAGAAGAGCGGAACGTGCATGGTTTGATACGGGATAAAATATCCAGCATAGAGCATCAGGATTACAACCCAAAACCCACTGACCTTAGCTGCGTTATCGAAGGCTGTAAATGCGGAGCCGATGAATCGATACATTTGTGTAAAGACAAGGGCAAGGATGATGTACATGACCCAGAAGGTGAAGAATTTACCAGCATCAGACTGAAAACCGCACAGAAAGTAGTAGACTATACTAAAAGTTGTGGCTTGGGCGACGATTGATGGGATATCAGTGATCATTCGTGCGATGACAAATGCTGTTGGTCGATAGAGACTGAAGTCACGGTGTCGGACCAGGATTGGCCTTCCCATGAATGAAGCGGTAACTTCAGCCATGCCCACAATCTATCATGAACATTTAGCAAGAGTAAGCATGAAGAGGGTAGATATAACGGGTACTTACGTTAAACACAACAATCGGAAAGAACAAGGCTCCGGACCCTAAGAATCGTTAAACAGGATCCAAGCAACCCCCGAGCCAGAACTTACGGGTAAAAAGACCAGCACTCGTATCTGGCAAATTATAGTACAAACTGCCAGAGATAAGAGCAAATATAAGAGAAGACAGTTGCTGCATGATCATAGAGTATGGGTCTCCCAACAAGATCTGAGTTTGCCTGACTTGGGCTTAGTATTACTTCCAAGATGCAGAGCTGGGAATTACCTGATGACACACGTAATAGTCTGGTGAAAGAGACCTATTTTGTATGAGCCCTGTATTGGACTCCTATGTTTTGGCTGCTCTTCTCTGTAAGCAGCGTGCATTTGCTTGGTCTCTTCGTGAAATTCTGTCGCTGGAATGATTTTCTTGCCCATCATATCGGCAATGTCGCTCTTAGAATAGGCTTCGTGAAACTCTTTGGCTGAGGTTGGCACTGTACCGTGGAATCTATCCCTCACTTGACGCTCCGTAGGGACAGTTACAGAGGTAAGGAAATCGGCAATATTAGCACCGGCAGGGCATATAAAGCCCATAGCTTCAAAGTAACCTTGAGCTGCCCACCTTGGACCATAATATATCTGGTATCCTTCATCGAGAACCATGACATTATCATAGAGATCGTAGATGCGGTTTCCTGCCTGGTAAAGAGTTGTCAAAATGGTGGCGTTGGACTCGTCTGCGAGATGACGAAGATTTTCGTTGAAGGCCAACGCGGAAGACGCATCAAGGCTACGTGTGGCATTATCCCAGCACATTATTGACGCCTTTGTGAGTTAGTTGAGATCTGTTTGTTAGGAGTTTGTGTGATAGTACTTACCTTGGCTGCGAGGATCTCACCTAATGATACACGTTTGCGTTCTCCACCGGAAACGCCCCGTATGAACTCATTACCTACCAACGTTCCGGCAGTGTGAGAAATCCCTAATGCTTTGGGAACTACTTCTAATGTCTCTTTGACAAACTCAGACCTTTTCCCGGTAGACCGATGATGTCTTGCAACGCGACTGTGAGCAACTGTTGCAAGTGTTTGTTTGATAGTCAAGGTAGGCGAGTGGATATCATCTATATAGTCAGCCAAGTAATTCGCTAGTATGGGACAAATGGGCTTGTAAAATTACCTTCGTTATTATAAAGAACAGCTCCGCGGTATTTGTCCGCCCCCTCGTGGCTCATACTTCCATACCAAACATCTCCACTGACCTCCTTGAAGCTTGCACGTTTGTTGGTGACTGCTTTGAGAAACGAAGCACATCCTGACCCTGGGCGGCCAAGTACAAGAAGCTTAGAAGGAGTAAGCCTGAAGAACATGAGCGGATATTAAATTTTACTTACCATTTCTCCAGGTAGAACTTGGCCTGTGACTTCGTGCAAAATTTCCTACTAAATGTTACTTCGACCCTTGAGGGACTTGAAAAAATGTATGCTTACGAGCGTAGATTTACCCCCAGCACTACGGATGTATTCTAGCGGGTTGATATAGGAAAGTATATCAGCGCCTAGAACTGCCTTTGAATTCGACCCCGTAATTTTCAATCGGTCCCAAGTCAGTGCAAGGTGTTTCTTCTTTATGTTTCCGGCAGAGGAGCGTTCCTCGTGGTCATTCAACCAGCGTTTGTAAGACCATACATGCTGGTGAGATTTCTCCTTGAAAAGTGGCTTTTCAACTACTGCTTGGTTGATATTTTCGACATCGCTTATTTGAAGAGTCCCAGAATCCTGACGGGCTATAATGAGGTGTTTTGTTGTGAATATGAGGCTCTGAGATGGACACGTTGGAGACAGTGGGTGAGTCGGACTCATGCAGCGTGGACGCCATGGATTCCATGAATGCTGTCTTCGGTATTCGTCTGTGAATGATTGGCTTTCCAAACCCCCCAATGTCGTGGATCAAAAAGCTCGGTGAGGTAAAGATGCTCGGTGTGAAGCTTAGGGAGAAAGGGTCTGCTTAATAGGAGGGACACAGCACCTATATACCTTGGAGGGAAAAAGGGGGCTTACAACTCGTTTCCTTGTGATATGCACTCCACCTCATACTAGATGCATTTTTAACGTTCCCCGCCGGTATAGACAACCCGCAAGTTGATAAGCTGACTCAATACCATAGCTTACAAACCTTAGGTAGTGCTCCAGTATTTCCAAGATAGAGCATAGCAAAAAAAAAAACCCCTACTCACGGCAAAGAAATTTCGGCGTCATGTTAAACCCCGGCACAAGTAAAACAGCGAATATATGCATGGCAAGCGGATGAAAGACACCGGAGAATAAACATTGCGGCTCTTCGCGCTAGGTAGGGTAAGATGTAAGTTACCTCACATATCTAGCTCACCTTCTTCAACTTAAAGATTACCCCGAAACGACATTGCCACATTGAAACGAGGCCAATCCATCCATCTTCGGCCGGCCCAACATATCAAAACTTCAATAGCCCAATACAAACAATATACGGTGAAATGAAAGTTTATATATGAAATAAATACCATTGGTAGATTTAAAGTTTCAAGCTTTAAAAAAACATATATTGCTTGTTTGTTGTCCTAGCAACGGATTTGACGACCATGGACTTTTCGTCTTCGCAAAAGACAAATTTGATTAGCCTTGAAAATGGGATAAAAAAATGGATATAAAAATGGCGGCACTAGAGTAGAAGAATGGGGCCATTACAAGTAAAGGCCGCCATCTCCGCTAGCGCGCTGGGTGGACAGGTCGGGACTGACTCGGGATATACGCAGTACTATAAGTGGCTTACAACCAGCGACCCACCGCGGATTTAGGACCAAGTTGCGGCTCTCGGGCGTTTGCCATCAAGATATATGGGTCGCCGGGACGCATCAGGGCCCAGGGGTCCAGGCGATCATAAGATACAAGGCAACCAATACCCACAGATCCGGGCAGATATCTGATTGATCTGATTAAATCACCGAGCTAATAATTCACATCTCCTTCGCCGCCATTTCCGCCATGCCACTAACAAGAACACGAATCGTCCATGGACGTAAATGTGCATATCTCTCTGCTGCATTCGCTAGCATCTGACATTGCCTGATGTCCCCCACTTACCTGCGAAAGCATCCGGATTTCGTTGCATGTAGTAGATGCTATGTTCAAACCCAGAGTCTTAAATCGTCTATTCTCCAATATATCTTCGTCAGCCAGGCTGCTACTAGCTTCTAGGACCGATCCCATTACTCGAATACCGAAAGCTAGCCAAGTATCTACAATGTTCAGTCCAGAAAGGTTCTATCGCCCTCATATCCTGATCGTTGGTGGCTCTTACGGCGGCTTATCCGTTGCTACCAATCTCTTGAACTTGATGAAGGGAGGAGCACAAATGAGCTCGCCAGAGCTTCCGCCAGAGCTGGAAAATCTACCCAAGGCACAGCCGCGGATCACGATACTGGATGAAAGAGATGGAATATGTAGGTCTTGCTCCAGCTTTGATGTGAAGCTTCATTTATATTGACTTGCCAGATCATACAATGGGGTCTCCGCTCGTCATGTCATCCTTGAGTTTTGCACAAGAAGCATGGCGCTGCTTCAAGGATATTCCACAGTTCGAGAAAGATGTGCGTATCGTCTAGGGAAGGGCTTTGAGCATAGATGTAGCTTCGAGAGTGGGAAGTATCACAAATACGATGAGGATTTAACGCAAGAAATGCCATACGAATTTCTTGTTGTGGCCACCGGAACGCAAAGACGAAGGCCTATAGTACCAGAAGCGCTACATAAGATCGAATACTTGCAACATGTAGATCGCCATATATAACGCGTGCGCGATGCGAAACAAGTTGTTGTTGTGGGCGGTGGTAGGTCACAGCAGTAGGGTATGGCGTCTCAGTACTAATATAGTTGCAGGAGCCGTCGGAGTCGAGTTCGCCGCTGAGATGAAAACTATGTTCCCTAAGATAAACGTCACCTTAATACAATCACGCCCAACGTTGCTAGCCGCGGAACCGCTTCCAGTGTCATTCAAGCAGAAAGCCGCTGAGAGACTGGAGGAACTCGGCATTGATGTGTGGCTGGGGTGCAGAGTAGTTTCGCAGACGAAGACTCCCTCCGAGGGCCACGATACAACTATTCTCGCACTATCTAACGGCGCTTCTATTGTGGCAGACGAAGTCGTATGCACGAATCTACCACATAACGCCAACACGAATTTCCTCCCTAGAGAAATCTTAGATGAGCATGGATATATAAGCGTACAGTCCACGTGAGCATTTATATCACCCAGTGTATCAAGGGGAGGCATACTAACTCTCATTCTTCCATGAAGGCTTCAGTTTCCACCATCTATCGTAAACTCCGAATTGCATTACGCAGTAGGGGATGCAGTTTCCTGGAGTGGTATTAAGCGAGTTGGAAATGCTTTCATAATGGGACAGTTTGTAGCGACAATCTTCTATTGCAGATCCATGGAGGGGATTGGGCTCTACCTTTCAAACGCCTGGGAGATGGGTGGGAGGAAAACCCAGCTGGTCCGACTAAATTGGTGGATTGTCCTCCCATGAAGCCTATGATGGCACTGTCGTTGGGGAAGCTGGCTTTGGTATACCGTGGTGATGATAATGGTGATTGGACAGAAGAAGACCAAGAAGCTATTGTGGGAAGAGGTTTAGGTATTGAGCGTAAGTCTCTATGGTCGATGAACGTTTTCGTTGCTAATTTAGCCAGGCTGTTCTTCCTATTTACGTCTGTGAGCGATGCGTATATATATGCACAGGAGTCTGCTATTCTACCAATCGGGTGATATTCTTCATATTTTCTATGTTATATAATCTGTAAGATACCTGAAATTGAAGCATTAGAGAATTTAGAGTTGCTCGTTGAACAAGCAAAGCTCCTTTTTGGGCTACTGCATAGAATCAGGCAAGAAGGTTGTAGGCAGGAACTCGTCCCATTCCTCCTGAAGATGGTTAGTATACAATTAAAACCGCTAAGCTTTGTTTCACAACATACCCAAGCCATGTAATATGGGTTTATCCATTGTCGTGGCTGTAGCCTTGGCGCCAAATGTTCTAATTTCTGAGAATTCTCCATATTTGTCAAATTGCTAGTGTTTCTGGCGTTATTCAGAGCTTGATCAGGTTGGAGCATCAGCAAGGATAAAGGATCTGGTGTCGAAGCAGGAAATTTGCTACTTTGAGATGGCTGATTGGATATGATAGCCCTACTTTATAGTCAGTGAATGTCGCTCCCATGGCATCAAGTCGCATGCTAACAGTAGACTGTCCAGTACTTTTACTGCTTTCATACAAATCACACTTCTTCCCTGCAATCTTTTGAATCTCAGCGTAGTATCTTCTAGTATTTCTCTGAACTTTCGATGCTGCGCTTCGAAGATAGGCATTAATAGAGCCACAGCGAGGACGACTGCACCGTGAAAAGCGTGAAAGCTCCCGAGTTCATTCGAATACCATAGGAAAGGCTCATACTCGGGCGTCTCGTGGATTAATCGATGGATATCTAAAAGCGCTTGTGCTGAAGCAATGCACCGAATCTGGCTTTCATTTGGTGTTTCAAGTCCGCTTGTCGATTGTGCAAAAAAAGGTCGGTGGAGTAAGAGAAACAGCTGATACCCATAGCCATGAAGGATATGAAGATGCATTTTATGATTGACCGAAAGTGGAAGATTGTTCGAATCAGTAGCATATCGGGCATCCCAGGATTCTTGAATGAAGCATATCTTTTGGTCGAGTGCGGAGATTGCCTCCTGGGAAACAGTGCTACTATCGAAGATTTCGGAACATATTGATGCCGTCAAGTCATCAAGCTGGAACTTGAAGAGCAGATATGATAACTGTGTAGGACCATTGTTTGATGTTGTTACAATACCTTCAGCTGTGATGTCCACATCATTGGCGTCCAGTGGTAATTGAACCTGACGTGTATTTATAGGCCGTCCTGGGTCTGAAGTGCCGAGGAGTACATTGTGAATTGTGTATAGCATCGTAAGACCTGCCCAACACCGACGTCTTTCCTCACATTGTATGAAATTCATGTCGAAATTGGAAGGATCGACGTGGCAGGCGAGACCTGTAGCCACATTATAAGTCATGCCAAGCAAGATCCATATCTTTTCGTGACTGTGGCTCATTGCATATCCCAGCAATATCAAGACTTGAAGCGACTGAACGTTGTGCCTACCCCAGAGGATACCTTGCTTCTCTAAGCATTTCATAGTCAATATTTGATACCGCTTGCTAAGTGCTCGAATATTGGCGTACGGATCAGAACCAGGTGCGAAGCGGAAATCCTCAAAAAACGAATCGTTACTAGCCAAGCTGGTCATCGCGAGTGATAGTATTACATACAGAACCGCAAGCCAGGAGGGGCGTGCTTCGTAAGGGTTCTGAAGGAAAGCTTCGTATTGCGCATGAAAGGTTGGCTCGTGTAAGATATGGAAGAGCTATATAATGTCAATTGTTGCAACATTCAAAACAGACAGATAATAACTTGCAGGTGAGAAGATGTCAAAATAAATGCCTTTTAGGTAAGTACATTGACGGACTGAAGGTAAAAACGACACTAAATCTTCGATAGATAGTGTACTTGAATCAAGGAAGGGAACTCCAAGCCCGCTACTGTGTTTATGGTTAGCATTGAGGCACATTGCTTTTGTGCTTCACTTTTAAAAGTAAGCTGCATACCTATGGTGTTCGTTTTCGTCTTCACCTTCAAGGGGCAAGGTTGTGATGCTGGTATTGATCAAAACAACAGCCCACTGAGATCCGCAGTATTCATATTGTACATCCCCAGCAGCATTGGACTTCATCGTGCCCGCTCTGATATTATTTTGGGCAGTTACTCTATCTGATCCAATCGTGAAATCCGGGCGGAAATTGGCATATAGTGGTTTGGGAAGTTCTTTGGTTCCTTCAAGGGCAGTCGGAGGTACAGATTGGGAATGCGTATTTTCTTCATAATCCCAATTCGCGCTATCGCTGCCAGTGGTGTGCCCGTTTGTTTTCTGTGCCTAGATAGGCTATTAATAAAGATGTTTTAATAGTTTGCCGGAATATATTCAAGAAAAACAATGTTTTTTTTTACGGTAGTATATAATGATGAGCAGCAATCTACCCTGCCCTCGAATGTCTTTTCGACGAAGTCGGAGTATAGGGCATACCTTCTGTAGCAAGCACTCTAACACCGTAATCTTCTTTAACAGCTGGCGCCGTGACGGGCGAGCATTCTCCGCTGCGATGAGATAAACGCAGCTCGCACCTACTTTTCTCCGCGTACAAGACTCGCAGGGAGGCGGGGTTCTGGAGCACTTGATCTTTCGCTCACGGCAAGGTTCACAAGATAGAGGCTGCCGGAGCCTGTGCACAGTAGGACCAGCTGGTTCTGACATGACGGACGTTCGATTGTCGTACTTCTAAGCACATTCTCTGTAGGAAGTGACGGTCGTGGACGCATTCGTTGAATTAGCTTTACTCAATCTTCTAGTGGAGCATTAGTATATTTTAATGACGGCGAGCTCGAGGCGAGTTCTTACCAGCCCTCAATTTAGTAAAAACACAGTCGCCCCAAAATATGACTCTCCTAAAAATAAGCATGTGCAACTGTACCGTAACGCAGCACTTCATAGGGTACGGAGTAAAGTCGCCATGGTGATCATTGCCCTTAACGACAACGACGCAGTCCGAGAAACATAATGTCCTTTGATCTTTAGCTCTGTGCCTTTGAAGAGAGGAACCATTTCAAAATCAACAAGAAATTGGTCTTTTATTCCCTCTATACTATGGAAAATTTTTAGGCTTTTACTATTAATTCGTAAAAAGAGGAACATCCCAATCCTCTGTAAAGTCGACTGTCCTTCCAGCACCGTTTGGAATACCCATTGCGTCTAGAACATTCATGGTTTCATCTCCCAGCTTCTTGATATCTAAATTAGACTTGATTCTCGAAGGAGTAGAGCTCTTTCCTAGCGGCACAGTTCCTCTCTGAACCGCCCAACTTTGTAACAATTGGCCTACATCCATTCCGTTTTTCTCTGCGAGGTTCAAGATCTTTTCATCCTTTAAAAGAGTTGCACCATCGGCCTTCTGACCTGCAAACGGGGACCAGCACGTAGTCAGAATATCATTCTTGTTGCCAAATTCGACAAGGGCATTCTGGGGCAGCCATGGGTGAACTTCGATCTGATTACATGAAATGGGAATTTCGGCATGAGGGATAACAGCTTCGAGTTCGGTAATAGAAAAGTTCGAGAGGCCAATCGCGCGGGCTTTGCCTTTAGTGACCAATTTCTCCATCGCTTTCCAGGTGGGAACGAAAGATCCTTCTTGTCCTAGCAAAAAGCATCAATTTCGGTTGCCAAGTAATGATCATCATTTATGACAACACCAGAAAACTCACCAACTTGCTTCGCAATGTTTGTAGACGTATGAGCCCAATCCTTTACTGGCTTTCCGTTCTTCATTAGTAACCCCTTTTCCTCGGGCGTATTCTTCCGTCCGTTTTTTGCATTTTCAAGAGCCTCTCTTGAGATTGGCATGGCAGCGTAAGGCCAGTGGGCGAGCCAGAGGTCGACATAATCAAGCCCCATCTGTTTAAGAACAAGATCAAGATTTAGCTCCATATTCTCAGGAGCGTAGAAATGAGGCCACGCTTTGCTGGTAATAAAAATCTCAGACCGTGGGATGCCAGATTCGCGAATTGCTTGGCCAATCTCTTGATCGACGCCGTACATCCAGGCACAGTCTAGGTGTCGATAGCCTGCTTTGAGAGCTGTGAGGACGCCATCCTTACACCATCCATCGATTTCTAGAGTTTATATAAGCTTCTTGTATCGATATCCTAGGTGACAAACCTGCAGCCCATGTCCCGAACCCAACGGATGGGATATCGATCGTTTTGCCACCCGAGACCTTAAGCTGGAAGTTTTTAGGAAGAGACATAATAGGGACTTATTTTGAGATTGTATTCAAGATTGAAAAGATACAAGTACAAGCGTCTCCTGGCGATAACCCTCCTAATCAATTGCGGTTTATGGATAGATAAAATTAGCCTATGATGGTATGATGACGAGTTTACCTGCTACTGTAAGAGAAGCAGATAAGAATTTATATTGGTGCTAAAAGTGGAACGGATGGTAGAATTCTAAGTAATAAGCCGAGAAGGCCGAGAAGACCGAACGAAGTCCTGTGCGGTATTGATATACTTCGTAATAGTTGGTCCTTCCTTCTTCTCTCGCTTCGCTTATAGTCGGGGGAAGCAAACGTTACAGGTAAGCGATTATCATAGTTTAAATACGCCTCCCGCCAAATGTATATGTGAACACGTTTGTAGCATAATTACTTCTTACACTTTTATACACTCTTAATAAATACTACTTTTTATAGTAAGCAAACTTAAGGGTTTATAATTAGTAGTCCTTTTATAATAAAGGCTATAATAAAAAACACTATCCCTTTATCGGTCGATGTCTTAGATCAGAGGGCGCGAGCGCGTAAAGTGGTTTTCACTTAGCCTCAGCTTTAGCGTCAAATTAGTAAGCCTATTTAGGTATTACTTACTGCTTTTTGATAAGGTATTGTGATAAAAAAATTACAGTAAAATGCAAAAAAAGAAAAACACACTCTATAGTCGTACTGAGGATCGAACTCAGAACCATCTCGGATCATATTCAGATTGTGAACGAGATATCATAACTAAGGAGAATGTTAGACGATATTTAATACCACACATCGAAGTTTACACACCCATTAGACCATACGACTCGTATTGGATTTGAAGGATGTTTTGATAATAATTCCTTCTTTAAATCCATACGAGTAATAAAAGGTTACCCGAGAAGATACGGGTCCCATTGGACACTACCACTCACTACTACCCTTCCAATCAAGTATGAAACACTGATAGAGTAAAGCATGGAATAGATGACGGATTGGGTAGTACAATATGGTATAGAATAAAACAAAGGAAAAGGGGGAGGGCAGAATTACTATAAAGGGGCCTTGAAAAGACAAGCGAGACGCATTTAAAGGCAGGGTACGAGTAGCCAGGCGCAGCAGTTTCAAGGAAGCTTTGAACCTGCATCGCATTGCATTGCATTGTGAACCCTAACTTGAGCTCTGCAACACAACAATAACAACAACACCACCACCTCTACAACTCTGCACCGCCATCACTCTCTTCGCAGCCAATCCACCATTAACATCCATATCTATTTACCCCCCTCTGCCTTTTGTCCACCCTCAATTCAGCCCGGATGGCAGGCCGCTTTGTGCGCGCGTCGAAGTACCGTAAGCTTCCCTTCCGCCAGTATGGCACGAGAGCAAGCTGACCGCGACATCAGGACACGTTTTTGGAAAATCCACCAGGAAGGAGTCTTGCTACGACAATCTGCATATCAGTCGCAATGCGTGGGACACGAATTTGGTGAAGGTGGGCAATAAGAATACAATTGAGACCTGGGGCGGAGAATACAGAGCTGACAGCCGCCGGCCAGGCTAACCCAGAATACCTTTCCGTCAATTGGGAGGCGAGCGGTGGAGGTGCATTTGCCGTGATACCTGTCAACGAGAAGGGACGACTACCCGAGCAGATCCCGCTGTTTCGAGGACATACTGGCCCTGTGTTGGATACAGATTGGTGAGAAGACACAGCGGTGGATGCGCCGAATACTGCTGACAGTCTGCTAGGAATCCCTTCAATGATCGTGTTATAGCCTCTGGGTCGGACGATGGCAAGGTTTTCATATGGCAGGTTCCGCAGGGCTTCTCTCTCTACTCAGATGCCGAAGAGCCAGTAGATGTTGCGCCTGTGAGCAAGTTGACGGGCCATTCGAGGTGAGCAGCTGCTTGACTATTGACCTTCCGGTATGGCAAGCTCTAATAAGTCGCAGAAAGGTCGGCCAAGTTCTATTCAACCCCGCAGCCGAGAACATCCTCGCATCAGCCTCTGGCGACTATACTATCAAGCTTTGGGATATTGGGGCGGGCAAGTCGAATCTCACGTTAAAGCATGGCGACATTGTTCAGAGCCTGTCGTGGAGCGCGAATGGCTCGATGCTGGCCACTACCTCTCGCGACAAGAAACTACGCGTATGGGATGTTCGTCAGGAGAGACCGGCGCATGAAGTGGCAGGACATTCTGGGGCCAAGAACAGCAGAGTTGTCTGGATGGGCGAACACAACCGGCTCGCAACAACTGGATTCTCCAAGATGAGTGACCGTCAGATGGCATTGTGGGATGTTGGAGCCCCTGCAGAACCTATTGGAGGGTTTACTGTTCTGGATTCCATTTCGGGTGTTTGCATGCCATTCTGGGGTACGTCTCTTGCAGGAAATTACGGCAACACAGGAAGATACTGACACAATGCAGATGATGGGACACAGTGTTTGTATCTGGCAGGCAAAGGGTAAGTCTTTTCAATCCATCAAGACGGACATGTTGCTGACGGGTCAGTGATGGAAACATCCGGTACTTTGAATATGCGAACGACAAATTCGAATTCCTATCCGAATACAAGTCCGGTGAACCTCAACGTGGTATTGCTTTTGTACCAAGACGCGGCATCAATGTGAGTTGACTCGTACGCTTGGAGTCCTAGTCTAATGCTGCATAGGTTCACGAGAACGAGGTCATGAGAGCATACAAGACGGTCAACGATGCCTATATCGAACCCATTTCCTTCACAGTTCCCAGACGAGCCGAGGTCTTCCAGTCAGATATCTACCCACCAGCAAGCGGTACCAAGCCTGCTGTGTCCGCTGCAGAATGGCTCTCGGGCAAGGATGGAATCCCTTCCAAGATTGATTTGGAGAGCGTATATGATGGAAATGCCCCGGTTGAAGTGGCAGCCGATTACAAACCCCCCGCTGCTGCACCAGCTCCTGCTCCTGTCAAAGCTGCCGCGCCTGTAAAGAAGGAAAGTGATGTACCTCGGTCACCCGTCGCAACCCGATCCCCGCCTCCTACCATGTCTGAGCAGAAGGGTTCAATATCAGCCATGGCATCAAAGTTCCAAGATGACGAAGTTGAGGATGATGAGGATGAGACTTCGAGTTTTGAAGAGATCGCCAAACCTGTTCAGAAATCAATTCCAATTGCTGCAAAGGCAGAGCCAAGATCTCCCACCAAGCTATCGCCAACCAAAACCGAACCACCGAAGCCTGTTCCTGTTTCTCAAGCCACCCCGCGATCCGTCCAACCACCAGCCTCTTCAACTCCCACACCCATTCCTACCTCGTCTGAACCCGTCTCAGCTGTAAGCTCAAACGAAGGGGTGGAGACATCTCTTCAGCAAATTAAGAGTATTCTGGAAACACAAACGAGGACGATCAATGCTCAGAGTGAGAAGATTGGACACCTTGCTCAAGAGGTTGACACTTTGAAGATGCGGGTCGGAACAGGTGCGGAGGATCAGAGTGAGCGAATTAGACAATTGGAATTGGAGTTGGAGGCTGCGAGGTCGTAGAGGTTTGATGCTTACGATTGGATGAGGGGGTTCATAACGATTTGGCATTTTTACTGTTAGCGAAACGACATTCTTGTGCCTGCTTGGGGTTGGTCCTGATTGTGCTTAGTCGGCAACAGTCCCATTCTCATTGCAAACACGAATGTCATTCTTCCGTCGCTTGTCTCTATAATTTTTTGCGTGCCGTGAAGAATGAATCTACATACCTCAGTCGCGACACATTCAGCTCCAAGGCAGTTTCATCTAATCTCGCGCGAGTGTTAAATAGACTTGTCTTTCGCAATATATGCTTTTCAGAACCACGCCTTCAAGATGCATCTTTCTCACTGGACAATCGCCTCAGTGTTTGCACTCATTGCTGGGGGCAATACAGATGCTACTCTCCCACTCCTGGACGAAGTGTGCTCCATCTACACTGTCGTCGAGTCGGCCGTCACAGTCAACTCTTGCTTCACTTCAAACACGGTGCTCTCTGTGGAAGGAGCATGCACCATCGAGATTTTGAATGCGCCGACTTGTATTACAACCACTGTCACGGCCAGTTCAACAATTGGTGCTACTGCAGCTAGTGTTGGAAGCGGCGGGTTCTCTATTGCTGCGTACGTCCCCCTCCTTGAGAAATAATATTCATCTACTAATGTATCTTAGAGCAACGACCGATACAACCCCAGCCCCACCACCGACTGGCTCCGTTAGCTCGGCGCCTTCTGTGTCTCCCCATCCTCCAGGCACGGGCTCTACTACCTTTACTTTAACTTCATCTTCACCTGTCTCACCACCAGAAACGGGCAGCACCAGCTTACCGTACTCCGCTTCTCCACCTCCACTAGGCACAGGGAGCATCAGCTCAACGCCATCACCGCTTCCATCAGGGAGCTCGACCTCAGCTCCGCCCCCACCTCCCCCCGGGAGCTCGACCTCAGCCCTACCCCCACTCCCACCGCCCCCAGGTACCTCGAGCACAACTCCCCAGCCGCCTCCTCCAGGAACATCAACAACCAGCCCGCCACCAACTCCCTCGGAGCACATCTCAACCGACGGTCTCTGCGGCGGCGACACAGGCGCAACATGTCAAGGCTCCGAGTTTGGGAACTGCTGCTCAGGAAGCGGTTACTGCGGCCATTCGGCTGGTTACTGCGGCAATGGCTGCCAAACCAACTGGGGTTATTGCACCAATATCTCCAATGATGGAAGTTGTGGAAATGGAGTTACGTGTCTGGGAAGCGTGTTTGGGGATTGCTGTTCGGAATTCTACTTTTGTGGCTCTGGCGCGGACTTTTGTGGCTATGGATGTCATCAGGATTTGGGGGCTTGTTACCCTCCTTACGGCTGATTTACTGTAGGATTTTAGATTAGGTGGCTGTCTGATGCGTGCTTCTTGGTGGACATTGGTTCTGGTGTTTTTAAATCATATTCCGGTGTCGAAGATTTCAATTGCTTAGCTCTAACTCTTTTTTTTTCCAACTCATTCGCACAAGCCTAGTAAACCACGCGTTAGTATCACAGGAGTGATCACTTCTTACTCTGCTATAACATATTGGTAAGACTTGACTCTGGTTTTGGTAGTTTGTACTGTGATGTTCAATTAAAGTGTCAGGGGTAAGTAAGTTTAGGTGTACATAACCGAAAACTCAATATAAATTAGCTAGTACCATACTTAGATTTTTTTTCTTTTCCAAGTCTGACAGTCCCGCCATAAATCCACTACTTGGCGTAGACAACTAGAATTGTGTTGGTCTAAGTGCTTCTTTACTCTTGTATATATCCTTAAAATCATAGAATAAATCAATTTTGAAGTGGATTTAGGCCTTGTAATCATCAAATTGGACTTCTTTAAGTGGATGCGGAGGACACATTTATAGGTACAATTCAGGTAGGGCTGTTAGATAGGAAAGAAGGTAAATATAGACTCGTAAACACCGCTATTTGCGCTAAAACTTTCTAGATCTCTTACTAAAGCTATATTTCCTACCAGTTCCTCCTGTCATGCAGTTGAGGTTGTTCTGATATCTACTCACTTGCCTAGAATTTGTAGCAGCAACAGTCTCTCTGCATAGCTCTACACCATTCGTGGAACCGCCATGTTTCAATAATATGTCCCGATTTGTTTTCCATTGTCCCACTTGAGCTCAAGAATCCTGATGCTACGGTCGCTTTTTGATTCAGATAGTAACCCGCCCATCCGCTTGTTGAGATCATGTCACTCTCCAGCTTTATTACTCCCGCTGCGTCAACCAAGACCTCCTTTTCCAAGCTTGGCCCCTCGGGTGATCCAAGAGCAGTGAGCAGTCTGTTGGCCATAGCCAAAGCTACAAGACATGTTGCAAGCAGCTCGTAAACCAAATCGCGCTCATTTCGGGATTTCGATGCAGTAGGAAACACATTCTCGATTCTGGTGCGGCATTGAAGCATCTCAGAACGAAAAGCTTGAGTCTGAAGCATAATCCGCTCGACATGCTCCTTACTAGCACTATCCGGATGACAAATTACAAGTGAGGCTTGTTTGAATAGGCCAGGTATGCGACACATGACTTTCCTTAGTTGGACAGTGGTGCTACTACGGTCGGTAAGTCCACCCCCCTCGGCCACGATCAGTGACTGAAACATTTCCTGCCAGCATGGCTCTTCAAGGTATAAAGTTTCATTTTTGCTGATCGCTGCGCACACCTACGATAATCAGTTTACTTGACCGATATTTATTGGAAGACTCTAAAAGATGGATAACTAGAGTAGATGCGAGGCAACTCACCATGGGTCCTACATGAGATAAGAATAAGTCCTTCTCGTAATCTGATCTCAGGCCGGTTGGTCCCCGCACCTGAATCAGATGAGCAGCCCCGTTTAGATGGTGAGACCACACTTTGGATGAATCAAGAACCTGCAGTCTTTAAGTCACACAATATAGAGATTAGAGTTAAGGACAAGATACCTCAACGAGGCACAGCAAGTTGGTGGCACATAGCACATCTGGCTGAGACCAGCTTTCATGGTCATATATAGCAGCCTGCAGACTATTCAAAGCCCGTCCATAGGACGCCAGCATCCAAGTCTGGTTTTCAACATTTGAAGGATCGAGTACAACACGTACTTTAGACATAATTGCTTGTACTGCATAGTCCAGATAGAGACTTTGTCCATATCGACCAGGGATATACGACAGGTAGGAAGGTTTTTGTTGGCCGAGGAGTAGCGCCAAACGGCTTGGCTGGCGATGGAAAAACGACGATGCAGCATGCTGGACGTGTGTCTCAGTCAGAGCTGATAGATCGAGGATATTGATACCGAGTTGGGCTGTCACTAGCGCCAATCCCGAGAGCGGCATGGAGGCAGGAATTGTGCAGAGGTTTGTTCCTGATATTCCGGCATTTCCCCCTACAGATTCGGGATATTGGCCCACGTTGTGTCTACGATTATCACCGCGCTGTCGCCTTCGAATAGCAACCTGTTTCATAGCCTGTTTTCGGATCGCCTTTCTGTTAACAATTTTGCTAGCATCGTATCCTTTGGTTTCAGGGCCACTGATTACCCATTCGAACTGGTTCTCCGCATTCGTATTAGATGACATGATAAATATGCTGCTACTTTGGATGGACAAATATGAAATGGGGGGAACTTGAGACTCTTGGCAGTGTTTTCTCAGCTGGGAGTGGAATGTGGACTAGTGTTGCGTACTCGTACGTATTCTGGCTTAGCCTTGCGGGCTTTTTTAAAGTCCGAAGGGACGTGCCATAGTATATGAGGTTTTATGGCACTTTATATGGGTCAATCCAGTCTCATAATACTTCTCATTGGATAATTTCGCCCGTTCCTTTAAACTTTTAGTTACTTCGAAGTATAAAACTCCGATAAATCATCACAGCTAAGCACCGGGAGCTTACAATGGCACGGACTTCCCAAACCAGCAATCACTTCGTAAGCGAGAATAGTATTATTGGAGCCACACCTTGTTGAGGTGAGTTGACTGATCTATTTTCAAGTACGTATATTAGGTAATGATTTTGTTTCTCCACGGATGCTTAGAGTTTGTGCTTGCTTTAGGACATAAGTGCCCCTGTAGGTTCTAAACGGTGCAAAAAGAAGAGGGAGGAAAGTGCATTACAAATTATAATACTTGATGGCCAAAGTGAAAGAGTATATTAAAGACTAGATATCCTATATTCGTTCCTGTTGTGACAATCAGAATTCACTTCTTATATGACCAGTCTCAAATCATTAAATTGGAGATCCAAAAACAAAATTTATAAGAGATTCTTTCGTCATAGTTTATCATCATGGGAGCTCAAGTTACAGTCGAGGATCTTCTCAAGCGCAATGCGTATGTTGAATAATGTCCCTACGAAAGCTGCCGTCGGCTAATTAGGCTATTCCTTATTATAGGCAGATCTCTCAAAACTCCTATCCAACCCTTCCTGAAGTCCCATTGCCAAACATATTTATCGGTAATCATCCCTTAAATCTTTTCGACCAGCAACTAAAGAACCAAGTGCTTATTAAAAACTAGTAACTTGCTGCGATCCTCGGGTTGATCCAGTTGAAATGCTCGGCTTAGAACGATACGGTAAGCTATTGAAATACAGAAGCTGTAATAACGTATGAAACTGACATGATGTTCATCAGAAGCTACTGTTAATCGCAGTCCTGCGGGTCGTATAAGGCCACATTTCCAGGGCCTCTTATTCCTTGATCAAATCATAAAGTTTTCCGAAATCATGATTATTCATCATACTGGTACGTGTTTCAACCTCGTCCATTATTTTATCACTTTGTGAACTTTGCGCTGATGAGTCTAGACTGCTCGGCTGCGGTGTTGAAAAGTGATGACGTTCGGACGGCCTTGAAGACCAGTGCACCTGGGAAAAGTTCCGACATTGACGACTTAGTGCTTCCGGGATTTGATGAGTGAGCATTATGACCTTTGAAATAGTTGGGAGCATCTACTAAGTGTTTCTTTTACTCTAGTCTTGAACAAAGCGTCCGGGATGATGTAGAGTTTGTAAAAACTTCGAACCTTATGAGGAAAGAGCTGGCAGATCGAACTCGGGGATTTATACATGATATAAGAACGGGGAAGTTGACCCCAGTTGTATAAATCGTCGCTGTGTAGAGCATTGCTGCTTTGATTAAAGCAGGATATCTAGTCTTTCTATCACCAGGATCGACTTACCGTTTATAGTTAATTCAGCTTCTGTGCAAAACATGCACGTAATCTAATAATTAGACTTTGGCCATCGTGGCATAAAGTAAGATGGTAAATCCTCTGGTGAAGCTTTTATGTTCCTTGTTGCACTTCAACCAAGGCTTGGGAGCATCCACTCGGAACTTGCGGGTCAAATCCGTCACATGGGCATCTTCTTGATAAGTCGGGGCAAATGCTTCAAGGTCTCATGTATTGATCTATCTAGTTTGTTGGCGCTAGTTCGCATCGAGCTTGACGTCAATAAACCAGATCTCTGACTGTCACTTGATGACTTTCTCCTACCAACCACGGAGCTTGTGTAGCCAATACGAACTGGTATCCAAATCCACCTCTTTTAGCTTGTGTGTAGTGATCTGTAATGCTGGATGGTGGCTGAGAACGTTTTAGACTCTCCGTCTTCCCTACGTCCTGTGTAGGTAGCAACTGTATCTCCATCTTATTACGGGAAGAAGCAACGTCAAAAGACATGGATGGGTTGGGTACTGCTTGTCGAGAGCGGGTCGTGGAGTTGCGAATCGACTGACGTCGAGGTCGGTATGGTTCACGCTCTGTCTGTACCGGAGAACTTTGATGGATGCTGCCAATTTGGATACAGCAGAGAGGATTTGGGCCCTACCATTTTCTGCAGAAGCATTCCTACGTCCTACGGATGCCTCCAAACTCCGATTCCCCGCCTCCATCGACTGTCGCAGGGTCATGTCGTCGTCCGGGTCATCTTTGGGGTAAATTTGTACATAGATTTCATTCGGCGTAACCTAAAGCTTCTTGATCTCTGTTTTGACTCCTCCAATGTCTGCCCTGATCTCATGCACTATAGCGAGCTTTCCCTTGATGTCATCCAGTACTTCCCAAAGCTTGTTGTTGTCTTGTTTCGGGCTACCAACGTCCGTGTTGATATTGTTTATTGTGGTAGGATCCTTGAAAATACCGTAGTGACGTTGTTTGGTGTTGCGGAGAGAGCGAGGAGTGCACGGAGGAAAGTGTCTATATTGCTCAAGCTTTGAGCACATAATTATTTCTGACATGATAATTCCTCTTTGAATTCTTTTCTTTACGATAACAATCGATCCTCAAACTCTTTACTTCTTTCTTCCAGGCACTTCTCGGGTTCTTGTCGCGCGCTGTGGAGTGTCGCTCGAAGTTCTTCGCGCGCTTTGTCCAGATGTCCTAAGACCGTTCCACCGAAGCAGAGTCCTGGACGTCTTGAGCGTCTTGAATAGCATTGGAAACATTTTCTTGGAGCTTCTGGAGGGAAGCCATGGGTGCCGTGTGTCCAGTAATGCCCCCTTCGGCCATTGCAGGTTTCCTAGTAGATCTGAAAATAGGACAGAACAGTGCTAATAATCACCTGAGACGGTTTGTTCTATGAGGTAGACAACTCGGCCCAGCGCAAGAAAGGCACTGATTCACCGATGGTGTTGAAGATTTATAGGAGTTTTTTGACAACAAAGCCGTAAGCGAGGCGGTAGTTTACTATAAGTGGTGCGGAACCAGAACTTATCTTTGATATCAATGCTGCCAAGAAGGAACTTTATATCTCTCCAGGTAAAGTATGTATTTCACGCCTGTAAATGAGTCCAGGTGCTCATTTGCATTAGATAAACCTAAAATAAATTGCGAGATAGACTTCACATATTACCCGGTAATACAGAGAAAGGGAGAATACGGTGTCAATTTGTCGACCGCGGCGAGGCATTGAAGAGTAAGTTTATGGACAAGAAAGGGGCTTTCATAGAAAAGCAAAGCTTGAAGACTCTCCTGGTCTACTCTGGGACGAAATAGTGGAGACTGAGTATATCAGGAGGCTTTCTAAAGCTGGGCTGTATTCGACTCGGAGGATGTAGCGGATGTTAAAGTTTGAGGGGTTTACCTGAAAAGGGAAGCAACAATAAGAGAAATACAGTTAACTGGTTGCTCTATAGAAGAATCATATGTTTCAAGAATAATCATACCGACAGGAGAGAAGGTAAAACAGAAAGATGGGGAAAGATGCCGCGGGTGGGAGAGGAGGGGAAAAGTACTTATATGCCAGCAGGCGCTAGTCTTGATTAGGTTAACTCGTTTGCGCTCAACTTCACGTCTCCAAACGCAAACTCTAGAACTCCCAAATGTCCTCAAAACTAACAACCAACACTTATGGAGTAGATGCAAGCCGGTGAAGCTTGGGCATAATCTGTTGGATTCTGTCTTCCTATTGCATATTTACGGCAACTTCGTGATTCTCAATCTTTGAGCTGTGACAGCAATTGTAGAACGCCAAAACACCCAGTATCAACGGGCACAAACACAATTTACTTCCAGCAAACATATTGAAACCCCTCGAAATACTACACTGCTCGTTTGTTTGTCCGCTACCTCTACACGTCTAGCCCAATCTACGCCAGTAGCAGTATGGCATACAACGATGATGCCGTGTTGGCAAAGCTGTCTGCGCTCAATGAGACGCAAGAGAGTATCGTGCGTTGCCTCTTTCTGCACCAAGTCGGCGACTCTAATGATTAATAGGTCACTGTTGCCCAATGGGTAATGTTCCACCGGTAGGCGGCTTCCCCCCCAGCTACATTCACAATGCTAATACCTCCTAGGAGACACGCAGACCGAACTGGCCAGCTGTGGCTTCAACGACTCAAAGACTCGGGAAGCAACAAGAGATTGAATTTGGTCTATCTTGCGAATGGTGAGCATATCATCCATATATTGGGGGTCTCTGTGATCTGTATTGGAGAGCACTGCTAGATGATCCCACGAATCTTTACTGACAGCTACTTCTAGAGGTCGCACAACAATCCAAGGCCCGTCACAAGGACGATTTCCTCATCGCATTCTCTCCCGTCATCGCCGAGGCAACTGCAACCGCCTATAAGGGAGCTACGAATGAGGTTCAGCAAAAGTTGAGGAGGGTTGTGGAGGTTTGGAGACAACGGCAGATCTTTGACCTCGGTATCCAGGAGTCCATTGAGACGAGGATTGATGGTTAGCACCCCACCCATCCTTTTCATGGTTTACTGCAAATGCTGATCAAGTAGACCTTGACAAAACTAGAAGTTCTGGCAAGCGACTGGGCGGCTCTATCTTCTCTTCGAATACTGGTTCTACGCCAAACGAACTCGCTCCTCTGGTCGAACCCCAACAAACTCTCACAAAATCCGCCCTAACTGCCAAAACCGCCCTCACGAACGCCAATCAGGATTATGATAAGCTCAATGATCCCGCCGCGACTACACCAACTGCGCCTGTCCACGCAGCCAGACTAAATGGCCTACTGAAATCATTGGCAAATGCAGAGGGCGCCGTGGCCGAGGGCATCAAGGCTCGCAAGGCTCTAATTGAAGGGTTGGAGAAGATACTAGGCACAAACCGCGCAGCTCTTGCCGCAGATGAGGCCCAACTCAGCGAGCTTACGAGCCGCAAAAACCAGACTGATACCAAGAAAAGGGACGTAGAGGACACAATCATGCGTGGCTTCAATCCCAACAGCACCCCAAGCACACCAGCCGGCGTAGGAGACGGATCCCCGGCTGCGAACCAGTCGCCAATTACACCTGCTCCAGAACCTGATCGCCCCGAAGTCGAAGCGTTGACACCTCCTGGCTACCCGCAACCTCCAGCGACTGAGCCAGTTCCCGAGTTTGATCTGTATTCTAACAATGGGACTTCTCACATGATAGCTGATCAACTTCCTTTCCAACCAACTGCTGGCGCCGATCTTTTGTCGAGCCTGTCAACGTCCTACGGTGTCTCCTCGGCTGCCAGTGTGAAAAAGCGCAAGTTGAATGACAGCGATTTCCCAGATCTGGGTGGAGATGCTATGGATGGATTGGACGCAGACGTTGCAGAGATGTTGATGAAGGACACCACCAATAGTCATTAGGATTAAGAAGAAAGTAATGGGAATGATCGGGGCTGCTCTTTGTAGGATACTGTAAGGGCGATATAATTCTAGGTAAGCCTTAGGGATACGAGCTTGACCTCACGGAGTTGATTCCACATGAGTTCATCTTGGTATTAGGACACCATATAGTATGACATCAAAAATTAACATACCACCCTTCCAATCAAAATCATCAAACTGCCAAAGTGTTGCAAAAATAGATATTCCCAAAGCCCCACCTTCTCTGAGATGATATTACTTAAGGTAAAGTCTATGTTAGTAGTTGGCTCGATGAAGCAGAAGAGCAGGACCTCGGAGCAAACGCTTTCCAAGATTTTGTTCAATTTCTTGCTTCCCATTGGATTTCTGACAATTACATTCAAAAGCAGGGAATTCCAGTCGTGAAAAAGAACGTCTATTCTCCGATGTCAATGTACACCCTGATGCCCAACTCAACTCCATCGATCTCCGCATCAAGCCTCCACATCCTCCAAGTTCAAACTGCTAGACCATTTATTTGCCGTACCAGGTCTTGTGTCCCAGAACCATACGAGTCATCATATACATGCATCCTATATTGCATCAGCAAAAGCCCCCTTCATGTTTTACCCAGTACATACCTGCGAAAGTTCCGGCGAAGACAGTGTAGTATGGGTAGAGAAAGTATTTGCTCCTCGAGGACTACAGGTTTAACCTGGTTAGCAACTGGGTGTGGATTTGCGGAGGTGGAATACGTACCTGGTTCCATTGTCGGACATGCTTCTTGCTTCCCTCTTGGAACAAGCGCTGATAGTACGGGACACGGTTATCGCGGTTGACAAAGCTGTAGGAGAAGTAGTATTAGCTCTTCGTTCACATCAAGCAAGGCCAGTCGGAATTCGGGGAAGGCGAGTTTGCAGGCGGCGGATTGAGGGCCATGATTGACTTGACTGGTACGCGGAGAGGAGAGGCTTATATCTCACCCTGCCATTGTGTGTTTTGTCTGCGGATTCTGGTTCGAATTGGAGGATTTGTTGTGGTTGTGCAAGATGGTTCGATGTTTGGATAGAAGCTCGGATGTTGGAATGAGAAAGGAGCTAGGCCTAGGTCAGCTAAGCCTGTTCTGCCCTGAAACTACTGGGCTGCTGACATAATCCACAACTTGGTGTGGTGATAGCTTCCTGCTGAATTTCCCAGTGGAGAAAACCGATTTTATATCACTCGGCCGAACAACGACATGCAATGGCGATGCATCGTCTCTTAAACGCCAATTGGTCCCGGGTAGAGCGATATTATGCGCCCAGCTCTACAGAGGCTTCTCTCGAGGCCATCTTCCTTGGAACTCCTCCATTGCCTTGTTGGACTTCCAATACCAAATTCTTCGAATCGACGACAATGCTTCACTCGAGAGAATAGTCACATCCGCAGCCATGCCAGTCTTGGACTGGAGCTTCGAAACGAGGAGGAAGTCAGCTCGGAGGGGATTCATGACAGGAATGTCCCAACGAAACCTCCGCCTTCTCGACCGCCGCAAATATCGAGGGACGATAACGGGATAGCTACACAACAGCTACCATCTAGGCAGGACAAGTCTGGAGATTTTAGCCGGAAGCTCGAACGTCAGTCCTTGTCTATTCAACATGCAGCATATTCTCCCCCCATAAGAAACATCCCACGCCGGGTCAAAGTCAATAACTACGGCAGTTGGAAGCTTCATCAATGGAAGCCAGAGCAATTGGAATATGAATCAAGTCTCCACCAGCCAAGTAAAGTGCCACGCCTTCTCGATCAGGATCAGCATAAGGACGACTTGACCCTTTGGGCTTTTCTCTTAGAGTACAGAAAACGGATACATGGCTCGGATGGGGTTGCTATGTTCTGGGATGCTTTTCGAACGAGGGGAATCCGAATACCCCCAGACCTGCGCCTCACAGATAAGTTTTGGACTACATTCCTGGAGTTTGGACTCATAAATCAAGTCGTCTTGGAACAAATCGTTGAGTACGTCGAACGACTATGGATCTCGGAACAGTCAAAATTCCTCCCACTGCGCTGGGAACAGTTATATCGTACCATCGTGCAGCACTTCCTCATCCACGGCCACAATGGTGATGGGCTTCGCTGGCACAATTTATTATCAAAACATGCTCCCCCCAAACATAGAGCATTTCGTGCCATTTGCCATCAGGTAGCCAAGTTCAACGGCGACTTACAGGCCCTCGAGATAATCTATGATCAACAAGCACGTCATGGTATCTATCAAAGTGTTGTCCCTGCTCTTTGTCATCGAGAAGATTTCAAAACCGCTCTGCAATGGCACTTCATTTGTATGAAGCATTCGGATTTTCCTCGTGCGTTGAAGGATGTGGAGCCATTACTACACTTCCTACATATGTATGATTATAAGAGCGCTCGGCTTGTCACAGAGAGCCTCGCCAATGCTCAGGTGCCATTCGTTTATGTACTCCCTCCAAATCCGGAGCAGAAAGTGACACTGTCGCGGGAATTTACCAACATGATCCATGGAGAAATCATGAATGTGCCAGAGAAGTCTTACAACGATCCATTGGGGGCTCGGTGGTTTGCTACAACGTGGGTTTCGCTTGATGTTGCCATCAATGCTGTTCACGCCCTCGGCATGCGGGAGATAGGTCCGTTGTCCTTGCAGGCCATTGCTCGTCGGGAACCCGATCCCATCGATATCACCACTCGCATCTCTCAGCTCAGGTATCTAGATATCTCAATTGGTAAATCCATGTTCTCCAGGGCTGTTGATAAATTCTCTCGAAATCGAGAATACAAGTACCTTGAAGGGCTTCTTGCCAGTGATCAACATCCCGATGAACTCGAAAATGCAAGGTTGCAGGAAACCCTGCTTTTATCGTATGCTCGTGCTAAGGATTGGGATCAATATCGAAGAAATCTAGAGATTCAGGCCTTACGCGGGACAAATCCCATCCTTGAAAAGCAGAACATGATGCTGCGAGTCCACGCCGCGATGGGCGATACAGCTGCGGTAATGGAGATATTATCTGGTATGCAACAAGCTGGCATCAAGATCAAGGTCAACACGATGACGGCAATTATTCGAAGCGTTTTAAAGCCCCGCCAATTATCTCGGCGTCCTGTGACGGGACCACATAGACAGGAATTGAGACTGGCTATTAATATCTTGAAGACCGCCATGATATCGGGAAGTTATGTACCTTCCACTTTTTGGATAGAGATCATTCGAAGACTAGGCATGCAAAGATATTCTCAAGGTCTGGAAGACATCTCAATCTTCCTTGCCTCTTGGTATGGAAAGAATAATGACTCGTCATGGTCCCATTACTATCGAGTACCAAAGCAAATTCCAACCTCACATCCGTCACACCCGTTAAAGATTTTGTTTTCATACAATGCCCAAAAAGCAATCGTCGAGTGGGGTTTCATCCATTCCTTAAGTAGGAGGCCCGGACTTAGGTTCCCCACGAGCCTCCAAAGAGTTCCTGAGGTAACTTCTGGTATAGCTTTGTTGAAGAAGCTCCACCATCACGGTGTTCACATCGATGCTGGCGCAGTCAAGAGAGCGGTCTTGAACCGGCTCGTCACCTATTACGGGCCTCGTCAGTCAAATAGGCTGCACAATCGCCACGCAAGAAGAAATCTTGGGTTTCGAAACCCGGAAGAGGCCGTTCAAAGCTTGGAACAGATGGCAAAGCAGGTCGATGAGGTACTCGGTGGACAATTCTTCACTAGGATAAATCTCTTGAAGGTCATCGAAAGTGAGGATGCCGGAAAGATCCGTAGGCTGCGAACGCAACGTTTAATGGGGCTTCGCCGTCAAGAGCTGTATATATCCGGAAACCATGCTTGGGGTCGGTCGGCCCGTTCATACCTTGGTCGGTAGAGAATTGAATCAACTCTTGTACAATCCTTGTTTGCACATCGTCTACCCCGATCACGTTTGGATTTGACCAATTGGCCCTTCTAGAGACCGTAGTTCAACTGAAAATGAACCAAGAAGTGCGGTGCGGCATTTACTAAAGGAGATCAAAGTGCTGAATTGGGTGCGGATGTGCGAGCTCTGCATAAGCGCTCTCGGAGTTAGGGGTCGAAAAAGAATTCCTGCTCACAAGTCAAAAGTCCATATCAAGACTACTTTGTATAAGATGTCCTTCAAGCACTTGTCATATGCGTGTGAGATTTGAATCATGGGTGAAAATTATCAAATCAAGATTGCGTAGAAGCCTATTAATCGCAAGAAAAATCCCGCGGCACGAGTAGGATAAAGAGTAAACGGCATTCAAGGCGCCGATGTTTTCGTTGTCGTTGCCAAGCACCACGTCTAAAATCATCAGTTTACAACACATCACAAAATGGTCTCCCTGCAAACAGTACGGAAATCCAACGCTCACATTGCAGCCCTCCCACAAGGCCTTGTCGCCGTGTTCATCGGCGCCACGTCAGGGATCGGCCAAAGCGCCCTACAACATTTTTCTCGGCATGCCTCCTCTCCGCATATCTACAGCGTGGCGCGCGCGACATCTGATGCTTCCCACGAGAAATTACTAGCCACTGTCCGTCAATCCAATCCCACGGGTACATACAACCTCATCACAGCAGATGTCTCGCTAGTTTCCGAGATCGACAAGGTCGTCAAAGCAATCACGCAAACGGAGAGCAAAGTCGACATCGTCTTCATGTCCGCAGGGTTCATGGCTTTTGAGGGCCGGCAGAACACGAGCGAGGGCCTCGATCCGTCCATGACCACGCGCTACTACTCGCGAATGCGAGCAGTACAGCAGCTGCTTCCCTTGCTCAATAAAGCGGAAAGCCCACGCATTGTTTCGGTGTTGGCTGGTGGGATGGAGGGTCCCCTTAATGAGAGTGACTTAGACTTACGGGACCTGCCTAACTGGTCCTTCTGGAACTCTTCTGTGCATTCCGCTACCATGGGTACGCTGGTGCTTGAGCGGTTTGCACGTCAGAACCCTCGTCTGAGCATTGTGCACTGGTTTCCTGGGCCTGTGGACACGCCGGGTCTGGCTAGGGCGCGGAGATTTGGGATGTCGCCACCAACGCAGAGGAGCCAGGAGGAAGCGGGCGAGCGCGCTGTATTTCTGGCTACCAATGACCGGTTTGCCGTCCAAGGAGGCCTTGTACCTATGCAAGAGGGGCTTGAGGCTGCGAGGAGGTCGGGCGGGGGAATATATCTGGTTGATCCGCTGGGAGAGAGCACCGATAATGAAGGGTTGTTGTCTGGCCTGCGGAAACGAGGCGTCGATGAAGCTGTATGGGGTTTTACGGAAAGTGTGTTTGCTGATTGCGCTGCTCGGGCTGGCGCTGGTAGTTCCAAGGACGAACTTTGAGGGTTCGGAAGAGGGGTATTCTCGCTTAAACCCCTTTGAATATAGCCAAGCCCTTAGACTACTTAGGTATCAAGAATTCAAAAGGTATACCACGTAATAAGTCAAAAGAATAATTTGTTCCATCGAGTGTGCTATTCTCGTACTTCTACTTGCATCTTGAGTTTTGTTCATTTTACAAGGACTTCCTGCTCTATCGTTCGGAAGTTATTCTTTACAAGTCGCGCATTTATCAATCAATTACTAATCTTCAACTTATACCCTCGATTTGTTAGCCCACAATCATGGAATACCTCAGACGATGCAAGAAGAGTCTGCGGTCTCCGTCTCCGCCGAAGCCCCTCGCACAATGTATCTCATACACGTCCAGTGCATTTTCCACAAATCTGGATAACCTTCCCCCCGAAACATTAGCGACAATAGAAGACTTTCTCCCACTTCGACCGCAGCTGCAGTGGCGCTCACGACGAAATCTGTCTACTGAACTCGGGCGGCTTTATCTTGATTTACCTTTTGCTTAGACATGACATTAGAGAAAAGAATAAAACTATAAATGATATTTACAGTATACCATCAAGCACTTGATCCGCATATAATCCATGTATAACTGACAGGCCACGATCTCAACGACCCATGCCGAATAGTACAGCGAATGTGGGAGATAGCATGACTTTGCATTCTAGACGTTAACTTCATGTAAAACCCCCGATATAAAGTCCATGGCATATGTTGAAGTTTAGAATCGGAAACCAGGAAACGCCGCGAAGCGATGTATTAGATGTATTAGGGACCTGACCAGGTGTCAGAGTCTAGTTGTGGGTGAGACTTGCATTGATCATGTGCGAAAAAGGTGGGTCCATGGTCACGCGACGCTCCCCCCTTTTCAAACGACTCCTTCGGATCTGACATGGTCTGCACGTCTGCACATGGCTAGTAGAAAATTAGTGTATACATGGTTTGACGGTTTTGTTGAAAGAGCCGCAAGAAAGCACTACCAAACCTCTCAAAATGAGGGATCCATGTCATTGTGCATGCGCTGTGCGGCTCTTGTGGTACCACTGCTTGTTCAGATTCGCGGTGGACGATGTCATGTAGCATGTCCATCTATAACTCTATAAGACATCTTTAATTCATGTTTCAGTCGTGGGAGGGAAAAGCCATGAGCAAGCGTCAGATGCAACCTCCTTCGCTCCTGCCAATTCTTCCACTACTACTCCGTAGTAAGGTTCTTTCTTACAACCTTGCATCTCCGACCCGCAATAATACTTCACAGATCCATGACATTTATATCTTCAACGGTGCAATACAGCTCAATGGCGTCCTTTGGCGGTGATCCACCTGGGATGAGGCGGATGTCAATGCTCGAGCTTGTGGGCAAGGTGTTGAGTCGCGTGCGCTCTATTCCACCACCTCTCACTATCCCCATCAAGCTAACCAGACTGTGTATATAGTCAAGCTTCCTCAAGCGTTTCTCTGTCGGAACATCGCTCGTTTTCGGAGGTGTAAGTCTGCTCCTTAGTGCTTGTACGGGCTTGGAGCCAGGGCTCGATATCAAAACGAGACGCCGTATGTATTATTATATTCCAGGTCGAGTGGCTTGCTTTAGCTGACGGCACGACGGGAAAGAGTTGATAATAGCAACGCTTGCGATAAATTTCATTGCCTTATCACTGTCAACGCTGACGAGCTTGGATTGGAGGACGCAGAGGACGCAGGATAGCCAGTTTGCGGCGCGGCTGGGAAAGATTGCGCCGAATGTTCATATTGCGCAAAGTAGGGATTGGGGTAGGGGTCCACGGGATGCGGCAGATTTCGTTTGAGTAAGGAGAATCGTCTACAGGGGGTATGAGCTTATGCTTATATATGTGTAGGACTTCCACGGATGGATAGGATACGGATTGGGTTGAATACTGGTAGAATGGGTGGGCACGGCACGGTCGCGATATAATCCCAGAATCAGTGGAACAAGACTAGTTTCGTCGTTCTACCTCAAACCAAGGACATTCTTTTCCATCGTCTTTACTCCATCTCTGACTGCAGGGCAGTAATGCTTCCTCAGCAACTCGCCCTCCCATATGGTTGCTGCAAAAGGATTGCTTCCCTCAACTTCCCCGTTCAGAGCATCAAACATCCCATCCCCTCTTCTCTCTTCCGTATTCCATAAAGCTGCGATCTTTTTCTCGTGCGTCTTTGTAACCTTTCCTAGCAACCCGATCGTTGCAAGGCAAGATTTCTCAGGCAGATGCAGCGAGGAGGTGAGGAGTTGTTTGGTGAAAGCTCCAATCCGAAGGGGTGGGACGGCGCGAGCTCCGAGTTCAGGAATCAATACTGAAGACAAGGATCGCAGAAGGAGGACAGTGGTGGTTTGAATATTGATTTTATTGTTAGTGGTAGGAAGAGGAGCTGCAGGGTTATTCGGATCTGGAAGATGGAGAGACTTGGCGCTGAGCTCGATATCTGGATTTAGGGCAAGAGCATGCAAGGTCCGGTAGAGATGAGTTACGAAGAAGCTCAAATCGAGACTCAGTGTAGCTTGTGCTTTGGCTGCATCTTGGCCTTCCAGAAGAGCGAATGCGGTGATGATGCATAGAAGTGCTTCTCTAGTGAGATTCCTCGTCGATTCCTCGTCTTCCTCTTCCTCCTCAACATCATCACCCGTCTCCGCATGGCCAATCAAATCTTTCAGAGCTTCTAAAAGGTCGCCAAAGAAATCCTGATTGATTAGATGGGCATACCGAGCTAATCCTTCAAGCACGGCACCCATCAAACTCGGAGACCGCATTTTCAGGATCCGGAAATAAGTCACAAAGACAAGCTTCAAGGTCTCTGCTTGCATCCGATCTCGTTCTTCGTGACTGACAGTTGCATCGGCTTGTACCATCTCCTTTTCAACAGCCTTGCGTTCCTTCAACAATTTTCGATCTTTCTTGGTTCGGAAGACTTTCTTCTGCTTCAATTTGGGGCCTTCTTCCTCTCCCCTGGCTGGTTTATCAACATGATTCGTAGACGCTTTCCAAGAGAACTCCGACAATAGTCGTAGGTGTAGAAAGGTATTCAACACACTCTCATCAATCCGATACCCTCTCCCCTTCATCATTTTCGTTAAGAGAGAAACCGCGTCTAATGACGGAGTTCCATCCTCATCATTCTGAAACAGGGTCTCGATCGTCTCTCTACACTTAACAAAATCCCCATCCACCTTCCGCGTACTTAGCTTGCCAACCAATATCTTCAACAGCTCCCCCCGGAAATTGAAATGCGGCACCGACACCAACAGGTTACATGCGCACGCAATGGCCACACTCCCTAGACTTGGACCTCCATCTTTCGAGCTCTTCCCCGACTGTGCTAATTTTGCTAGCTCTCGAATATACGATTGGTATCCTCCCACAAGCGCCTGCTCATATGCTCTTAATTTTCTCACTTCCTTGGAAACCTTGGTCTCCATATCCTCCTCTGACAAGGGTCGTATGCGGTATCCGGGAATGACATCTTTGTACACAGCTAATTGTGTTGCAAGAGCAAGCTTCTTGATGGTTGTATTCTGCGTCTGCCCGATTTGCGCCAGAGCTTTGAATGCGGCGCCGTTCTCTTCGGGGTCTTCATTCAGCACCAATGCAATCTTCGCCAACTCCTCCTTTGCCTCGAGGATTTGCTGGCGGATGGGTACGGTGGGCTTGGCGGGTTCCGCTTCAATTTCCTCGTCCTCGTCGTTGTCCTGCTCTAACCATTCCAAATCACTCTGCTCTTCCTCTTCCGGAGCTTGGACATGCTCAATTACTCCATCTGCAGTCTTGATCGGCAGCCTCGTGCTCTCTTTGTCCTTTTTCTTCCCTTTTCGCGGCCGGGATTCGTAGTCTTGCTCGAGGTTCCAGCTCGAGGCTTGCTTGAGGAAGGCATTGGATTTAGGGTCTGCTTCGACAGTCGACGGGGAAGATTCCTCTCCATCCGATGCTGGAGGGGTCAGCTTTCGCCGTTTGATCGCTGGGACTCTGGCCATTTTTTATCTACATGAATGAGTCGAGGTGGAATTCGTGGATATTTTTTTGGGTGGTGAGTTTTCGAAGGCGGTGAGCATGGCAGAAAGAAAAAAGTTCGGAAATCTTCCCCGCCAAAAATGTCAAAATAATCCGGGAGCTCGACTTCATCCGCATCACCACATCATCATATCACCACAAGACCAGCTTTTGCGATACGACGAGCACCTTCAGATTCGGGTGCCTCAATCATAACTCACCTCAAACTCTATTGCCAGTCACGAAGCCTCTCCGGTACTGCGAATAGCCTCGAGCCTGGAACTACTACACCGATACCATGCGCCCTCTTACAGAACCAGAGACGCAGACATTGTTCGCGAAATTGGCCAATTATACGGGTACCTCGTTGAAGAACCTGATAGCCCCCCTAGACAATGGTCCAAATGCAGATAGATTTGTCTTTCGGTAAGAACAACAAGGATTTCATTCTCTCTATAGAAAAACAGTAGCTAACCTTTCGCTCTTTCTCTATAGCCTTCATCAATCCCGTTGCTATTATGTCCGACTTTCTCTAGCGAATTTAGCTGTGTCGGTATCAAGAGACAAACTGCTGTCGTTGGGAACCTGTCTTGGCAAGTTTACCAAGAGCGGGAAGTTTCGTCTTCATATTACGGCACTTCCAATCCTGGCAGAACATGCGAGGTACAAGGTCTGGGTCAAGGCAAATGGAGAGATGCCATTCCTCTATGGGGGTCATGTTGTGAAGGCGCATATTGGCAGATGGTCTGAGGATTGTCCAGAACATCAAGGAGTTGTGGTCTACAGCATGAATGATACACCACTGGGCTTCGGGGTTACGGCGAGGAGTACACAGGAGGCGAGACGGTTGGATCCTACGGGGATTACGTGCTTCAGGCAGGCGGATTGTGGGGAGTATTTGAGGGATGAGGATACTTTGTTTGCTACTAGCTGAGGAAAGGAAGGATTTAGAGGGTGCGTTTGCATTGGAGGAGTTAATGGTAGCTCTGGCGTTCTTGTGGTATCTGGAGAAAGTTTATACCTCTTCTTGCAGTTGAATCAAAAGTTCTTTGAACCATAGAGTGTTTGAATGGATTCACACCATCCTGCTATCATGGGAAGCTTCTCTCCCAACTCATTACCAACCGCTGTGATACTAAGAGGACCTTTCTCTTGGTTCTTTCTCTTGTTTTACCACAGCTTTAAAAGTTCGAAATAACGCCAAAATTTGCGCATATTAAAAGGCACGTGATGTATATAGTTCTCCGGAATAACCTTTTCGCGGGAAAGGAAATATTTTGGTGGAGGTTTATTGGCCTCCAAGACATCAAGTATAATTTCTCTAGTTCTCACCCTCGTTTTGTCGAAATGCGATTATAGACCTCTCTTTCACAATGTTACGTCCCAAGCCCTCAACATGTCTCTTCTGTTCTTTCAAAGCAGCTCGACAATGGCCAATCCAGCAAACCGCATCTGTACACACCAAATTCGCTCCTCGACCAAATCGCTTCAGCCTGACAAAGTCCCGAGTAGTCAATACCCCTGAGCGAGAACCCGGCGAGCCAGGACGACCGAATAGGAGGAAGCAAGATGGGCCGTTTGGAGGAATGAATCAGAAAGAGGCGAATATTCGAGGGATTCCAGAACGTGCGACTCCTGTGATGAGAGAAAAGAAGGGGAGGCCTGGGAGGAAGGAGGACCCACGGGCAGGTGGGTTCAGAGCGCTGAAGATGCAGAGGGCTTTGGCGCCGGTGTCTTATGATCAGAGGACCAGAATAAAGGAGCGGATGAATGAGATTGATACGTTTCAGCAATTTCCGCTACTTGGGACGATCAAGAGCTCGATATCTACGCAGGCGTTGCAGGGGATGGAGGACGTGACTCCTACGGCGGTGCAGAAGATTGCTATTCCGGCATTACTTGGAAGTGAGACTACGGGGAGGAGGAATAAGAGCTTAGGGAAGGAGAAGGGCGAGTTTTTGATCGCTGCTGAGACGGGGTCGGGGAAGACATTGGCGTATCTGATTCCTACGATGAATGCTATCAAAGAGGCAGAGGCGGAGGATGAGGATGTCAAGGAATACCAGCAAGCTCTTGAAGAAGAACGAATCCAGCAGATGTCTGAGAAGTCTTTGGCACCTCCCATCTCGGATAGGCCACATCCTACGACTGGTCGACCGCGAGCAATCATTCTTGTACCTACTTCAGAGCTAGTTGCTCAAGTAGGAGGACTCGTCAAAGCCTTTTCACACACGGTCAAGTTTCGGTCCGCCATGGTATCCTCGAATTTCAGTGGGCAGGTTATTCGAAACCGTCTCTTCTCTCCCCGCGGAATCGATATTCTAGTCTCGACACCCCATCTCCTCTCCTCCATCGCGGATTCCGATCCTAACATACTCTCGCGCGTCACCCACCTCATCGTCGACGAAGCGGACTCTCTTCTCGACCGCGGCTTCTCCCCCCTCACCTCGGCCATCATCGACAGGGCAACCCCATCCCTCAAACAGCTCATCCTCTGCTCCGCAACCATCCCCCGCAGCATGGATGGCTATCTACGCAAACGGTTCCCGGACATCCGCCGTCTCGTCACCCCGAACCTACACGCCATTCCCCGCCGCGTGCAACTAGGCGTCGTAGATGTAGAGAAAGAGCCGTACAGAGGCAACAAAAACCTCGCGTGCGCAGACACCATCTGGTCCATCGGCAAAGCAGCCGCTGCGCACGACGGCCCGGTGGCAGGCGAAATGGACGTAAAACGCATCCTGGTGTTCGTCAACGAGCGTGAGAAGACGCAAGAAGTGGCCGATTATCTGGCCTCTAAAGGAATCGACGCCATCGCATTAAGCAGAGATACGCCAGAGCAGCGACAGGCGGAAATGCTAGCCTCGTTTACGCTGGCGCAACCACTCACGATGCCGAAAGAAGAACATCCGGGGTCTCTGGCAGACCAGCAGCCGAATTACATTCCGATAGGCAAGGTAGCGCCGCCGCCGAAGCGGAAGCTGCCGAATACGAGGGTGTTGGTTACGACGGATCTGGGGAGTCGGGGAATTGATACGGTGGCTGTGAGGCATGTGTTGTTGTACGATGTGCCGCATTCGACGATTGATTTTATACATCGGCTGGGGCGGACGGGGAGGATGGGGAGGAGAGGTAGAGGGATTGTGTTGGTGGGGAAGCATGATAGGAGGGATGTAGTGGCGGAGGTGAGGGATGGTATGTATAAGGGACAGGCGCTTATTTAGAGCGTGTATACTGTAATGGGAAAAAATGTATGGATAGATGTATAGTATTGTAGATTAGTATAAAACGTGTCGAACAAGATGTCATGATGTATGTTACTATCTATTTGTAAAAGATTATTACATTGAAGCTTGAAGTTCTGACTCGGCTTCTAATCTAACATTCTATTTTGATTGATGTTACCCAAGTATCCAATCTGGGTATGATGCATTTTATCTACCCAGCCAAGCCATATGAAATGCAAATGCCTATCAAAACTCCATCGCTATGCCTTTTAAAAAAACAACGCCTGAAAACAACTATTTCTTCCATCACAGCACTACAATACTACAATATTCACCACCGCAACAACACCCATCCCCAGCAACACAGCCCAAGAGACCCCCTTCCCGATCCCCGCACCACTGCTCTGCGTCAACTCGGCCGTACTGACGCTCGTCCGTCCCACCGCCGTAATCCCATTCAAGTTATCCGCCGTCTCAACCGCGGGGCCGACATTAAAGTAATCGACCAAGATAAAGGTCGGTTTCTTCGCCCACTCGCTCGTGCACTGCTGGCCCTCGGTGCCCAGACTACCCGATGTATTGGTAGCGGGGGAATTGGTGGTAGGCAGGTTTGTGATATCGGGAGTTGAGATGAGAGTATTGGTATCGGCGAAATGATTCACGAGGCCCATGTAGCCAGCCGAAATGGCAGCGGTGGAGGAGGCGAGGCCGGTAGGCCGGTCAATGGTGCAGTTGAAGTCGGGGAAGGTCTGACCGTAGGCAGTCTCGAAGACGAAGGAGAATTCGGGGAGGAGGGAGGGGTAGGAGGAGTCGTATGTTATGGAGGCGATGAAGGTTACGAGGCGGGTGTTGGCTGTGATGAGGGTTTGGAGAGTTGGCCAGGTAGCGACTGGACCGTCTGTTGAGGAGGGCGTGTAGCCGTAGCTGGAGATGCCGGTGCTGTTGAAGACGGAGCCAAAGGTAGCGGCGGTTTGGTCATCGCTGTTTACGAGGAGCAGGGTGACGACTTCGTTGGGGTTGGCGTCCATCCAGGTCTTGATGGCTGTAAGGAAGGTGGCTAGGGACCCGCCGTCGAGGAGCGCGCAGGATGTGTGGCAGAGTTCGAGGACGCCATCGTTGAGGTGCACTTGTGCTTGTAGGAGACGGATACCGGCTGATAGTGCTACGGTTGCGTTATAATACTGGTTTCCTGATTCCGTGAAGCCGGTACTCGAGTCTCGGAGGAAGGCAGAGTCGTGGGCACCCATGTGGGTGATGTTGTTGTAGTTCCGGTTGCATAGATCGGGCGAGTTGTTGCATGCTGTTGTTCCTGTTGCTGCTGCTGCCAGGGAGACTGTCGATGCTGAGACTTTGGCTGTGGATGAAGCCACAGCTACGGCTGATGACTGCGAGAAGAATCCTCCTTGTGGGGAAGCTTGGGATAGTGAGAGTAGGGATGCTGATGCAGCAAGGAGCTTGAAGGAGAAAAGCATCTTGACGGTATTGACGAGGGGAAAGAGAAGAATTGGGTATAAGTAAAAGGAGGCAGGTAGCAATATATGGAAGTGCCAAACGATTGTTATTGTTTATGTTTATGTTTATGAGTAATACAAAGGAAACATCAAACTGCACAGCAGATATGATATAACAGTTTGGAGAGAGAGGAGATAAAGGGAGAGAGAAAAACGAGAGGCTTGATGTTGGTGGAGAATACGCGCATACGCAACAAAGCATTACGAAAGCGTCGTGGCCCTGCTGCGCCCGGGTATACGAGGTTGATCATCACGCTGCTTCGGCAGTGGCTACGCAGAAAGTCTGGGAAAAGTGGAGTCAGGCGGTCGATGTGAGCATCGTGAGGGCAACGAGGGGTGGCTGGTGGGTGACATTGTGTGGAGGCTGATGTGTTTGGGAAGAGAGGTTTGACTGTTTGAGATGTGGTTGGGATGTATGTGAGTCTGAATGGGCAACGTGAGTGTGCCCAGAAGAGGTTGGGTTGGTGCGGATGATCGCCCGCCATCTATTCTCATTGGCTCCCCGCCGCGCCCATTTCTTCGTCTTCCAAAACTCTCAAATAAAGACCTTTCCCATGGCTAGAGACTGTGTCTAGAACTAGATGTTAGGGAAGCTTTCATAGAAGAGTAAGAGTACGTGTGCAATATGAAAGGCTTTTCAGCACACTGCTGGTGTCAAATGGCCTACATTCAAGGTCCAACAGTAGGGAACTTTCTCTTTGTTATGTATATCCTGAGGTACCTATATTTTGTCATCTTGCCAACTCCAGAATCTACACTCACGATTCATCATTTACTGTCAGGTTCATTGATAGCTGCCATGCTGGCGATCACACATCCTCCCAAACAATAAACAAAATGCTGCTGAGCAGCACGTGATGCATATAGCTCTGAAAATCTCGGCGCAGATGATCCGGTCGTTGTCAACATCCCGAGATCTCGAACCCGACCGACCTCTCTCAGTCACATTACCGTGGCCTCAACGAAACACCACGGCCGTGTTTCGTCTTGTACATAACCCTCCTCTGCTTCTCCTTCTCCCATCAAATCAGTGCCGGCACGAACGATGGATTACGCGAATCTGTCCACTCCACCCGTTTGCGTGGCGGATTTCTGCCTCATTCCCGTGAGTAACTTATAAGTTTTATGTATTTTTGCATGCATAGCTTAACTGCGGGTTTGATCATCTTGCTGACTACCTAGGGAACTGTAGATTGGAACTCCAACTGCTTCAGTTTCGAATGAGGTTGCGGCTGTTCAGCGGCTTATGAAGGCGAGCGGACTGCAGTATTCGATGCATAGCGCTGGCACGACTGTTGGTATGGAAGTATATTTCGTTCTCTCAGCCCAGTCAGGATCTCTTCGCGAATCTTAGTTGATTAGGCGGCTGAAAGCTTCTTTGCAATAAAAAGTCATATAGACATCAATTGCTCTGATCACGTGGTCAGTCAGAAGTTGCAAATTTCGTTTCCACAAGCATAATGTCAACTACTGTATTCTAACTCATATCAACAGAAGGAGAATGGGATGCAGTAATGAAGCTTATTGGCCAAGCCCACACCCTGGTCCACCAAAACGGCGTTATTCGCATCCAAAGCGACATCCGAGTTGGCACAAGGTACTGCCGCATTTCCACCCCGTCTCCTCCTCATCTAACCTCGAGTAGAACCGACAAGAAGCAGCACTTCTCCGAGAAGGTAACGAAAGTTGAAAGCATCCTTGCGGCCGATGGGAAGGCGGAGGAAAAAGTCGTCGTAGTCCAGCCCGAGGAACCAAAGAAGGTGGAAGACGTGGTCAAGCCTGCTGCTGAAGCACCAAAGAAAGCCGAGGTGGTGAAAGAGTCTAAACCAGAGGAGCGTAGGCAACCATTGACCCCGGCAACGAACCAGGGGACTTGGGCAAGCATGTTCCGGAAGTGAAGCATTATGGAATTCGGCGCGTCGGGTCTGTGGACAAGGCTCATAACTTGTGTTCTTTAATTTAACGTTAGCGAACCGTCTTTGGCTTGGTAGGTATAAAGTTGACGTACCTCTGAATATACCGCCTGAGGACTTTAACTGGCTACCGGTTGCTGGATTTCTATCCGTGATGGCACTGTCTCTTTTCCCGCTATTGTTTCTGCTTCTTTCCCCTTAACCGGTGCCAATTTCACAACCCGTGTATTGACCGCTGAGCCTCGCACGTCCGACTGCACAATCGCGCCGTTGTTTTTACGACCAACCCACCAAGTGAAGAGAACCCCGCACATCTTCCTGTTTCCGTTGATTTTTTCTATCGTTTTCAAGAATTCTTCAAGAAGGTTTACAGCTGCGTGTCGGAGATATATAATAAATGCCGTAACGTAGTGAAATGGCATAGATTCATTCGTATACAAAACTATACTTACATTTACTTACGGAGCATTGATGATTGTTACGAGCGAGCGAGCCAGAGAGGTTGTTACAGAAAAGATTGCGATACATTTGGTGATAGCACAAACTGAACCACATGCAAGATAGCCTCCTTAGTCAACAAAGCCTCAAAGTCCACGGCTGTATTTCTAAATCTGGCAAAAGGGAAGGATTGTTTGCCAGCAGTGCCTTCCTCTTAGCTGTCATTAGTCAATTAATGCACATGAAAATGAAAGAGCAAGAGAAATGAGTGCAAGTTCGGCTTTCAACACACACTAGCTCTTTCAACTCAAAGAAGTTGCAATTGCATCTGGTGCTTTCCACATGTCGGTTTTTCAGGTGTATATGGAATTTCACCCGTTATACATGAAGAATTAAGGTTTACTTAGAAGTAGATTTCTTCACTTGTGCAAGGCGTCACATAGAAGCAAACTATGACAAAAATGCTCCTGATTTGGCGTTCCTCCTGATACCCCTTTCAAATATGGTTTATTCTTCTCTTCGTTATGCGAGGATATCAAAAAGAAGAAGATGATCTAAGTCACTTTAAAATCAGAACCGTACAGGAACAGTGCTCAAGCCTAAAATGAAACCCAAATGAGAATCTGCTAAAGGAATCTTGTCTCGCCATTGTGATATTATATGGTTCTTTGAACAGACATTCGAAATCCGCTCTTTTCATCTTGTCGGCGCCATGGTTACTACCCGAGGCCCCGAAAAGGGAGCAAGAGAAAGAGAAAGAGCAAACTTTAAAATCAAAATTGAATGCTGACTATGTAGTTGGGCAATTCACATATCAGGTACTGCATGAAAGAACCACATCTTCGCATCTTGCCCTAGCAGCTCTTCTTCCACTTCTCCGCACAACTTTTCTTTCCACCCCACTAAACAAACAACCAAATCGCCTTCATCACCATGCCTCTAGAACGCGTCTTCTCCACGCCCACATCAGTCTACACCTCTCGCTGGCTCGCGATCCAGAAGTACGCCGAGACGCACCCGCGAATAACCGGCGGCGCGGACAAGGTCGGGCAGCGGGTTACGGCTGTCGTGCTAGAGGAGTTCCAGAGCCAGGTCAAGGGAGTTTTGAGTCGGGATAGGGAGTTTCAGAGTGAGCCGATGCCGGTGCAGGAGTATCATACGGACCAGGAGGTTATTAAGAAGTTCTGTAAGTGGGAGTGGCAGTGGAGAATTATTCACCGATGCAGAGTAAAATCCTGGGGCTAATACTTGATTGATCAGGGGGAACTCAAGGACTGACGGATCTCAAGAGAGAGGTTGTAAATGTTAAGCCGGTTGAACAGCCTCAAGCTCAGAAGAAAGGCGTTAGCATCCCTGCTGCTGCTCCTGAACGCCAGCCACCTTCTCCATCCAGTTCTGCTTTCGCGTCTACAGCCCGTGGTCGTCAACACTTTCCTGTCAAGCCGCCATCCCGACAAGAGAGCGTTTCGCCGAAGAAGGGTGGGCGTCGGGACTTGTACCGGTCGTCTTGGGAGGATGATATGGGGCAATAGATTTCTTCATAGGGATGTAGAGGGAGAGATGTGACGGTAGGGTGATTGGATAGTCGAGTTGAGTTGGGATGATCAGCGTGACAGTCATGTTAGGGGAGGGGGGTAAAAACATATAGGGGAAACGACATCAAGGGGTTGATTTACGCTTCACTACGCTTCACGAAGAGTTCAGCTTATTGAATTGTCTTCGTAATAAGCCTTTGCATTGGACACTGGTCACACTCGTTCTTTTAAGACATGAAATCGTTTACTTTGGTCAAGAGGCTGATGATATTCTTCTCTAAAGTGATAAGTGTAAGCCATGCAGTGGTGTAAAACTAGGTGATGAAGCTTAGTGCAAAAGAATACACACCACAGCTTGACACGCATACTGTGGTGCTTAAAGCAACGAAAACAATATCAAGGGATATTTTTGCAGTAGATCAAGTATCAAACCAAATTCAATCTCAAAGCATTGGTACATGTGCAATCCCGACCAAGTTAACAACGCATCTGTATTTCCCTTGGAAATATTAACCCAAGAGCCTTCCACCTTGAGATGTCAAATTTACGACGCCCGAGTCAATAGACCTCATCTTTTTCGCCAGTCGCCCAAAATATAGAGGATCCAGCAAACACCATAGCGACTCCCAGTATCCATATCAAGCTCTACACCGGTATCTCTGGCGCCTGATACAGAAAAGCATCCCCAGCGCACTTCACAGCGACAAAGTATAAGAACGAGCTACTACATTATACACTTTACCTCCAGACGCTCAAACTTTATACAATGTCTTAACACCTATGGTGAACGAAGAGCTGGACACCCTTTTCTCATCTATGCTCGATTTTCCTGTTTAGTCGTTTAGTGAGGACATTGCCGAAACCCTCACTTACGGAATCAATTGATGTTTGTCAATTAACTCTTTCTATACTATTATTACTATTGAGTCAAAGACGTTACTATACAAAGTAACTATTTTCATGAGGATCACCTAGCAACAAAGGATTCATCGACTTTAGAACCTCCGCCCTGAGAATAGGGGGCTGACTAGCTTATCGATGCTTGCCTACGGCTGATCATACTCGAGTACCACGTTACATCTTATACTTACTTACATGTCGACCGCACCAAGATATATATAGTAAAAGATTTATCCATAAGGTTTTCTTCAATATTGAGGCTGCGTAGGTCAGGATGACAAGAGCGTGCTGGCAACGCCTGCCACCAAGTAACCAAGTTCTATAATTGTCCTTCGTTTCCGTGCTACTAAACGCATTAATGAACGCTGCATAACGGATGGATCGGTATGGTTGCTCGGGCTATCGAACGAGAAGAAGAAGAAGACACCGTGGATTGGATACGCCACATCCATGAGTTCCTTATGCGGAAAAGCAACGATCAGGAGCGGCTCGACGAAATGCAACGGATATGCTCAGAGATGATAGCATGTACCGCTAAGGACATTATTGAGTTCGATGCGGGAGGATATATTCGACAGAATGCCGAGCGAATGTACTGGGAGTATCAGAGGCAAGTCGGATCTGGGGGTTTGCGGGAAGGACAATCTATAGTTATAGAATCTGGATATCTGGGACGACGCTCGATTGTCATCACGTAGCTGTTTCATACGCTAGCAAAACAGCGTACGAACAATCATCATTCTTTCTGTGTCAAAAAGTCTCTTTGCACTCGTGTCTTGGAAAACTGTTCTGAATTGCTACATTGAATCTAACTAAACTCCATAAAATGCTACCCAAACAACGCCTGCTATGCTACTAATTAGAAGAATCCACAACCTCCGCAAACCACTGCCTTAAAAGGGTCGCCAACACGCCTGGCAACTCTTTGACATCGCTAACAATCAGATAATACTGAAATGGGAATGTATCTAGATACCTGACGATTTTAACATCCTTGATCCCAGTCATCGGATTCTCGAGGAACTTCGCCTCTTTCAGATCCATGACGCTCTCCCCTTTCTTCTTATTCCTCACATCATCGACGACAACAAAGATGATCATGATTCTCTCTTCCAATGCCTCTCTTAGTAGTCGACGAATAGCTTCATGCTCAGAAGAATCGCAGACGCCATCAGAGATGATAAGTTCCATCTGCCAAAGATCCGCATTGCGACTCTTCTGCCTCGCCGCGCGGAATAGTTCAATACTCTCTCTAACCAAGCGCGTGACATCTGTCCGACTCTGCTGAAAGCCGAAGTTTTGGAAGACTTTCGGGCCTGCATCGGAAGAGAACGGCGTCTCAAAATCATGCGCTACTTTGACATCGTCGCCAAAGCCCACAACGCAGATCTCGCCTACTTCAAGCATGCTCAAGGATTTCGACACCATGACGAGCGTCTCGAAAGCCAAGGATCCACTGCCGGACTCGCCCATACTCTTGCTATCATCGACGGCGAGCATGATTTGGTAGCTGCGCTTACTGGGTACGCTGCGTCGCATCCAGATCTTGTCGCGTTTGTACTGAGATGCGATATAGGGGATGATGCGTTTGATGTTGAGGCGTTTGCCGGTTCGGAAATCGCCGCGCATTTTGGTTGCGAGGGTTGGGGCGAGGATGAGGCGGAGTTGTTCTGTTAGAGACAGGGAGAGATCTCGCGTTAGGGCTTCGTAGTGTGTCCATTGTTGACGGGCGTCAGCTGCGGTGCGCATGGAAGTAACGTCGAGGTGTGTGCTCTCGAGCTGAGTGTCGACTTCTTCTACATCTTCTTCGAGGTCGTCGAGAGGTTGGATACGGGGAGCGTCTGGTGATGAAGCGCGGTCTTCTTTGGCTTGGTTGATCATTGCACCGGCACGGCCTTCATACGCATCGGATGGCTCTTGGGGTGTTGAAGGTTCTGTCATATCGTAATCGACATCGTCCTTTTCGACTTCCTCCGGTTGGAACTGATCTGGCATTTCCTTGCTCTCGGAGTCAACGGCCATGGACTCATCAAGGGCGTGAGCTTGGTCTTCGGTAGCAGTGCCAAGAGCCTGTGTATCTGCTTGAGCGTTTTCATCTTGCAAATGCTGAAACTCGTTGCTTTCCGTATTGACATCGACATTCTGTTCATCCTTCTGCTCCGAAGGTTGTCGAATTTTGGTTTGCTGTCGATGCCATCTTTCGAGTGCCTCGCCGAGTTTCTTGAATGGCTGGGCAGAAGAACTATCTTGCGTATCGTCCATTGAATCTTGAGGTGCTTCTCCGTTTGCTTGATGCCCCTTCTCTCCATCTTCAGCAGCGGCTTCTTTCTGTTCGGAAGAATCACCGCCCTGACCGCCATCCTCTCTCTGAGCTTTGTTTGCGGACTCGGTTTGGTCTGCTGAGTTCTCGTCTTGATCTTCACCAACCCCTTGAACGTCGCTGGGAACGGCATCTACATCAGTATTGGCATCGTCCTTTCGGTCTCGCAGAAGGCCTTCTTGATCTTCCGGTGGCTGTTCTGGTTCATCAACCTTTTCGCCGGCCTCCTCTGTCTGATTGCCTTCTGGCTGCTCTTCGTCAACATCTGCCACGTCCATATCAGAACCAATATCTTGGTCTTCTTGTTGATCCATATTCTCGGCACCTTCCTGCTCTTGGCCATCATTCACTACCTCATCGTCCTTTTCATCTTGCTCCGCATCGGAGAGATCATCCATCCCGTCTTCGCTTCCAGAAACATCACCCTCCTCTTCCTTCCCATCTAATTCCATATCTTCAGGCAAATCAAGAGCTTCTCCTTCTTGGGCATGTGGGTCATGCTTCTCCACCTCATCTTGCTTGATCTCTTCACCTTGATCAGCACCGGCCATCTCCTCTTCTTCATCCTCCCCTTCATCGCCCTCAGCACCCTGTTTATCATTTTCCTGCGCAGCAACTTGCTCATCCTTGCTCTGCTTGCCTTTCGAATCATCACCCTCTTGATCCTTTTCAGCTTGTTCCCCATCTCCATCCCACATCTTCTCATCAACAGCAGTGGGGTCCAAATCATCCACATCCCCAGCCTCCTCGTCCATATCATCTGCATTATCCTCGCCGTCAGAACCACCATCTTCTGAGCCTTTCTCTTCTCCTTCGCCCATCTCACCCTCCATATCTCCATCTGCCATATCAACTGCATCTTTTTCGTCCTCCATTTCACCTTTCTCGCCGGTATCTGGCTCCTGCGCAAGTTCGTCCAGATTCTCATCATCCTGAATGTCCTTACTGATATCTTCCGCTCCTTCACCTTCGCCAAGACCTGTGCCGCCTTCGAGTTTATCGGTCTTGCCATCTTGAGCATCGGATTTCTCAGATGGAGTGCAAAAACCTTGGGTTGCTATCTGTATGAAGGTTTTGGTCAGAATGTATGATGTCTTGCAGGTGGCGCGGTGGAGCTGTGCGTATCGAACGACCGACTGCTGAAGGATGTTGAAGTACTGCTGGAAGATCGGAAGTGCGACTGCGAATACTGCACCTGCTGCCTTACTAGTGCTTGATTGTTGTAGATTGAGGCAGCGGAGGATGTCAAATGCTTCGCTCATTTGGGAGACTATGTTATTAACGTGCAGAGAAGTGAGACTATTTGAGAGAGAACTGTCGTTCTTGGAAAGCCAGCTGGGATCTTCAGTAGAAGAAGGTAACTCGCTTATCGCGTTCTTGTGCTTCTCAGTGGCGACCAGGATAGCGTCACACACAGTAGAAAGTTTGCTGTCTAGATCTGTGATACTTCTCTGAGGCAGTTTCTCGGTTACAGATTCGGATGTAAGTTCGGTCCACGGTGTGATCTGGTCAATGATGAACGCCAAATCAGGACGGTCAGCACTCAGCGCAGATATCTGAGTTCTGAGCTGTTGCGTAGAGCGAGTAATTTCTTGTTCGATGGTCAAACGCTCGGTTGAGATTATTTGTGGAGGAAGAGAGGGCAAAGAATCCCATTCAACAGAGAAAATGTCGAATTTCTCCTTCCACGACATGATGGTGTTCTGGATGTTCTGGGAGTCAATCTTACCCAGTTTCGAATGAATATTGATGAGGTCCAAGGCAACAATCAAAATTTTCGGCAACCACCGCAAGAGTTTCTCGTGACTCGAAATGTCTTCTGAGAGACTGAAGTCATACTTGCTAGGAGCCCAAAGCCCTTTCATCATTACGATGTTGACTTCGAGTTCCGAAAGATTCGTGACAGCCCCAGAAAGCACATCATGCTGAGCCAAAACTATTTGAAGGATGCCTTCAAGGAATCCGGTACTTCGTGCGACCTCGGCACTGCTCAAATCTTCAGAATGTTTCTGCGCGGCGTCTCGAGCAAGCGGAGCTAAATCAATGGACTTGTGGAAGTAGTATTCCAGCCCAGAGATATCAACATCTGGCCGTGGAGTCAGGTTTCCGACGTTCACAAGAGATACAGACAGAGAGTTTTGCTTGGCGAGTGCATCAGCGCTGAGGTTATACTTTATTCCCATTTGACGAAGCTCTTTGAGCGTATCTGCAAACAGCTTCCGCTTTCTAGTCTTCAGATGCTTGACTGTGACTTTATTTTCTTCGTCTAGGACGGATGGCGTGGCTTTTTGGAGTTCGGCAATCGAGGTAATGATGTTGCCCAAGAAGGAATCAAGGTACGCTGATCCTTCCAAGGTAGATTCAGGGAGCTGACTAGCATCAACCATCATGCCGACAGTCTTAGACACATTGACAAATCTCTTGCTCTTTTGTGACCACTTTGGGACAAATGTAGCGCACAGAGCTAGAGCAGATTGGTCCACCGTTGGAAGTAGTACCGAAGGCGAGTACAGATTATGTCCTTCCGAGAAAGTTTCATCTGGAATACCTTGACTGATAATGAATTGCATCGGTTGGCTAAGTAGAGCCCTGAATTTTCGAACGATCTTGAAAAGCTTGTGATGAGATCTCTTGGCGCTGTCCTTGAGTGCAACAATATTCGTATCTTTCCAACTAGCCAGTAACAGTACATCTTTCATAGCCTTCTCCAGTGACACCCTCCCCTTCTTGAGGGTCTCTTGAACTGGCTTCTCATATCGAGCATAGAGAGAAATGAAGTTTGAAAGAGCTGAGTTGATAATCGCCATTGATGGCTCGTCGATCATGATCACCTCGAGGTGTTTCTGTAATTGCTTAAGTAGTTGAAGTTGTTCCACATATTGCCCAACAACGGCTGTCTTGAAATAAGCCTCTAGGTCTCCGAGCAGCCTCGAAGCGTATTTCCTTAGCTCCTCGTGATCGCCGGAGATTCCTAACGGTGCGGCCACGATAATCTGATATGCAAAGAACCACCAAGCTCTGGCGGCATCCTCGCACTTCTTAGTCTCCATATCAAACAATTTCGCCCACGTTGAGAGTTCCAGGCGTCGCCAACTGACAATTGTAGAGGTCAGGTTATCATATTGCGGAAGAGCAGAGTTCACGCGGCTAGCCCAGCCACCGTGTTGCCATTCGTGCATGAATTCGTGGACTTTTTCGACTTTGGTGATGATCTTTGCTATGGGGTCGGTGTGGCGAAAGTTGAGCAAATCTCGACAAGAAGCTAACACATCTTCAAGGGTCTGCATGTGAGCGATTTCATCAACTGATTGTAGTTCTCGGAAGCGACGTTGGATTTGGTGGACGAGTGTGACAAGTTTTCGGGCCTCGGGTAGATTGGCATCCGTGTAGAAATTATACGATTCGGGTACTGTTGATGTTGGGCTCAAAGCCTCTATTTGATGGTCGAGAAGTAAAAGACTTCCTGGGAGGATTGAAGCAGTCATGTTCCGTTGGTTACTTTGAGCTCCATCTTCATGACGCGCGCTGATCTGTTTAGACATGTGTTGAATGAAACTTATAATGCTGTCTGACGGTGTTGCCGCACCGAGGAAAATATTGGCATGAACCTGAGCGATGTTCACAGCGGTATCCCTGGCTGTACTAGAGGACGAAATCCCACTTGGCAAGCTTGAGGATGCTTCATCGTAGGCCGGAAAGAGTTCGTTGAACTCCTCTGCATCGTCCTCATCTTCATCTTCGGCACTGCCACGGAAACGATACAAGCCTGAAGCAGACTCCGCCTCGGCACGATCCGTTTTCAGGCGCTCCTCCCATTGCATGAAGCAATCATGGAATGTTTTGAGAAGTGCATTACGTTGGGGTTTTTGGAAGGAGGAAAGCTTCTCTGTGTTTGCCGTAACTTCTGCGAGCGCTAAAAATTCCATTGGGTGACTCAAAAGGCCACTGCTATCAATAGAGGTAGGACCTCCGCCGAGGAAGGGAGTAACTTTGATGATAGCCGAAGAGGTTGCACGCGAATCACTTGAGACAATAGTTGCCATTGCGAGACCAATCTGCAAACAACGCAGCATACTGATGACAGGAGTCGTGATATCATTGTAAGCTTGATAATGTGACAGGTGGCGTATGAGTTGGGCAACATTGCTTTGACACAACTTGATATCATTCGAAGCATTCTCATCTCTGTCATTGAAATAGCTCATGAGGGTGCCGCGTAGGTCTGAGGCCACGACAGTTTTCAGAACATTGGCAAAGAACCCCTGAAGTTGATCTAATTCGGAAACCTCGGGACGATAAATTTCCTGCATAATTGCGGGCGGCTCACCCAACTCTTCAATTTCGGAGTTTAAAAGTTGGCATCGAATATTCGATTCTTGTCCGGAGAAGATCTTTTCGAATTGCTGGAGAGCTGAAAGCTTGTTTTGAAGCATCTCGCGGGTATTTTGATGTCGTTCTCGTTCGAGGCGCTGTCTCTTATCAGGATCAAAGGCCCGATCAGGTACATAGAGAGTGATACACCCAACTGCAAACTGTACCCATGCGAGAGCTGAAGATTGCATTCCGTACCCGGCTGTAGACCTAGCCGTCGTAAGGCAGACGGACGCAAGGCTGAACTGGTTTGAAAGCACTTCTCGAAGGTTGTCTGCTAGGTGAACTGTGGAAGGAGCTTTAACCCGTCGAACTATTGACGATAAAGTCTCGTCTAGGTCTACGGTTCCAACACTGGTTGCATTACTGAGCGAACGAGTCCAGGCGCTGTAGTCAATTGAAAACCTTTCATCGTGAGTAGCAATGACGCTAATCATCATGCTCGAAAGGACCCCATTCAAATCTAGAAGCTGATCCCGGCAGATGGTGGCAGTAGACTTGGCGATTTTCGCTCCCATAGTCGGCAGCTCAGTCTCCAATAACTTGAGTGACTTCAAATGAACATCCCCAACATTATGAAGTTTGCGCAATAGAGAAGTAGAGAAGGTATCCGAGATGAGCTGGAATTCAGGCCCCTGGTCCCAGAGGTAGTCAATGGTCTGCATTGGGCGCGAAGTGGCAGTTGAGGTAGCGAGGCGCAATTCGGAAGTTGTTGGGAGGTTCGCTAGAACAATCGTCTCCATATCAGGCGTAGCCTCTACCGCTTCCCCTGATCGCAAGTTCTCGAGTGACTCGAATTGGCGGAGGGCTTCGAATTCGGAGGCCATAAATGGTTCCACAACTGTCGTATCTGTGCTATCTCCATTGATGTTATCTGCCTTACCAATTGTAGCTTCCAATAGCTCGAGTTCGGCGCGCAGTGTTTGGACTAGACTTCCGCCATCCACGTCTGATGTGAGGATGAGACGATAGGCTTTTACGAGGGAGCTCATGATACTTCCAAGCTCCGAGATTGAGATCGATATCTTCCATCGAAGAGCATCGAATCGTTTTGCCAGTTTGTCCATTTCACCCAGCGTTCCCATAACAGTCAGATTAGGAATGACGATGGGCCGCAGCTGTTTCCAGAGAACTTCCATGCTAAGTCCAGTGGTCAACTTAAAGCCAGAGCGAAATTCGGTATTTAAGCTTTGCTGTATTGTGGCAACCATATGTTTTTCATGCTGTGTGATCTTGAAAACGCTGGCGAAGAGATCTCCACCAAGGGCCAAATGTGCTTGGAAAGTTGCTTCTTCAAATGAGGGCGCGATGGCAAGATGATATGTATCCCACCAGTACTGTATCAAAGTGAAAATTGCCTGCTTTCGAACTTTCCAATCTCCACCTGCAATGTTACTTTGCAAGTAAGATTTCAATACCGCTAGACAGTGGGCAAGAAATGTCGATATGTTGACGGTCGAGTCCTTTGCAACCGCTGGCACCCGCCCCCGAACAAGCGATCTCTGCAGCCGATTCATCTTGCTCGGCTTCAGTGCCTCAATCCCAGTCTCTTGACCGATCTGCGCCTCCATTGCAGCAGTGACCTCGAGCAGGGACTCGAAGCAGACCGCAAGCCAGAACACATGGTCACTAGACTGCTGAAGTAATGAAACTAAAGGCGAGTTTTGAAGAGGATGGATAATCTACAGTTGTATTAAAGCTATCAGTACAAGTGTCTACGAAAGGAACAGCACAGTTACTAACCTGTGCGTCTCTGAAGCCTGGTACCAAGGCGGTCTTCTGAGATATTGTATTTAACACCTCTCCAATGCATGTCCTGAAGTTCTGATTATCGGGCGATTGATAGATCTGCATGTATGCTTGATATATGTTTGAGAATTTGAAAGCTGTGATGGAGTTGTGTTGAGCGATGAAACGTGGAAGAAGGGACATGTCAGACCAAGCTAGGTTGTCCAATGCTACATGTTGCAGAAGGATTGCTTGTTTGGTATCTGTGGTCTGAGATTCTAATACTTGGCCTAACGTCTGATATCTCAGAATATTGGCCTCGGGCTTGACGAATGACACCTGAGGATACGCAGGCAAGGGCTCGAGGAAGATCTCAATTGCACGATTCCTCATAGCCCTCGACAGTTCACCAAACCTCGCATCCATCGTCAAGAAGATTCTGAAGTCAGGATGCGGTCGAACGATCTTTGGCTCACCATCTGAACCACAATGTTCATTAATGCTCAAAAATCCATTTGGCTCCAGTAGAGAGTTCAGTCGATCGAGCACAGATGCGCTACAAAGATTGGCGTTATCGAGAACAAGCCATTTCCCTTGCTCCAATGCTTTCACCAAGACACCATCTACCCATTCAAAACGGGCGTTTTCGAGTGTCATGGCAGTCCTGGCAAAGCGTTGGCAGGTGCTTGCTAGGTTCTCGAATTCAGGAAGTGACGTCTTTGAGTGCAGTGTAAGGAGACTCTCAGCAAGGCTTGAGAAATACGACGGAGATGTATCGCGGTGTTTAAGAAGTCCTAGCAGAAAGATTGCTTCCTCGGGGACCTTGGCAGGCAAAGATACCAAAACTCGCTCGGTGAGGAAATCAGTAAGTTGTTCAAGGAAGGCACTTGCAGCTCGTTGGGGGTCAACTTGTTCAAACCCTCCAACAAGATCCATCGTATCGATGTCAGCATTGAGAGGAAACACAACAAGTGATTTCCCACTTGCTGCGGCCACGTGCTGCAAGAGGGTCGTCTTGCCAGATCCCGATGGACCGACCAGGATGCAAGGTAAGTTTTGCTGAATACATATCATAAGTGATTCGATTTCAGGTAATCGGCTGGTGTGTTCAATAGCGGGGAAAGGAAGGCGTTGCAAAAGGCTATCTCGCTGCATGTAGGCAAGACCAACTTGGTAGGCGGCGGGGCTAAGGTTGTGGAAGAAATGGCGGAACGGGACTGCCGCACCAAAGACGTTGGCAAATATCTTGTCAATTTCTTGTCGGTCCCGAGAAGATCGAAATCGTTGTCGGAAGATCAGATTCAAGAAATCTGATGGGATGACAGCTGATAGGAATGGGGCGGGAGACGTTAGTAGTTGAAGCCAGCGCAGGATATCACGCAGATTAAATTCCCATGGTCCTCCTTGAGAACCAAATCTACGCTTGTGCACAACTTCCTGTTCAAGCTGAGATACAAAGCCGATGATTGTTGTTACAACCTCATCGGACATGGCGGGGAAATTATGCTTGCAGATTAGCTGAAGATCCTCGTTTCTAAAAACGTCAGCATAGACAACGGTGAACCGGTTAACAAAAGAAGCCGGTAATCCCTTTCGGCCACCTCCCTGGTGATGAGGATTTTGTGCGGCAAAGACAGAGAAATTAGGATGACGTTTAAATGTCTGGTCAAGCTCGGATATGTAGACTTCTCCACGATGATCGAGACATGCGTTCAGTCCCTCGAGAACTGATTGAGATGCGAGGTTCATCTCATCTAACAACACCCACTCTCCCTTTTGCATAGCCTGGAGGAAGGGTGCATCACGCCATGCGAAATGACCTGCCTCAGCTCCCTCTACCGGTACATCTGATCCAAAAAGATCCATCAAATCTGTTTGTTCCGAAAGATTGATTCGAGTCAGAGGTCTGTTGCAGGCACGTGCCAGAGCAGCGATCAATGTCGTCTTGCCGACACCTGGACTGCCCTCAATCAGAATCGGCTTCTGGACTTGAAGGGCTCGAAGAACACGCATTGCATTCAGCTTGGTTGTGGGGGCGTCAAATGCAAATCCAGGATCGCGACTCGCACCGGCTTGTTTGGGAATTGAAAATTCTCCAATGGTGAACAGATGGTCTTTGTTGACGAGCTGAACTGGAATAGAGTAGATGGTGCTTACATCGTGCTGCAAAAGATTGCTGAGCTCTTGTAAGCACTTTTCTCGTTCTTCTCGAATACTTTCTGGGCTAATGGCGAGAAGAGCAGCGGGATTGGCACCCAGAGTATCAATGTATACCATTGAGGCGCCATGGAGGACTGCAAAATAAGGGTCGGGAGTGTTGCATCCGTTCATGAACTTGACCCACGCTAGGACGTCTCGAACAGAAATGGAGGTTGACGCAGACGAGCGATAACTCTGACCGAAGTATTCTGCAAAATGGACCATTGCACTGGAAAACTTCTTCAGCGGGCCATCAAGCTTGGCCTCTACAATTTGCAGCACATCCTCGTGTTCGGAAAGAGATGGAACCCAGATCTCAGTGAAACGATTCCTCAATGCGGGTGACAGTTCACGTTTGCCATAGTCGCCGCCGGGATTCATTGTGGCGAAGAATTGGAACCCATCTGCAGCCTGGACGAACGAATCCTCAACTCCCTTTTCTGCAAGCAGAATAGTGCGCTGCGGCTCTAAGACTGAGTTCAGTCGTTCAAGGACAGAGTCGTCTGCGAGGGAAATTTCGTCGAGCAGAAATAATTGTCCCTCTTTCATGGCCTGAACGAGGCTTCCATCAGACCATTCGAAGAGTGCCTTGGCCTTCACAAGACTCGTCTCAATTTGCCCTCGCAATGCTTCTGAAACTGAGACAAGATCGGAGGGAGACAAGGCTCTGTATGCCGCCACCAAAATGTTAAGATCTGCTTGAGCCGCCTGGTCTTCAAGACGAAGAACCTGGACGAGGTCCTGGCGTAATTGATCCAAAATTACGGCGCGGTTTCGTATCGGTCGTTGAGCACCAATTATGTCTCCAGTCTCAGTGTTTTGATGGGCATTCACGATATGCAATTCCTTTGCAAACGCATCCCCCAGCATTTGACAGACGGTTGTTTTGCCGCAGCCAGTCTCACCGACCAAGAGAACGGGCTCATTGTTCCGTAGAGCATGTGCGACGAGTACATACAACCTCCGCATCGCTTGCGTCCAGACAACCCCTTGAGTATTTGAAGTTGCATCGTAAGAGTTAATTTCGGGGCAGCGGCTGGCGTCATAAAGAATATTCGGATCAAGCTTGACCTTGAAGATCTTCTCAATGACCTCTTTCACCGCAAGTCTCTCCTCGGGGTTCCGAACTCGCTCAGCCAGTAGCATGTATCCATTGGCAGCAAGCTGTTCTCTATTATCAGCATCCCTAAGCGCCCATCTGAAGAGATCTCTCAAAGTAGCGAAGCTATCCTTCTGCTCAAAGAGGCGATTTGATTGTCGTAGTCGTGAAAGCTCTTTGTAGACGGAAACAATTCTCCTGCAATCAGAAGGCGCAACTTTTTGACTACGTTTCTCTAGAATGAAGTCAAGCTCATCCTCGGGTATATCATCGAAATGGAGCTCAAGGAAACGGTTTCGGAAGGCTCGCGAGAGTGTTTTTCTGCCACCATAGAGTCCCGGTGGATTCTGGGTCGCAAAAAGCATAAAGTTCTCGTGTGGTCGAACAATTTCTTGTGTCTCGGGAATCAAGAGCTCGCGATTATCATCAAGTAGTCTGTTCAGAGCTTCAAGAACATCCGTAGGAGCCAAATTCAACTCGTCAAGCACAATCCAATGGCCTTGACGGAGGGCTTGAACAAGGAGACCTTCCTGGAAGCGAAGCTGCCCATCGGCACCCGAAACATATGTTCCTAAGTACTCTTGCAAGTCAGTGTGCTCATGATTGTTGATCCTCACGAATTTGTTCCCGCTGAATTTAGCCAGGTACTCAATCATACTAGTTTTTCCGGACGAGGTTGGTCCTTGAACGAGAACGGGAAAACGTCGAGTTGAAGTCGCTCGAACGAGATTGAGCATATTGCGTTCCACAAATGGAGTGATGATGTACTGAGGCTGTTCCTCCGGCACTTCCATGCCTTGAAGCATCCAATATTGGCGGTCCTTCTTCTTGTTCATGAATCTCACATACTGCTTTCCATCTTCGGGATGTCGCGGAGTTTGGGAGAGAAGAGCCTGTGGGTTTGGGTGGCTTTCTAGTAAGTGATGGTTGATTAGAGGTATAATCAACTTTTCTGATTCTCGGTCGAGTAGAGTCAAAAAGCCCATAGCGAATCCTTCATATAGAGCTCTCCGCAGGCCATATGATGGTGCAATCTCCGTTACATAACTCAGAACCCGAGTCAGCGTTCGGAGACTGAAGTGTGGAACTTGATTTGCTCCATCTACTATGCGCTTGTCGTCTGCTCTACGTTTTGTGTCGAGGTAAAGTGAGGTGACATCAAGAGCAGCCTTGTCGTCACTGCTACTTGTTCCTTTCAGGTAGGCTTTGACAACGGCTAGGAGATCTTCGCGGTTGCGATCCGGACTCTCGACGTAGATCTCGGTAAATCGTGACCGTAGCCCCATTGGTAAATCCCGCTTTCCAACATCAGTTGCTGGATTCATGGCACCAAATATACGAAAGTCAGGATGAGCTTGGACTCTCTCGATCTCGCCGGTTTCAGATAGGAGAATTGATGGACTGCCGCCAGGTCCGCTGTGCAAAAGGTCTGCTATGCTCTCCAGGGTATCTGGGGAAGCTAAATTAATCTCATCTAGTAATACCCATTCGCCATTTCGGGCTGCCTTTACAATGTTCCCTTCCACAAAGGTGAAAGCGAATCCCTTCGATCCAGCTGAAAGTTGAACATCGAACTGGTTCAAGCTTTCGGAAAATCTCTCCCATCGAGGTTTGAGGTGGAGCAATGATTGTAATCTCGATTCAGTTTTCCGGCGTTTGGTAGGTTGCTCGGCAGCAGGACGTCCATTCGTTTGCTCTTTCTTCCTCAGTTCCGAAATGATATGTTGGAACATCTTAGGCGCCTCTCGCCAGAGCTTAGAGGCCTTGCTCCACTGACTCTTTGCAACAGACTTTGCCAGTTGATCGATGTATTTCTGGTTCTTGCTTGCAGATATGCCAGTGGCTGCAAAGAGTTCATCAAATTCATCCTTGAGCGGAATGGCAAGACTTCTCACGTTTACAGGCTTGAAACCACCGAGAAGATCACCTACTTCGCTTTGCTGGGACAGATTTACGGCTGTGAGCTTGGTGGCTAAAGAATCCGCGAGCTGCTGAATGACGGTTGTCTTTCCAATACCAGTTTCTCCAACAAGCAGGACTGGCTCCGCCATCTTCACAGCAACCCCAACTTGCTCAAGTAGCCGCTTCGCAGGGGCAGTATTGGCAAAAGGTCTTGCTTTCTTGGCTGGTTTAGTAATGCGATTTACGCTTCGTTTTGGCAGCCGCACTCGTCCAATCGTCAATACTGCCTCGGTATCTTCATACCGTGGGATATGTGAAGTAAGGAAGTGCTCAACCCGTTGCGGATCAATGTGCATTTCTTCGGCTATCGCAGCAATGACGATTTTTCGAGTTTCTTCAGTTTGCAAACTTCCAGCAAAGCAGTCTGCAGCTTCCAAGAACATCTCATATTTCGTCGCATCGGTAATTGGTTCTTCGCCGGTTCTAGATCCAGCTGCAACGAGATTGCTGTCCAGTCTTCGACACCATTTCAGAAGATCACGAGGACTGATCGGGCGGCCGAGAGACGTTCGGCTTTTCGACGCAAACGACGATTTGTGGGACAATGTGTACAGACGTTCGTAGACATTAATGATACCGGGTAGAAATTTGTGAAGGATCGGATGGGTGCCACTGATGATTTCGCGGAACTCATCTTGCGTGGGCATCTGAACTGGTACTCGCTGCCAAAGTCTCGCCCCAAGCATGTGTAATGCAGGTGCATTCTCCTGTCCGGTCACACTGAGCGAAGTGCGAATGCTAGCAAGAAGTCTGAATCCACGCCCAGCTTTGATGGTCTCCCCACGACTGGGTATCAGAAGCTCGCCTCGCTCAATGAGGGGTAAGATCACACTGATCACTTCATTTGGCGCCCGGTCAAGATCTTCAATAAACACCCATCGACCTTCCTTGACTGCAGTTGTCAGAACTCCAGGTCTCCATGTAAATGATCCTGGAGTTGATCCCGTAGCATACATTCCGATGAGCATCTTGGCATCAGTTTGCTCGTTCAAGTGAAGTGAGACCATATTCGTGTCAACGCCGAGCTCACGGGCAAAATCATTGACGAGTGATGTCTTTCCAGAGCCAGCAAGTCCATGAAGAAGGATTGGCGAAGATGAGAGGAGTGATTTCGCAAATGTTTCCATGTTCCTCGAAGCGGTTGCTGTTTGTACAAGAGCAGAAGGTCGAGGCGATGCTCCATTTGGCCGGGGGAGTAGTGTGTTTCCACAACGTACAACCAGATCCGAAAGACTCCCCAGGTTGAATGCATCGAGGCCCAATAAACCTTCCTTCCTTGCCATCCTTTCCCTGTCTGCCTCCTGTAGCCTCTTCTCCTCAAACAAGCTCAAGAACCCATAATCTACAAGCTTCCCATCATAATCCCCCATGACCGCATCTTTGCCCACATGTTCTTCGATCATAGCTTCAAATTTCAGATCCGATGCCGAGCATAGCTGACTGAATACCCGAACTGCAAGATATCGTACCCCGCGGTCTGCATGATTGAAAAGACTTTGTATTCGCGCTCCAGAAATCGTCTGTGAGAATGTGTATTTGTCAAAGTTTAACAATCGAAAGGTCGCGAGTAAGATCCTCTGGAGTTCCAACATTGAAAGTTCCATACACTCCCACATGCTTCCTATCCTCGAGGTCTGCGGGGGCTTTCCATTAGCGGAGGAAGTATTCTCGAGGTATTTCTGCAAGTAAGTCGACAGATGCGGCGCGAGAGGCAATATTCTCGCAAATCCCCCAATAACTTCATTTTTCTGGATTCCCCCATTACTTCCATCTACCCACCTCGCCGTCGAATCTGCAAAAATGCTCTCAAATGTGGTAAAAGCTCGGAGTGTAAGTCCTGGCTGCAAAGCAGTTTGCGCGAGGATTCGCAGAAATCGCGGTGTATGTTGTATTCGTATAATTTCTCGTAATTCGTCAGGCAGCTCACGAAGAGCAATTTGCCCATCGTCTGGGGTATCTACCTCCATTTTGTGAGGTTTTGCCGTCGAATATCACAGCTGGATGCGGGCTTGTTAAAATCCCAGATATTTTTTTTATCGCAAAAGGGCGATAAACATTTAGCGTGCACGGGCCTCTTCAAAATATACTCCGTACTAGACTTTTCTCGTCTTCACAACCTCAACTCTCTCCATCCACATCTCTCACCCCATCAACAACCGCCACCATGTCAATGACTTGCCAAACAGCAGCTCGGAGCTGCGTGCGCTCTCTGCGGATGCAAACACCCCGAACATGTCTCGCGCAGGTACAGAGGAGGAGATGGGCGAGCTCGGAAGCTACAGTGTCGAATCCCAAGATCTCGGGCATTGTAGATCAGATCAGTCAATTGACACTCCTGGAGACAGCAGACCTGGTGGCTAGCTTGAAGGTATCTTCCTGCATATCTTTACCCATCGAGTCTCCATCAATGCTAACCTAACTATCTGAGTAGACTCGATTAAACATCCCCGACATGCCCATGGGCGGTTTCGGAGGTGGCGGAGCCGCACCCGCTGTTGCAGCCCCAGTCGTCGAAGAAGAAGCTGCTCCTGCGCAACAAGAGAAAACACTGTTCAACCTGAAGCTGGACAGCTTTGAAGCCAGCGCCAAGCCGAAGATCATCAAGGAGATTAAGAGCATGTTGGGCTTAAGTTTGGTGGACAGTAAGAAGTTTGTGGAGAGTGCGCCGAAAATGATGAAGGAGGGTGTGCCAAAGGAAGAGGCGGAGAAGATCGTAGCTGCGTTGAAGGGCTTGGGTGGTGTGGTTGTCATGGAGTAGATGAATTAAAGGTGTCTGTAGGATATAGTGGGAGGCATTGATTTGAGTGGATACGAATGAGGTTAGAGAGGATTGTGGCCATACTGTATTAGAGATGTGTACAAAATCAAAATTCCCATTCAGTCCAGTTCATTTGCCAAGTTTGTTGATTGAGAGGTACGGATGCGACTTGTGACATGCGGATTGGAATCTACTAGCAATTTGATAATTGGTTCTTTCACTAATTAATGGCCAGGTGCGTTCTCGTGGATCTTGGAAAGTTGTTTTGTTTAAGGAATGATCACGATGCATGCTTTCTCCAAACTCGTATGATCTCGACCTCAAATCTTGGGCAGTCTTGTTCAACACTGCTCTTCCACCTCAGCCTTCCATATCAACCCGCTAAATCTTCGGCGCAGAAGCCTAAATTCCTGCCATACTTCTTATATTCATTTAATACAAAATCTGTCGTCGAACACAAGAGGCGCCCACTTGGCTAAGTGGGTTAGAACAAATTGTGTTGGGCAAGTAGGAATTGTAAAAACCCTTTAATGCTGGCATGCTAGGGTTTATCCTGAGTCAGCTGCGGCTGGCCACAAGGTTTTGCAGTTTTTGTATTCGATGTCTTTTTTGTATTTAAATATATGCCTATGATCTTAAACAGCGAGCAATAACGGCTCTTTGCATACATTACTTTTTTATATATTCTTAGCTTAGCGAATTCACATATTCATAGTTGAAAGTTGTGCAGAATGAGTAAATGGCGGCAAGTAAACGCTCAGTTGTACCGGGCGGCTATGCTACTCATTCTGTGGACTTCAAAAGTTGACAGGATCCACGTAAAGATAGTAGACGACATAAGTTTGAGTTGTAGCAACACCCAACTACTCTTCACTTCTATGCTAAACTTGTGCTGTTTTTTCTCCTATACACGCTGTTCGCAGAGGCATACAACACCCTATCTACCTACCTATACGTTGCTCTACTTTACGTTTTATCTCTCTATTCGCACGACGCACCTTGAGTGAAAAGAGAGACGGACTTTAGGTTAGTAGGCCAGAAGAAATTGGGGAAATAGGAGCAATGAATGCATTGAAGTGTATTATACATGCGGTCACGGTTTCGATATGGTGACGTTCTATAGATAAACGTGTTTTGGAATGTTGGGTATGATGGAAGGGGCTCGGGATGGGGAATAATTGGATATTGGTAATTAATAATTTATCAAGGTGGGCATATAGGGAGATGCGAAGGGGTGGTTGCTTGGATAGAAATGATGAATGGAAGGAAAGCAAAGGGATAATAGATGGTAGAGGTGGAAGAGCATAGCATAGGTTACAACCGAATAAGGAAATCTATGGACCGCTTATGCAATTTCCAGCCCAGCTAGTAACTCAGTAGTATACAACCCTCCCATCCATCCATCCATCACCACCAATTGATTTAGTAGTAATAATTCTCCTCAACCACCCGACCCCTCATAAACTGCGGCTCACTGCCCCGCACGTAAATATCCTCAAACAGAATCTGCGGCGTCGCATCGGGAGGAAGCATCTCCTCGGCCTCCTTGACCTCAGCGTCAACCGCCGCGCGAGCCTCCTTATCGATATTCTTGAGCTCTTCTTCAGTCGTGACGTTCCACTCGATGAGTTTATGCTTGAGGCCAGCGATGGGGTCTTGGGTGGAGCGCATGCGTTGGATTTCCTCACGGGTACGGTATGTGGTGCCGGGGTCCGACATGGAGTGTCCTCCGTAGCGGTAGGTTACGTATTCAATAACCATGGGACCGTGGCCAGCGGCTGTGTAGGCTTTGCCGTAAGCGACGGCAGCTTTAACAGCAAGAACATCCATGCCGTTTACTTTTAGGCCGGGTATGTATTGGCCGCGCTTATAGTATTCGGTTGAGGCCGAGGAGCGGTTGGCTGCTGTTCCCATACCGTACTTGTTGTCTAGAAGCATCGTTAATACACATGCATCCAATCCCAATGTCGAGCCCGAAGAGTGAGGAATGAGGCAGAAGGAAACAGGGAGTGGACATACTCTCGCACCCAAACAGAATCGGCAACTTCCACAACTTGGCCATATTAAACGCCTCGAACACCTGTCCCTGATTACTGGCACCATCACCATACAACGCAACAGTCGTATTCTTATTTCCATTATACTGATGCGCAAACGCCAGACCGGCACCAACCGGGACCTGAGCGCCCACTATACCGTTTCCACCATAGAAACCCTTAGCAAACATGTGCATAGAGCCTCCCTTGCCGTACGCAATACCGTGACGGCGTCCGAGCAGTTCGCCGATGATGGATTTGACAGAGCCGCCACGCATATATGCGAAGCCGTGACAACGGTAGGCGGTGATGATATCGTCTTCTTTTGTGAGGGAGTGTTCAATGCCAATGGCGACAGCTTCTTGACCAGTTGAGAGATGGCAGAAACCGCGGATTTTCTTCTCTTTGTAGAGTCTGTCGGCGGCCATTTCCATGCGTCTATATAGATCCCATTAGTCCTATTCTGTTCCCATTTCTTCTCAAGCTGATTCATTGAACTGCATTGCGTGGCAGTAGACGTAACTCACCGAACAGAAACCATATCGCGATACATCTGCTTCAACTCCTTCTTGGTAGTATCAAGCGTATACGCTGGGGGGTCCAGCTCATACGTCTCGAAAGACTCATCAGATAATTGGACCTGGAAAGGCTTATCATCTTCCTATAGAATGTCCCCATCAGCATCAATCCTCATTATCCCGTTCGATTCCATGCCATCCACCACTTCCCATCAATTCCGGATGCAATTGAGGCTAATCTTACCTGAGGAACAGCATCCTTATCTGCATGCGCGCTCGCAGCATCCGTCGTGACAGTTCTCTTGCTCAGCGCAACCCTCGAGAAGGCATTGCTGCGTAGACCCGCAGGCCGGGAAGTCCTCAGTGCTCGGGATAGCATTGTGTGAGGAGGGAGTTGTATGTGAGGGAGGTGGAGGAGGAAGAATAGAGGTAAAGCTTTCGCGCCGGCCCGTTTCTGGAGTTCTGCCAAAATGTCGTTGGGAGCTTTCGGGATTTGCGTTGCCGTAGTCTGTTTGTGGTATAGCGCCAATGACCCAACCCGACATTATCCCGACTTAATAACTGCCTCCTTTGGTACTTTCTGTCTCTCCTTCTTGGATATAATTAAAGATGGGAGATGGAATTCACACTGACGGATACTAGAAATATTGCGGCGTCAAAAAGTCATTGTTCTCACACTTCACATCACCATTCACTCACTCCTGGACTAAGTGTTTAATACCATGTTCTTTTAATTTACCACACTTATCCGTCTCTACAAAAGTCATCCCAACGCTAATGCAAATCCCAACCTATCCCATTCCCAATCCATTCTGGCCATGTTCCAATAAACTCCCATGCATAAACCAGACACTCCGCAGATACCATGGTATCCGACGAAAAAAAGACATTAAAACGCCGAGGCATGCATGAAGATAAGATAAGAGGTTTTGTGACCTGAGTGATATGCGTTCATGTAAGTATAAGCATCTAAAAATGCACGCGGCTAGCTGGTGATTTCAAATCGAGGAGGGTGGGTGGTAGAGGGAGCTTAGCCGCTGGCACGCATACCGTGCGTGTGTTGTAGACCGGACAGTATAAACTGGTACATGATCGTTCAATCTGTATGGTGAAGGTCAACTTGCACCGGTGACAAGTTGATCAGTCATCATCGTGGAAGAACGTTGGCCCTGTGGCTTGAGGTGGTGCCGTTGATGGCCCCGCATCCGTCATGTCCACATCGTCTTTGCAGTAAGCAGCTTCTTGTGAAAGCAGTCCCGACATCGGTTGGTCTTGAGCATTCGGATTTGATCGGTATTCGAGAGCACTTAATGGCCTCGGGGTTGTGGATAGTAGGCGTTGGACGAGAGTATCCCTTTCGTATAGTTGCTCTTCAGGGGGAGAGAATGACCAAACCTGACAATGTGAGTAAACATCTCGCAACGGAAAAAGACTACATACCTCCATAATTGTCCGATTTGATCGGCTGGCCATCACAACACACTTTTCCTCTTCAAATGCAACTCTCCATACTGCATCAGCAGGAGCGGTGAGTTCCCTGACCAATACACCAGTCTTCAAATCCCAGACCTTGACTCTGCCATCACTACCTCCACTCACGACCCGGGTATCGTCAAATTGCAAACTCGTCACACTATTATCATGAGCAGCCAATCTATGTATGGGTGCCATCTTTTCCAAGGACCAGACTCGTACTGAACCATCAGACCCACCAGTCACGAGAGTATTCCCGCGCATCTGAAGCTGACCAACCAAGGAAGTATGGCCTTGAAGAATTGCTACGCAAGCGCTAAGAAAAGGCATTAGCGAAGGATTCAGCATGTACCACGATTTACTTACCCATTATTTGGATCCCATATCCTCACACTTGTATCTAGACTGCCTGTTGCTATTCTTGAGCCATCAAAAGCAATGGCGTAAATCTGAGAGAAATGCCCGGTAAGCGTCCGGAGACACCTCCCTTCAGAAATACTCCAAACCCTTGCAGTTGTATCATAACTGCCGGAAACCACAATATCACCCTTGATCTCCAGACACCTGACGCTGGCTTGATGACCCACGAGGACATTTTTGCAAAGTCCAGTTTTGATATCCCAAACTCTCAGTGTCGTATCTCGTGAGCCAGAAATGGCTGTGTTCGCATCTGACATTTTCAAGCAACGTACTGTCGACGTATGCCCTCGAAGAGTATGTAGGCTCTCGCTATGATTTAGTCAGTATCGGGATCATCCAACCATCCTGCAAAATACATACCCAGTAGACATATCCCACACCCGGACGTCTCTATCACATCCTCCACTAACAAGAGTATCCTCCCAAGGAACCATAGCCCAAACACCCATGACGTGCCCCTGCAACGTTTTTTGTTGATTCCCATCCGTGTTGAATACATGAATCTTCGCATTATCCAGCGCCACCACAATGTATTTAGGCGTAAGATGTAGACTTGTCACCACCCCTTGATCCTGCGTAATATGCCTCGCAATGTTTCTTCCACCAGTCCTCCATGCCGTCTCCACCAAGTATCTTTGTTTAAAATGCGACTTGTATGATCTAATCTTCGGCCTCCTCAAAGCATTCGAACTGGTAGCACTATCAAAACTCCTCGAATTGCCAGGAACATGCGGTGCTACTGCTGTCGCCCCTGGATATGAATAAGTCGGTGTTTCGCCGTCAAAATATCCAAATATTGGGTTTGGGGGAGGTCGTAGCGAGGAGAAGGGAGGCGTGCTGATATGCGCTTCTGACATCCTCCGCCCGTAATCGTGTTTTGCACACAACTTCATCCATGTTACATCATCAGCCAGTAATTCTCGCCATCTTTGCGAGACCTGAGATGCGCGAGCGAGGACCTTGGGGTCGTCGATGAAAGAGAGTATCTATTGCAGGAATTAGCAGGGGACGGAGAGTCTAGGCACAATTGCATATCTTACCCGTAAACATATCTCATTTGGTAGACTGGTGAAAGGGTCTTTCTTTAGCAAAGGATCTATGTACTGCCGTACAAAGCTGAGCTCCCGGCTGGTACATATGTTCAACAGATCGGCCAGCAGCCTTGTCCGCTCCGGGTAGGAGCTGGTATTGAAACGCACTCGCATATCTGACAAATAAACATCTTCCTCGTCTCCTGCTTGGCTCCAATCCGGCTGTGGATGGTCCGGACCTGGACTCGCTGCTGGTGTAGGGGGTGGGGGCGGATCATGGCTCGAATGTGTTGGGGAGTCTGGGTCTGCTGACGGGGTCATCATATTAGGGGTCGGAGGCCCTCGTGGCCGTGTCTGCACGATCTTTTCGACTCGAGAGGGCAAGCGTACATTATTCGTGGTGTTGAGGGTTAGGGTTGCGCGGGTGGTGGGAGAGAGATCGCCGTCATCTGGGTTGAAACCCATCGAAGCCCTTCTTTCAGTCAGACTCAAAGGTCTGTAACCCTCCATCGTTACTTCTCTGGTCGTATACCCTGGCGATATTGTGATTCGGGACGGTGGAGTAGGGTTTAATGATGGCAGGCGGGGTGGATCGTCGGCGATGCTTTTACGGTGAGGTCTGGATCTTGTGGAACCTTGCTGGACCGGACTAGCTAGTTGCCGTAGAAGCTGCGTTGCGGGTAGAAATGTTGATAGTTCATATGATATGTACACTCGGCAGACGTTATGATTATCATATGGATTGGGATTTGTCGTTTTCAGGGGTGGTAAGATGGGTGAGAAGAGGCAGTTAAAAGGAGTTGAGTCGTGCTACTGGACTGGAGTGCTGTATGCGAATTTTACTGTACAGGACAGGCTGGGCTCGAATGAATGTCGAGTAGGGGGTTATGTATGAATGCGGACGAAATCGTGAAATCTGGCCCTTGACCCTCGTGCTGCCGGCTTTATCAATGGGTATCCTGTCGTCTTTGTCGTCTCGGTGTCGCGCGTCGCTATGGGAATTGAACGGGATGAATAGAGGAGGAGGTTGTCGTCTCTTCCACTCCACTGTCTCAAGCGGCGGTGGAGCTGAGCGTTGGGCTTGCAGGGTTACTGTACCACCGGCAATTGCAGGGGGGGAGGGGGGAACTTATCCACTTAGAAGAGCGAATGGGCGTTTAGAAATCCGAGTTTACGGGATGACTTGCAGAGAAAGCATGACAGAGGGAAAGAAGATACATAGGGAGTATTTGAAGGCTATGTAGATATACGAAGTAATTATCCATCTAGTCATTTACACTGTTTTACATATTCACGTTTTGTTGGCACGCGGACTCCATTACTCACCTCGACCAAAACCAGGTCATTTTTTCTTTTCAACCTGTATCATTTTCACCAAGTACTATACAAAGGACAGATGTGATAAGTTCTATATTTATCAAATATCATCCGCATCCATCACGTCCAGCGACTTTCTTTCATTTCATTCAAAGTCTCATATTTCGTATCTACAAATCAGCCGCAACCATTAAACCATAATTAATCTACCAATCAACCTCATGACCCCCTGACTTTAGACCCAACGTCACACATGACTTTAACGTGCGACGCTGCGAAATGCAGGGGCACCTCATGAAACAGGGAGACATGTGCACTGCCTCATTATAAAATACAGTAACACGAGAATACCGATATTATTTTGGCTTATTAATAACCGTACTTGCACCTACTTAATAACCAACTGTAATTCAAGCCAAGGAAGAGAGTTATTACTCCTTTTAGTTATGCTATATTAGTTAAAGACTATAGGAGATATTAGATCCTTAGCTTCGACTTACTTGTATCCTCCTCGCTAACCCCCTTTTCCCCGCCGCGAAACAGTACATAACTTAAACAAAATTTACGGAAATCTCAAATATCATAATACAATCTAGATTTATCTTAGCTATACGGAATACACTAAACGATCTATCACCAAGGAAAGATATCTGCCCTACCTGGCCAAGAAGATCAGGTAGATACGGATAAACTTTAGCATAAACTCCACGCCCAAGAACAGATTAAGCGACCCCCTTCTTCAGTAATCCAGAATCAAGATCCACGCAAATGGAACTCTAGGTATAAAACCAATATACTTGTTCAGCCTGTGTAGTTACTTTCGTCAAAATGTACCTAGACTTCCTTGTCATCACTAACTTACTTGAATCCCGAGATGAAGACGCGAACAGACAGACAGACAGACCGACACCTTTTCTTTCTTTCCTTCCATCTTATACTATGTTTACTTGCAAGCTATATAACCATATTACCCGCATGCTCATCCCGTAACGCCTATCAACCCACATAAGATGCATGATATAACATAGCGGGTACATAATCTATCTAGGTATTCTTCACTCGTTGGCGCAATCGCGAGCAATGGATTAATGATGATGTCCAAACTGCGTCAAAAGCGGTATCAACATGCCCCCAACCGCTGCAAACGTATCGCGCATCTGAGTTTTGGGTTTCGCGCGCTGGCTGTTTCCGTTTTCTGCGTATCCGTTTTGTTCGTAAGTGGTGTGGGTGGAGTCGTCTTGCATGGCGTGCATGGCTACATATCTATCTCTTCGCATGAGCAAAATCCCAAGAGTAATTAAGTAGGTAGAGAGTAGAAGAAGGACAGGACTTACAGAAATGTCCCCGCGGAAAATAACAACAACATCCCCGTCCACCACTGCCCCCTCTCCCCCTCAATATGGCCCCCTCCAAGTATATTGACCATGACCCACGTACTCAACGCTCCAAACGGCGCCGCGAGACTGAAAATTATCAAATGCCCTCTCGCTGCCCTCTTGCTTAATCCTTGCTTCAGCAACACGCTTGTAAGCCCGAACGCCGCGGGCGCTTTATGCACCATGATGGCGATGAAGATGATGAAGCCCAGCTTCGTGTTATCTGTACTAGCGCTTGCGCCCATGGCAATGCCGTCTGCGGCGGCGTGGATTACCAGCCCAGTGGTTGTAGCGAGACTGCGGGTTTGCTTAGGCGTTGGCGCGAGGGATTGTAGGAAGGATTCGGATTCTGGGTCGGAAATTGGAGAGGAGGGGGAAGAGAGACCCATGGAGAGATTGTCGAGGGAGATGTGTCGGGTGGGGGGAGGTGGTTGCATGTTTTCGGAGGCGTGGCGGGGGAGTTTGTCGACTAGGTACATGAGGATGAAGCCGAGTATTAGAGAAAGACCGATGTAGAATGTTGGGGGGCTGGGTTCGTCGTGGTGGTCTTTCTTTGGTGATGAGTCTTGGACTGCCTTTTCAGGGGGGTCTGTCTGCTTGGATGCTGTAGGTGTTGTAGGGGCTGCTGGAACGGCTTTCTCTTCTATTTCCAGCCCTGGGGCATCTTCTCGTTCAGATATCGAGTCTTCCGCCCTGCGTACGTTCAGAGGGGTTAGATTGGCACTACTCTGCCATGAGACTTCAGCCCCCTTCCCCATAGCTGTAAACTCCTTCTCGTATGCGAATGCCCCGCTGATTTCGCAGTGTATACGGCTTCGATTCCTTCTGGGATGATGACTATGAGCGATGTACCCACAAGCACTCCCATTCCAATGGTGGAGATCAATCGTAGTTGCGACGAGGAGAGGCTCATGGACAATGGTAATGCGCCGGCGAGGAATGAGCTGTATAGTAATTAGTAGATGCTTTTCAATGTGGTTTACAGCCTCACTTACGCCAATGCCATCACCACGCTCAACATGACCAGCATGAATAATCCGTCCAACATTTTGATCCCTTGATTCGACGAAGCTGTATATGCGATTGAGATGCGCTGTTACCGATACATTGCGGTATCCGTCTTCTTGAAACTGATATTATGCGATAAAATAACCAGAGCATCCAACCGTGGCGTGCCGATTCTCTTTCGAAGGATTGTTGCTGACTTCGTGGGATGACAGATTAGAGGTCGGTCTCGTCTCCACAAGGCTGAATGATCGGATCCTCGCTCGCTTGCAAGCTCAAGCTCAAACGCGTCCTTAAAATCAATTTACGCGCCTCAATTCCAGCAATCCGCTGTATTTGTTCCCTTCTACATGATTAATCTGACATCGCGATCCCGACAACGAGCAAACGCAGAGTAGCTATCATCATGGCAGACAAGATGGCTGAAGCTTTAGTTGAATGCAAGTCTACCCTCTCCGGCGCAAGTTGTACATCCCACAAGCACTGCGACAACCACCAAGATGCGTGGAATGCGCGCCCAGCCCATACACTGAAGTTTCCAACTATCAATGCTAATCCTACATCACAGGGTCTTCCAATGCCAATGACGCCATCAACATCTCCCTCGTAAACCCTCAAAAGACGCTCTCAACCTTCCACCCCAAATTCACATACCCAATCTTCGGCGATGAAGAGTCCATCTTTGGCTACCAGGGCCTCAAGATCAATCTTCGATACAACAGCAGTGATATGCGCCCGGTCTTGCAGGTTACATACAATAAGAAATATAAACCGGTTGGGGACGTGGAACCTACGGATGTGAAGGGTGCGCTGGAGGAGTTTCTGCCGAAGAGTAGGTTATGATGTTGTCATATTTGCTCAAGTTCTGACAGAATATAGCTGCGTTTGAAAAGATTTCCGTATTTGAGGCTGCGATCAAAGATCCCTCGTCTGCGGAATGGAGCCCACCGGGAGAATTATGGACGACGGTTTCAGGCAAAGGAGATGAGTGCTTTGAGGTATGGAAGGGTAGCCTTGCGGACGTGACTGTAAAGCAACTGGTCAAGCGGCTTCAAATACTAGTTCCTTTCTTCATTGAAGGCGGGACAATGATCGATCTGGATGATTCAGAGGCAAATCTGGATAGATGGACGGTATTCTTCCTTTACAAGAAGACTCTAGCTGGGACATATGAATTCGTTGGCTACTCGACAGTCTACCGATACTTTTTATACCAACCGCTTACCAAATCCGGAAAATCGCCAGTAAAGAAACAGCGTATCGAGCAAGAAGCCTACCTAGACTTCACGCTCCCTCTCCCAAAAACATCCTTCTCAGACCTACCATGCCGCTCACGGATATCTCAATTCATCATCCTGCCACCCTACCACGGCGGAGGAAACGGTTCTCGTTTCTACAATGCAATCTTCGACTACTATCTCCAAGACAAGAGCACGATCGAGATTACGGTCGAGGATCCGAACGAGGCATTTGACGATATGAGAGATCTGAACGATCTAGCTCGTCTTCGAACAATCCCCGAATTCACAGCGCTCCGTATAAACAAGTCAGCCATGCCCCGCCACACCGGCCCCGTACCACGCAACATCCTCGACCTGCCCCTCCTCGAGACGCTGCGCACGAAACTGAAAATCGCACCGAGACAATTCTTCCGCGTCGTCGAGATGCAACTCCTCTCACTCATACACCCAGCGGTCAAACAATCTCTGCTGGTCGAACATTCAACGAAGGATGTGCCGAATCTAAAGGAGAAGAAGCACGAGTATCATCTGTGGCAGCTGTGGGTTAAGAAGAGGCTGTATAAGCATAATAAGGATACCCTTATGCAGCTGGATCGCAGTGAGAGGATTGAGAAGCTGGAGCAGGCGTTGGGGGGCGTGGAGGCGGATTATGCCAGACTGTTGAGGGCTTTTGGTGATAGGGCGAAGGCGCCGACGGGGGAGAAGAGGGGCTTGGAGGGAGATGGAGGGGAGGAGGGGGAGAGCGGGGGGAAGTCGGAGGAGCCTAGTGCCAAGAAGGTTAAACTTGCTTAGAAAAGGGGTTTATAATTTATACCATGGGAATGCGACTGAGGGCTCAAGCTGGGGGTCATAAGGAGAATGGCGTTATCATATGTTTATGAACTAGATACGGCGTTACATACATCACGGCATGGCACGGATATGATTTGAATGAATAAACAAAGTTTACTTCTACAGACTGGCGTCTAATACCAGTACATGTCTAACTATCTATCTCTCACCTCTAACCCCTCTATGCTACTTTACTCTAACCTCCTCGTTCCATTAACCCCCTGAACACCCTTCCCCAACAACGCCGCCACCCCCGTCGCCTCCCTAACAGCCTTCGCCACCGTCCCCCTAACCATACCCTCCTCCAGCACCAGCAAGCCTCCAATCGTACACCCTCCAGGCGTCGTAACCTTATCCCTCAGTATCGCCGGATGCTCGCCATTAAGCACCAGCCCCGCCGCGCCCCTCATGGTCTGCGCCGCCATACGCTGGGCCTCTGCTCTCGGGATGCCCATCGCGACGGCGCCATCGATAGCAGCCTCCAGCACGAGCGCGAAGAAGGCAGGCCCGGATCCGCACAATGCGGTCGAGGCGTCCATGTTGGAAGCGGGCAGGTAGACGACGTCGCCGATGCGTTTGAAGATCCAGGTTACGAGGGCTTCTGTCTCGGTGGGTAGGGGCGGGGTGGAGGTTGCGATTACGGTCATGGATTCGCGGATCTGGGACGCCGTGTTGGGCATTGCGCGGATGACTGTCGGTGCTTCTTCACCCGGGGAGAGGGAGAGGGAGTCGAGGATTGCTTCTTTGGTCACGCCGGCGCAGATGCTGATGAGGAGTTTGTTCTGCAAAGCAGTGCGCATGCCTTCTGCGGCTAGGATGGAGGATACCATGTAGGGTTTGCAGGCGAGGAGGATGATGTCTGCTTCGGTGCAGGCGCGGACATTTTCATTTTGGACGATGGAGACGACGTTTAGGTGGGAGGAGAGGGCGGTTTGGATTTGGGATGCTCGGGTGGGGGTTCGGACGCAAGCGATGAAGCGGGAGGGGAGGCGGGAGGGTGTTTCTGTTGATGTGGAGGTGGAGGTGGATGTGTTTGTGGATGGGGATGAGGAGGAGAGGGAAGAGAGGATCCCGGAGAGGATTGCTATGCCCATTGTACCTGTGAATTGTTGTCAGCCTTGGTCTTGTTTGTTATGCCTGCTTGTTTGCAAACGGGTCAATTGAGTGGATTGAATTGATTGCATTGAATTTGCAAAAGACATACCGCAGCCCAAGACTGTCAAAGTCATCTCTGATCCTTTTTCACCGTTGCTTGCCATCTTTTCTTCAACACAGCCTTTTCTGTCTGCTTGACTTGAAAAGTTCTTGAAGCCTTTTGTAGTACATACAGAACAAGACAAGGATCTACTCAACTGCCCCTCCACACTGCATCCCAACCCAGTCAGGCGCAGCAGCACAGACCAACTCTTACTTCTCACTCACTCCACCATGTCTTTCTCTCACTCCACCAACCTCGACTACGATTTCACATCCCCTCCGCCCTCCTCCAAGCTCCGCGATCCCTTCGAGAGCCACAGCTACAACCATGACCCCGTCGTGAACAGCAGCAGCGTGCCTATCCCCGACCGTGGCCACGGTACCACCACCCAAAATCAAAAGAGAATGGATCCGTTCGAAGTGCGCATCCGCTTCACGCAGCTGCTGCAGCATCTCAATGCATCAGTCACCAGCGCGAATAAGGCGGCGCAGTATGCGTTGAAGTATCGGGATATGGATGAGGATTTGCATTCTTGTATTCTCGAACAGTTGGAGCGTGTAAGCAATTCTCCTCACTTACAAAAAAAACCTACATATAACATGGACAAAAAAGCTAATATTAATGCAAAACTCAGAACACAATGAACAACCGTGCAAACATAATGTACTTCATTGAACACCTCTGCGATGCATCAGCCCGCGAATCCCACACAGCCTACATCCGCATGATGGAGCGCGACATCCTCCGCGTCGTCGACGCCGTGGCGCCCGAAGACGGATCCGGGGCGGCCAACGTAAAAGTAGTGCGGCGCGTCCTTCAAGCCCTTCAACAAAAGTCCTTCCTACTACCCCAAACAATCATAGAAATCGAAGAATGTCTCAAGGAGCGCGACACCCTTCCCTCATCCTCCCCAGCCGATGTGGAGATGACAGCTACGAGTACAGGTGGGAGGAATGGCAGCGGCGCGTATGCGCATGGCAAGCTGGATAAGAAACAGGTGGAACAGCGCATCGAAGAAGATCGCGAGCGGCATAAGCGTTTGAGGGAGAATATCTGGGCGGTGCCGAGGAATGGGGATCTGGAGGTGGAGTGGCGGAAGTTGTGGGATGAGACGAGTGAGTTGGGGGAAGATGATTTTATTCTGTATGAGGAGGAGGCTGCGGAGCGGAGGGAGGCGGCGGGGGATTGGGCTGAGGAGTATAGTATGAAAGTTAAGGTTTCTGCGAATGAGTGAGTGAGCATTGCATTTACTGTGGCGTGGCGTTTGGGAAGGGGAATATTCGAGGATTTGAGGCGTCATGGATGGCATGGAATGGAGTATTTAAACCTGGAAATTGGCGAGCATATTAAGTAGATGTTGGCATTTGTTTCGATGCATTATATTATTCGACGAATGAAATTTGATAAGTGTCCGCTCTCTCTTCGCACATACTATAGCAAGTCGTAACAACAAACAAACTACCTAGGCAGGTAGCTTAAGTGCATCTACTCTCTTCTCTTTGACTCTTTCAGCGATACCTCTTCTTTTCACCTAAAGTATCTATCCCTCCCAGCCGTGGTTTATACGTATAGTATTTGGGAGATTTATTGGTGTGATTGAATTGTAGGATTGTATTGTATTGTATTGTAATGGTATATGGGGGTTTTGTTTTTATGGAGGTAGAGGGTAGGTAAGGTAGGGAGGGTAGTATGCGTAGGGAGTTGAAGAATTATTACAGTAGATGGCTTTGTGCGGAATGATTGGATTATATTATATTGAGATTGAGATTGAGGTAGAAGGTAGAGGTAGGTAGGTAGGTAGGTATAAAGCACCAAGTAAGTAAAAGGGGCCTTGAGAGCTGTATCCAAAAGGGGCGTATGAAATTCCTACTTGTGATTCATCCCATATGATATATTCGTAAATTCATAGCATAGGCTAGCGCCAATTTACCTACCCAACCTAACACCCAAAAGGAAATCCAACAATCAATTCCCGTCTCTTTCAAAACGTCTCGTTGAAGAAAGGACCCCCACTTAGAAACCCCCTTTATCCTGCACCTTCTTTAACATCCCCTTAACCCCCTTAATCAACCCCTCCATCTTCCCCGGATCCCCCATATACCCCGTCCCCGGCCTGCCCTGCCCATCCCTCCAAATCCCATCTTCAGCCGCCTCGCCAAAACGACTCGTATTCTGATTCCGTTCTATACCTTCTCTCCACTGCGCGCAGATGGCCGCGCTATCAAGCATGACGTTGATTTCCTGGCTATGGTACCAACTCTGCGTATCCTGATTGCCACTACCCTGAATCCCCACATGTTCATCAACAATCAGGAGCTTGATATGGCAAGAGCGCTGCTTGAAGGACTGATGAATGGGGTGGTCCTGGTCCTTGCCGACATAGTAGCAGGTTTTCAGGCGTTGGCGCTCAGCGGCGGAGATGGAGCGCACGAGGGTCTGCGCGGCCTGGTCGTTGGTGCCGCCTTGGCCGGGGATTATCTCGCCAGCGTCGTTGTAGCCGAAGCAGACGTAGTAGGTGACCTGGATACCACGCTTCAGGGCGGCTGCTAGGGCGGGGATCAGGGGCGCGGCGTTGAGGTCCGGGGTTTGGATGAAGATTGTGCGGGTGGCGTTGCGGATTAGGGAGAGCCAGGCTTCGTTCTGGGGGACGTAAACGTTTTTGCTGTTGGGGGGGCCGTAGGGGGGGCGGGATACTAGGGCCATGGGTACGGGGGCGGATGTCATGCTGGTGATGTAGGGGGTCATTTCTTGGCCGTCTGGGATGTCAGGGCCGGAGGGGGGAATGGGGTCTTTGCATGCGAGGTTGAGTTGGCGGTTTATGGCTTGCAGGTGAGTTTCGTGGGGTTTGGTGGAGTAGCAGGCTTGCATGCGGATTATTTCGCTGTTGATGGTGGTGTCGTAGTGAGGATCACCTGGCATGTGCTCTGGAAGGCGTTCTGCATGTACCCGTCCCTCGGCTGCTATTTCGCCTTGTCCTTGAGGGAGTGTTCGGTCGAGGTAGATGGGCTCTGTATTGGATGTGGGAAGACCACCATTAGTTGCTGGCGTGCTGTGGGAAGGAAGTGTAGGGACGAGATGGTTATTCCAGGTGATCAACGCCGTGTCGTAGATACTATCCACGATTGGCCCTTCCAAATGGGTCATCATCTCCACGTTATCATTGTCTTCCATGTTATTGCTCATAACGGCCGCTTGTTTGCGATCCACGACACAGAACTTGGCGTGAAGTGTTCCTAAAACCAGCCTATGGAGACTGACGACCTGGAAATCTAGATTGGGTATCTCTTCTGGCTTTGGCAACAGAATGGCCTTGCCTGAATATGCTTCCGGCTTCACCGCTTGATGGGCGTCGAATGCATTCGAAGCCGATGCCTTGTCGTACATCATCTTCACCACCACCCTCTCCCCCCTCTCCCCAGCTCTTCTCGACAGCTCTACCAGAGCATCTCTGACCAGTCTTTGTGCCACACTCGGGGACCACGAACATGTGATGAAGAAGACCTCTTTCTCAGCGCGGACAATCATGTTTGACACATGGCGGATGATGTCTGCCAACGGTGCAATGACAGTGAGTGGTACTGTTCCATGAGATCCAATTAATGGAGGGGAGACCACTCCAGACATGGGATCTGCATCTAAACAGTTCAGGGAATCGGCAAAAGCTTGTAGGAAGAGAGGACTGGGACGCGATGGACCCCAACGACCGCAATTGAAGGCCAGCTCCAGCTTCAGCGACTGAAGGGAAGACGGGGTAAAGCGATGTCCATATCCTTCTGGTTCATAGTGCACGTCTTTTTTGTAGTGCCCATAGAGCTGCTTGACAATGTCTCCAGGCGCTTCTGTGGGGGTTCTCGCAAGGACTGAGCTGACTGAATCGGTGGCTTGACAGAGCTCGAGAACATGTTGCGACACCATCGTAATCGTCAAGTGAGAGATAGTGATGTTCGTGAATAGCAGAGAGATAGATGCCAAGACACGCCAAGATGCCAAGCTGCCAAGATGCAGGTCGGTCTACTTATGTGATGCAAGTCATGGTGATAGTACAGTATGCGGGGTGAACCCATGACGTAGCGTATTTTTACTTTCAAACTTGATTGTTCGGGACCCCTGAGTATTGAGATTTATTATTAGAACTACACGTGATTTAGCCTCATACTGCGAATAGTGGCATGTTCCTTTGCAGCCCCTTGAATATGATTTCGAGGTAAAACATATCTACATTTTAACAGGCAAACGATAATGTAAGACAAACCCTGCATTGAACCTTTTGTCAGCCTGATGTGAGAGACCCCGTCATATTGAAGACTTTATCCTTTCAAGAGCATTGAAAGGTAAGGACTGCGAACCATGAAACGAGGGGACATCATTCAGGAGCAACTCACGTATTAAGGAATACAGAAGTGAACAAAATTCATCTCACTCCCGATATGGCCAAGCCGACTCAGACTTGTTACATATAGGATGACTTCCCTGTAAAACCATGTATCGCTTCCGAGTCTCGACCGACCAATTATCTATTCCAGACAAAAGAACATAGATTTAAGAACACTGCGAACGGCGCGATTGTTGAAACATCTATTAGGCACGTGTTATGTAGATTACGTTAGACGCTAGTAAGGATACAACCTCTTCCTAATTCAACCAATAAATGTATCTCATTCTAACCGCGATTACTCCGTACCTTACTCATATAATGAATCTGTACTGATTCGGTAATTCGTAAGATGGTGATATACAGATCTGCAACTTGCTGTTGGGACTACTCGGTTAAGCGCTTCGCTTGTGGCTGAGCCTTCCTCAAGCGGGCGACGTTTCGATCCCATGTTGGAGAATAATCTGCATGGTCCAATCAAGGGGGAGATTGATTCTCCAACATGGGATCGAGACGTCGGCACTTTGAAGGATTAACTAACGTTATTTGTACGTGAAATTTTTAATATGACGCTGCGTTTGTTGGTTTTGCGGCGTAGGTAGGTAGACACTTTACTTTGTTGCCTCAAGCAATCATTAAACATCCTTCATTCAAGATGCTTCGTTTCTCTTAATTAATCAAGGCGTTGTCATTTCTCTATTTTACGTCGTTCATTATACACATACAATGCGAATCAATGTCTTCCATACCCTAAAAATATCCATCGCATTTTCTCTCCTCTCACTACCTCTAGCATCATCAACATGCACAAACTGGACCGCAGTCCCCGCCTCACAATGCCCCTCCTGTCTATCCACCTACACAATCCCAATCGACGTCCTCGAATGCCCGCAACCCAATAATGACACTAGCTGCACCATCCCCCTAAAAACCTACTCCGTGCAAGCATACCACCACATCGACATCCCAGCCACCACTTCCACGCCCGCACAACTCAACATCTCGCACTCCATCCCGGCCTCCGACGCCCTGAGCATCTACGCCCTCGCGCCCTCGACCGAGCGCGTCCAATACGACAGCCTGAACGCGACAGTCAACACGCTGAGCATACCCCGCGCGGACCGAAGAATGGAGCTCGGGACACGCAAGGAGCTCACGTTCGTACCGTTCATGAACAGCGTGTCGGGAACGCCGAGCGGGTGCGCGAATGCAAGTTTAGATGGCCGTCTGCTCATGGTGCTGGCGCCGGCTTATAAGGGCTTTCCGGGGGACGAGCTGGAGGGGAAATGGGTCGTGGTTACGAGTAATATCTCGGATGACGGGGCGAGTGGTACGGGCATGCAGAAGACTTCTGCTGGTAGGGGAGGGGGTGTGGGGTATGGTGCTTTGAGGGGGTTAGGAGTAGCGGCTGCGGTGTTCTCGTTCTTATGACATGGATTGTATTATTTTATGCTCCTTTAACCCGTGTGACTGGGTGAGTGACATGCCGTCTTTTGAAATTCTGTGAGCGGCGACAAAGGCATGTGAGATATTGTATGGTGATTAATCAAGAACAAAAACTAAATTTGAAGAATGCTAGATCAATTTTAAAAGGATGATCGCTTTTGTAGAAAGAAGTACATTTCCTCACTACAGCCGTGAAGAATAATAGCACGATGGACAAGAGAATAATAAGAAGAGATGTCTATATAAGTTTTAGTAAGCTTAATCAATTGCAACGCAAAACTGTAAATGACTTTCTCTAAATTCCTAGGAGTTAACTTAACTTGTTGAGATACGCGTATACGGGTTTAAAGGGGCTCGCTTAAAGTGACAACCCCTAGAACTCAGCTCGGTTCCAAAGCTAAACTTTTTGAATACCCCGCTATCCTGTTCCGGGACTTCCTCCAGCTGCCTTCTCTCTTTATATCTATCATCGCCTCTACGCATCACAATTCCACAACTAGTCCACCCCGATACTTCACAAGCATACGTATCTTGGAAGCTGGAGCTTATGGCTTTCTCGTGGATCATGTTCCAGACTGCCTGCTAATGAGTCTAGCCAGCCGAATCGGGCTTGTCACCCGCAAGCTACCCGCACGGGAAGTAGCGTGCGGGGGAGTGACTTGTATCAAACAAGTGGTATACATCAGCCAGCCTCTTTCAATATCGACTTTTCTAATCGAGATATGTAGCTGTGGACTAATGCATCGCATGGGGAATTGTTTCTAGTCGAGTAGGAACTCAAGTCATACGATTCGTCAAATAAATATGGCACTTCGGTCATGTGGGTTGTAGGCCAGAGCTGTTCCAGCTCCATGCGGTCTTTACCACCGTCCCAATGTGTCCATATACATCGAGGCTATCCAGAAAATGTGTTCTTCTGTGGTCTCAATTGCCAGAACTGGGCGTTCTCGACTCTTGCGGGGTATTACTTCAGCTCAATTGTCTCACACAACCTCATGCTTCAGCTGCCACACTCCCAATTGTCTAAGACCTCAAGCGGGAAGAGATCCAAGCCCACGAACGCCTTTCTATAAAGATCATGCCCCAACCAAAACTTGCTGGTTCATATCAGCGAACTACCCAAATCACTACTCCTGTCCATCACCACATCAGCAATATAAATCCCCTCATCGGCCTTTCTCAATAGTAGCATGTCTGAAGCTACTCAAGCTGCTCCTAGCCTTGTGGGCGCCCCTGGCTGGCTGTCCGACGATTACGACGGACGGGATCGACTATTCAAAGCAGAGCCTTCCACCACGGTCAGGAGCAAAGTAGACCTCCGCCAAGACTACCCCGAAGCTTTCAACATTGTCTACGATCAATTCAAAACGGGTTCCTGCGTAGCCAATGCCTCCGCAGCCGCGTATATTTTTCAGCGCCGGAGACAGGGACTGCAGAGTTTTGAAGAGTACAAGGACCCGGACTTTGAACCATCTCGTCTGTTCCTATACTACGCGTCACGTACTTCCAGGCAGAAGGTCAAAGGCGTGGAGCAGTATGTCCTCAGCGACACGGAAAACCCGGGCACGTATACCAGACTTGCGATGAAGACGTTGGAGAAGCTTGGCGTGTGCGCCGAGGCAACTTGGCCGTACGGTGACAAGACCAACCAACTGTGGGTGACGGAAGTTGATAAAGATCCGGGTCCCGCAGCATTCCAAGAGGCTGCTTCTCATACAATCCTCGAATATGCTCGGCTGGATGACAAGCACCCCCCTGACGCCGTAAAGACGATGGGGGACAAGAAGAAAGATGAGTTGGGGGACGCGACGCTCAACAATCTAAAGACCTGTCTCTCGGAAGGTCACCCTGTCGTGCTGGGTTTCAAGTTCTACCAGCCCAACGCTGACAGCTGGGACAAATCTGCAGCGGATGGGATGTTCAAGCTGAAGCCCTTCCCGGAGGATCTGAGACACAAGGGGCCACCTCTAGATGATAGCGAGGACCCGCCTGTGTATTTCGGCGCGCATGCTGTGCTGGCTATCGGCTATGACGATGAGAAGAAGTGTGTGTTAATTCAGAATTCTTGGGGGAGTACGTGGAGTAAGGATGGGCTTTTCTGGATGGGTTATGAGTGGATCACGGACTGGGAGGCAACGCATGATTTCTGGATGCTCAACTTTCTCAAGAGGAAGTAGAGATTTAAGGCGTTGGGTCGGGAAATGAGTACTTGATACGGCTTTTCCTGTACTCGACGTACTGACTTAAGTTGAAAAGTTGCATGTGATGAGGCAAGTCTTGCTATAGATTCGAAATCTGAGAAGTCTGTCTATGAAAAGGTTTCTTTACTTCAGACGCCGCTTAACGCTTTAAGGCCTTGGGACTTACTAGCGTGCTAGATGAGATACACAGGCTATTTCCCAGCTCTCCAACTGTCCCTCTTTCAGCCTACAGATCATATGAAGTACCGGTCCGGTATTGATTATCCAAATAACACTCCTTTCTTCCCTTCACTTCCCAAACCATACATACATTCCACGTCAGACCTTTCAATCCGCCTTATCACTTTTCCCTCTACTCTCACCATCCCCAAAACACCCAATCATAGCTCCGCAACCCAATACAACACCCCAGCACCCTCCCCTTCTCATCAGCATGCAGTTTGCCCGCTACATACGTGCCCGCGATAACTGGGCTCCGGAACGCCAGGAACACGCACTTCCTGACCCACTGCCATCGTCGTGATGGTGTATGGGACGAGCGAGTGTAGGTATGCGGTGCAGTCGACTGGGAGACCGTGCTCGGCCGCGCTGGAGGTGAGGAGGGATAGGTAGCGCGCGGAGGGTGCGCGTAGAAGGGGGTGTGAGGGGGAGGAGGTAATATTGTAGATGTGACTCCGAAGTGACAAGAGCCAGAAGTCAGAAAACGTCCGACGAATCACTTCTTGCTCTAATACTTTTTGGACCATTTTATCTAGGTATACCAGGATCCAATTTGTCCGATTTCCAAGTGTCCTTCTACACTTCATCTGACATGTTCATGGATTCTTACAAGGACAAATATCAATTCAGCTGTATGACTTTGTGTAATCTACTCTATGAAGGCTTGGATACACTACTTCTACCATCTTCATTCCTCCTCGTAATCATAATTTCTTCTCACTCACATCTTCCGTTGATATCAGCGAATCCGTAGAAATCACCGTCGCCGCCGTCTCACGTCGGCCCTGGATGGTTGTAGTACGTCTCGGTTGAATTATTGTATTCGTTCAGAGCCCTCTTCAGCGCTTTCGTCACATATATCATTCCTGCTGGATGTCAATACCACACGTGTAATAGCGTCTGGACGTCTCACCAACTGCAAATACGGCACCAAGGTCAATAACGACGCCATAGCCTGCTCCCTGAGGCAATGGAGGTGGTACCGAGTCAGATATGTTTCAGGTGTGTGAGTTGACTTATAAATTTCAAACCAGTCTTCTTTCTTCTATATGTTGATAATAAGTTTCCTTTCTAGATTTATAGTGTTCTCCCCCGACGTCGGTCTTGCTCAGACCTATAGTTGGTTGAAATAGGCAGCTAACATGCATGAGCGAGTCGGATTGGAAGTCAGACTTAAGCGAGAGAAATAACATGCAGTCATGCTTACCGTTTGTGAACCCCTAAACTAACCCCTGTAGTAGCATGTAAGAGAACATCACTTTCACAACTCCGCGCTGCTAATAATAGTAAAGCTAATGCAAGCCAGTATATATTTCTTATACGGCCTTTGCAAATCGTTTTGAGCCATGGAAGTTACGCGATGGCGAACAGGATTTGGTGCCACTATGAGCTGTATATATAAAAGGTGATGATAAGAGGCGGCGTTTGTATTTTGCTACACTTCACTGCTAGCAAAGTCTCATGTTGTTACCCACTTAGTTTGAACAGACTTCACTCTAGATATGCCAGTCACACAGACTCAGAATTATCCTTGGCGCTGTGTCGCCCCTGGCAATTACACCCAGGACTACGACAGTTTCCTGGCTTTGTAGGGGATATGGAATACTATGGATAGCTATGACCGTCGCCTGCATCTTTAATCTTCTCGTATCAGATTCCAAAGCAATATGCCAGATCTCGAAAACCGATTGCGCAAGGCATGGATTGCGGCACGGTACTATTTTCCTGGACTTGCTACGCGCATGGAAGAATACCACAAGACGTACAACTCGCCCATATCTCAGAATATGAAAATTAAATAGAGCCTCAAAAATGCCCCGTCAAGCTTACACGTGCAGCCCTTGTAGTGACCCTGTACTGTAGCACTACCCTGACAAGCTAACAGCTTACCTACGGTGGAATCTTGTATTCTTACAAGGAGCTTCGTGACTTTACTTAACCGCTATACCTTATGTACTAGTATAATGATCATTAGAAGCATAAAGCAGCAAGAGAAATCATGGAAGTTTTTCACAGAACTTTGCTGCAGTAACTTTTCTTATCTGGCTTGACTTGATAAATAATACAGTTAGCTTAGACCTATATTTTCAAAAGGAAGAAGAATAAATCCCTTTTACTTCAAATCTTACAAATCCATAGCTTAGCATAAAAGAAAAGTAGGTAGCCGCAGCTCCTCCACGTGTCTGTCTGTTAAGCTAATGCCGTACTCGTACTGTAAAATACTTGTACCCTGCTCCTGCAATGTAACCATGACACGTGCATAACGCAAAAGTTAGATTCCGGTGTCAGGGATAAGTAGTCAGAGGCAAGGGCAGGGTATAATGCAGCCAGGGTTGTAGTCAGAAGGTAGCTTAAACAGGAATACTTCGTACGCTTGTCCATGCATAGAGTCAGGCTAGTTACTGTATATGCAGGTGTTAGGGTGGAGATGTCAAGGTGGTAATTCGCATGTAAGAAGTGAACCGGAATTGGAAATCGGATGCGGATTGTGATTGTTAGAGTATGCGTTTACTTATGGTGGTGGGGGTGGGCTGATTACTTGTACGGTACGAAGTATTGTATTGCTGGGGGTAACTATGATGTACCTGTAGTTGTTGGTTCTATATATCTCTTTGGGCTGTTGAATGGCTGTTGGTTTACGAGTGCGATTTGTTGGTCACGAAAAGTCTCTTCCATATGTGCTGGGACTGCCATTTTCTTTCTCACTGGAAGATGACTTTGATATTTCGACTCTCACGAACCATGATACCTCCGTAGGAATAGATATAGTTTCGTCATCTACATCATAAATACCGTTATTGTGTATGCGTTTTGAACTCAAGTCTTTGCACCAAATAAAACAGATAAAACAGGCGCGTCAATAAGCTTGTATCGCGTCCGCTCATTCTCAGTGCTTTTGTTTGACACCCAACCATGATACCCAGCCCTCAACTCATCCACCACTTCTTTCTTCCACAACGGGACGGGATCTGCACCCTGTCCTACCAGCCTCATCTTTCTGTTTCCCGCCATCAATAAAAGCCAGAAATCAGTCTGGGGTATCTGTGGAATAATGGCTCCGTCGACCTTGTCTTCGAGAATGTCTTTACAGAGTAACCATTCTTCGCACAGGGGTCGGCCGAGACCTACCCTATCAACTGTGTCTAATGCTCTAACCATTCCACCGACCGTTCTCATGCCCCCCTTGACATAGATCTTGGTCTTTCCCGTCAGGGCCGGCACAATCTGATCAGCAAACTCAAGGAAGAAGGCTTCTCTGTTCTGGGTTGGGATGCCGTTGTTTCGTGGGTTGTTGTGATCGTAGGTGCAGAGCTGCTCTGTCATGGTGGCTTTCATGAAGCGATTGGGAGCAGTACCCCCGGAGTGCAGTCTCTTGTCTCATACTTATATGTATAGGCCCGTGTATATCCCTACAGAAAGGACATAGTACACATGAACGAAGATGAAAGAGTCGTACGATAAGTAGTGATACACAGCAATAGGGGTCTGACATGCAGAATACATTTTTGGAAGTCTGTCCGTTAGTTGACTTTGACATTGTTTTTAACTTCTCTGCCACCCAAATATGGTGTGTTGACGCTGTAATAAGACCATCCTCTCCCCTTTCTTCTCTCCTTCCTATTCTCTCGCTTAGTACCTACATAAAGCATAACCCCCTGTTCTTCACCAATTAATCAGCTGTTTCGGACTTTACACTATCGGAAATGTCCCTTTACAGTTAGTGTAATGTAGGGAGGCTTCGCTAACATCGCAATTGCAAGATTCGGTGATTATACGCTAAAGTCCGCCCACCTCCGAGACATACAGCAGCGGCTAGGTTTAGTAGTGATTAATACGCATTATGAGCTGTTGCTGATCGTGCTTGGATTTGCTGGCAGAAGTACAGTACACGGTAAGGTAGCATTCACCTGTAATATACTTGGTTTTAGCCCTTGCCTCATTTCACCTGCACCCTTTCGGCTTGGTTGTATTTGTAAATTCGATGTGGTATAGACAGACAGGCGCTACTGTTACTGCAACTGCAACTGTAACTGCCACTTCATCTTTATCTTTCCTCTTCCTCTTCCTCAACCTTCCAAGACAAAGCGCAATTGTTCTTTCATCTCTTCACAACAACTGAACTGATTCTCTCTACTCTTCAACACACCTGGGCAGGGCTTTTGATCCTACCTCTCCCATCACAGCCGTTGCCGTTGAATTTGTCCCTCTCTGATTGCGACAAACGCGCTCCTAAAATGGCGTGGCACCTTCAAGGAACAATCTTCGGCCAGGCCGTACGGCTTGCGACTGGCAACAAATTCTTCCGGTACCCAGACGAGATCGATCCGTCACTGTGGATAAAGGCAGTCCAACAAGAAACCCCAGACGACACTCCGGCGCAGTCTGCCGTTGTGGCAGGCGATTCGGAGAAGGTAATAGATGGAGAGGAACAAAGTAGTTCTTCCAACAACCAAGAGCTTCAAGATGATACCGAGAAAGCTAGTAAGACAGACGTCCTCCTAGTAGGCTGGTATGGCCCAGACGATCCGGAGGTATGAGTTCCTGTTCTTATAGCCACTTTACTGACCCACCATACTCCTTCCAGAATCCCCAGAATTGGCCCATATCGCTGAGGCACACAATCATCGCTCAATTGTGTCTTTTGAACTTTTCGGTCTACATCGCAAGTTCCATGTACACCCCAGGTGAAGGAGAATTCATGAAGGAATTTCACGTTAGCGAAGTTGTCGCAACTTTGGGACTCTCTCTATTCACTTTGTATGAGAATATCCACTCACTTTTGACCCCGTGAAATTCTTAAAGCCATCGCTGACAACTCAAATTTTCTGTAGCGGCTACGGTTGTGGGGCTATGCTATGGGCCCCTTTATCTGAAATGGCAAAACTTGGACGCAGTGGGATTTACTTCTGGACGCTCCTGTTCTTCATCATCTTTCAACTCGCCGTTGGATTTGCTCCGAATGCTCCCGTATTCTTCGTTTTCCGATGGGTGACAGGTTTCTTGGGCAGCCCCTGTCTGTCGAATGGTGGGGGTACAGTCAATGATATGTACACTCCACTTATGATCCCGTATCTGATCTGTATCTGGGCTTCCGCTGGTATTTGTGGTCCTGTTTTTGGTCCCATTATCGGGGGATATATTGCTCCCGCAATGGGATGGCGATGGACGATTTGGGTTTTTACGTGGCTGAACTGCTCTGTGCTCATCCTCATGTTCTTCCTTTCTCCCGAGACCAGCGCTGCAAATATACTTTATAACAGGGCCAAAAGATTGAGGAAGGCAACCGGAGACGATCGCCTGAAAAGCCAGTCAGAGCTTGACGCCGCGCACCACACCAGAAAAGATACATATATCCTCCTCAGCCGAGCTTTTATGCTTACTTTCACCGAGCCTGTTATCTTTCTTATGAACCTATACGCTGGTCTCCTCTACGGCTTGCTCTTCCTATGGTTCGAATCATTCCCAATCGTATTTGGTGGCATCTACGGGTTTGGCATTGGGTCACAGGGATTGGTCTTTCTTGGCATCTTTATTGTCGCTGTTTTCTCAATGTTTGGTTACTTGCTATGGATCAAACTTCAACTTATAAAGAAGATCACTGGTGGCAACTTTAAGCCCGAGATGGTCCTCCCACCAATGTTTGTGGGCGGTCTCGCCCTCCCAATCTGCATGTTCTGGTTCGGCTGGTCATCTCGGTCAAGTATCCACTGGATCATGCCTATTATCGGATCTGGTTTCTTCGCTATTGGAGTAGTAACACTCTTCAACTCACTCTTCACCTACCTCGGCCTTACATTCACAGCGTACGCCGGATCCGTCTTCGCTGGGGCAACCCTTTTCCGCGCCTGTTTCGGTGCATCTTTTCCACTTTTTGTAAGTGTCCTGTATCCTTTGCCGTTCGTCGTATAGGTAATTAATTCCTATCAATAGGCACGAGCCCTCTTCAATAAACTTGGCGTTGCACCTGGCAATTCGCTACTAGGCGCTCTCACTATCTTGTTCATTCCCGTGCCATATATGTTCTATTTCGTAAGTCGTCTTCCCCTCATTACCTTCTTCTATATGATGCTCAACTAAAATTAGTATGGAGAAAGAATTCGTGGCTGGAGTAAACGCGCTTCATGAAGTTCCCCCCTATTGACGGCGCCGAGACTTCCGACATACACAACCCTTTGCGCGAAAGAAGGACTGGATGACATTTGATAGAACAGATGTGCTAGATACTAGGTTCTACGGAGAAATTGAACGCAGGGAGGGTTAAAGCTAAGGCATCTTAGTGCCATGGACTTTGCATCGTAGCAGTCTAAAAATTGCTTAGCATTAATAATTTCCCAACACACCCATACAGCGTTGCTTTTTGCCTTGAACCATGTGGTATAGATCCATAGCCTCGAGCGTGTACATTGTAGTTAGGTTTTAATAAACATGCTAGGGCGACGTTTTCCTTATATATAAAAAACACATTTCCGGGGTCATGTTACACGGTTCATTCAAACTCTTAACCTTAATCTATAAACCAGGATCAATAAGTAGCCAGCTCGTTTTTCCAATGCTAAAAAGTTTAATATAAATACACACTTAGATGAAAACCTAGCTGCCGACGTGAGTTCAGAGTACGTCCTATGCTGTAAGTGGTATGGTGTGGTGTGGTGCAGGCTGACAATTAAACGTATGTCAGGGAGGTGTGGATGTGGATACGGGTTTGCATGACATGCATGACATATTTAGATGGGCTAGTGGATTTTGCGTTGCAACTTGCAAGTGGGTGTCGACTTTTGTAATGTTTGCTTGGCTTTTTGTTGTACAAAGAAGCGTCATACAATATGGCTGGTTCACTTTTCCTTACTTTACCTTTCAACTGTCACCAAGTTACCTCTTACTCTATATGGTTCAGCGGGAACAAATAGGTGACGTCTTGTACACGAATGATTACTAGGTAGGTATGTTTTAGTAGCTAGTCTTTCTTTGCCTATCCCTAAGGTATAGATCTAGTACTAGACACTTGGCTTGAATGGTGTATTCTACCTGGTATATTGTAAATTGTACATCGGTGCCGCTTTTCTTTGATCTATAGTATGTGAGACTTCTTGATTTTATAGAGACGGCTGCAGGTGCGCTGACAAAATACTGACATCTCATATGCAGGCGTCGGCTTTACCATGTGCTTAAATTCGTATCTCCGCTTGTGATAGAATCTTTGAAACTATGAGATGTTTTGCTAGGTATGCACTCATAAATATACCAATTGCAATATTTTCGGCGTGAATAGAATCATCCATCCATCATTGGCAATCCCACAATCAAAACCAATTCAACTACGCACACCATCATGACCAACACGAACGTGCCCCTTCGCAGACTCGGCCAGAAAGGGCCATTGGTTCCAGCACTAGGACTTGGTCTCATGGGCATGTCAACGCTCTATGGAAATGCTCCCAGCGACGAGGAGCGCTTTGCAGTGCTCGATCGGGCCGTGGAACTAGGTGCCACCTCCTGGGATAGTTCCGAGTAAACAATACCCATCGTGCTCCCTAGCTATATGATTCGCTAACCCACGCACCTGGTCAGTTTGTACGGCGACAATGAAGAGCTTCTGGGAAAGTGGTTCAAGCGGACCGGGAAACGAGAGCAGATCTTCCTCGCGACCAAATTTGGATTCATAAAGGGCGCCCCAGGCTTCTCTGCCATTGACAGCTCGGCTGCGTATTGCAAGAAGGCTTGTGCAGAGAGCTTGAGACTGCTCGGTACCGATTATATTGACCTGTACTACGCGCATCGCGTGAATCCCGAGACGCCAATTGAAGAAACCATGCGTGCGCTGGTTGAACTGAAGGCGTGAGTACTGTACCCATCCATACATTGACGTACGGGGCAACATACCTGTGCATGTAAGATCCTTCTCTTACTTACGATGTAATACTCCAGCCAGGGGAAAATAAAACACATCGGCCTCTCTGAAGTCAGCTCGAGCACGCTACGCCGCGCATGCAAAATCGCCCACGTCGACGCCGTGCAGATCGAATACTCGGCCTTCGACCTCCACATCGAAGGCCCGGCAGGCACGCACCTTCTAGCCACATGTCGCGAGCTGGGCGTTGGCATCGTAGCGTACTCGCCGCTGGGCCGGGGCTTGTTGACAGGGGCGTTCAACTCCAAGGCGGCCTTCTCCAACGAAGGGGACTGGCGCGCGGCATTTCCACGATTCAGCGGCGAGAATTTCGATGCGAATGTGAAGCTTGTGAATCAGTTCACGGCGCTGGCTGCGCGGAAGAAATGCACGGCTGCGCAGCTGGCTATTGCGTGGTTGCTGAAGCAGGGCGAGGATGTTATTCCGATTCCGGGCACCAAGCGCATCAGGTATCTAGAGGAGAATTGGGGCGCGTTGAAAGTGCAGCTTTCGGATGCGGAGGAGTTGGAGGTTAGGAGCGTGGTGGAGAATAAGGTCGCGGGCGCGCGGACTATCGAAGAGGCTTTGGCGCAGTGCTTTGCTGATACGAAGGAGGAATGAAGGAATAGGAGACTTTGCTTTCTGCTTAGGGGTGGATCGCTATCAGAATCTCGGTTTTTCATAGCTATTATAGCTAGGAAAATGCGATGAGATTTCTATCTGAGAGAGAAACTCACTATTAGATATGAAATGTACTATTGCACTTTCTCCGTATACAGTCATATTCCAAATAAGCCTTTTTCCTTAGCGTTTCTTAGCATTTTCATCTCCCCCGAACATTTTATAACTTTATAAACATATAATAATACCCTGCAGTTAAAATTAATTATAGTATCAGAATCCTCTTATTGAAGACTTCTAATGAGTCATAAAATCACTTAGTCTAGGGGTGTAGCAAAATCTTAGATTTAGCTGCTTTTTATGTATACTCTCCCCATTCGGACGAGGTTGTCCGTTGAGAATTTAAATGGAATATATAAGAGGTAAATAGAAGGTTAAGTACAAGATCCCTCCCTAAAATCCCCATTGCTTACACCAATGCACCATCAGCTCAGGTGTAATAGCCTTCAAATCCTTCATCGCCGCACTCCTGCCACTTGTCCGGCTCAGATCAAAGACCACCCGCTGAGCATCCTGCGCATGAGACATAGCACGATACGTATCGAGAAGTTTCAGGCCAGGATTAGCATATGCATCGACCGCCTTCGCATCATCCATACGAGTAGTACCAGTAACACTCTGGCTCGTTTCCAGTCTATCAACCCACTCCTTGAACCCGACTAATTCCTTGATACGGCCCTCGTAGAACTCTTGAATAGCGACCGCTAAATCCCCCCACGATGTCGCGCACGGGTTAACGCCATGGAAATACTCAATGGTCGCGATCGGGGCTCCTATTTGCGTCCTAGGCTTGTCTGATCCAGCGATTGCAACGTCTAATACCAACCTGGCAATACGCTCTACTGGAATCCAATCCACGCGATTCGCAAGCCCGAGCTCGTGAGGCAAAGCAGATAGATGCAAACTACTTGCGATAATACTCGGAAGCCATTCCTGTCTCGCCCAAACCCCCTTCTCCGCCTCCGGACCAGCAATCTGACCCACGCGGATCACGGCAGCTGAGAACCCCCCTGCCCTAGCTCCGTCCTCTAAGATCAAGCTGCCGACCATCTTGCTCCGCCCGTATCCATTGCTGGGCAGACTCCAGTCTTCAAGTCTCTCCTCGGGCACAGGACCGAGGCTCGTGTCCCATTTCTCGGCTGTGGATATGGAGGAGATGAAAATGACAGCTACCCGCTTTGCAGACTGGCTGGCTAGGTCTGCGATGCTGCGCACGCCGTGGAGGTGCGGCTCGAAGGTCTCGGTTGTGATGTTGTAGTTGACTGGCCAGGCATTGTGGATTATGCGGTCTACTTGGCGAAGAAGTCGCGTGTATATTTCGTCTGAGACGCCGAGATGAGGCTGCGAGACGTCGAAGTGGTGGAATTCTGCCTTGGTGGCGTAATCTTGTGCTAGTCCGCGATCTTCCATTGCTTTTGCTTGCTGTGTGATGCCACCGTCTAAGGCTCTGTTCAGACAGATGACTTTTTTTATGGCAGGATTCCGCACGAGTTGATCTAGCAGATAAGAGCCTAGGGTTCCTGTTGACCCTGTCAAAAGGATGGTTTGATTCTCGTCAAAGTTGTCGAGACGTTCTGCGCTGCCTTTATTGAGGACTTGGGTATATTTTCTGTGGAGGTCCTTCATCACTTGAATCTCATGCTTCTCCTCATCCCCTGGTACTCCGATGTCTCTTTCCTTTCTGACAATGGAGTAGAGTATATACTGAGAAAGTCGGCGAGGTGTCGGGTTGTTGTAGACATTTCGTGGTGCTAGTTGAGTGGCATCGGTGTCGTAACCAGAACTTTTCAAACCTGCCCGAAGCAGTCTTGATAAATTCATAACCTGTAAGGAATCGACACCTGCCGAGAAGAAATTTGTGTCTGGATCGATGTTCGCTGCGTGGATGTGCAAGTCCAGTATTTCGGTGATCGATTCTACCAATGATTCTTCAGAGCCAACATCCAGTTGCACTTGTCTGTCATAAGATACCTTCTCTGCCTTTTCATAAAGTTGATCAATCTCATCTGCGTAGAGCTTGGTAGTTCTGCCGCGCTGAATGGTGCCTTTTCCAGTTCTGGCAAAAGGTTTATTTGGATTCGAGACAGAAATGAATTCCGGGCCAATCCGGCCATGAGCCACCGTTTCGCGATTGGCTTTCTCAACAAGCGACCACATACTATCTATAAAGTCGCGCTTCTCCTTTTCGTCCTGGAGAGGTGCCACAGGTTCGAGCAAGAGGGCGGGTTGAAATCTGTTCGCCCCTACTGCCAGCGCACCATTAACCGCTGGGTGATGTTGTAAAATCTCTTCGATTGTGGCTGGGTTGAGCTTCTCGCCATTTGAGAATACAATGATACTATCGGCACGGCCGTAGTATATCCAGTGGTCTGGTAGCGTGGGGTGTGGCTTGTAGAGGTCTCTATTGCTATACTCCTCCATCTCGGGGAATGTATAGAAGAAGCCTTGCATGCCCGGGTGCTTGTCTTTGCGAACGACGACTAGCTCGTAGGCGTCGTCGATCGGGAACCATTTGCAGCCCATTAGATCGGAGTTGATTATAAGCCATTGCCATAGCTCTGTCTTGGGCTGAAAATACACCGGATACGGAGAGAATCTGTCTAAATTAGCTTGCTAACTACCGGGATTAATTACTTTGCCTTACTCGGTAGAGTTGATGGTGTTGTTCAGCTTAATCCCATTCTTTACCAGCCTTTCACCAGCTTCTCGAGCCAAATTCCCTGGAGAAATAAGTAAATAGAGTGTTTCTTAGCAAGGGATCACACGTACCTCCCCCGAAGACAACCAGCTTGAGCTTTCTCAATGGAGCGAGGTACCCTTCACTTTGGCTCATTTCTTCAAGAATTGATGGAGACAGAGCTACTAATTCAGCATCCATATTATTCAGACAGTCCACCACTAAGTCTGGGCTCAACGGTCTGTCGCTGATCCCTAATATGACAGGAGTTTCAAAATAGATGACCATAAAGATGAAAGTGTATAAAGCAGCTGCGTGGAATAGAGGCATCTGATAAAGTCGTTATACATCGTACGCTGGGTTGTCCGGGGACTAGAACTCACTGGGATAAAGTGTCGTTTGGCTATTTGCGCCCATGCAGGCACCCAATGCGTGTAGCCTTGCCAGTCTGGCATATTATGGTACGCATCGCAAATGCAGAGCATTCCCTTTATTATCTTGTCAACTACATAACACAACGTTTTACAGGGAAATATTTCTTGTCAATACGTACTTGCCTAACGACAATAGGTTTTGGGAGACCGGTACTGCCACTAGTATGCAAAACGCAAAACGGTTCCCATTCGGCAGCCTGAAAGTCTTTATCGTAAGGGACATGAGGAACTTGTTCTACAGCAAACCAATATTCCATAGAGTCAAATTCAACTGCCTTCATCTCTCTTTCCTGCAACCATGGCTGAACCATTGAGCGGTGAGATTGCGGAAAGCCAATATAACGACAGTCTGTCTGACTGAAGAGGGATAACTGCCCTTGATGAGAATTTCTCACAGATATGAACAGTGCCTGCGTGCGTATGAGTACTTGTGACTGTATTGAATTCTTAATGGGATTTGAAAAACCTACTTTGTAACCGGCTTTGAGAGCAGCGACCATCAACACCACATATCTCGCATCCTGAGGCCCGACGTAGGCAATTGTAGGGAACTCTCCTGAAGGAGCTTCACCGCACAACTCGATAATTTTAAGGGCGCAACGATTAATTGCATTCGCGTACTCTTTGAAGGTAATAGCTTTCCATCCATCCGCCGGGTTGTTTGATCGTGGAACCTGGAAGGCTTCACGCTGTGGATCTTTGAGCGCTATCTCATCGATCACATTAGGAACCAGTCGACGGCCATACCTCGTTTGGCTTCCCATTGCGGTGACGACTCAAGGTGACAGGCTTTGCACAATCCGATGTTTTTGGTTTCAGGTGCTCGACGGTCGTGGACTATCAGGTTCCAGAAAAGGTCTAATGTCCTCAATTACGTGTGCAATGAATATTTTGACAGATCGAAGCCAACTTAAAAGTCCCCATATTATGGATGAACAGGGAATACTGGTAGCTCATGAGGTCCTGAATGCGACACGGAAATTCGGACTTAACAGTAAGTGATTGATCGTGCTACACCCCGCTGTGCAGCTGCATCTGCAGCTGTCAGAATCAGAGCACTAGGAGCGTTCACTCCTACCATACTTGATGTCAACACACCACAAACCCCCTGTTATTCAAAGCAAGGCTACGTAATTTAAAGCTTTCGTCGAGCAATATCTTCAATATGCAGCTATAAGGAACGAGAACAACAGCATCCACATGCAGCCAGTACTTGCGGATCACGATAGACGTGAAATGGCGCCGGGTTCAGACCAGCTATTTATTGTATTGTACACTGGTAGCTGGAGAAGTCTTTCAAATACTGCTATTGCTATAATCTAAGTAGACCCGGCCAGTCAAAAAGTTATATGAATATTTCACTTATCTAATTATCAAGCAAGTACAAGAAACGAGGAAATCAAAAGTAACTGCGAGGAAAGAAAGAAAAAGCCAAAATGCAATTGCTTTCACTATCCACTTCCACGCACGCAGCTGATGTCTCTTCTCTCGGAACGCTGGCGTTCTCCTTACCATCCCCCAACATCACGCGCATAACCTTCAACAACGGCCTCCTGAACTACACCAATTCACGCTAAGATGCACAAGTGAACTAGGTAGGACGTAATTGCATGTATGACATGTTTTATATTTGCTACCGTAATGCCTGCGATTGTTAAAATATACATCGATCGGCTTTTCATATCCAAGCAAGCAAGCAAGAGCTGGCATATATCATCTAAAGCTGCCTCCAAAAACCAAGCCAACCAACAATTGCTTGTTGCTGTCTGTCATGTGACTGACCCATCTAAACGCCATGCACTCCACAAACGCCTGTTAAGTGTAACGTAGCCAAAATCATACTATACAACTTGATCCAATGTGCAATCATCAATCACCACGTCTCGGCAATATACTGTCCAGCTTCCTTTTTCAATGCCCAAAACTCCCTCGCCTCCTCCCGACTGACATTCCCGTTCATCATCGCCACATCAAGCAGGGCCTCCTCAACACCTTCGCCCATGCCTTTGCTGGAACCACAGACGAAGACTCGCCCATCCAAACTATTGATGATGAACCAGACAAGATCGGCTTGTGCGCGTACTTCATCTTGAACATATTTTCCCTTGCCCTCGCCCTTTCGACTCTGTACCACTTTCTTAACCTCATCCTCATGCACGCCCCATTCGCCGGAATACAGCTCATCCAGTAGCGAATCTCGCACGCCTTGAAGAACCCAGACCTTATTTGCACAATTTGCGTTCTTCAGACGTCTCTGAACGAAGCCTCGGAATGGAGCTACACCTACACCGGCACCGATGAGCAGCATAGGACCATCGGAGACAAATTCCTTGGCGAGTGGGTTCGCCATGAGGCCTTTGAACATGGGGATTCTAAGGTCAGGTTTCTCGCCTCTCTTCTCTGCCTCGATGAACTTTCTGGCTTGACGTTCGAAGAATCCACTTCCAAGTCCGGTACGTTCTTCACCTGTCCAGTTGGGTGTTTCGTGGACGGTGACGGCAATCTCAACGAGACGGGAGCAGCCGGCTCTAGGGACACAGGAGTCGTGTGGGTCGTTGGAGAGAGAGTAGAATCTTGGCATAAGTTGCTGGAGGTGCGATAGCAGGTGGTCGAGAGGTGGCTTGCTGCTTGGGAAGGCGTGAAGGAGTTGGCTCATGGTAACATGTGGTCCTGTTCGGAAATCACAAAATACATTTTGTCCTTCGCCACTGCACAGATACAGCAGGATCTTCTTCTCATTCGGATTGGAAGCGTATTCGGCCAACAGGCGGAGGAGAGGCTTGGTAGGAGGGTAGGATTGGATATCGCTGCACCAAGTTAGGAGATCTCGTCGTGTAGTGATAATTTCTCGTGCTTCTTCCGCGCCCCAGACTGTAGGCCAGCGACCACCCTCTGTCTTTAGCAGAACTGGACGATCACGTAGGTATCGCGGAACAAGAAGTTGATCTAGTAGTTCGTCTACCAGTGCGTCTTCATTAGGTGCCATTACCCCAATCGCCCCTCCAACTTTGAAATCAACGCCTAATTCCTCGGGGTAATCTGTGACATCGAGATCAAAATGGTATGTTCTCTTCTCAGCACCCGGTCTTGTAAGCTCCCGAGCAGTGAAGATCTTCGCAGAGTAGCAATTGTAGGGAGGGTGTGGCTGCACAAAGTTGGGTGGATGGATCGAGGTATCGACTTTCGGAGGATCGACCGGATGTGGGGTAAAATCAATTGAATTGTCTTTTGCTTCGCCTGCAGAAATCGAGTCCACTGCTGGAGTAACGGCAGCAGCATTCTTGACCGGCTCGAGGGAGTAAGTTTTTGGTGGCAGTTCCGGTAGATTGGAAAATGTTGTAGGGACTAATCCCACCTTCAATTGCAAGGCTCGGAAGGCGTCGTTGTCGGGAAGAGGGACTCGTTGGAATGTGAGTTTGTCGGTCTTTGCGGCAGTCATGCAACAGCCTCCTCCACAGCACTTCTCAATCAGCCTCGTGCCAGGCTCACCAATGAGCCTTTGTACATCTGCGGCACTTTGTGAGATCAATTTTGTGGAGGCGCGTCGTGGGCGGATGGGCGGCTCTTCTGGTTCGTCGGAAGAAGAAGAGTAGGTGAGTGACGGAGCCGTGGACTTGGGCAATGAAGAAGCCATGGGCTCTTCGGGAATGCAGTGCGAGGTTGTCGCGGTGCGTAAGAACTGGTGGGGTCGGGAGACATTCATGACTGCGGTTGGACGGACTGCACGTCGAAGCATGTACGGTGGAGGCGGTGGTGGTGGCGGTCAAGCAAGTCTAGTGCAACGAGAATAAAGAATGAGAGCAGGCATGCAACTGGGATGAGTTCAATTGAAAGAATTGAGTGGGATTGTTGTTATTGCATTGGAGAGGTCCTGTGGGATGGTTGTAGAAGAAATAACAAAAGGAAGGGCTGTTGGTGTCATGTATGTATGTGTAGGTGGCGAGGGTTGTCTTGACTCTTGGCTTGGGTTGAAAAGGGAGCGGCACCGGAGCCGAGGCCTTTGCATCTTTTTATCAGATGGAAAAGGTGGGTCCTTGAGGAAGAAAGGCTCGGGCATTTACGATGACGGTATACGAGTATGATCTAAATACATATACATACCTGCTGTATATAATATAATTATTAATTATTAACAATAAACATAATCATAATAGCCTCCATCGTAATAACAACACCCTACTGTACGAGTACCACACTATACCACACTACTCGTATACCACACCACACCACACCACACCACACCACTCTTTTCCCAACCAATCCTACTCTCCCCAGCGCATCACTCGGAATGAGTCTACGATCGCATCATCGCCTCGCACCGGAACACCATCACCGGAACATACTGTAGTACCTCCTCCACCACCATCACCATCACCATCATGCCCAACCATGTCCAACGTCGCCATCCAGTCATCAAGTTACCTGTACAGCCAAGCCTCTTGTCTCACCTGGGCAGAGTACGTGGGTCCCGGGGCTGATTTTAATCTTATCAGATCATCTCGCTACTGTAGCTCCCTGGGACCATACTGTACAGTACCCCGACCATACCCCGACCCCTTTACCTGGTTCTTGCAAGGTACAACGGAATACCATTTCCCAACAAAGAATGCTGTCCCCGTCCGGCAGTCGCACTCAAAACTTAATTGCAGCAGATGGGCAGAAGGGTTATTTCCGGTCCCGGAGAAGGGGCAGGATAACACGTTTACTACAGAGGTAGGTGGTTTGGATGGAGTGTTTGGTAGACATGTGCCTTGGGACGGCAGAATAAAGCCACGTGGTTGGTGTTTCAAACCGATCTGATAAGGCTCCGTGGTCGGGGAATGCAAATCCACCGATGCTTCGCTACTTCTGCTAATATTCCACCATTGACGGAGATCCCCACTCCCGTGTACCTACTCTACTTACTAAACGGAATATCGCATCCTGCATGGTTACTCCGTATTTTCCATGTTTTTTTCTCTCCGGTAAACTCAGTCTTACTTACTAAGAGTGACCAGCTGGATAAACCATGGATGCGAGTATAAGAGCCGGCCCAACACTTCGGACCTTGCCTTGCCATGCCTCAAGGGCCTTGCCGTACGTATGCGCTTGCGAAACCTCTCACGGCTGATTCCGCACCTTGCAACCTCTTGATTACCTTATCACGTGAAGACCTGATCCTTATGGAAGCGTCTTCGCTATAGTACTGGCAAGCTGTGCCCGCAAGAATGAATAAATACCTTACGATTAACTACCTACACTTGCAGCTTTGTTCCAAGTAAAACTAAGGTATATTGCAGCAAAAGACTAGAGTACTTGGCTTGTCTATTTACTCTTTTAATACCACCTCGGAATTTCTATTTATATCATTCATTCCCAGCCGAGTCCTTCATTTTTATACGTACTTCTTTATTTATTGCAATGTCTATTATGCCAGAGTACTCGTAAAAGTCATCATTCTGTTCATCAAACATCTGTAACATTAGTCGCAATGGCAGATTCTGCTTTCTTTAATTTGCGCTCGACGGCGGGCACATGTTGCGTGTTACATGTATGTTTCTTATATAAATAAAGCTGCTGCTGAAAGATGACGAGAAGGGAAGGGAAGGGAAGGTGTGAGTGAGTATAACAGACGGAAAGCAATTATGATATGATGATACAATATAATATGTTAACCATTATAAAGACAACACAAACTCCGATTCCAAATGCCCAAAGAAACATATATCTATATCATAAAGTATATGTTCAAGAATAAGATCATATACGATATATATGCGGTACAGACAACGCCGTGTAAATGCAATGAAATTAAAGGGAACCCGTTCCGTTCTTGTTAATTATTCGCATTGCGACCAAGAGGTCGAGATGGCAACGCAAGAATATGGAGTAGCGCAGACGGTTGAGCCAGTATAGCCTGAACCACCACACTGTACGTGTCTCATTAGCTGTGCCCAGATCCTCTGAATTTTGAATTGCAAAAGCAAGTACTCACCTGATCCCACTCCGGCACCGGTGTCCCTGTAGCCGCAGACGTCGACGATGTCGCAGTCGAGGTAGACGAAGTCTGACTTGTTATCGTCGTGGTACTCGATGCACTACCGCCCCCGCAGGGCGAGCCAGTCGACAAGATACTATGCACATCCTGAGCAAAAGTACAGCCGTTGTTAACATTTGTGTCTGAAAATCCAGCGCTCCACATCATGACGCCGCCGAAATGCGAATTGCTCTTATACTCAGCCACGAGACTGGAGACCTGGTCTGGCGTAGCGTAGTATATCTCGCCGCTCGGCGAACCGTTAGCGGCTAGCGGAGCAGCAGGGACACCGATAAACACCTTTGCGTCCGCTGAGGGCGTATCGGCGATGAAAGTCACCCAGTCGTTATAATTGAATGGCGCGTTACCGTTGAATCCAAGCGAGCATGGGTCAGGAGCATAATCATTGTTGTTGTAAAACTGAACCCAGAGATAATCGAACTGGGAATTGCTAATCACCACCCCCATATTAGGCTCGGGGATAGGACACTGCGGTGCGCCGGTGATGTAGTAAGTATTGGCCGAATCGGAAGCAAAGTTGGAGCGTAGCTTGGCGATCATGTACTGGAAGTACTCGTTGCCTGAGTTGCTCTCGAGATCGAAATCCCAGCCGTTGACAAAGGTGCTGTTGAAGGGTCTGGGCACGCTACCGGCACCCACATTACCATACGCATCCCATAGGTTTTGGCCGATGGTCTCAGCCTCGTCTTGGGACGACAATGACCACGAACTACTCGCGCCACCGAGGGATAAGATGATTTTCACGCCGTTGCTCTGGCACGTCTGGATTGCTGAGGTGAGAGCGTCACACTGTTGGCCTACTCCGGCACTGGTGATGAAACAGGACTGTCCGATCGTGCCGGATGCAATGTTGTTGCCGTTCCCAAATTCGTATAAGAATGATATGACTATGATATCGATGCCAGCGGTGGATGTACAGTAGGTGGATAGGTCGTTGTTCTCGATGGTCCCGCCACCGTTTTGGCCCCAGTAGACGACGTTCTGAGCGCCTGGAGCTTGGCGGGGTAAGGCTTTGTAAGGGGCTGCTAATACTAGGCTAGCGAGAAGGCCAAAGCTGGCAAGTATTGTGGGGAAATGCATTTTGGTAGACTGCGATATAAATAATGGATAGGGAAATATATGGAGGGAGTGTGGACAGATCTATCAAAGACCCAGGAAACTTCAAATGAATGAGAAGCGCTTGTTACAAGAGTAGAAAATAGAACAAATAATTGCAACATCTTGCTGTACTTATAAATCCTGAGATCAAAGGCTCAGGCACACCTTTGGCCCATCAGATAGTTAGGAAGGTTCCATCTCAGCTGTTGGTAGCTCCAGCACTCCACACAATTGCAACCATGAGGGCTGAGGGGTTGTTAGCACCCCAGCATTCCAACCGCCATTTTCCTCTGTATACAGACAAGTGATGGACTTTGTGCGGTAGAGCCACTTTGTTTGGTCCCTCCATGCTAGGATCACTTCTCAGAAGAGCGCGCGAGGGATGAGGATGGAAAGGAGACGTTACATGTGTACATACGTACATACCGTTTGGTGTAGTGATCAGCTCCCGTGAAGTACTGCAACCACTAGAGCCTCTTGTGATTATGCCTACCTGTGATAAGGAAAAAAAAAGGGGGATTCAGTTGAGGTAACCCTCCGTCTATGGAAGTTGAGGCGCGGTAGTTGTCGATAAGGGAGAGCACGAGGGGTATTCACTGCGACGTTCCCGGCGCAGGGTTCGTGTGCTCCCGTCTGCCCATCATGTGTACGAATAGCGCAAAGAACAATCGCGGTTCCTGCATAAGTTGATCGGTTTGTGGAACTAAATAGGAAGGTGGTGTTTGTTAGAAGTAGGCAGGTGTTTTAGCTCACAAGGCTAAGATTTAATCTCATTACTCAGCATGACACGTGATAAAGGATCGGACTTACACGGCATCTGTCGTATTGCAAGCCTCGTTTTTCTCTCTTTGACTTAAAGATCCCCGTGTATTTGTAACATTTTCAGGTAGTTTTCATATAATGAGAGAGAATTTGGTTGCTAGTATATTGTTTGCCGAGCCCCTGAGACCTTGGCGACATTACCAGCACCGGGAACAACGGGACTTACCCCGCTTCTGATCTACCCCGCTTTAGGGCGTATCTGTATTTAAAGGGGTTCTACTATCTCTTACTTTAATCTCTAGAAATTATCATATCACTGGTTCAACTATCTACGTCGTCTTGCTGCCATTCTTCACACGAACTCAGGAAAAATACTTTACATACGACTGTCTACCGGTAACTTTATTTTATTTAGAGAAGTACTCATGTCACAGTTATACTCCTGTGAAGATCAACTTTGCCAACATGATCTCAATCTTTACTATCTGGATGAGATAATCGAACATCTTCGCAAGAAACATCTATCATTCATAAGACGTCCAGGCGCACTGGGATCTCCAGATAGCCACGGCAATCTTTGGAATTGCTACCGCTGCGAGACTGAAATCAAAGATCATAGAAGCTTTCAACTCGATGAGGATATGTGGAAGCACCTCAATTCCTGCCACTACCACGAGCTTGATAAGGTCAAGCTCGAGCAATGAACACAAGTCATCAATGTGAAGATGGTGCATCTCTCTCAAGGAAACACCACCTCCTAGGGGGCGATCAAGCGTATGTTTGACACTTAATCACGAGACACTTCCTGTTAATCTATTCTTCAGGTATAATTACTACAACTAGAATCGTCGATATTCCTCCTGAGGTTATTTCGACAATGAAAAGACTCATGGACTGTGGAGATAACTGTTCGCCAGTGTGTCTTGGGCTCACTTGCCGCACGTTCTATTTAGTGTTAGAGCCACTCCATGTACGGCCATTCTCTCTCTCGTATAGCATGTGTCCCAAGACCCTTCGCGTCTCGTTTTTCGCGGACCAACGACTTGTCAATGTCATCCAACTGGATGCTCCTTTACGGAACCTGCCACTCTTCAGCGTCCAACCAGATCACCAATATATATATATCCATCCAGTGTTTATGAGGTCATCATCCCACCAAGACAACATGGATTGAACCCTATTGAAAGAATAAGGAGTTGAGTATTTGAACAGATTCATGTTAGGAAAAATGTACAAGGCGTCTGTGATATAGGTCAACTGTGCCAATAATCCGCCAAGCGTTTCGATAAGGGGGGTCAACTCACGTGACTATTTTGAACGAATAAACTTAGAAATGACGGAAAGGTGGAATCGAAGAGCTAAGGTACGAAGTACTAAGCTAAGCTAGTCAAGACTCTACTAAGGTACACCTTTACCTATAATCTTGTTTCTATTTATATCTAAACGCTTCATCATCACGTGCGTCTTTCCTGCAAATGCACAGTCAGCCGAGAATTGTGTCGACCCCGTAGGTTTCAAGCGCCAATGACGTACGGGAATTACTAGAAGCTACCCCTGCAATCCGAAGCAACCGGGCGACCCCACCCTATCAAGGAAAAGGCGGCACATCAACAACAACACTAGACTGACACTGACACTGACCTCTTGAATAAATCCCCCCTCTATCCTCTTTCTCTCTCTTCCTTCTCTTACTCAATTTCACTGTCCACTGCCCACTCTCCACTCCGTTCTGTTCTGTTCTGTTCCTGCTCTGCCAATTGCTTGCGCTGCTTTGATAGCAACCGCGACAACCAAGATCCATATCGTGACGTTGTAGATAGACTATTGCTCTTTATCTACTTGACGAGTTTCACCCGAACGGTCGAACAGGAACATCTACACACCACAACAACTCGCAATTGAGCCGATATCACCATGTCTGTCCTCGAAAAGACCCTCCCCAAGCCTAAAATCGAGCTCTACAGCGGCAAATACTTCGCAGCCTGTGGTCTCGGTGGAATAATCGGTGCGCATTGCCTCTCCCTCTCCCTCTCCCCCTCCACCTCCAACCCCCTGGTTCAAACCATCTAACACACCCCCCAGCCTGCGGTCCAACCCACACAGCCGTAACCCCCCTCGATCTCGTAAAATGCCGTCGCCAAGTCGATTCGAACCTTTACAAATCTAACTTTGGCGCATGGAAATCCATCTACAAGGGCGAGGGCCTGCGCGGGGTCTTCTTCGGCTGGTCCCCCACGTTCGTCGGATATTGTTTCCAGGGTGGTGGAAAATATGGGTTCTATGAGGTCTTCAAGTACCTCTACGGCGAGAAGATGTTTCCCGATGCCAATAAGACAGCCATCTTCTTGGCCGGTAGTGCGAGTGCTGAGTTTATCGCGGATCTGGCGCTCTGTCCGTTCGAAGCTATCAAGGTCAGGATGCAGACCACTCTGCCTCCATTCGCGAGTACCTTGAGGGAGGGTATGAGCAAAGTTATTAAAGAGGAGGGTTATGCTGGGTATGTATTAACCTTTCTTATCTGGCTGCCACAGTTGCTAAAAAAGTGACAGCCTTTACAAAGGACTCTACCCCCTTTGGGCCCGCCAGATCCCATACACGATGTGTAAATTTGCAACCTTCGAGAAAACCGTCGATGCCATATACAACCGTCTCGGAAAGCCCAAGTCATCGTACAACGGCCTCCAACAAACCGGAGTCTCCTTCCTTGGTGGTTACATTGCAGGTATTGCCTGCGCAGTCATCTCGCATCCGGCTGATGTTATGGTGTCCAAGTTGAACTCGGACAGGAAGGCGGGTGAAGGTGCTGGTCAGGCTATTGGCAGGATCTATAAAAATGTTGGTTTTGCCGGGCTGTGGAATGGACTACCCGTCCGAATTGCGATGATTGGGTAAGGAAAACTGGCCTTTTGATTCTACCTTCTCCCCCTTCTCCTATGTTTCGTCTCATGTTCTCCACCTTCTGTGGATTTCCTCTACTGGAAACATGAGTTTTTTCTACTCCCGAACCCGTTTGAAACAGGAAAACAACTAACTCCTTCATCTAGTACCCTTACCGCGTTCCAGTGGTTGATTTATGATAGTTTTAAGGTGGCGTTGGGATTGCCTACTACAGGAGGTCACTAGATGGAAGGAAAAGAGGAAGGCTATTGGAGTTCGAGGTGTATGTCCAGATAATGCAAATGAAAACAGATCTTCAAGTCGCGGGCCAGTAGCTGGGTGAAGTTGACGAAGCCTCGTTTCATGTTTGGGGAGTTATAAATGAGGTAGGTTTGGTTCTTCTCTGTCCAGGAAAAAGCAGCCCTAATTACTAACGTGCCGGCCCTTTTTTCTATCTGGCATAAGGAGCATAGAGATTTTCGGGGAGAACACCGTAGGCCATGAGGATACTAAATGTTTTTTGATTCATTTCTTACTTCATACTCCTTCCTGGCTCAAAGAAGGAACTTTGCTCCAGCACAAGTCAATAGCAGTGTATATGTCACATGACATGAGCACATCCACCCATCAAGAAGCTTGACTTCCTCGTCTCCCGCAACACCTTGATCCCAACCTCAGATCTCCGATTGCTCTTCACAAACGTCGCAGAATTCGTACCAGTGTATATGTCACATGACATGAGCCTTTCCACCCATTCCTTTTCTTTAGGAAGGAACTTTCCAACTCCAACCTCGGATTTCCAACAGACTCCACCTCGAAATTACCAGCCTGAGCGTGATATCCAGGCAGGCGCCAGCCTCCATCTCTAGGCAACTTGGTCTGTCTTTGTAACCGACATTTGACTCGTCCGTCATCTCCAGACACGCTCAGCTTGGAAGGACTGAAGGTGAGCTTCTATTCACATTCAATGAACGCAATAACTAATAAATACAAGCATTCAAGCTGTTAAGATATCCTTCTGGAGCGTTACCCAATTCACAGCATCTCATCACCATCCTTAATCATCAAATCCCGCATCCTACCCTCTCAACTAAGCAAACTCGAAATGGCATCCCCTCCGAGATCAAAATAATTACTAGAGATGTTAAGAAGGAAGTTCCGCAGAATGCGTACTGGATATTCTGCTCACCTTGGTCAAACAATAGTGATAAGTTGCTTCTCTGCCCCGTTCTCTATCGCTTCAAGCCCAATACATCGGCTCAAGCAGTCATAAATGCCTAAGCGAGTATAAGATCCATCGTCTTCCCTTAGCAATAGCAGACCTTCGGACGTGTTCTCGGTAGCTTCCAAGATGGGAAGCAAAAAGCATTCATCTAGCTGCGATCTATCTTGATCTATACCCCCATCACAGCTGATTTGGAAGCTAATGCCGAATCCTACGTGGTTTCCAAGAACGAGATAGGGATTATCATAAGTAAGTTCGACGAAGGATGTCTCAAATTTAACATTTGGGGCTCTATCACTTCCAGAGTCCATGCCGCATGCTTGAACTGGACTCCCCACACTTTCCGTGGCCTCGTTAGCCGTAGGTCTTTGTCCCTCTTCTCTGTTTTCTTGTTTGTTATTTCCCTTGCGCTGCTCTATACACCATGGCAAAACTACCCCCCGTATATGAAGCCTTGCCGATGTGACCTGTCCATAGCAATTGCTAGGATCAACTAACTCGGTGTTTACGTCCTCCACCTCCGCCAGTTCTTTCCTGTTCTTACTAGTTGTCGCCCATGACTTAAGATTGACGATCCCATCAACGCTAGCCCAGCTCCATGACGGGGCTCTCCACTGCTCTTGCCTGCGAGTGCCAGACCCTGTCCACAGCAAACTGCGAGGCATGTCTTGTCTAAATATTCCCGCCATATAACTGTTTCCGAATGCCGGGCCAAATAGCTTTGCCACCGCGGAGAATGCCACCAGCTTATCTTTAGCTGGGAAACTCAACTCGCGTTTAGTGTAATCCTCTACCAAGTTCCAGTATTGCATAATACAGGCGGGCGAAGGCACTGCTCGCGCTGTTGGTATTACCTCTTTAGACTCTGAATTGGTGGGGTGTGGTTGCTTATCCTCCACCTCAAGGGAGATATTAAACACCCCCGTTGGGAAGGGGTCAGAATCGCAGTCACAGGGCAGGCCAGAAGGAAAGTACTCGTTCCGTACAGCTTCTTGACATTCCCACGCGATTCGATCGATCTGAAAGTGTAGCGTTCGTGGAGAGAGGAGTCGTTCTTGCAGAACCCAGCCGCGGGAGGTGAGAGGTTGGTTTTCACGACAGTCGCTGAAGTCTAAGCTAGGGACAAAGATTCCACACCATCTCAGTTCTTCGGGTGTGAAGTGCTCTCGCAGACGGCGGCATATTGTGCTGGAACCCCCCCAAAGATTTGTAATTTTATCTCGGAACCGCTGCCATGGTTTGATACCCTTGAGACTTGATGAGATGTAGTCAAGCTCAAGAGCCGGCCGGGGCGCCCAAATTTGACAATCCTGCAGAAATTCTGGATTTCGGTCAACAAATGCCCCATCGTGAGGATTTGAACCATGGACGATAGCCAAATTGAGAATGCAATTCAAATATATTTTCTCCATCTCTGCTGTATGATACAGCCAATCGATGTCTGATCCCTTTCCAGACTGTTTGATACAGAGGCTGTCAATCCAGAGGTACTTAATGCCGAGGCGCCTACACGCATAGATTGCATCCTGAAAGCTCTTAGGTATCACGGCTACTGGAATCTTGTTCCGAAATCCTTCGTGGTTGTCCGAGGTCAGGGTGAGAAAAGACGGGTCATTTCCCCAACAATGACTTAGTGTAGCGTAACCGCCTATAGCCTTTTCTTCAGCTGTGAGCACAAGGCGAATCCCGTTGTCATTATCTCCGACTGCGATTATTCGTTTGGGGTACCAGCCAAATCTCCTGTTTTTGTACATGTTATCACACGACTTGTGATTCTCTCTGCACTCCTGAAGCCAGCCTCTAGCCACCTTCATTGCGGCCTCATCTTGTGTATTTGAGGATATTTCTCGGGTCTCGAAATTCTCTCGCCTGACGTTCCAGGGCCTCCTTTTCAAGTCTTTCTTCGCCGATTTGAGCAAGCTCTGATAGTCTGAAACCACAGGAATCAGACCTGCCTCGTGGACATGAATTGTCAATTGAAAATCAACATGGAATGTAATTTCCTCAGGTTTGACGCCAAATCCGAAATAGAGCCAAGAATAACTTTCACCAACACCAATCCAACGAAATTCATAACGGAGCATAAGTCTTTCTGAAACGGCATGGTTGCCTACACTTATGCCCAACTGCTCACGAATCAAATTTCCGTGAATGCAGATCCTGCAGCCTAACTTAGCAGCTTTGACTAGATCATTAACAGTTTCATGGTGATAACCCTTTTGAGTCTTGTTGGCATTCTGAAAAATGGAAATGCATTTGGCGCATAGCATAGCGAGAGGCTATATTGTGGTGGTGGTGGAATAGTATGTTTAGGAAGTTTAACCTCTTATTCTGACGTTGGAAAAAGGTTAGCTTAGCGGCAGTATTTGCCACATAGCAAAGGCGTGTATAAACATAAGCCACCACGTGACATTAATATGACTATTGTAAACATCAAGTAACTGCACACGCTAAGGGGTTGGATTTCAGGGAATTTAAAACGAGTATTGCAAAAGTGTTTTCTTAGCTAGTTATGGGTTCTAGCCGATTGGGCCTCAAATTGGTCACGTGTGTGGGTTTATTCCCCACATACTCGGGACTCCAACTTGGTATCCAAACTGGAGCAGTCACTGCTACTATTAAGAGATAGGGATGGATTCTGCAAGGAAGGTTTTCCCGGCAGACTTTTCACCTCAGGTATTCTGAACCCATTTTGATCAACTAAGCGGACCAAATTCCCCATTGCTAAAGTAATACTTTTAATGACATAATGGGTATGCTCTCTTATAATATCAGCCTATTAAACAACAGTACCTATCAGAAGTCTTATTAATGGCCACGTTACCTTTGCCTAAATCGATCTTGATTTGAAACTTTTTCTTGGAGCGATGAGCGGCACACTTCTCATTTGTGATTGCAGCTGTTTATTTCATTCGCAGCCTACAATTATCAATGCAGCTTCACCCACTGATAAACTTAACGCAATGTGAAAACTAGAATCACAAGGCACTTTACAATCCCCCGTTTGTTCATTTTCCCTCTACCAATCATTTATTGTAAAGTGAACAATGTCTTCTTCCACGCTGTGTGAGAATGTGAAGTCAGAAGCGTCGGTAGTCGCCCAATCTTTCAGGGAGTAAGTTCATTTGCTGTAGTAATTTCCAAGGCATAAATCGAAAGAAGACTATCAGCAGTACTACTGCAGAGTTATAGGTGCAGACATTATTGAGCTTTGGGTTGGAGAACAGGACCCAAAACTTTACCGAGTTGCGAAACTGGTTCTTTGCTAGCTTTAGTAAGGACATTAGTTTGTTGAAATTGTTGAGCGCGACGATGACGGTGCAGAAATTGGCAGAGGAAGCAGAGTCAGAGGATAAGGGGGAATAAGAGATCAGGGTTCAGGGTTCATTAGAACCTCGCAGTTTGCAGTGTTCTCGGGGTATATAGAAGAAATGGCCTTCTTAGGCATTGACAAATAGATTTTCTTTGTGTATAGTTTCCAGTCAGAGCGATGTTACATATAAATCAGATTAAGATGCAGAAATCAGAACACATTTCAACGGTATTTTATCGAGAACTAATTGAGGTAGGTAAAGCGTACGGAGGCTCCATAAAAAAGTGCCACAGCTCAACCTAGAAACCACAAGAGACTGGTTTAAGAGTGAAGAGGGTCCAGGAGAAGGCCCCTTGATTATACTGGTTAGTTCACATCGACTATGCTGACTAACCCCTTGGTTTGACTCACATTATAAGGAGTCCCTGAGAACCAGGGAACTGGGAATCTGGGTATAGCAGCAGAGGAAGAAATTTGTTTAGGTGAGAGGAAAATAATGGAAAGTGGTTGACATGGATGGACTTTGCTTTTGGGTGTTACCTGGCTGAGTCAGCACCAGCGCTAACTACTTCGGGATTTTCAAAAAAGCGTCTAGTATGATTCTATTCCTTTCAATCTTAATACTTGCCCTTCTATCTTTCTTATATGTATAAGATCGCACAGATGACTTTGCTTCTTCGCCCATGGTTTACGGGTATAAACCGTGAGAAACATGGGTGGAAAGCCAAACATTTTGTGGCCCCGGATTGTTGAGCGAGTCTCATTGACACTCTCTGGTGCTCTCACTTTCGAGAAGTAATTGGACTTCAAGGAAATATTTTATGGTGGTGGTGGTACACTCTCCTCTGTCTTTCTCCGCCTCGGCTTCAACATTAGTAAAATAAACATCCCGATAACAAGCAATATCAGCAAGAAAATAATCCTCCGCTTCGTCCCCTTCCTCTGATACCCGGATGCAACCTTCAGCTCTTTATCCGCGGCCTTGACATCCACTGCCATGCGCTCCACATTATAATCGATCCGATCCAGCATCGTGCCTTGGTCGATGATCATCCCTTGCAGCTCTTTGAATATGTCGGCGAGTTCGATGATACCTTGTGCTATATCCATTATTTCGCGCTCCCGCTGCATTATGGCTGCATCGTTGGAGGTGAGTTGTTTTTGAGATGTTTGTTGCAGTGCGGATTGGGAGTAGGATTTGTCGGCATCGGATTCCATTAAAGAGGGGTCGGTGAAGTTGCTGGTGAGGGGTGTCGAGGCGCGGTCGGCTTGTGAGTTCATGCCACTTAGTCCGCGGAGTTCTGGTTGGGTTAGCTTTGTGCTTCGTTTGACAGACGAAGGAAATTTACTTTTCAAGTATGCGCTCTGCTTCTTCCTGAATCCTGCGCTGGCTTCTTGTACTCTGCCCGCTAAAGATATCTGGATATTCCTCGCCATGGTCTCTTCTCCCTTGCTAATACCCCCAGAATGGCTGGACTCTCTCACCAGCATCTCTACCCTCTGAATTGCCTTTTGACAATCGTGAAATCCTCGCGTGATATCTTGCGTCAAGCTCTCAATCTCCGCTTCCTCACTTCTCTTGACTTCCTCATCATCGAATCCTGGTAGGACATGCTTCTGATGTAGCTTCTCTAGCTTCACGCTCTTGCTCGCTATATCGGCCAAGTATTCCGTAACCTCATCACTGATATCTGCCCACCTCGGCGGTAACAAATCCATCTCAATCACAGCATCGCCGTCGTCTTCGAATGCGCCGGCAGACATGAGCCCTTGGCGTTCCGAGGACCCGCCCCCGACAACACTGTCGCTGTAGCCATTTCCAGATGCACTGCTGCTGTATTTTGGCTTCTTTGCTGGGTGGTGCGCATACGATTGCCGGTAGGATATGTAGCTGTTTGTGTTGTATAATCAGCATGGGTCAGGTATACGTGGAAGTTGGGTTGGCTTACAGATTGGTGCGGTCGCGCCACATGGCGGACGCAAATTGAGCTTGCGCTCTCTGCGTTTGAAAAGCACTGGAATTCTTAACCTTACCACGTTCTTGATTCGAGTAATACCATGGATGTGGTGAGGTCTTGAAGCTGCATTGGCATGTTCGTTGAATGATTGTCGGAGCTCCCCAGCTGGCCGAGCCGCATGATGGCTAGCTTTCTTGGCTGGCCACCAGGACTGGGCAGATTAGTTGCACATGCTGTCTAATCTCGACCCGCCGTAGTACACTCCACTCCAGCCTAGGCCAGCACCACAATGGCAAACCCCTAATAAACAAGGACCAGCTCCAACTGCACAAAAACATCAATCCTACGCATCGCACCACCTCGACAAGCAGCCCTTCCCTTCACAAATTGCCTAAATAGCGCGCAAATACCACAACCTACACCCTAACAGACGCTCCCGTTCATCCTTCAGCATGGTATGCCTCTCCACCCCCGACTACCTGGGCATGATGGATAGGGAAATCAGCCCCGCCATCCTCTTGGCTCGTCAGCCGCGGGGAGCAACGACTACAGAATTGAATGAAGAAAGGCTAATAGGTGATATGTCAGGCTGATTCTCTAACTGAAGAGCAAGTCTCTGAGTTCAAGGAAGCATTTTCCCTCTTCGTAAGTTCTACCCCGCCCTTTGCATGCTTCAGCCCTACGTACGGAGAGAGTGGGTAGGCGGCTCTGAGAACTTGTTTGCTGACTTCTGTTTGCACGGATAGGACAAAGATGGCGATGGTTAGTACCTCTCGAATCCCAGCAAGCCTTCCCTGTCAATTCATTCCCGACGTCGAACGAGATCGTGGGGGATACATGCGGCTTTCCTTTCCTCTGCCTGCCCACACGAGGCTGGGTACATATATCCAAGGGATAGGATGCTGATGACGGCTGATAGGACAAATCACTACCAAGGAGCTGGGTACCGTCATGCGATCGCTTGGCCAGAACCCCTCAGAGTCTGAGCTGCAGGACATGATCAACGAGGTCGACGCCGACAACAACGGCACCATTGATTTCCCAGGTCCGGCACTATCTATCTAATACTACGAAATATGTTTGCTGATTGTGTTGCAGAGTTTCTCACCATGATGGCACGAAAGATGAAGGACACAGATTCCGAAGAGGAGATCAGAGAAGCGTTCAAGGTGGGGTTTGCCCCATGTGGCAAGAGACGATAGATGCTGATTATGGTTGCTGTGAAGGTCTTCGATCGCGACAACAACGGATTCATTTCTGCTGCTGAGCTTCGTCATGTCATGACATCCATTGGTGAGAAGTTGACAGATGATGAAGTGGATGAGATGATCAGAGAGGCTGATCAAGATGGTGATGGACGAATTGACTGTATGCTTCCAAGTTCCACCGCAGTATCCCATTATAGCTAACTCCTTCAACAGACAACGAGTTCGTTCAACTTATGATGCAGAAGTGAGAATATTACTTTGGTGCTTTACTGCGTGCGAGGGAGGATTTAGCTTGGTATGGAACCTGGGCAGCAGGGTTAGTGATGTGTTGCTGATGGATGGTGGGTGGATGGGTGATGACACATGGCGGATTTGTCTGGATTGGCTCTGATGATACCTCGATGAACATTATTCTTGGGAGCAGAGTCCAAATTATTTGAGCTATCGAAGAATCATCTGATTGTGATCATCTGCGGTCTCTTGCATGTGCCCGTGCTTATACTCCGTAGTATAGTAACACTCAGCCTTACTCGAGGCTATCATCTTGTAAACCTTAAACCTATGGTAACATGACAGGAATTTTTCATCTTCAGCTTAAATGATATATTTTTAGAGTAACTTCTACGCCCAAACGACATATTATCTATCATCTAACTACTCGAGCTAAAGTGTCCCAAGTAGACTTGTATTGAAACTTTTATATGTGTGCGTTTTATAGCGCCCTGACAGCTAGGGGCACGAATTATGGAGGGGCGGGGCTCTACAATATGATCCCTGCAATTCGTCTTGCGACACAACAACCTGAAAACCCATACAGTATTCGACCGCGTCTCTCTTGCAGATATCATTGTATTATTAGAATAATGTAATGCATTTAATCCCCCACTCGATCCAGCTTATGCTTCTTCTCAACGAATCTACTCAAAAGCCAATTCGCCAAACCTTTAACTCCCTCTAGCTACTCCCTCCATCACCACTTCCCATCACCGAGGCATGGTATTACAACTGTCCTCCTCTCCGCATCCCAATAAAACCTCCAATCCAAAATGCCAGCAATCCGCCGCTCGCGTATAGCAGCAATTGTCATCGTCTTCCTCCTCAGCGCCCTGTGGTACATCCGTCACAAACCCGGCGCCTGGTCCTACCAGTATACCTCCTACACCCCCGCGCTCCCCAAAGCGCCCGCCAATGACGGCAAGGTCCACTGGATTAAACTCCCCGACCGTTACCCAGTATCCTCATATATTTCCTATCCGACCGGCTCGCCGGCCAATATACCGCTGGTGCAGGCTTCGCAGCCCCGGGAATCCGCGGCAGAGAAACAAGAACGGATAAAGCGGAAACAGGCGGTGCTGGATAGCTTTCTGCATAGTTGGGAGGGGTATAAGGAGCATGCTTGGCTGAGGGATGAAGTTGCGCCGATAAGTGGGCAGTCGAGGGATACGTTTGGGGGCTGGGCGGCGAGTTTGGTGGATACGCTTGATACTCTTTGGATTATGGGGATGAAAGATGAATTTGAGCTTGCGGTGCATGCCGTAGAGGCCATTGATTTTTCGACGACGATGGAGAAGGATATCAATATTTTTGAGACGACGATTCGGTACTTGGGCGGCTTTTTGGCCGCGTATGATGTGAGTGGGGGACAGTATCCGGTGTTGCTTGCTAAAGCGGTGGAGGTGGGGGAATTGGTCATGAGTTGTTTCGATACGCCGAATCGTATGCCTATCACGAGGTGGGACTGGCAGAGGTGAGTCTTGTCTCTTGTGACACTTGGGAAGCGGGCTAATGGGGAGTAGATACAGCAATGGCAATGCCCAGGAAGCTCCTGAGGGATCTTTGGTTTCTGAACCTGGATCTTTGAGTTTGGAATTCACTAGACTTTCGCAGTTGACGAAGGACCCGAAATACTATGATGCTGTTCAACGGATATCAGATGTATTTGAAGAGGGGCAGAATACGACCAAAATGCCTGGTATATGACCAGTCAGTATTCACTTATCCAAACCTGCTTCCGGCGCTTTCAGTGAAGATAACTTCTTTACTCTGGGTGGAATGTCCGACTCCCTCTATGAATATTTCCCTAAACAGTATCTCATCATGGGCGGCCTACTCGAACAGCCCAGGAAACTATACGAAGGCTTCATTGAAGTAGCCAAAGAGCACATGTTTTTTAGGATCTACAACCCTAAAGACCAAAATCTCACCGTATCCGGCGACATTCAAGTCATTGGCGGCGGCAACATACTAAACCGGATACCCAACGGCCAACATCTCACATGCTTCGCAGGTGGCATGGTGGGCCTCGCCTCCAAAATATTCAATCGACCATCCGAGCTCACCCTAGCAGACGAGCTCACATCCGGCTGCGTCTGGGCGTACGACAACAACCCCAACGGCATTGCCCCTGAGATCTTTTCCGTGATGCCATGTCCAAAGAATCTCGACTGCAAATGGAGCCAAGAGAGATGGCATAGATCCCTGGCGGTTTTTCACCCTTTAGCAGGCGGCATTCTCGAAGACGACGGTTCTCTGTCCGAGCGTGTTTCGAAAATCGCAAAGGAAAATAGGCTCGCACCCGGCTTTACACAAATCACAGACCGGCGCTACATCTTACGTCCTGAAGCAATTGAATCCGTCTGGATCATGTGGCGCATTACAGGCGAGAAAAAGTGGCAAGACGCTGCATGGCGTATGTTCCAGGCCATAGAGAAAGTTTCGAGGACTGATATTGCTGCTGCTGCAATTGTGGATATTACGGTTGATCCGAAGGATGTCAAGGGCCAGAGAATGGATAGCATGGAGAGTTTTTGGTTAGCGGAGACGCTGAAGTATTTTTATCTTTGTTTTGAGGATTTTGGAGTTGTTAGTTTGAATGACTATGTTTTGAATACAGAGGCGCATCCTTTGAGGAGGCCAAGGTAGAGGAACGTGGGGGATATAAGGCGTTGGGTATACCACGGAGAAAGTGTTTTGAAATATATTAAGATTTTGTTATATTTAGATAAATTTATAGTTATTTTTGATGCAATGGTTATTGATAATTGATCAAATGGCAGGTGCCTCTTGAAATACAAGCTCGTGAAGACGTTTAGTTTTCCGATCAGCTTCAGTCTCAGATATTGCAAGAACCCGAGCCCATTTATGGCATCACAGGCAGCACGGTGCATATATACGGCATATTTAGGTGGGAACCAACGTAGGCATTGACATTCGTCAAGGTATAAGAGAACGATGCTGGGTTGAAATCATTGGTTATGAACAAAGAAGTCGACGTTGAAATTGGAAGATGTCCTTAATATCCGAAAGAGCTGCAAGTAGAAGGTGTGAGGTATTACTGTATAACCATCAGACATCCTTCGGCCCTCGGGATAAGATAAGCACTTATTGCTACAGTATAGTATAGCAAGGCCAAGGACAGCAGCCAAGAATTAGCCCATCGGCAGTCGAATCAAGCTTTTTTCTAGGGGACCTTCCCTTTTAGAAACCTGGGAAGATCGACACGCGGGACCCGCTGAACAAGCCTGAACAGGCTAAATAGCGGCACAGCTTGCACCAATTAGGGGTCAATGCCTACTAGTCCTGTTCCCCTGATCGCTGGAGTCAACTAACTATACATGGAAGTCCGCTGTTGTAGTAGGAACGCGATATTGGAATACCTTCCTGTCAGAGCGCAGTAAAGCTGTCAAGTGACGTACTTGGGTTATTGCCAAAGCCAAGCCTGAATATAAGTAGCTCAGTTTCATCATATTTACACTCCCTCCTCACGCCTCTGTCAAAAAACATACTCCTACCTACTCACAATGCCATCTCTATACAAAACAGGCGCAGCGCTTGCTGCAACCATTTCCCTCGCCCTAGCGCTGGGCACTCCGGATACCTGCTCTAACCCCAAGACTTCCTGTGTCGGATCATCAACCAATACCTGCTGCTTCAACACGCCCGGAGGCTTGTTCCAGCAGGTGCAATTCTGGGATACCGATCCAGTCACTGGACCCGATGACTCATGGACGATCCACGGCCTCTGGCCCAACAACTGCGACGGCACTTACAGCGAGAGCTGTGACAGCAGTCGCGCTTACACGGACATCACCTCGCTTCTCAAGGCCGCGGGTAAGACTTCTGTGCTAGACTATATGAACACGTATTGGCTGTCCGACGATGAGGGTAATGAGGCTTTCTGGGACCATGAATGGGGGACCCACGGCACGTGCATCTCGACTTTGGAGCCAAGCTGCTATACGGATTATTCGAAGGGTGACGAGGCCGTTGACTTCTTTACCAAGGTTGTAGCGTTATTCAAAACACTCCCAACCTACACCGTAAGCTATCTCCCAACCGGTTCTTTCAAAATGCTCGCTATATGTATGCTAAAAGATGCTTCCATCAGTGGCTCAAAGATGCCGGCATAACGCCTTCTTCATCAAAAACATACAGTCTCTCAGCGATGAACTCAGCTCTTGAAAGTGCTTTTGGCGCGCCCGTCGTACTTCTTTGCCAGGATACAAATGTGGTGTATGAAATCTATTACGGTTTCCATGTCAAGGGAAACGTGCAGAACGGCACTTTTGTGCCTACTACTAGTACGGGCTCGAGCACGAATTGTCCTAGCAAGGTCCAATATCCTCCTAAGTAAGGAGGCTAAGGTATGGCAATCTTTCACTGCTTTGACTTCTAGGTTTTTGCTGATACTCGGGTGATCCAGGGCATAATAGGTATGGAAGGCCCGAACTTTTGGTATGAAGTATAGAGGGATGATGCCTCTCCCAAAATTCAGGTCTTCAACTGATAATCAGTAGCGGGGATTGAACATATCCCTTTTGAAGATCTGGAAATTATCGCCTTTATAAAGCCCCAAGAACCTAGTAATCAAAGTTCATCTGGAATTCAATCTACATTAAGCATGACATTTAGCATGGAAAACATTTGTTCGCGCCCCTTAATATATCCGCAAGTTGAACTTATGCCAAGAAATATCGATTGTTCAAAAAGTACAATTTAGTTTCCGGTGTAATGTATTAGTGATATACCCTTCAGGTAGTTTATCAAGGTATCAAACTTCCAGATACTGGACGTGATTATAGTACTTGGTATAAGACTGGCGTGTTTGCACTCCCCAAACCGATGTCTTATGTGAGCAGCGCTGCCTTTGCTCAGGTTCGGCTTAGGGCCAGCTCAGCTCAGCTTTGGCTTAGGTTTTCTCACACCCGCTCACCGTATTTGCACGCTTACTAGAAACCATTAACCTTTAACGAAGAGCCTTTTCGGGCTCCTCTTCCCCCTAGCTAAGGATTTCATAATCATGGAATGAGGTGCTGTCGTCACCTTAGCACACTACGCCCTTCGAGTTACAATCTCAACCATCACTTCTTTTGTTTGACATGACTTGCTAACAAAGCTATCGGGCATTGTTCTTCGGACCCCTTTCAGAAGCGTTATTCATGGACGCATGTATACATCCATAAAACGCCCTGTCCACAAATCCTGAGCATTCTCTCAACGCCATTCCCATATTACAAGGCCCATCTCCGGCATCTCGTACTACCATACCCAATTTATAATGATTTATCCGACCTGTCCCCCCTCCCTCAATCAACTCTCTTCCCAATATCTCCCTCAAATACATCTTGTCTCCCAGCCAAGCTCAAACCTTCCTTCCCCTATCACTCCCTCAACGGAAAATAATCATAATACCTCTTCCCCCTCCTCCATTTATCCCTATCCCTCTTCTCCTTCTTACTCCTACACTTCCGGCACTCATACGGCAATTTCGTTTCCAGATATTGGCCCATGCCCACCACGAAACAGCGGCACCATTGTGTATCGTAGTGCTCGCAGCGGTCTTCTTCGATTCGGGAGAAGTGGGAGCAGGTGTAAACGTTGCTGTGTATGAAGCACATTTTGGGATTCAGCTCAGTTCGGTGAATAGATCGAGGGAGGTTAGACGTATGTAGACGCTTGAGTGGAATTGGGGAATAGGTAAATCGGAGATCTGCAGGATGATGGGATATGTTGCGTGAGTGAGGTGAAGTAGTGCTGGATATAATCGATGGTCTTGGTGTTGATTCAGTAGATATAGATGGCCTTTTGATGCAAATCGAGATTTTGAGACTGGATGTTAATATCCATGCATGGTGTTTGGCAATGCGAAAGGTAGGGAATGACTCTTTTCAGTGGCTTGATTCACATCGATCTATCCATTCACTTGGTAGCAAACTGCGGAACGCTCCATTTCGCTTCAAGACAAGATATATATAATGTTTGAAGAGGGTATTTGGGAGACAGGCTTTATTTGAAGTTCGAATACTTGATAGTGTCTGGCTGTTAAAGAAAAGGATACATGTAGTACAAACCTCATCTATTTGGTCATATAATAGGACACGCTCTCGCCGTTGGCTTCTCTCTGGGTGAATCCATTGCCTAAGAACCTAAAGGGATTTGGACTTTAATAACGGATATAAAAATCTTCTCTGTATTCCAGCCTAATTCGTAGTTCTGTTACCGTTATTGCCCTTCTGGAGCACCCTGTAGGGGGAGGTTTGAGATGAGGCTGGGATTGAAAAAGTTTCTGTAAATCAAAGCTGATAGCACCAATCAAGATAATTCGAGGAATGAAAAGAACGAAATGATTGTTCTGCTAAAGGTGTATTCCATCTGACTATAACATTGTTTTAAAGAGATTTGACACTAAGGGCGAAACGGGTATCGCGTTTCCTAACTGCAATTTTATGATTTTAATAAATCTAAGAAAGGAGGACCACGATTAGAATTGTCTTAGATGTCAGCTTTGATGATCTGCTATTTGAAACTATTCGAAACTATAAACTCTGCAGGTAATCTGGGATTGGTTCCAGACATTATTGAATTTGGTACTACTATTCGCAAGCTCTATCTAGCAAGTAGAATATAGTCATTATTTCTCATAGACCATGCGGTTCTTGATTGCGCCAATTCCAGTGACAGAAACCTCCACCACGTCACCATCCTTTAAGAATCCGTCCTTGAGGAATAGACCAACACCAGAAGGCGTACCAGTCATGATGGCGGTACCTTTGCGCAATGTTGTACCTCTACTCAAATGGGCAATAATCTGCTTGATGTTCCAGATCATGTCACTGGTATGAGTCTTCTGTCTGACCTCGCCGTTCACCTTGGTGACATAATCCAATTGCTGAGGATCTGGAATGATCGAAGTCGACACTATGCAAGGACCAATGGGCGCAAAACCATCGAATGATTTGGCATAACCAAACTGCCCTCCAGAATTTGGGGGCAGTTGAAAGTTCCTCGCAGAAACATCATTGCCAGCTGTGTAACCCAATACATATTCCAATGCCTTATCTTCAGGTATGTTTTTACCGTCCTTGCCAATAACGACCGTCAATTCGCCTTCATAGTCAAGTTTGGATTGGGCATCCACATGGATGAACACATCATCATATGGACCGGTCAGAGCATCTGCAGGCTTCTGGAATACAACAGGATAGGTTGCTATTGGCAGCTGGGTGAAGGACCAGAAGTCAGTAATTAATACAGTTCAAAAATGAACCAACTCACATCAGCCTCCTTTGCATGCTGTCCATAGTTTAGGCCAATGCATGGCATGATGGGGGTGGTTTCCAAGGGGCAAAGTAACTGCGTTAATTGTTAGGTCTCTTCATAGCATCAAGATGGGTTTGATGGGATGTGAACCTTTTTAACAGTGGCTGTTCCGTCGCCCTTTGAGAAGCCAGAAGACAAATCGCCTTTTAGAATCTGTAATTTCGTGCCATTGATCCCATCACTCGGGAATTCGTACGGGACATTTCCGTACCGAATCTTTCCCTCATCATCCTGGAAACGAACCAGTCTATCGAATGCCATGTTGCTGTGCTTAGGCTGCGTTACGAAAACAAACCGTACAGGTATTTGATATCATTGAGGGTTTCTATTTATAGTTGGATAGAATCATTATCTCCTTCGGAACGACTTGAGGCATAGCTAACGCGAAAGTGCAAAGGCGGGGTAGGTAAGAGGAAAAAGTTATACTCCGTAAAGGCCGTGATTTTTGCTCGCTTAAAAGGTACTCGGGAAACGTTTTCCCCTGAATCCCTGAACGTACAAAGCCCAATACACCGAGAGCGACGACCCCAGAAACTCCGCTAGCTCCCCCTTATTGAATGTTGAAACGCCTGTCTTCCGGAACAGGCACTATGAGGCCAGAGAACTCGATCCCAGCGATCCCAGGAAGCGTAGGCTGCTACACAGAACACTTATTACCTTTACTTACAATCTGGCCTAGAGTGATGATATGTTTACATTGTAGTATTTCCCACGGATCTGAAGAAGGTTAAAGAAATTCATGACGCAAGCGTATACATCAATAAGGTATTCATTTGACTTGAAATCGGATCCCGAACATAGGATGCTGTGAGCTAGGAAGGACCCTGCGCATTGAAAGTTAATAACTTTGGAGCACCGTTTACAGTAGAAAATATTACCTCAACTATACTTGAAAGTTGGACAGCGTGAATTTTAAAAGAATGAATCTAAGAAATTAAAACGCTTCGTTAAAGAATTTAAAAAGGATAGCCCGAATTACTAAATGGAAACTCCTTGCGACTTCATGGCGGTAATCCGCGTCCGGCTAACGCCAGCCTCCCGGAGTACAGTATGGACCGGGTTTCTCTACCCCGCTCCCCACCCCCACCCCCACAACTCCTCCCACTTTTCGAATTACCGAAGCAATAATTCCGTAGCCGCAGCTTTGCACTACCATTTCCTTAAGGTCTAGCTGGTTTTTATTATCAACCCCGCCCAGCGGGTGGCGACAAACACTACATATCTTTGTATGTGAATCACGGAAAACTGAAATTGTCCCACTACCCTGCTGTATCTATTCTTCCTGAAGTACTGTATAACTCGTCTCGTTGGCCCCATTATACCTGTTTTCTTAGAAGGGGGCTACTGGAGAGTCCACCCGTGATGAGGAGAATAGTCTAGCACTGTCGAGAGACGTCCTAAACCTCATATTGCCTACACGCTTTTGTGAAAATGGTTTACAAATCTGCTGAACCTCCCATCAATGGCAAGACCACCCCTTTGATAAAAGGCAGGGTGGCGCTAATTGTCCACAGCACCATTGGATGAAACTGTTTGGAGTTGGCTCTTCGACAGCAAAGCATCCCCTTTGACCAAACACGGTGCTTCTGAAATCAAAGGATTCACCAATGTCACCACACAGGAACGCCTCAGTTATCTCGATGTAAAAGAGTACTCAATATCGCTCTCTACAGCTTTGGCCAAGAGATGCGGCATGCTTGCAAAAGACGTAGTTGCGATCTTCAGCCTAAACACTATTTGGTATCCGGTGGCTATGTTTGCCGTTTCGCGACTTGGTGGTGTTATTTGCGGAGCCTCACCATCGTATAATGTTGAAGAGATGACTACAGCGCTCACCGTAGCCGGTGCAAAATTTCTCTTTACTGTGCCTTCATGCATAGATATTGCGGAACAATCAGCACAAAAGAGTGGAATTCCCAAGCAAAACATAATACTCCTCGAAGGCGAAGTTGAAGGTTACCAGAATTTGAGGCAACTGATTCGTATTGGAAGGGAGCTCGGCTCTTTGGGGCAGATTCAGGGGTTTAGGTATTCTGGTGTTCAGACAGCTGCCAATGTTTGCGCTTTTCTTGGATTTACAAGTGGAACTACTGGTGTTCCAAAAGCAGTGCGTATACGACCCTTATGATCCTCCTAAATCAAGTAAACAAAACTGACTCCGGAATTGAGGTCATGATATCGCACCGAAATGTAATAGCACAGTGTTTACAAGTCCAAGCTGTTACTCCTTTGGATCACAAAAAGACTTTAGCGGCTTTACCGCTGTATCACATAACGGGACTTGTCCATATCTTGCACCTACCAATTCTTCTCAATGCCGAAGTCTTCATGCTCCCATCATTCACCCTGGAGAGTATGCTCGAAACTGTCGCCCAGAACAAGATTGAAGAACTCCTTCTCGTTCCACCAATTTTGATTCGTATGGTGCACGATCCTATAGTAGACCGCTACGATTTGTGCCACATTCGTCGATTCTCTACAGGCGCTGCACCGATTAGTGGAGAGATCGTCGAATTTCTGAGGAAGAAATTTCCCCAAACTGGGTTCAAGCAACAATATGGCATGACGGAGAGTTGCAGTTGTATTACTTCCCATACACCGAAGACATATGACTACAAATTTGCTAGGACGGTTGGAACCGCAATGCCATCAACGGAGCTCAAGATAGTGGATTCGAACGAAAAGGAAGTAAAGATTGGCGAACCAGGGGAGCTTTTAGCCAAGGGGCCTCAAATCACAATGGGATACCTCGAGAACGAGGAGGCAACAAGGGAGACCTTTACGAGTGATGGATTTTTGAGGACTGGAGATGAAGCAATTATTGACAAAAATGGCATGGTTACTATCACAGATCGCATCAAGGAGATGATTAAGGTCAAAGGCATAGCTGTAGCCCCAGCAGAACTCGAGGATCTGTTGTTGGGACATCCGCTGATTGACGATGTTGCGGTGGTAGGAATTCCTGACGCATTTGCAGGAGAGAGGCCCAAGGCATTTATTATGAGGAAGCAAGTGGATATACCACAAGAAGAAGCAAAGCTGGTAAAAGAACTTATTGATTATGTGAGTAGTAGGAAGGCGAGACATAAGTGGATTCGAGAAGTTGAGTTCGTAGAGGTCATTCCTAAGTCTGCAAGTGGGAAGATCTTGAGAAAGGAGTTGAGGAAGAGGAAGGGCAAAGAACAGATTGCTAAGCCAAAATTATAAAAAATGGCTTGCTCGCCTGCTTATGCTCATCTTATAGCCAGCCTTCCAACTATTCTTTACGGGCTCTCTAGAAAATATATCTTTATCTTTCTACTCCTACCTGGCCATACGATAAAGTCTGCTCTCCACTCTAGTGGCCAATTTTATGGAAGGATAGGAAGGGTTAATCGCTGGGAGTTTCAGAGTTCTACATCTACGGAGATTATCTTTGAGGTTAATGGTTTTTGCAGGCAGCGATGTGCGACTCTCACGGCGATTACTTTATGTGCGCTGTATGATCTTCTGCAACGAATTGGTCATTGAGAGATTGCTAAAGTATTTGCTTAGATTTTAGGTCTGTTGATATATCGCAAGTCGGAATGATGATTATAACTATATAAACTATAACTGTAATGACACGACACGTGATATACGAAACACTTGCTCATATTAGCTTTATACAGCTCCAACTTCCCGGGTCATATAGCTACGGAAACGTACATGCACCCGCCCGAATGGCTCGTATTTTCCGGAGCTAATCATATTTTTCGTGGATATAAAGTAGCTTCCTTAGAGCCTGTCTTCGGAGCAGAGGTTGAATAGCTAGATCTAAGTAGCACCCATCAGCGCTTCACCTCTCTTTGCTTGTCAATACCACCTTCTTCTTACTCCCCATCCCCACGCCTTCTCCATAAACTTAAAAGCACGCCGATCCTTCCATCCTCCCACCTGCTGGTCCCGCTTGCTCACTCCTACGCTTATCTCCTCTTTATCTTGACGTTCATGTTTATCCCCACAGACCAACGGTATATCCTTATACACAACCTCTGCATTCTCTGTATCACATTTTCCGGTGTCCTGGAAGGTTTGGCAGGGGAAGGTGCGGTCGTAGAGTGTGCAGGTGCAGGCATAGAGGATGTGCCATTCTGTGCATATGTTGGTTAGTTGGATGAGTCTGAGCGTATCTTACTTGGGTGTGTGGAAGGAAGTGATGCAATGAAATTAGGTGTTATGGCGAAGATGTATTTGAAGGAGGTAGGGTTGGGGGCTAGTGATTGTTCAGGGGTGTTATTAAGGGGCTTAAGCGAGGAATCATCATGCACGGTAGGTAGGGCTTGGTGATGAATGTATCACTGGATAATTACTGTATATATTTTTGTCTTTAACGTTGAAAAATATCTCAGTCATCTCTGAATATCATCTAATGCTGAATCTGACACTTAACGTGTTAGCTACCATCACGCGGTTTTTATCACTACATGCAGCGAATAATCATTAATAGTAATTAGATCTAGCTGGATTTTAAGTGGTATATGAAGAGGAGGATAGAAATGAATTGGAATGGAAAGACCTATGGATTGGGAAGAATGGAGAGGTAGTATAACCCCTCCTTTTCCCCCGCACTCGCTTCTCGTTTTTGTGCAAATCACCTGCTTGTAGATCTTAGGATCGGAGACGGAATGGAAGCTAAATAAGAGTTTAATCCGAGGGAGTTGCGTGAGGATGGCGTGAGGATTGCGTCATGTTAGGAGTCTTGAGTGAAGGAGAAGATAGAAGAGTATAAAGGAAGGACTTGTGGAACAATTATTTGGTTATGAACTTGGTTCCGGGAGGCACTGTACGCATAATATAATAACAGCACAAGTTTTGTTTATTTAACGAGTTGAGATTTCATAGAAACAGTAACACCTAGCATCATCACCATCCTCCTTTCCGCAATACAAACCCTGAATCGAAAAAGCTTGAAGCTCTTCTAGTATGCAATGCAAGACGCAAAGCAACACCATTCAACGCCCAACGCCCTAGATATCAATTCCATCAATAACAACGCCCTTGCCCCAATTGTACTGTAGCACCCGGGCAACCTCATTCGCACTCTCCACACTGACCATAATACTCACCAAGTACAAGCTTGCATCTAGACCCGTAGTCACACCTCCACTCGTAATGACCCTCAAGCCACCCAACCTCAACGCCGCACGCCTAGTATTGCTCTCGCGCCTCGTATTACTCTCCTTCCACGCATTGCTCCCCTTGCGTTTCATTGGCGGAGGCTTGGCATCGCTGCGTCGGCGCACATACGGATTGACCTGCTCCTCGTCGCCGAGATCAAAGCGTAGATTGTTCACCACGTATCGCTCCTCGACTAGATCACAACGCTCGGCTAGATCCCGCTGTGCGATCTCGCTGCAGATCTTCTCGAACTTGGCGTAAGAGTCCGGATGTGTGGTTGCGGAGAGGCCCGACAAGATTCCCTGCTGGGCCAGGAGGAGAGAGCCGGTGCATATGGAGAGGAGGGTGCGTTCTTTCTTGGGGTCTTTCTTTTGGAGGTCAGACCAGGCTTTGATTAGGCCGAGGGGTTCGGATTTGTTTTTTAGGACTTCGTCAATACCGCCGCCGGGGATGATGAGCTGTGGGATTGAGAAGTCAGTAGGGTTTGGGGGCGGTGGTTTTAGTTGGGTGGTTTGAGATTTGGGAGTATTGGGAGGCTTATTGAGAGTTGGAATCTCCAAAACTATCTGCAGAAAAAAAAATAAAAAAATTAGAGAGCTCAGAGTTACATACGATGTCGAATTCAGAAAGACGGGCATAAGCTTCTTTGAATTCTATGTGAGCGCGGAGACCAGCACCCTGAGCAGTGGTGGTGAGCTCAGTAGCGGAGACGAAGGTGGTAGAGAAGGCTTTGGTTGCTGCAGATGAATTGTGAGCTGTTGATACTCGTGTAAAGTCGTGGAGCTGTAAGCAGAAGTGGAAGGGGTAGTTGAAGGGGACATTGAATTGGAGCAAGGGAGAAAAGATGGGAATGAGCTGATTTCAAGGGCAAAGGCATCGTAATAGAGTGGTAGTTGCAATTGTCACTTACAAGCATCATTGGGATTATGCTTCGCCTGGCTCAGAACTTCAAGGGGACCGATGAAATCGAGGGAGTCCATGCCAGGATGCAGTGTGATTAACACCTTGATGGTAGGGAGTGCTTCAGTTGACGCCATGGTTGCGAATGTCGAGTGGGTGAGTAAGTGGTGGAGGAGTGGATTGTTGTTATTTATTGGGGACAGATTGGATTGATTGATCGGTTTGATTCTTTTGATGGAATGGGATGATGAGAAAGAAAGAGAGGTCAAGTGTGCGGTCGAGCAACGAACGACGTGGGCACATAGGTGGTGAGATTTGAACTCACGTGAGGGGTTCTTTGAATGCGGGGTAGTTAGCGTCGATTGCAAGGATTAGGTGGATACAGTTTTACGCTAATGTACGGAGTAAGTAGTCAAGCGGAGATCTCCCACTTGTCAGGAGACTATGAATCGCGTGATCTTTTCATATATTTGTGTATATTCCGGAGTAGATTAGAAGAGAAAGCAAAAGCCTCTCAATACAAGTATAAAGCTACAGGAAGCTTAATTAGCGATATAGAATTTGTGTCTAGATCCCCCCCCAAGTACCTATATCTTAAACCCCGTGCGATTAATCTGGTATATTAACATCCACAAATAAATTACACCTCGACGTTATGAGTTCCCCCTGCCATGTAATGCATACGTCGGATATACCTACACTTGCTACTTCATTTTCAGTTCCAGTTCCAAGACGATGTGTGCAGTGGAGGTAGAAGTAGAAGTAAAAGTAGAAGTCTCGTGATTTCCGCAATGAGGTAGTGTAAATATATAGGCAATTACAACAAACATTCCCCAAGCTCACAAGACAATTTCCTCATCAAAGAGAAACTCGACAAGAAGAGAGAACCCCCAAAAATAAATCCCAATAACACCCATCTCTCACTCCATAACTAGCTCGCACATAAATACAAATGGACTTCAAAACATAAAACACTCCATAGAAGTTAGAACCCTTCTTTCTTCTTCCTTTCATGCAAAGTAATATAACATAAAACCCGTACTCCACGCGCATATGTGTTACATATTTGACACCAAGAAGTGAAGGGTGCACAGGTGGAGTGGCGCAATAAACCCATGCAGTGAGAACTTTAAATGTGTGAGCTGGTCTGGGATTGGGCTGTACCAGCTACTTGTAGGATGGAACGAAGCCTCCCGTCTGTCAGCTTCAACTACAATGTCAACGACTTCAGATGATGACCTCCGATATACACTGTACACTGTGCTTTGTGCTCTGTGTACAGAAAACCGAGAAGGAGAAGAGAATGGGGGAGTAGGACGCTGGGTGTGATTAGGAAGGAAGGCAGGTAGGTGGTGCTTGGTGTATGAACAACATACCCTTGGGAAAATGAGATGTTCGTTTCCTGTCTTGTGTTGTGTCGTCTTTTCTATCCGTATTTATGCTCATCTACAGCTACGCAATGCAACGCGCTGAAATATAGCGATCCAAAGCTAGTCGATCTCACATATCTATCAATCCCGCAAGACAATGCACACCATCACCACCACTATCACCACCCATCAACCAAGGTTCAAACACCAAACGCCTTGAACCTCTCCTCAATAGGCTGGAAAGCCTTCTCCGCCGCCTCCCCCTCCTTCTTCCCAAACACCAACTGCGCATTCAACTCCCAATCCTCATCCACGCCCCACGCCGCCTGCACCTTTTGGTCGATCAGCGGGTTGTAATGCTGCAGGTTAGCACCGAGGCCTTCGAGCTCGAGCGCGGTCCATACAGCGAGCTGTGTCATGCCGTTGCTCTGCACGGCCCAGGGGGGGAAGCGGTCGGCGTAGATGGCGAATGCGTCTTGTATTTTCTGGACCGCGGAGCGGGAGGTGAAAAATAGGACCTAGGGGAGATATGCATCAGTCTTGAACGTGTGTTTTTAGGGAAAAGGAAAAGGGAAAGGTAAACTCACAGTTCCATACCCAGCCTGAAACCCATTCAACCTCGCCTCAGTACTAGCATACTGATCCGCTGGCACAATCCCCTTCAGCACCTCCTTGGTAATATCCCACAACTTATCATGCTCGCCCTTAACAAGCAGAATGGCGCGCGTAGTCTGCGAGTTGAACGACGAGGGCGTGTGCAGGATGGCTTGCGTGACGATGTCCTGGATGGCGCTATCGGAAATGGGGGAGGATTTCGAGAGCGCGTAGATGCTGCGGCGCTCCTTGAGGGCTTCGAGGAATGCGGTGCTTGGGGACATGGTTGCGTGTTGTGTGGTGGGCTTTGTGTTGGTGTTGGTGTTGGTGTTTGTATTGCTGGTGTACTTGCGGAAGTGGGATGAGGGGTTGAGAAGAGGGGGAGGCAGGGCCTTTATAATCGTATGCAAAGATGTGGATAGTAGTGGAGAGCGTTTAAAGACTAAAGACGCCATACCCGTATTCACCCAGGGCCAGGATAGTGCGAGAGCGATGCTGCATACGAAGAACCAGAGTGGAATTTGCATGTTACTATACCTCCGTAAGTATGTTTGATGCGTGGCCAGGTGTAGCACCTTACCAACCCCCCAACTAAAAATGGGCCAACAGCTTCTTTACTTCCCTTCATCACCATTCTCGTTTACCAGGACATAAATACCGTCGGCGGAACCATCTCTCATTGGCCTATACCTGCGGCTCAGTACGAAACCTCGCAGACTAGGGCCCGAAATGGAAGAGACTGCGAATCCATCGAGTGGATTGCGCAAGTACTAGTAGGGAGCAGCGAGGATGGTGCGTGAAGGTGGCACGTGCTTGATTTACAAGCAATGATAAAGCAAGTCTTAGTATTTCATAATCATGATAAATATGGAACGGTCGGGATATCACGTGGCATGAATTGGCTGCTGATATAAGCATATAAACACCAAACTAGGTACCTAGTCTTCGGTTATTCGGTTATATCCTCTTCTCACATCAATCATAATATATGTGAATGCATACAGTATTGCTATTCAACGGTAAAATACCATTTTCTGAAAATCTGCTGACTGAAACTGGATGAAACACTTTTTGATGTTCCCATTGAAGCTGCAAGTGCAAATTTATCGATAGATTTCATCAAAGGAATCAACCTTCTCCTCAGCGACATGTCGTACAGCCTCCTCCACTGGGATGTCACCTCCTGTCACCTCAAACACCAGGCCAATAGTAGCATGGTTCTCTATACAAGCCACGAATACATCAGCCACATCCTCCCTGTTCACTTTAGGCGATGTACCAGCCTTTCCGGCCTTTATCCTTCCTGTCCATCCTCCTTCATTATACCACGTAGGTCGAACTATGGTATAGTCTAAAGCTCTTCTCGTGTTCTCTTCCACAAGATCTTTGTCGGCCTCGAACTTGGCTTCCATATACCGGGGTAACATAGCCCATAAATCATCACTGACTTTCTGGTCCTCATCGTTATACCAAGATGGTCTTGGCTTGCTGCGATTCCTAGTATCGATTGTCGAGATCGTGATAAGACGTTTGGTACAACCAGCATTGACCATTGCATCAAAGACTTTGATAGCGCCATCGTGATCGACAATACTGTTGAAGCTTGGATCTTTAAATGCTCGCCAACCGCCACCTGCTGCGAAGATAATCACATCTGGGACAGACGACTTAATGACTTGAGCAAGCTCAGCCACTGTCGAGTCTTCCAGAGATTGAATGATAGGTGTTGCACCAAGTCCACGAAGGCCGAGGACGTGTTCTTCCCGTCGAATGACAGAATACACTATATAGTCCTTCTTCACCAGGCGCTCTGTGATGAACTTTGCTAATTGTCCAGAGCCACCGAAAATAAGAGCTGAAGGCATGATGCACGTCAGACGAGATACAGATAGACACGAATTTGAAGCTGCTGATTTATTTGACACCTGATTGACTGCGTAAGCAGTTGGTAAAAGCGGGTTTTTTTTTAAAAACAACTATGAGGGAACAGAGAGCCTATATATAGGGCGTTTTGGAGTCAGTGAAAGCTCATAAAAGGGGCCCAATGCTTATTAACACCTTCAATATAGGCTTTCTGTCTCAGTCATTAAAGGAAGGCTGAAGCTTTACCAGATACAAATGTACAGCGTATGAGTCAAAGAAAGAATACAAGGGTATTGGTAGACAAAACCAGTCTAGCGCTTACCCAAGCGGCATAGCAATCTGTCGATCCTATAATTCAAGATAGTAACGTCCGTAAAAGAATAAAGATTCGTCAGCGTCCATAGTCACTAACTTAAAGTGCAGTAAAAATGAAAAGAAAACACTTCGTATCTGATATCTCCATGGAGATGAGTATAGAGTTAGAGTTAGGGAGCATTGCCGCAATACTGGAAAGTCCGTGCACAGTTTTAATAAGCTCTAACTCTAAGTTGATATACAGGTTAAGACGTGCAGGAAAGGGATCTGACACAAGCTTTATATGAAGTCAATTTCTTAAATAGAGTTCTAGATAGAGGGAAAATGATTTCCTATTACATATCCAATATGATTTTTGACCCGTACCTTACGCGTGCACGTGCTATAATCTCCAGGTTATGTTAGAACCGACGCCAAGACAGCTGACCCTTGTTCTAGTGGGGCTCTGTAGTATTTCCTAGGCAGCAAAGTTACCTTGCGGTACAAGTTCGGCTGCTCTTGAGTGCAGCACCGTTTCTTTAGGCCTTGCATGAGGCGTACTTTTGTCCCCACGTTGCCTTTTAGCCCTACGGAAGCACTCTTTGAAGCTATTGATACTATCAGATTTTTAACAAAAAGCGAGTGGGCATATCCTAGCAAACTGCTCGCTTATAGTCCGATCCACGTTGTCGACATTGACCTTCATTATCACGTCATAGAGTGAAAGTAGATGACAATGAATGTCTTTATTATTAGACTTTAACTAAGTTATTACTAAGAGCAACTTAATTAAAGCTTACATAAGGTTACTTATAGGCGACGGGTCTTCTAGAGTGCTCTATTAAGCTTCTCTTATCTTCTAGTTATTTAAAACAGCACGCATATTTACTAATTTAGTCTCTAATTATTATTAGCGCGTATATATCTCTTAAAAGGCACTAAATAATTATATATTTAATATCTTATACTAAGAGCTTTTATTCCTTAATAGTATTAATCTAAGGTCTAGTATAAAGCTAACAGGTAGCTGTAAATCTATAATTAATCGAACTTAATATTACAGATAAGTCATATATATATAAAGGCTTAATATAGTATTTAATAAGTTTAATAAAAAAGAGAGAAGAATTATTATCTAGATCTAAAGAAAAGTAAGCGCTTCTCTATTAAGGCTTAGTAAGCACAGGCACAGCCGGTGCTTTTACTTCTAGAGCTTGTCTCTTATATCAGCTCGGCCTGTTATAATTAAGATATAAGTTAGGGTTAGGGTTAGGGTTAGGGTTAGGGTTAGGGT